TCGTCTTCTACTTCCTCTAATAGAACTCTTGGGTTCTTCCCTCGAAGTGGCATTTGGTCACCTGGACGAGAAAGGTCCAGAGGCGGCACTTGGGCGCCTTTGAAATTCGAGGTGGTGGAGGAGGGCGCTCTGCCCTGTCTTCGGCCCTGGCCTCGGGCGTTTGTGCGCGGTGTTGTAACCTCCACAGTCGTCCTAGTACTTACGCTCTTCCTGGACCCGGCGGTACTTCGGGTAACCCTTCGTGAGCGCACACATGTTGGCTCCGACGGGGGGTCTGCACCGTTTGCCGCAGCATTGTCCTTGGCTACTAAGGGCAGGGGGTCCCTCGACTTCATGGCCTCAGCTGCTTTCTCAACGCCTCCCACTGGAACAGACGGCCCCGCGGACGAAGACGCAGGCCCAGCGGGCTGGATTGTCGACCTTTCTCCCTCTCCGGGGTGACCTCCCTTCGTCAAGGGTGCAGTCGGGACACGACCTAGGGGGCTCTGCCCTCGAGGGGCTTTCCCTATATGGTCGGTCGGGGGTTCCTGAGCTGGGACGGCCCCTAGGGGTTCGTTACTGAGCACAGACTGCGCCCAGTGGCGGGAATCCCCTCCTACGCCGTCGCTGATTGGCGATTCATTCTCCTTAATTTCTTCGATTGGTAACGCGGCAAAATGGTTGGTATATTGATCGTACGGAGTACCTACATACGTAGTATGAGTCCGGCTAGAATTACATGGATGCGCACCAATAGAAATTAAGTCCTTGGCCGACGTCGTCGAATCGCTTACTTCGACGCCGGCTGGTCTTTTGACGACTTATCGTCCTTGACCTCCTCGATCTTCGATTCCTTCCCGTTCTCTTCCTTTACGGCTTCTTCAAGTAGTTGACGGAGGCGGGCGACGTTGGGCTTTTTGCGTGGGGGGAGTTTGACCGGAATCCACTTCGACTTGTCGTCGGGGCATTTATGCTTTGGGCTCCATCCGGTATTCCCACACTTGAAGCATCGCTTGTCGGACCGGAGTTTGTCGATTTCCATCGGCTGTCCGGCACCACCATATGTCGTTCCCGTGGCGTCCTTCTTATCGCCACTGGAACCCTTCGATTGATTGCCTCTACCCGAACCGCCTTGGTTCGAGGAGGACTTACTGCCCAAGCCCTGGGCCACTCCGTATCGGTAATTGGCGTCTATCCTCAAGACGCGCGCCTTCCATTGCGCGTAGGTGGTGGGGCGCTCATTGTCCCCATGCATCACCGTGTTCCTTACTGTTGGCCTGATCGCCGCTTCTACCGCTTCGAACATTTGCTTCTCGTCCCCGAATTCCTCGCACTTGTGGGCCAATCGCTCGAATTTGGCAAAGAACTCGACTGCGGACTTGAAGTCCGACTGTCGGATCTTCTTCCACTCTGCCTTCCATATCGTTAACTCCGCCACTTCGCGGAACTCGCGTTTAAGGTCTTCGGAGAATTCCGCCCAGGTGGGGAATCTCCAATGACCATGCGGGTCTCGGTAGCGGTAGTATTGGTCGACCCACCATTGCTGCGCGTCCCCTCGTAGATACCCCTGCGCGAATGTGATACGATAGGGGTTGTGCCCCTGGTCGTTCATGGAGTAGTACATTGGGAACACCGCGAAGTAGACTTCGCAGTGATGGAGGAAGCGGGTGATATCCGAGGAGACCCCGGTGAAATATTCTGGCTGGGTCACCAGCTTTGGTTTGACGTCGTTCCAGGGATTATTGACGGCCCCTGGCGCAAGCTGCCAGGGTGGAATTGGGTCCGGCGGGGATGGTACCTGCGGCGGTACCGGCGGTTTAGGCGGTCGCGATACTGACCGCAAGTTTCGATTTTCCCCAGGGGGAGGGTATCCCGCGGGGTCAGGGTATGGTGGTTGTTTTGGTGGGAACGGGGGTACCGTTGACCCCTTTCCCTTGTCGCTACGAGACGGCCCCGCGCCGGGGTCATCCATGTCGTCGTCATCTCCTCCTGCCCCCCCGAAGAATCCTTCAGGGAAGAAGTCCGACGGGTCCGTCGGGTGAGGCATTGGTTGTGGGCGTCGGTACGGCTCGCACCCTCGTTGAGGCACTGTGGGGTTCACCATATTCCATATGATGGCCGCCCGGTGCCATGTCTCTACTTCGAGGATGTTTTTCATTAAGTATACATCCCCCATTGTTTTCGCGGCTTGATAATCGACCCCCGCGTCAGTGAACAACCACTGGGGGTCCCTTTCCATGTCTTCCATGATAATTTCGTACAGCCCGTGCCACGGAAGGAGCTCAAAGATGGCGGGGCGGGGAACAGGCCCGTTAAGAAGAACCTGTTTTACCGCGGCCATCACCGTCGGCTCCAGCGCCTGGTTTGGAGGCCGACTCGGCATCCTTTGCCTCCTGCCTCTCTCGGGCGAGTCGGTCGAGCTCCTTGTTGCGCCTCCACCGTCCGATGTCTGAATCTTCGTTGGAGATTTCCTCCTGATAGACCCTCCACGCTCGGGCCCGAGCCTCGAGATCGGTTCCTGCTCTTCTGGCATATCCGGTGTAACGGACGGCAGCGGCTCTGATTCGGTTGTCCACCTCGTCGGGGGTGGCGTCGGGCTCGAGGGGAAGGTCCCAGAAGCCATTGGGCCCGTAGAGGGCGTCTTCCTCAGCACGTCGGATGAGTGCGTCATGCGCTCTTCCTCGGTCCATTCTGGCCTGGACCTCTGGGGACTCCCTGGCAACTCGAGAGAGTCCGAGGGACTCGACGTACGTGTGATAAAGGAGGGGCCACGGACGCTGGGATGCAGGGACGGGGTTGGCGAAGGCTCTCGACGCAACGGACGGCTCCCAGTTGGAGACTCCGGCGAGTCGCTCGGAAGCGGTAACGCTTCCAAGTTCTTCGGGGTCGTAATCTGGGAACTCGTCCCAAAGCTCCCCACTCGTCTGCTCGTGTGGGGCGACGGCGGAAGGGAGCGCTGGGGTCTCGGTCTCTGTAATGACCGGGTCGGACTCTCGTCTGGCCTGCTCTCCGGCCACAGAAGCCTCTTCCCCGTCGTCGGCGTAGACCCAACTGGTGTGGGGGTACCAGGCGACAGGGGGTCCTCTATCGGTCGGCCAGGCCCTTGGAATAGGCTGTGAGTGAGCTGTACTGGTGGTAGCCACGGAGGCTCCGAGGCCAAGCTCTCCTGAGTCGCTGTCGAAGTCATCTTCCTGGGCGACCCGATACCTTCTACTTTCGCTTTTCCAGACTGCGTCTGTCCACTTGTGCCCAGACCGGCCGCTGTAGTTGTCTCCGGTATAGGTTGCATCTTCCTCCGTGTCCGGGTAGAGGTCGTCGAGGCGAGTTCTCTCCCACTCGGTGAGCTCGTCCCCTTCGAACTCGGTATCAGGGCTTTCTTCGCCCTCGACCAGATGCCTGGTGTCTTGTCTTCGCCCTCCGTCGGCGCTTGACTCGCCTTGGACTGGAGAGACGTCGAAGAGGCCTGGTAGGGGCGTGTCTCCTCGCTCGAGGAGTACCCTCCCGGTATCGGTGATGTCGATGGATTCGGCTGGTGCGCTGGAGGCGCTTCTGTAGGAGTCGGTGCTCGACTCGGAGGATCGCGAGCTGGGTCGCGACGATGTGTAGAGGGATCCTCCAGGTTCCCCGGAGGCGTTGGACTCGACATCTCCTATTGTCTGTTGGGAGGCCGAGGGAATATCGATTACCGGCGGGGGATATGCCGGTGCGCTGGGGATATAGTGAATGGGTAGTCGTGCGCGGATTTGTCTCCGCTGGCAGCAACGGCGTAGCTGGTACAAAGTGATGGAGAAGAAAAAGAGTATAAAAGTCGCGAAGACGGCGAGAATGGATTCGGACCAGAGCATTCGTCCGTAAATCTATCCGTGGCGTAAGTCGACGATGGACCATGCAAGCTGGTAAACAGCAAGGATGGTCAGGACAATGAGAAGAGCGATGATCAGGCTAAGGTCGGTCTCGTAGTTAGAGCCGTTCATTAACGAGATTTCGCAGCTCTCGTCGGGAGGAGTGCTCGTTACTATTAACAGCAGAACTGTTAAAATAGAGGCGAGCTGAAGGGCGAGGATGAATGGTTTCGTGTTGGGATACGTTGTTCCTAAACGAGGCGGGGATATAACGAGTACAGGGCGGCCAGCAAGCTTGCTAGCAACACTGCCGGTATTCCGAGCGCGATTAGGAGAAAGGTAAGGTATACAGTCAAGAAGACTGCAAGGAGTAGGTCGTTGTAAAGGATTGATTCAACAATCAACCGGGTTACTAACAACAGAAGAAGTAGCCAAGGGGGTATTAGCCACAAGGCTAGAGCGATGAAGTAGTGTATCGGATGAATGGTGACGGTGAGTGCTTTTCCGTTGGTCCACTCGCTGTACGTTGACAAGCACCGGGTTGTCCACACGAACGTAGGCGATGACTTCTCTGGTCAAGCGGGGTAATTTCTCGTAAAGAAGTTGGGCAGCGCTCTTTCTCGGAAGTGACGCTGAGCAACGTAGGTCGAGCTTCGGCTAAATGTTAGCCACTAACTCAAATCGACTTAGATCGTACTAAGGTCGCTACTCGCACTTCGGTAGACGACGCTCAGCAAGTCAAAGGCGACGTAAGTCGATGGGACAAGTAGTCACGAAGAACGGAGTTCGATATTAGGTAGAATAAACCTTAGCCGAAGCTGGGGTTTAGGCCAGCTGAGGCTCTACTTAAATACACGTTGCGTAGGCTAAAAATAGTGCCGCAGCAGCGTCCGATCGAAAGCGCAGCATAGAGTAAGCGTGAATACGTAAGAAAAGAAAAGAAAAGAAAAAAGGAAAAGAATATCCGTAACAACCATGAAATCCAAAATGTACCTGTGCCTCATAGCTTTCTCCCCAGGAAGTCGAACCATATATTTTCCACCATTCTGCGGCCATCCAGTACCATTGTCGCGTAAGTCTGCCATCATCGTGGTCATCGTCGGCGGGTTCATAGCCAGCTAAGTCCTAGAAGTTGCATATATGCCAAGACCCTTCTCGCAAGAGCTTTGACTGTCCAGAATGCACCATCCTAAAGGTGACGCGGCGAGCTGGATGAAATACGAACGTGTTGGCGTTGGCGTTGGCGGGGCTGATGGTGGTATGAAACAGCAAAAGAAATCGACTGAATTTCAAAATCGTACCTGCCTCCCGCTCTCATGTTTGTTTGTCGTCGCTTCCTAGACCCACACAAAAGTGATTGGGTAATATACGCACAACTACTGAAAAACACTAGAAGTCCTGAGTACATGTCGTTATCCTTTGTTGAGTAAGGTCTAACGTGTCGTCACGCTTTTTCTTACCTAGGATCTTCACTGTATTATCCCAGAAAAATATCACTGCTTTCTAATGAACATCAAGCGAGAACTTAAGGGATTCCTTCAGAACTCCCATCATCTATCGCCAGCCTGAGCTGGGAAATTTTTCGTTAATGCCCTAGAAGGCTTACCCAATCTAACTTTGTCTCAGATCACCCCAGCCAGTGGGCCAAAGATCAAAACTGCCAGATCAAGGTCATAATATTCAAGCATAAGTACATGTTCGGATCTCAAAGCGTGCCTCACAGCATACTTCATTCGCCTTCGGAACACGGCGGGTTCCCTCCTTTGAGGGAGGCACCAGTTCCAGTGCACGGCCATGATGCGCTGACGCTAGGGTTGGTTAGCTAGCTGTAGCCTCGAACTGGTGGTTTACGATGAGACACTCTTCGTGGGCAAAGTCGTCTACCCTTGACGCATGGGTGTGTGTGCTTGGTAACGAACAATGGATTTTTTTGACTAAGTTGCAACCAGGTAATTTCTCCTCAGCCTTTAGGCGTTGTGTGTGAATAAGAGACTTCACATATTACTCATGCTCTCCAACTGTCTTCCCATAGTGCTTGACGGATTCCTTGGAGGTGCGCGGATGTATTAACTCAACATCCTTGTTGCTAAATTTACGTTGTTACTTAGCAACAAACGTGATTGAGTGCTGTCGCCCCGAGCAACACTCACACTTGTATTTTGGCTCAATACTCAGCGAGAGCTATCGCAGTCGATTCATTTACATGCAGCACACATAGAAACTTTGTTAAAGTTAAGCTTTCTGTCCATGGTGTCCATTGCATTTTCTTCTCCAATGATTCCAAAACAAAATCAGATTCAACGGTAGGCCTGCCGGTCTGGATGGTATTTACATTTGAGTACTGCTAAGGCCTTTCTCCTCGCTGTTTTTAATGACAATGTCGCTTATCGTGTTGTTTCACAGCTGAACCTTTCTACCACGTACACGAGATCTTCGCCTGTTCGACCAACACGCCATTTTGTTCGAATCAATTACCACAATGCATTTCATTACTGCACAGTAGGCTCTATACGAGGCCTCATTGCGGATAACTTTCGGAAGGCAAAATAAGTGCCACTGATACGCTGTCTACGTGTTCACACCTAGATTTTGTGATTTTATAACAATACTGTTGCAGGTCTATCCTATACTAGTCGTATATCAAGGACTATAGTTGAGACTTCGGACTGATAGTCAAGTTAGCATGCTACTAGTCGAGTCAGGACTTAGGAATGATACCACTAGTGGGTCAGCCCTACCAGCCGACCGGACTAGCACCTCCAAAGCTAGTATGACTTAGTAAAATACGGTCACTAGTAAAGAATACAGCTGCTAGCGCCCAAACAAGAAGTAAGAACCCACACAGATCTCGACTATTCAGTCGCTAGTGGACCGATCTGGGCATGAACGCCTAAGTCAGGATGACTAGTCACGCGAGCACTTCTGAAAAGGACTTAGAAATGAATCAGTAAAGGCATAACCCTTAGCCCAGATCCGGCTAGTGTGATACAGATCTCATACGATCGGCACTAGTATAGCTGGGCTGCGCCCCGATCACGATCGAGCAGTTGCTACAGGCACGGTTACCCGACTATTCGTATAGCCGTGTCACTAGTGGAGCACCGCTGGGCAAAGGGTGCGGAAACGACCCAATAGTGGAGTCCCTCAACCTGCTATCCGACAGAAAGAACAGGCTAGGCCGACTATTGCGTGATTATTCCCCCATATTTCGTGACTAGCCAAGACATCCTTACCAATATTACCCCTAGAGAATCTATTTATATTTATTCTGTACTTGTCTCTGTAGTATATAAGTAATAAGAGGGGCGGCCTTGCAAGCCAGGCAAGCCATCCCCGCGATTGTGACCTACTAGTCCATATTCTAGTGCCCCAATTAAAGGCTTTTGTGCTTAACCTCGACGAAGTGTCTACTAGTCGCTTAGTCACCTATAGTATTGAACGAATTGAAGTGTCTTAAAGTTACTATTCTGTCTTGGAGTGACTCAGAGCGTTTCGAAGTTAGTTAAAGTATTTTCTCGGAGTTAAAGTATTTGTTCTTAGGCCAAGAGTGCCACTAGTCGAGCCTAGGGTGCTGCTAGTCAAGTGTAGACCGCTTGTGAGACCCAGTATTTGGCCCAGAGTGCCACTAGTTTCGAAGTATCAGAGTTAGACCGAGCGCAGTTGCTCAACCCAAGTCACTATTCATCCAATCGTGTCTTAGAACCCCGCTAGTGCGAGTATTACATCTTGTGTAGCTCACTAGTACCAAATATACGTCTTTAAACAACCTTTCCCTGATTTGTTGAAGTCTGCAGAGTGCTTCTATCGTACTCGAAACACCCGAACTCAATAATATTGGTGATTAGTGTAGAGTAGTAGAGGGTTTTGGTGTTGTGGTGTTCATATCCATTCACTAGCCTTTTGTCACTCGCCGTTACCAAGTGCATCACCACGTGTTGTGATTCTCATGCTAGACATAAGTACCCTTCCACATACCTCAGCTTGTTCCCTCCAACCACCATTACCAGATCATTTCGAGAAGTCTTACACGTCGAAGCACTACTAACGGGACCATAGCTGTGAATGGCAGCACAAACACTCTTCCCTGAACAGACTCCCCACCGCCAGAGCCAGAACTGGATAGCACTGCTGTCCCCATCAACCAGACGGAATACGCTAGGAGATGTCGGGAGGTTATGGAGTTGTACCGCGTTCTTCAACTCTTCAAGCCCTGGGGTTCGTATTCGTTACCTCCTTCCGACATATGCTTACATTCTGAGTCCTATGAATATAGGATACTCGGTTATTATGGTGTCGTGAAACCCCATGGGAAATTCTATTCGTGGAATCAGTGATGGCAGCGTTTGCCGTCCCATCCTGTTTCTTCCTCTGTGGGTCTCTCATGGGAATAATTCTATTCATGGATGGCTATTCCCATTTTTTTTCACGCTCCGCAGTTTGCTCTTGTGCCACGTCGCATTTCCCCTAGCCTGCTTCCTGCTCTCATTTGTTTTCCATCATTTATATTCCGTATCCTCTTTAATTAATGTGTCTGTCTTGATCGATCTTATGTCCGGCCTTGTCCTTCTTGCTTGTCTCGTTTCACTCCCGGTCTCTTCATCATGCACTCTTCTTAATTCGGAATTCACGTTTCTCGTTCATACATATATCTGTGTATCACGTCAACATCATGATCTCTTCCTCCTCCTCCATTTCCATCCTATTAAACCTTTTTGCCGTGGTCTGTATGTCGTCTTCCTCATCTTCAAAACTTATCTTCCTCTTCATTTTCACCACCGACTGTGACGGTGTATTAGCCATGTTCCTTCTTTCCGCATTCGCCTTCTGTGACTTTTTCAGCGACGTTTGACATACACGTTGAAGTGCTCACTGATGAATGGTCTGAGTTTGCGAGCGCTATGGCTCTCAATATCAATTTGGTCTTTGCGACACCGTCGTTGGTCTTCATGAACACCATAGAGCACTGGGCTTCCATGATATCACCTATTCTGAGCATTTGGGGCTTCACCGTCACGTATCTGCATTCACAAGGTATGGTTGGCTCCGTTCTGAGCACATATGTGTTGATCTCGCTTACCTTTTCTTGCCTGCTTCGTCTATCAGACCCCTGAAGTATCCCACCTCATTGTCCTCAGTGTGCACCCATTTTTGTTGTGCTATCTTGGCTAGGATTCCCATCGAGTTGACGTCAGGCGAAAAGGGTATGTCCTCCTCATTTGAGTTGTTCCAAGGTCTGAAGTATCAGTTCGACAGCTCCACCACGTCCAGATCCTTTACCTTCGTCGGCTTCCATTCTTCCATCTTGCCCTCCTTGAACTCTCTCTCCCATCATTTGCAGACTCTTTATAGCAGATATGGCCTTGTCATACCCCTTGCTCCCGAGACCTATGAGTTGTACCGTTTGGCTTAGGAACCTCACTTTCTCTTTTTGCATCCTGACTATGACTTTCGTGAGTATACTACATTCATTTGGACCATATTGTCCACTCACCTTGTTTCCTTTGTGACAGGTGGTAGATCCATCGTGTATATTGCACCGGTCATCGTGAATACCACTTCTTCTATCACACCCTCTCCTGCAGTCTTTCAGATGATCCTTCACGCATTGATGCTCGCCGATTTGATAACGCTGTGTTCCTAGTATGCCTCTTCAGTACGATTCTACCTTGCCGTAATTGATTCTTACCTTCATAACCCGTGACAGGTGCAGTTTGTCTTTTGCCGTCCTCTCGTTTATGAGTGCTTCGATCGTGTCTCCTGTGCATGCCTACGTTAGTCATTTTCTCCAATCTGTTTCGATTGTTACTTACTTGCTTCGTCTCTGTCATAGAATCAATCCATCCTTTCACAACAAACAGGTTGTGGATTTGGTACCCGTTTGCCACTATATTTATTTTCCTTCTATTACTTATCGCCCCATTTTTTTTTTTTTTTTTTTGAATCTGATTAGTACGATATGTATCGTGATCCTACACGCTAGCGTATGGTGGGATTATGCTACTTGTCTATGTCTCGCCCTTTTCCTGGTTCTGCGTATCTAAGCGTCTTAACAAACAAGCTTCTCTGAGCTCAGTGCGAATTGCTTCATGACCGCCTTCCCATTTGCCTCAGCTATGGGGTGATAAGGTGGTGGTTCTATCGCCTTCTCTTCTTGTCATGCTCCTGATGGTTCCACTTCCTTGGCCGCTTTAGTCTGCTGTGTTTTCGTCTTCTACATCAACATCTGGGAAGGTTCCGAATGTGGATATCGCCCCATTTTCTACCGATGTCTGCCTCTGTCACGATGTTTGTGTCTGATGGCACCGATGGTTGTCTTCCGGCTTGACTCTCATCAGGTTTTCGTTTCTTTTGTCCATCGTATCTCCTGTCATACCTCATGTTAATCTCCTACAGTGCTATCTGATCCTTGGTTTTACCTGCTTCCCTTGACTCTATGCATATGTTGTGACATCCTTTTTCGTGTTTTTGTTGTCTCTATTACCATGCTGGGTTGCCCATGCGCTCATCCGTGTGCTTCAATTTGTTCGTTTCATGTATGTCATTATTAATTTGCTGTGTTATGTACGTTCTTTTCATTATATTTTTTTGCTTCTTTTGATTCTATGACAATCAGCATATTCTCCATGTGTGTTGCGCAGTTCCCTTCGATTCTTTTGGACATCTCGTTCGCTTGTCATCGTGGTATTTACCCCCAGGGGTGAAGGCTCAATTGACCTTCATGCCTTGATGGCTTTTTTTTGTTGATGCGTTCCATTGCCCTTCTCCCTCGACTCTCGTGATCCTCACTGGTGCAACCTTCCGTCCGCGCATATCCCGATCCCACGTCCATAGTCGATGGAAATGCATGTTATCAACTAGTGGGTATTGTATATTTCGGAAACAGTCATTTTACAGCCAGGTATGTTGATCCCGACCGTGTTGTATGGTTCAATGATGGTATGATTCAATGGAGACATGCAACACGAGAAGGTGGAATCGACATCATTGATATGCGCCTTGATCCAAACAGCAAAACTCCGGATATATTCACATACAAACGATGCACCGGGTAAGGTGATTGATCTATCTGACAAACATAGGACTCGGAATTGCCACACGTATGGGATGGCCCTCACTTGCTAGTACTAATCTGTCACGATGCAGTGCGTATAGGCTGTTCCCGACATTGCCAAAGATCATAGTTACCGGTGGCTGATCTAGCATGCTGTTCCTTGATTATGGAGCAAAAGCCATACTGATTCATGTCTGTGAACAGCCGGAAAGAGCTCATTGGCAGAAGTCATCTCCGGACTACGTTTACGTCTTGCATTCCCCCGCTACATTCTCTCATTATCATCTAGATCAATGTCCCTCATGACAGTGGGACTTGTACCAGGTGAAAGCTTCTCAAAACTTGCTATACTAGTTCGGTGCTCAGCCCTTGATACCGACAAGATTTGTTTCCTTTATTCTTGCTACTTGTCAAAATCGAGGATGGCGGGAGAATTGCTAGTACCTAGTATGGTCATGATGGTCACGGTCAGAGACGTGTTGCTGCGAATTGATCGGCGACCTGCTTGATTTGGTACTTCCATCATCAATGTCAGCTACAGCAGCAATCGTCCATTTCTTGTGACGTTATCGAGGGTCTTTCAAAGCTGGCACCGATTAAGTATCTGTTCTTTTCTTGAGGATGATAAACGTTCATTTTTGCGGTTGGCATTCGACATTTCGGAAAAATGATGCAAAACACCAGGCTATAGAGAAAGAATACCCTGAAGAGTGATATAAGTGAGCTCCCAGAATGGATTCTCTTTCATGGATCTCGGATTGTGTATTGACAATGTCCAAGATTTTCTTAGACTCAAGGGTGGCGAGCATGCTGTGAGCCACCATTGCGCCATTTTCTCGGCATTTGCTCTCAGGCTTTATCCTACAGTCGGCTTCCTACTTGTGAAGTGTTCGTAAATTCCCTATCTGTGGACTTTCAGATGCTGCCTGGGATAGCATGCATTAAGCATGTATAAAGGCGAAGAAGATACCACATTAGTGGATATGCTAGCTTGTGTGCGTGCTCGCCGTCTCTCCAATGCCTGGTTCTAACGGCTGTTTCAGAAACTAGAATGACGTCCTTCTATCTGCTTACTATGATATCGCAATTGATAAACATCAATTCTATTCAAGGTTGCTCATCCCGGATTAAGTATCGATAACTTGCAGCGATGCGGAGTAAACGCTGTCATGGGTGCGGTATAACCGGGGACCTTTGTACGTCCTTTTTGAATGGCTCAAACACAACAACTGATTCTTCCCCTTGCCAGCCAGCCAGAGTCCCACCCCATTGCGAGAGAAGAAAAGCTATCAACATCATGTATCTGACCGCCACAGCCTAGGTCAATACATGTACAACGACGAGTGACAATAGGCCCATTTCTCACACACCATACATTCTCGGACTGAACATCTGTCTATAGACACCTGACTCATATACTACACCCTTCGATTCAGAATCCCATGAAATCTGTCTAGAATCGTCGAGATATTATTAATAACTGTGATGGGTATCTATGAACGGTCACTGGCACATATTGTGGGCTGGAACTGAAGGTATACTCAGCTACATGAGAAAGGTGTGCGTTTCGGGATTATTCTGCTTGTGACTGTTTGACCAATCCGATGCCTGTCCAGTCAGAGGCTTTTTCAGCACCTAACAGCCAATATTCCGCAAAGGGCGTGCAATCCGGATATGGCAGACTTGTTCAAATGACATACCTCGATGAGATATGTACGGCAGACCTCGGCAAGTGATTTTGTCAACAAATCGTCAATGTATTAAGCATTCATTATTTCCCCAATTCAAAGGCGATGAAGCCAATGTGGTCTCGATCCTTTCGTGTGTCGGAAATGTCCGAAACAGGTTATGGTGACGTATAAGGTACCGTAATGCTGTAATGCCACAGTGGGGTTGATACAGCCCGATAAGAAACAAGTTCCAGAATATACGAAACTGTATAAGGATTGCCATCTGATCTTATCGGCCACGATAAGATTAGTAATAAGGAAGCAACCTACCAGACCAAAGATAAGAGCCGGCTGATTATAAGGTCATGATAACGTTCCCAATAATCCAGTAAGTGAAATCAGCGTTGGAAAAATAGTAGTACCATTCTAGTCCTCTTTCTAAGCTTACAATGCTAATGCGGTTACTAACAGGTTAAGTAATCAATTGGAGCTACTAGTGAGAAAAGTTACAAGATGAGGGATCAAACCAGCGACCTTAAGAATAATACATAAGTTCATGATATTAGTACAGTTAAGCTATATTGCTATATTTCTTTATGCAACCCCAGTTTACATGACATGCTTGTGACAGGAATAAGCAACTTCATGCGCCTAACTTCCTTACCACTCCACAAGTGCGAGGCATTGAAAAAAAATTGTATTCATGTAAAGAAATATGCTACCCATATACATCGTCATTTTCTAGATCTCCTGCTTCCTCCTGGACCTGTGACACCTGCCACTGAGTATCAGCCCATGTACCTCGACGAGTGGGCCTTGTGTCATGCTGAGGCTGATTGGTTTGTGTCTGAGTTGTTCCACGGCCACGGCCACAGCTGCCCGCCTTCCCACGAGACTTAGCACCACGCCCACGGCCTTTTGCTTGAGTAACATCAGTTTCTGTACTGACTGTCAAATCAGTATCTCCGGGATTTGGAACAACATGGCCTCGTTGACTACGCCGAATTTCCGGTACCTCCTGTTCCTTGTTGGAAGGTGCTTCAAGCTGAAAATTAACCATTTTGACACCTTGAATGAGTTCTTGGACCTCTGGATCGGCAGTGACAGTCATCACAGCATCAGGAGGTGCATCATTAGCCATGGGAGTGTCTGATTCGGCATCTGATACATCAGCAAATGCTTCCTGAAGCTCGATGAACTCATTGTCATCATCACATGATGTTCCACGCTGGTTTGTACCTAGTCTCGAGGGCTTCTCATCGAAGAGAAACCTATTATATGCTGTGATGGTTTGCTTCATGTGAGATGTCGAAATCGCCTCAATGATCGTTCTCTTGTATTGGTAGTAGTCAGAAGCATAGTTGATGCCTGAGCGACCACCATGCTTATCAAAGTGTTCATCACCAGAGAGGACAAAATGAGCCTGATAGTCGCGTTAATACTGTAATTGAGATCAACTAAAAATAGACTTACAACAGTGGCAGCATATGCCATAGTCCCTGGCGAAGTTTCAGTTAATTTCCAGAGAAAAGTGTTGGTTTGCTTGCTCTTGACAGCTTTTTTCGTGGACTTCTGTTTGAGACTGGCGCCACCATAAAATATAACAAAGAGAATCTGAAATATAATATTAGTATGAGTGATATAAATTTAAATCCGAGAGAAGGGGACAATGACTGTACCTTCATCAGTGTGGTGCTTCGAAAGATAGAGCGTGGGTCACCTTTCACCCCATCTTCCCAAAGAATGGGAGGCAGTGATGAGTAGGTCTTATTTGATGGCCTATACCCGAGGAGGTCAAGGCAATGAGGATCCGTCAAAGGATCAAAATTGGTATTACTGGCGGATGGAACCAACATGCCGAATATAGTGTGGAAGGCATCGTTTTTCACGTGATTGAGGAAAGTGGATCGGCCATCAGAGGCGGATTTCAGGAACTTGAAATGAATCTCAGCAGCAATGCAGTGAAACTAAAATGAGAACATACAAGTTTCTTCGCCGGACCGTAATTCTTAGCAAAGCAGAAGTGAAAATTTTCCTTGAGTGCGGAGTAGATTTCAGCATAGAGTGCATCTTGCTCTGATTCTGCAGACGCATATCGTGCAGCGCTGAGAATGAGGCTGGCATTTGCTGATGGTCTCTCCTCGAAGATTTTGGCGTCTTCTGGCCACAAGTCGATAGTGACAATGCAGTGCTTCCCAAACTGGAGAATAGTTTTTTCTTGCTCAGCCGTTAATCCAGAATCTGAACCTCTACCCTTAGACTTGGTAGAGCTTGCGGCTGACAGTTCGAGGAGCCTCTTTGCATCGATGAGCGCATTGACTTGCAGCTGGGTGTCACAAAGAGTCTGGTTGCAAAGAGACTGTAAGCACTTAAAGGATGGTACTCTGAGAAAATGAATATTACCTTGCTCAGGTCCCAATAGCCTTCAAGGAGACGCACCACATCAAGAATGCCATTTGTGGAGAAATACTCTTGAATTTGTGTGAGATCGAGCACGGCCTGCGGCGGTTGGGAAGGGGCTGCATCTGAGGCAGACTCTGTGGGAGTTCCTTGCCTAGGAGTGACATCGTGTTGTTGTGGTTCAGTGGACATGGAGGACAATGAGAATGTATTACAAGTACTGGTGATTGAAGACTCACCTTTTAAACAGAGAACCATGGGAAGCCCTGTGAGTGTGAAGTGTCCATTAAAGAGCGTAGTAGCATCTTCTGCAGGTAAACATACTGTTACATGATTCAAATGTGAGTCAAAAATGCAGTAAATAGACCTGAAATGCACATGTGGGTTTCATGAGGCCCGACAACAGCTTGCGGAAATGAATTTAAGTGGTGGAGTAGGCGGGGCTTCAGCATACTGTATTACAAGGATGTGTAATCACAGAGACGACTTCAACGAGGTTTCAGAGAGGCGGCGATGAGGCAGGACGGTAAGGTACATCGACGAAGGGCCATGGGTTTCAGATACTCTTGAAATACCGTTTATCTGTTACTTTATACGATAAATATCCTGATCCACCCAAATATACATATTTGCTATATGTCTACTTACTACAGAATATTACGATAGCCTATGAGTCGTCGGAGTGAGTGGTTTGAGCTGTGGATGAATCTCAAACACTCATTCCGCTCCCTCGATCGCTGCGGTCCGAGCAACCGAGCAGTGATCGAGTGGCTGTGTTACTTCTTTTCTTCCCTTTAACTACCACCTCGCTGACGACTAACACCCATCCGCCTCCCCAACAGCCTTTTTGTGGGCTTGAAAAGGTATGTTCTCATATGTTTTCTTCTTCTTCTTCTTTTTAGGGTCGATTTATGCACCCGGCAGCCCCAACAGCCACACAGAGTGACCGTTCCACCCTCCCCACCCCCCGCGCATAAGCCCTCTTGCGAGGCAGCACTAGACCTAGCTCCACACGATGGATGAAACAACCACAGCCATCGACAATGACCACGGTGCCCAACAACACCCCTAGTGCTGCAAATATGGCCCACCATCCCCATCCGACTCGGCCAGTTACCCCCACATCAACATCGGGGCCAATCGTGTCCACACACGGATGGACGACCCACCGACGAGTAAAAACGAACCTAGGAATCGAATATCGGCCATCATCTATAAGTAGGAGGGGGGGTATGAACCCAAATGGCATGATGGGAACAACGACGACGACCCGGACGATGGTGGCGACAATGGGAGGGAATGGGAGGGACCGGGAGGGATGTACAATGGTGCAGGGCCATGCTGGAGAGTAGGGGTGGGTTGTGGAGGACGTTCCAGGGCATGTGGGAGCGGGAAAGGGCAGGAGAGATTGAGCAGGATGGAAGGAGGAAAGTCGAGATGCCAACGGCCGACGACGAGGACGACTACTGTGCACCTTGGACCATCGATGGACGACTGGAGTGCGCATTGAACACGCCAAAAATCATAGCTGTACGACGATTACCACCTCCACCGTTGCCTACCGCTCCCCGCCAAACATCGGGCTCTACCACACCACCCTGCCCACCTACCAACTCCAAACTCATGCATCTCCCATTCATTGAGTGGGAGATCATGATTCCGATGTTTTTTTCTCTCCCGACCCTGTCGACACCATCTGCCTGCCCACCATCCCAACACCCGCCCTTTCTGCCTCATATCATGTTACGATTTATTCATTTCTTTCTTTTTCTTTTTCTTTTTCCTTCGTATTACTCAGCCTGATTACTCACATGCGATCATGATGGACGCATTCTCACAGTACTATTTTTAGTTTACCAACGTGTATTTAAGTAGAGCCTCAGCTGGTCTAAACCCCAGCTTCGGCTAAGGTTTAATCTACCTAACATCGAACTCCATTCTTCGTGACTATCTGTCCCATCGACTTTCATCGCCTTTGACTTGCTAGAGTATCTCCTACCGAAGTGCGAGTAGGGATCCTAGTATGATCTAAGTTGATTAGAGTTAGTGGCTAACATTTAGCCGAAGCTCATCTACCGTTGCCCAACATATTTCTGATCCACATCCTCATCGTCGTCGCACTCCTTGTGCTGCGATTCTTAACCAACGATCCTCTGGGTTTGGTCATAATAACCATACTCCGAGTCTTCCTTATCTGCGTATACATCCCATCCCCATTATTTGCAGGACTAGTCCTGTTATTCTGGGTCGGATTTTTATGCCATTTCTAGAAACCACGAACCCTTTCAAACCACTCCTTCAACTCGCAGCCTTGTTAACAGTCTTACTGTTGACACTGACGAGTACCTCCAAGGATAGCGAGATCTTGCTGATGAACGGGACCGATTACGAGACCGACCTCAGCCTCATCATCGCCATTCTTATCGTTCTTACCATCCTCGCAATCTATCAAACCGCATGGTCAGTCGTGATCATTGGGCTACGAGAAGATTAGACCCAATCACGAATGCCCTGGTCTGACTCCATTCCCGCCGTCTTCACGACTTTTATACTCTTTTTCTTGTCCATTATTTTGTACCGACTACACCGCTGTTTTCGACAACAGAGGCGAGTCCGAACCCAGCTTCCATTCCACTACGTTCCCAGCACTCCCGCATACCCCCCGCCGGTAATACACATCCCCGCCGCCTCCCAGCAGACGATAGGAGATGTCGAATCCAACAACTCCGGGGGACCTGGAGGGTCCCTCTACGGATCGTCGCGACACAGCTCGCGATCCTCAGAGTCGAGCACCGACTCCTACAGAAGCGCTACCGACAAGTCAGCTGACTCAGTCGACATCACCAATACCCGGGGCGTACTCCTCGACCGAGGAGACTCGCCCGTACCAGGTCTCTTCAACCAGTCTCCAGTCCAAGGCGAGCCAGATGCCGACTGAGGCAGAGGACAAGGCACCAGGCATCTGGACGAGGGCGAAGAAAGCCCTGACACCGAGTATGAAGGGGACGACCTCACAGAGTGGGAAAGAACACGACTCGACGACCTCTACCCGGATGAGGAGGAAGATGCAACCTATACCAGAGACAAGTACAGTGGAAGGTCAGGAACAAAGTGGACGGATGCCATCTGGAGAAGTGAAAGCAGGAGATACCGAGTCACCCAGGAAGACGACTACGACAGTGATTCCGGAGAGCTTGCCCTTGGGGCCTCCGCTGCAACTACCTCCCGTTCAGATGGAACAGGACCCGTTCTTCCTAACTGGCCGACAGACAGGGGACCCCCGATCGGCTGGCACCCCAGCACCAGCTGGGTCTACGCCGAGCCAGGGGAAGAAGCTCCTATGGCCCGAGAGTCGCCCCCGAGGGGCATCCCTATCCCTGAGCGCTCAGAGGCCTCAACGCCCACTCCCGCCGTCGCCAGGGCTGAACTGATGGATCAGCAGCTCTGGGAGGAGTTCCCAAACTACAGTCCTGAGGAGCTTGGAACAATTGCCGGGGCCGGAGACCTCGCCCCAGTCCCCTTTACTCCGTCGGTCGCGGGTCGAGCATTCGCCGACCCCGTCCCTATCCTCCAGCGTCCGTGGACGCTACTCTATCACATGCTCGTCGAGTCGCTCAACCTCCCTCGAGATGCCCGGGAGTCCCCAGAAGTCGAGGCCCGAATGGACCGAGGAAGAGCGGCAGACCTACGCACTTGACGTGCTGAGATCGCCACCCTCCTCGGGCCCAATGGCTTCTATGACCTCCCCGTCGAACCTGACGCCATCCGTGCTGAGATTGAGAATAGGCAACGAGCCGCCGCCCTTCAATACACAGGATGTGCCGAGCAAGCCAGAACAGATCTCGAGGCCCGCAGAAGAGCCTGGCAGGCCTATGAGTCGGAGATCAGCGACCCCGACTCCGATATTGGGAGGTGGAGGAGAAACCAGGAGATCGAAAGACTCGCCTGAGAGAGGAAGGAGGCCGAGGATGCCAAGTCGGCCGCCAAACAGTTCCCTCGAGGCCGAGGTAATGGGGGCGGTCCGAACGATCCTGGTCGACCGTGCGGCCCCGGTCCCAACAATCTTTAACATTTTACCCTGGCATGGACTATACGAAATTATGATGGAGGACATGGAGAAGGATTCCCAGTGGCTCCTCACCGAGGCAGGAGAAGACTATTTATACGTGAAATCCATGGGGGACGTCTACCTCATGAAGAACATCCTGGAAGTAGAGACGTGGCACAAGGCCGCTGTAGTTTGGAACCGGGTGCATCCCGACACCCAAAAACAAGGTTGCAAACCTTATCGCCGACCTCAACCAATGCCCAATCCGCTCGAAACAGAAGCATTCTGGGCAGGAGCCGGACCCGACGACGACGATATGGATGACCCAGGTGCCGGACCCTCGGACAAGGGAAAGCAGTCCACCGTCCCGCCACTACCGCCGTCTCAACCGCCACGCCGACCAGCCTATCCGGGCGACTACCCTCCGCCCGGGGATAACTATCGACTACAGTCGCTGCCACGACCACCGAACCCTCCGGTACCACCGAGGGCACCTTCGCCACCGGACCCGATACCCCTGTGGACACTAGCGGCGGGAAAGGACAACAACCCCTGGAATGACGTGAAACCCAAGCTGATCACGCAACCTGAGTACTTCACTGGGGAAGCCACGGACATTAACCGCTTCCTCCATCACTGTGAAATGTACTTCCAGGTATTTCCGCTACATTTCACCATGAACGATCAGGGTCAAAATCCCTACCGCATAACGTTCGCGCAAGGGTACCTCCAGGACAAGGCCAAGGAGTGGTGGGGCGACCAATACTATCGCTATCAGGATGATCAAGGGCATTGGAGATTCCCCACGTGGGCCGAATTCTCCAATGACCTCACGATAGAATTCCGAGAAGTAGCGGAGCTCGCAATCTGGAAGGCAGAGTGGAAGAAGATCCGACAATCGGAATTCAAGTCAGCAGTCGAGTTTTTTGCCAAATTCGAACGACTGGCCCACAAGTGCGGAGAGTTCAGCGACGAGAAGCAGATGTTCGAAGCAGTAGAAGCGGCGATTAGGCCGACGGTGCGAAAAACGGTTATGCATGGGGACAACGAGCGCCCCACAACCTATGCACAATGGAAGGCGCGAGTCTTGAGGATCGACGCCAACTACCGATACGACGTGGCCCAAGGCCTCGCCAGTAAGACCTCCCCGAACCAGGGCAGTTCGGGTCGAGGCAGCCAAAACCAGTCAAAGGGAAGCGCTCCTAGTGGCGATAAGAAGGACGCCACAGGAACAACGTATGGAGGAGCCGGGCAGCCGATGGAGATCGACAAGCTCCGGTCCGACAAGCGGTGCTTCAAGTGTGGGAATACCGGTTGGAGCCGAGACCATAAATGCCCGACGGATAAGGCAAAATGGCTCCCCGTCAAACTCCCACCTCACAAGAAAAAGCCCAACGCCGCTCGCCTCCGCCAACTACTCGCTGAAGCCGAAAAGGAAGAATTGGGAGAGGATACGAAAGTCGAGGAGGTAAAGGAAGAAAAGTCGTCAAAAGACGAGCCGGCGTCGAAGTAAGCGATTCGACGGCGTCAGCAAAGGACTTAGTTTCATCTGGTACGCACTCATGTAATTCTAGTCGGACTTATACTACGTATGTAGGTACTCCGTTTGAGCAATATACCACTCTCATCGCCGCGTTACCCGTTGAACAAACTAAGGATAAAGAATCACAAAACGCCAATGGCGTAGGAGGGGATTTCCGCCGTCCTATGCAGTCAGTGATGGACACTGAACCCCTAGGGGCTGGTCCACCTCTGACACCCCCGCCTGACCGAACGGGGAAAGTTCTGGAGCACCCAGCAAGTGCCTCAGGTCAGGACAAGATGGATGCCAGACGTGGTGGTCGTCGCCCCGGCAGGGAGAATCGGCTGACGACTCCGGTGGCAGGGCCTTCCTGTTCAAATGTAGGACAGGTTGTTCCTCCCGCCAGTGGCGGAAAAGCAGCTGAGGCCAGGACTCGAGGGGACCACCTACATTTAGTAGTGGACTCATCCGCAAACGATGCCGACCCCCTCGACGAGCCAATATGTGTGTGTCTGCCTCGAGTTTCCAAGAGTACCGCCGGCGTTAGGAATGAGGTTAAGTACGGGATCACAGTGGAGGTTACAACGCCGCGCACAAGCACCCTTGGCCAGGGCCGAACACAGGGCAGCGAGCCCTCCTCCACCAACTCGTCGGAAGGTGACCAAGTGCCACCGAGGGGCCTTTACGACCGGCCCGGTGACCAACTGCCACCTCGAGGCAAGAACCCCCCTGTTTCCTTGGAAGAAGTCGAAGATGAGGAAGCCCACCTACGGTCCGACATTCCGACTGTCGCACCCAAGGGGAAGTCTCCCGTGACCCCCGAACCATTATCAAAAGTCGAAGGGCAGCGACCCGTCGTGGACACGTATTACGAATCCTTCGGGACGCATTGGACCCGCCAAGCATTACGCCTCACCACTAATGAGTCAGCCGCTTTCGCTACCCTCAACCGATGGGTGCACCCCCGTCGCACGGGAGAAGTAACGGTGGAACTATGGGAGGCGCTCAGGGAACAGCCCGAAACTGCCGTGGAGGCCAGAAGTAAATGGGAGTGGATGGAGGATCTCACGAAGCCCCCCATGTACATACGAGGAAGAAAGGGGCGAAATGTATCGATTACTGTGCAATTGGAGACCCTAGATACCCGAGAAACGCATTCGGTAAAGGCGCTGGTGGACAGCGGAGCCACTGGCAGTTCCATGGACCGCGCCTGGGCCCAGAGTCACGCTCTTAACCTCAAAAAGGCGGCCCGACCCATTCCGGTATACAATGCCGACGGCACCCGAAACAAAGGCGGTGACATCACTGAGTATGCCGAAGTGCGGCTACGTATTGGGGATCACGTGGAACGAATCGAACTAGCCATAGTAGATCTAGGCTCCACTCCCCTCTTTCTTGGACATGACTGGCTCCAAAGGCATAACCTGTTGATTGACTGGGACACTGGGGCCGTCACTCTGGCCCGCTGCACTTGTTGAAAGATCCCTTTCTCTCTCCCTGATATGGACCCCACGTCCCGATGGGAAGAATACGAAGAAGGAGACACTATCCTAGTGATTGACTTTGAGGAGGCGTTTCATGTGCGGGCCATGGGAACTAAGGCCAATGAACTAGCCGCCCAGGCCAACGCCCGAAAGACCACTAAGTCCTTCGAAGAAATAGTGCCCAAGGAGTATAGGGAGTTCGAGGATGTATTCGCCAAGGAAAACTTTGACGAGTTGCCACCATGGAAACCCTGGGACCATGCAATCGAGCTGGTACCCAACGCTAACGCCAACCTAGACTGCAAAGTCTATCCCCTCAACCCAGCCGAACAAGAAGAGTTAGACCGGTTCTTGGACGAGAACCTTTCCACGGGCCAGATTCAAGCCTCAAAATCCCCCATGGCTTCCCCCTTTTTCTTTGTCAAGAAAAAGGACGGGAAGCTCCGTCCCGTTCAGGACTATCATAAACTTAACGAGATGACGATCAAAAATCGTTATCCGTTACCGCTCATCAGGGAGCTCATGGATCGACTGAAGAAGGCCAAGTATTTTACCAAGTTGGACGTATGGTGGGGGTACAACAATGTCAGGATAAAACAGGGAGATGAATGGAAAGCCGCGTTCAGGACCAACCGCGGCCTCTATGAACCCCTGGTGATGTTCTTCGGACTCACGAATTCCCCGGCGACGTTCCAATGGATGATGAATGACATCTTTAAGGAGCTCATAACTGCAGGAGAAGTATCGGTCTATCTCGACGATATACTCATCGCCTCTAAAACTAAGGAGGATCACCGACGCATCGTATGCAAGGTGCTCAAGATACTCCGCGACAACAAGCTATTTCTGAAGGTGGAAAAATGCGAATTCGAAGTCGAAGAGACCGAATATTTGGGCGTCCTCATTAGTGAAGGAAGGATTCATATGGACCCCGTAAAGATCGCAGGCCTCCTTGACTGGCTGATTCCGTCCAAGAAGCAAGAACTGCAGTCGTTTTTGGGTTTCTGCAATTTCTATCGACGGTTCATTCGAGACTATAGCAAGCACGTCAAACCGCTCACTACCTTGACCGGAAAGGTGGAATGGAAGTGGGGAGAAGCCCAACAGAAGGCGTTTGAGAGGCTAAAAGAGCTGTTCCATGAGGATGTGGTACTAACCATCCCGCTCGATGAAGGCAAATTCTGGGTGGAAGCCGACTCCAGTGAAGGGGCGGTCGGGGCCGTACTATCCCAATGGCAGGAGGAGAAATGGCGACCAGTCGCCTTCCTCTCCAAGTCGTTATCCATCACCGAACGCAATTACGAGATCTACGACAAAGAACTTCTGGCAATAATGATCGCGCTAGAGGAGTGGCGCCAGTACCTGATGGGCGCCCAGGAAGACTTTGAAATCTGGACGGACCATTCCAACCTCCAGTACTTCCGAAAGCCTCAGAAGCTTAACCGATGACAGGCTCGATGGGTAACGGAATTGGCAGAGTACCAATTTACCCTTCATCACAAACCCGGAGCCCAGAATCGGAAAGCGGACCTGCTATCAAGAAGGGCGGATCATGACCAGGGCAGGGATGACAATAGGGACGTAACGGTTTTGAAACCCGAACATTTCCGAGCGTTAGTAATGCCCACCGAGGAAGAGCTCCAGGAAAGGATCAAATTGGCCACTCATGATCCCCGCAAGTGGGATCGAGGCATCTCAGACTCCCTTAATCACGAAAAAGGGGTTTCCCGAGATCAAGGGTTACTATGGTACGACGGACGCGTTTATGTGCCTAGGGATAAACAGTTACGGGGTGAGATCATAGCCCTGCAGCACGATCATGTAACCGCGGGACACCCGGGGATAGAAAAGACCAAAGAGCTGGTATTGCGGGATTATTGGTGGCCTCGGATGCGCTCGGAGGTAGAGGCCTACATGAGGGGATGTGAAGTATGTCAGCGAACCAAGGCAGATCGCCGCCCGAAGAGGGCGCCCCTTCACCCTAATACGGTTCCAGACCGCCCATGGACGCATATTTCCGTCGACATGATCACCAAACTCCCGGATTCAAGGGGAAACAATTCCATCCTCATTATCGTTGATCAATTTTCTAAAACCATCATTCCCATCGCCTGCACTGAGGAGCTATCGTCACTAGGTTTCGCTAAGATTCTACGGGATTACGTCTATGTACCATACGGCGTAATGCCAGAGAAGGTTATCTCAGACAGAGGGGCCGTTTTCGTGTCCAAATTCATGAAGGAGTTTTATGCCCTTCTTCAAGTCACCAGAAACCCCTCGACAGCTTATCATCCTCAGACAGACGGACAGACCGAGAGGGTTAACCAAGAAATCGAAAAGTACCTCAAGATGTTTGTCGACTATCGCCAAGACGACTGGAGCGAATGGTTACCACTCGCTGCGTTCACCCACAACAATCGAAAGCACTCTGCCACGGGCTTTTCCCCATACAAAGTCGTCTTTGGACACGACGGGCAAGTTATCAAGGCTACCCAGCGTCGAGATGCGGTGCCAGCTGCCTCCAAATTAGTTCAAGGGATCCAAGAGGTACAGGAAAAGGCTCGGGAATCCCTGGAGCGAGCGGCCGAGTCAATGAAAAGGGCCTACGACAAGCACAAAGGAGAGGCACGAGAATATCAGATCGGGGATAAGGTTTGGCTGGATTCCACCAACCTAAATCTTCCCCGTCCGGCCAAGAAACTGGGAGATAGGTGGGTGGGACCGTTCACCATCCTAGCAAGGAAAGGAGCCTCCGCGTATGAACTGAAACTTCCAGTTCGATGGCGGATTCATAACTGATTTAATGAATCCCTGCTGACCCCATACCAAGCCCCCGAGTTCCCTAATCAGCCACATCCCGAGCGACCACCCCCGGAACTCATTGACGACGAAGAGGAATATGAGATCGAAGAAATCGTAGGAGAGAGGAATCACATCATTGGCCGGGGACGAACCCGTCGTACCATCACCGAGTATTTGGTAAAATGGAAAGGATACCCAATGGAGGAGAACTCATGGGTCAAGCGCTCAGATATGGCCAACGCCGAAGAACTCGTCAACGATTACGAGACGCGCATCCAAAAGATATCCTGGACAGTCAACGAGAAGGGAAAGGCAGTTGGAAGGGACAATAAGATACCCCTGAACCTTCCAGTCTATTATCATGAACCGGACACTCCGTGTGTCACCGACATCGTAACCGTTCCGTCCTCCCAATGTTCGGCTTCGAGACACTCTGAAGAGCTCAACGTTGTGGGGGAAATAGATGGATCGGACGCTGGCCGAAGCGTAGGAGTGATATCCGTCACCTCGTCCAACCAAAAGCTTATAGTCGACATCTCCGAGGCCATGGACCACGCCCTTTTGGAAAAAAACAGAAAGTATATCAACAATCACCCTAGTGAGACAGGTCCCATTGAACCATACCCTTGACGACGTGAAGAACATAAACTCTACGATCCTCGGGTGTGGGATTCCTATTTGAAGAGGCGAAAACTCGAGATCGAAGCTTCGCGCCGGGAAGATCGACCATACAAAAATCCCCCAGTGCTGCTCGATCCTCCATCCGACAATGAAAGTGATGTCAAACTCCTCCAAAAAGTCATGGAGAACTGGGATGATGATGAACGCATCTCCGACGTTGAATTATACGAAACCGATGGGGAGGAGTCTATAAGCTCATTTGGGACGAATGAGTCTTAAGGAGGGGGTAATGTTACGATTTATTCATTTCTTTCTTTTTCTTTTTCTTTTTCCTTCGTATTACTCAGCCTGATTACTCGCATGCGATCATGACAGATGCATTCTCACAGTACTATTTTTAGTTTACCAACGTGTATTTAAGTAGAGCCTCAGCTGGTCTAAACCCCAGCTTCGGCTAAGGTTTAATCTACCTAACATCGAACTCCGTTCTTCGTGACTATCTGTCCCATTGACTTTCATCGCCTTTGACTTGCTAGAGTATCTCCTACCAAAGTGCGAGTAGGGATCCTAGTATGATCTAAGTCGATTAGAGTTAGTGGCTAACATATCGCCCCCCACAGCCCTCCACATGGGGCAACGGCCTCACCACTCCCATTTTCAACAATGGGAAATGCAGTGGTGAAGTCATTTCTGTTCCATTCCCCCCCCCATCATCGTCGAACAGCCGTCGATCCTGCCCTGCCAACTTTTTTGCCCCCCACAAGTGGTATATCACTCTCCATCCCTACGAAATGTCATATTTTGTTGGCAGGGGTACTGATACCACTAACGGCTCGATGCCCAACCCTGCTCTCGACGCCTACACCCTGCTGTGCCCAGCATGGCGAGGGGTATTATTTTTTTTGCCTTTTCTTGTTCCCGTGGGCACATATATAGAGTTTAATTTATTAATACAATAATGGTACTATAGTCTAGTTGGTAGAATGCCTTGTGTGTGTTTGTAACTTTGCTGTTGCTTGTGTTTAATCCTGGTTTGCTGTAATATTTTTATTTCCTTTACGCTAATTTATTCACTAGTAAACAAAGATAATCCGAATCAGATCATACAGTGAACAAGAATTTTTGATACATTAGTCTACAGCTGTATCTGTAATGATAGGGTGCACATCCATGATGTCCTTGACCTAAGGATCTGATATAGAGATGTGCACTGTATCTGTACTACAGTGGGTACATACGGTGAATATGGATATGGGCCCATACCATGGCTACTTTTGATGACCTAAAATATGGCCGTATTCATACAATTAAAATACAGTCATTGGGAAAGTGGCCAGAGATAGTCTAATACAATTGAGGTAAGTACGGATGATCTTAATAAAGCATATAACACTCACATCTTGACTCTAGATATTTGTCATCACTGTAAAACTGTCTGTATATGGACAGCAGTACAGATACAGTACAGATTTGAAGTCAACTGTACCATACCATGAACAAGAGTTTTGATATAGTCTATAGCCATGTTGTCTGTATCCATAATGGTACGATGCACATCCCTAATCTGATATACTAACACTGATAGGACTTTTAAACTGGCCATATGGTACAGTATATGGATAGTTTCATAACCATCTGAGACCATGATTTTATACCTATATATTGTATATTGTACAGTGTGCAGCCCTATCAATTATGATCTCCGATTGGCTGAAACCCGGAATTTATGTCGAAGCTGAGATTCAATTTTTTTGAGTCAGAGAAACATGTCAGTATCAATGATATCCACAATGAAGTAATCCTGGCCATTATTAAGATCTGAGTCTGCATCTTTTACCAGGAGTGCATCATGAACAATAGAATATATAGAAACAAAGGCTGAATGAATTCGTGGGCATGCACGAACTCGATAAAATCCTAAATCTTTATCTCTTTGATGCTTCCAACGTAGATGGCCATCAGTTACAGGAGCATCATAGGGATGAACTAATGCCAATGGATATTTCTGTTCATTAAATTCACACTCAAAGAGTTGAATTAATTCTGCCACATACAACCCATCAGTAGTATTGACAATAACACCATCATAACGTGGATGATTGTAGAACATTGGACTACATCGTAGTAGGTCTGAATTCTGCTTTAGATTTATGTATGACTGATAATTGACAGAAAGAGTTTGATAAGTTGTTATCTATATAATTTCAATCTCAGTAAAAGCAATATTTGTTTAAATCAATAATACTAGCCTTGTCATTAGGAGAATAATGAATTTTTTTTCCTTTTGCAATACATCCTTCTGATACTCGATTCAGAAATCCTGTCATGAAACCTCCAAGACGAATTTGAAACCGATCATAAGCTAAATCATGAGAAAATGCATTCTCTAGCTCAGAAAATGTGCTAGGATCTTTTGATGTCTTTTTAGGACTATGTAGATATGCTTTCTTTAAAAGACCATCAGATACATGAGTTTCAATAGTGAAATGTTTTTCTTCAGGTAGATCATCATCTGCATTGAGCAAATCAGATTTGTACTTTGTATGCTTTTTCCATTGATCCACCTTTTGCTGAATCTGCATAGCAACATTGTACCAATGGTCAGTTTGAAGAATCTAAAAGTATATTAAATTAAATCATATATCTTAAAAGAATAAAGTCTTACTTGATCAGCAACATTCTTAAAGTTTGTTCATGTTTGATATGCCTTTTTAAGTGGTCCATGCATACTTTCGTTAATCTTGGTGTTATAATTTTTGTTACACCTTTTCCTTGAATATCACTGAATAGATGTTGCTGTGTATGCATTTTTGGAATATCCCAATGTGTTGGATTTTGAAAATCACTGTCCTGAGTAGCTGTTATATACTCCTAAACATTTATTAGTATAAAGAGCTATTGATCAGTTTTATTAATATACCTTCATTCTCTCCCCAAAAACTTGCATTATTGATTGTCCAGCCTTTATTGTATCTTCAGTATGCACATCCATTGCTGCATACACATCCAATTCTAAATGACTTCGAATACATTTAAGAAGCAAATAACCAGCAGGATCCGCAGCCTTTGTTAAAACTGCTTGAGCAGCAAAAAGGATTTGCTAAATGTATTATAAATAATGAACTTAAATTATAATAATACACACTTACTCGTGACATATGTTCATATTTCTTTTCATCAGCAAAGTCAAAAGAAAAAACGGATGTGAAATGGGTAAGATTCCTCTATCGTGGAAATGATTTAATCCTAATCAAAAAGATTTAGTTATAAGTAATTACTTTTAATATTTTACATACACTTCATCAATTTTAACTTTAGCATCTCGGCCCTTGAATCTATCTACATGCTCAATGAGCCGTGACAGCAGATGATCAAATAATCCAATTTGGAAAGCATGTAGTCTGTCCCAAGATACAGCACGATAGGGATTAGATCGTTCTATTTCCCAAAAGATGTTCTGAACAAATTGTCAATAGCTTTTCTTGTATTTAAATTTTTTACTTACAGGTACTTTATGGAGACCATGTAATTTCAAAAGTTCTTCTGCTTGATCTGCATTAAGCAAACAAGCTCTATCATATATCTCTTTCATAGACTCAGTTGTCCATAATGGATATGTTATTGAAAGATCTGATAGATTTGTCAATGGTATCAAGCAGACTGGACAGGGATAATTTGCTCTGCCACCTCTGGTCAATGTCATCATACAACTATAGCAATATCAGCTTGCATATATTATAAAAATATGAAATATACTGACTGTTCCTCATAATCAGCAGAGAGAATGAGAATAAAAGGATATAAGATTATAACTTTGTCTGAATTTGGTGGTTGAAAGGCATAACCACTGCGAGAATATTGTGCAAGAGATCCTAGAATTTTCCGAAAAGCTTCATGCCAGACAACTCGCTTGAAATTGATCCATGATGGCTTTCCTTTATGATCTTCTTCTTCTTCAACCTGTAAAAATCAAGATTCATAAAAAAAAGTTGAAAAGCAAAAATATCCAACTCACAATTGGAAGCCATCCAACCACACAATCTCCACCAAAATTCTTCCCATTTTGGATTTGATCAGGAAGATTAGCACAGCATGCCATAACTGGATAGCCTTTGGCAGTACCAAATGAAGATAAACATGATTTATCAGCATACAAAATATATGCTAAAGGTTTTCCATTAGGAGGAAGAGAACTCTATAGCTAAATTTAAGTATATTAGTTAGATTGGCAATAATATCTGCTTACTTGAACTTCCCAAAATATATTTCCTGACCATGGTTCATTAAAAAACCGTGTTCGAATGCCATTTTTATCTTCCCAAAATAAATAAATTGCATCCCATACAAAATGTGATGCAAGATCTTTATCCCATAACAAATCAAGTGTCCAATCCCATAATGGTCGGTAGTGGACATCATAATTTTGAACTTCATTTTTATATGGAACTGATATTGTTTCCTTTTTGAACTATTGAAAACATAGTAATATTTGAGTATAAGTATATTAATAAAGATATGAATTTACCTTGGTAAACAAATTCTCTGCCCATGACCATGCTTCTGCAAGATCATTCTCATTTCGGATAGTGTATTCTGTTGATTGACTGCCTCCACATCGGTCAATGATGCTGAAAAAATCACTGCATGCTTGGTGATTCATGCCTGTACACAAAATGAATTCTGCTAAATCAAAATCCAACTGAGATGAAAATGGATGCCAAGGGTGGCTATCAAAAAGTGAACTCTGCTTGCTTGTGCTGTCAGCTAAAAAATCTCTGAGAGGCAAGATCTGAGGATCTAAAATAGCAGAAGGATGATATTCCTTGACAATCTTCTCATCAATCAGATTGACATGATCAATGGAATTGAGAATCAAGCAAGCTGCATTGGAAGTATCGTTATCTTCTGGAGTAACTTGATCATCAACTGATGAGGACTCTGGAGATGTTTCATTGACACCTGAAGATTTTGTTTAGATATTATATCTGATATCAAAATAATAACAACATACATTCAAGTTCTGTGCTATGATAATCCAAAGTTGCAGATCCTATAATGTTTATTGGTGTGAATGAGTTTGCTGTAGCTTTATAAAGAATAAATTCAGAATACTAAAATAATTGTAGACAAGCAACTTGTATATCATACCTCTTGTCTGCTGGTCCAAATCATTGTGGAATTGGGAATCCAACAACTGCTGGTCTGACTTCTGCTTGCAAGCTCGCTTGTGATTTCCAATTCCCTGAATGCTAAAGAAGCAGCTGCAGTAAGGACACCTCTCTCGACGCTGAGGTAGAATATTTGAGGACATGTTGAGGTTGCAGAAGAATGATGGGGGAAAGATGGACTGAAGAAGCCTTACCGTGTACATGCATACATATAATCATTCACCTAATCTCGGAGAAATCCTAGATCTCATATCAAAACGCATGTTCCAACATCATGATCCGCAAGATTAAATCAGTATCCCATGGATTTCATTAATAGTGCCACGAAAATCAAGTAAAGTAGCCCAATAATCTCAAAATTCAAAAAGAGTTGAAATCTGATGAAATAACATAGTTGGCTTGAATTCCCTGCCTCCAATTTGCTTTCTGATCCCTGGATCATATACATACAAGCAAGATGAACGTGTTTCCGTCGTTCTCTGATGCCATCGTATTTATTCCTGGCCAACCAATGCCGTCATTTGATTGGAATCAGCGTGAGACTCACAAGGAGCCAAAAACATCGATGCTGGACCAGGACCGAGGAACTATCCATATCATATGTGAAGAGGGTGAGTGTCTTACATCTATCCTTCTATTGATGCACTTTTCTCGTGTGTACTTGCTTCTATGGCACTTCCAGCTAATACGACGCATATAATGACATTATATTAAGGGGGTTACTACGGATACGGTAACCCGGACCTGACATGCCGCATATCCTGCCGAGCCGTCGCTTATCCGGTCATTATATTGCCAGCTTCCTTATAAGGGTTTTAGGAAGTTTCCGACAATTGAGTAACCAAGTTTGACCCCGTCCCATCATTTCACTAAATAATACACGTAGATCGACTTCAATTGGGACGACGGTGATTACCGCCCTTCATCTGTTCAGGGATACCTTAGCCCTGTCGAAATTGTACGATCTGGTTGGCTTACCCTTGCTGAGCATCAGTACAATTTGACAGTGCACATGGGACATATCGGTCTGTAATCGCCATGATAAGCACCTAAGATCAATTGGGACAACATCTGGAGCATTCCCTTGACTACATTTGGTGTTCAGTTTGCTCGTGCAAACCGAGAGTCCACCGAATATGGACCACTGCTCACGAAGAGGAAATTACTGCATGCGGTTCCATCCAGGCTTATTCAGTGTCTTGGTTATTCAATAATTCTGCTTTACTGCCTTTTAATTTCAGTTTCCTGTGCTACTTCATATTTTTGGAGTTAGTGGCTCCGATGTCCTAGGACATCGATTTCAAAATGGCCGGCAAAATCTCCAGGGGCAGGTACTTGCCATCATCATTCTAATGTTACCTAGGCACACCTTATTTATTATTCTTAGACCATCCCTTGGCACTAACAGTAGTTTCGACTATGACTAGGTCGTGGACCTTCAGATGCGCTTGATCAACCAGAACAGTGGGTTCTCATATGGCATCCGCATATTAATTAACATTGTACATCAGCACCCACCGTTCTTTTCTTCGGCAATGGTTTCCCAGAGTAAGCTTGGCTATTTAATTCGTGCCATTGATTCTAACGTTTTTTCAAAATGCTTGGTATCGATCAGCGGTAAGTGTACCCATTTAGCAGCAGAACCGCCCAAATCTTGGTTAGCAAAACTGTCTAACTATATCTGGATTCTTTCACTCTTCTGTGAAACGGACCCATTAAGCCGGCAATCAAAGCAAACTGTTTCCCCGTTGAGTGGGACCCCGATTGATGTCCAGATCGCCCGTTCCCGGCTGTCTCGCACTATTTTCTACCAGTCCTTCACTTAGGTCAGCGGTGTTTTGAGGCCGGAAGCGACTTGGTTGTTCATGACGAATTGTATAGTGACCTCTAGACCGGCAAGTCTATCGCGGGGAACTCAGTTCCTGCCAATGGCGACCGCGGCAGTGAAAAGCATTGGAGATCGTGGATGACCAATATGGCGTCGTGACCGTGTTGCATTGAATTGGGATTCTTAATATGATGAAACGTAGTCTTGGTGGTGCGCTGAATGCTTCTTTTGACTTACACTATTTGATCGCCTTACAGGTGTTGTCGACTCTCGGCTCAAGACTTACGAAACCTCAGTTGTGTCTTTACACATTAACGCTCATCTTGCGGTAGTGCTGTATGATTTTTCCAACAAAAAGGCAAATGTAATCAATGCCTCGTATTCGATTCTCTGCACAAAATTAACATACAATTAAGAATGGTTGTAGTACAATGAAATTGTGTCCTGGATGCCCCTTGGAGCTGTCGGGCTCGCATGGCCCTCGAACACGAAGGACCTCTCAGGTGTTTGGAATGTTCAATTGTCCAGGCAACTCCACCACGCACTCGATGCTTAATTCAAGTTACGAGTACTGCTACTCGAGAACTTCATCACGCATGCGATTGCTTGGCATAGATGAAGTGGCGCAGAGTTAATATTTAGCTCTATTCTCAACCACGTCGGTCTCGTCTTTCCGTCGTGTCCGGAACAATCTTGTGGATTGGGGGTGTCTGGAATTCCGGATCCAACTATATAAACCATGGTAAAGGGATTGAAGTTTTCTCATCGAACGAACTCTCCCTCTCTTTCGATATATCAAACGCCATGTACTTCTCTCTTGCTTTTATCCTTTCTGGTTTCGTGCTCATCAGCCCTGTCTTGTCCGGTATGCGTTCTATATTGATATAACCATTGTGCTAACACTGCTGTAGAAGAAGTTTGCCCTGGGCAGGTCACCCTCAGCGAGTCTTATATTGGCGCAGACAAGAACGTCAAGGTCGAGACTGTGTCATGCCCTGAGGGGACTCTCACCAGGCGTGGCGACGTGGTACCCCGCCAAGCTCCTGTCACGAATGTTTGTGGAGCGCAATGTAAGTCTATCTGCATATTCTGTATGTGGAAATTTTGGTTGATGTAGACGACTAGGCAACACATTATGTTTCACTCCCAGTGGTGGTGGACCGAATCCTAACGAGTGCCATGTAATTGCTGATGCACTGCGCTACGAGGGTCGAAACATTGGTGCGTTTCTCCTTGAATTAAGGAATTCCTCCGAGTTCACAGTCAAATAGGGAACCTCTTCAATATAAACAACGGCGTACGCTCTGATTCAATTCTTGATCATTGCTGTCCAGAATCTGAACATATTTCCAGACTACTGGCAACGTTGTCGTCATGACCTATAGCAGTTGCCTATCCTTCTTTGCCAATAAAATCAACGGAGTTATGCAATACTGTCGTAATGATTGGGTATGATGACGGATCTTTGTTTGCTGTGATCCGTTAACTCACTGCTTTCTTTCTCCGCTATAGGCATCTGCCATTGACTGGGTTGCTCCGAACTGCCAGTCTACCCAGAATGCGCATGGTGGAGACTGTCTCGCTAGCGATGGAAGGTGGTTTATCCAGTGAGTTATTCCATGGCTACTATAGCAGACGTATTCTTCAATCGAGTACGAATTTTACTACAGGGTCCAGCATTCTTAAAACAGTCGGCCATCTGACCGTTTAGGATGAAAGTAACAATACAAGGACAGTCAGTTCCCTTCATTAAACGAAAAAATTGCAGGTACTTGGACATATGTAGTACCACTTCGTCTCTCCCGTTACCAATTAACAATCGATGTGTTTAAACTACGTTTCTTATCCTTGCTTTTCCCCGGAACTATCAGGCTGTTAGCAGCAATTTCTCGCACTCTTTGACGAGCTTGACTAGCTAATATGGGTGGGTAGCTAGGGGACTGCGCTGATTAAACCTAGTATCGGGCATCAGCGTCACCCTAGAAGAGAGAAGTTATAACACCCACAGACCCTATCCTAATCTGCCACGTGTTGAGAGAGAGGTTAGCGCGAGCGACGAGTCAAAGAAAAAGAAGAGGACTTCCTGAAAGCGCATTATGTGGGATAGAAGCACATGCAAACAGAGCTTCACTATCTGAAAATACGTCAACGATGTATGAGTCGGATGGAAACAGGGATACGAGAAAAGGCGGATTCGAAATTCTCAGTGCTAGACAGCCCAGAGTAAGAGGAGACATTGTATTGCCTGTTGCTTTGAAGTCATTCATATGACATCCCTTCCGACTATTCTTGTTTTCTTTCTGGCTTGCTAGCTGGCTAAAATGCAAAACATTGCAATGAGAAAAAAAGGTGGAAAACTGTTTGTCTGCGAGTTAGATGCTGCATTGTGTTTCTTGTGGCCCCACATACACAAGAAAGCGCTTCTCGCCTTCCTTCCACCACATCAACAGCCAGGTTTGAGCAGGCGGGGTAGTCAGGGAATGCGGTAAGCCTTCACCTGATCGATGTCGTTTCAACGATGCAGGCTCTGCGGTAAGGACGAGGATCCTCACATCCGATAGTATATGTCTTTCCAGTAAGCATTCCCTAGTCATTCTAAGAGTACGAAGGAACCCACTTTAATTCTTCCTCAGCGCAGCGCATGAAGGTAAATGTTTTTAGGGCATGGAGAATCCTTGCACGTATGAGATATCGGTTCGTCCTCTTTGTTGGAAAAATACGAACCCAGATTCGCATCACGCAACAGCAAAATGACGTCGAATAAACTTCGGAACGCATACGAGGAGCGTATAAGAGAGTCCCAATGAGGTCCATTACTGCCATTTCAGTGGGAGCTAGGAGGTCAAGGAGTTCAGCGTACAATGCGCCGTCGTCCTCCGCAACAGTTACAAAATGAGTTTGAAAAAATTGTTCTGCCCAATTCCAAAGATCCGGCCACATAGACGTGAGAGTAATAGATTTTCTGTGATAGCGCAGTGCATCGTGTTCCAACGCGGTATTCAAGGTTGTCAGACTGCGTTGAATTGTTTTGATCTCGTCTTTGCGTGGAGATATACGGGGGTCCAAGTATGTTGTAGGCAAGGGAGCTGAATGAAGGTTACAACGAACTCCTTTATGATATCTGCGAAGACCAGTTAGGTCTGATATTGGGTTGACAGTGCGGCGAGACTGTCCAACGACTCTTATGCCGCTATATTCTACAGTCGTAATGAGCTTTCCGCTAAAGTAGTTGAAGGATGTAAAAATTTCCTACCCTTTCTTTCAGCATTGAAAAAGTGAAATATCTGACAGTGATAGCCGCGATCTCTGTGATGGAGCAGTTCGTTGGTTGTACTTTGTCGACTTGCTGTGGCCGGCCCGGAATCAATTTTGGTCCATCGATGCCGCGGCATTGCGGCATTGCTTCAACAGCACAATCATCACCGAACGTAGCATCAAGACAACATAGCCTCAATCCTGTTCTTGCTTATAAGGCAGCCATATCCGTTGCGATCTTGAGTCTCCGACATCGCCACAGCATCTCTCTACCGTCGTGTAACGTGCTTGACCACGAGCATATCATGTTTTCCTCACTTCCTGTCGAATTGTTATGCAAAATCGCCTCTCTGGTATGTACAACAGCATTTGGGGAACACCATGCAGGAAGGAACCCACTCATCCATTGTTTGTTCTAGCTCAGCCTTGAAGATGGAAAGAATCTGCGGTTGACTTCCAAGAAACTCTGCGGTCTGGCCACTCCTCTAGTTTTTCAGGCGGTCTCTCTCTCTCTTAATGAAGAACGTCGTTACCAGGAATGCATGTCATTTCTTGAGGCACTGGCCTCGCGAGTTTACTTGGCTCGACACATACAAACTCTTTATATCCATGGGTCGTTCGACCCACCTTACGGAAAAGGTGGATTTTGGTATGAAATAACGAACGGAAGGCAGCGCGCTATTCGTTTAATTGAGAAACGCCTTCTTGGGGGTATACCGTCTCTTGTTTCCTTGCGATCTTTGTAGTAAGCACCGTTACCCGTGCACTCTACATACTCGCACTCATCTTCGAATCCGTAGTTTCTCTGGCTTTCATCCGGGAGAGCTGGGTCTGGATTCAGTAAATGCCATAATGTTCGCTCTCAGCAATCTTCCACTTCTTTCTCTTCTCAACATTGGTCTTCATCATGGTCAAGCATCATATCTTGACTTCCATGACCTTGATAACATCAGTTTTAACGGAAAACACGGACTGGACATCATCCCTACTCTTGTAGCCCGCAGTCCAAATCTAACACGACTACGTCTGTCATCCCCTCATCAAACGAGAGCTGTACCTGAAGCCGCCTTGGGCATCTTTTCTGGCCTTCGTAAGGGAAAGCTCAGCCGCGTAAAGCAGCTAACCTTGGAGGGCGCTCTCATATTGCCCACACATGACGTTCCAATAATTGTACCGCACCTTCGCCATTTGACTTCCCTCCGGATCCACATCACCGACGTTGCTGAAGAATTTTGGTCCGCTCTACGGATTGAGATGATCCATCTAGAAGACGTATCTGTGGACATTGTGAATGACGCCCTTCTGGAGTACCTTGGGTCGTACTCTGGCTCCAGAACCATGATGCTTATCACGGAGCAAGAGCTCGATCATGGTTCCCCCGAGTTCTGGCGCAATATCCTTCCCAAACATGCTGATACCCTTGTGGAACTGTATGTTCAACCCGAATACGCCGGTAGATGGTGTCTTGATACTAGATCACTTGATGCTATAAGACAGTGCAAACGTCTTGAGATTCTTCGAGTGAAAGTGGACCAGGAGAAACTGGATGTGAGCGATAAAACCAATATAATAGTGAGTCCCTATGTGCGGCTACACGTTTGACTACTAACCTTCACTTTTCAGACTCGAATTCTAGAAGGCCTTCATGAATGGCCTTGTCTCACCAATCTCGAGCTTATTTCCATTCAGACGCCCGTCCTTTCTCGTTTACGAAGTAACGATGAATCTCATGCAATTCGGAAGATTCTCGTTGCATTTCGCTGTACCAATCCCACGGACGGTGCTCTTCGTCTGAAAGTGTCCATCAGCTATGCTGATTATCGTCTAGCGAGGCGAAAGCTAGGACCTGGGGTATATTCATTCAAGGAGGTTGATAGATGGTTCGACTTCGGGCCTCCTCCCGATGAGGAAGAATGAACTACCCCTTGACCATAGACCGATTATGCCTATTTATGCGGGTGGTAGTTGTTAACCATGCCATCATGTACGGAGACTCTGGATAGAAGACATTGCTGCGGTAGGGTTACATAGAAAGCCATGAGCATCTCATTCTTGTAGAATCGAGCGAAGAGACTCAATAAATTTTATCTTAGACGCTCTGGTCTGTCGTTCGAATAGATAGAAGTTGTGATATTGAACGGATAACCGTTTCTACTTCCGTTTGGACCCATCGGGGCCCATAAGCGTGATATCAAGGGCCATGAAAACGAATCACATTTGTTTTTGATTCCGGCACTCCCACAAGAAGGTGTAGGTGCTCTGTAGTATACCTTGCTTTCACATTCTCTTGGAGACCTCAGCCGAAAGCTAACGAGTCGCAGGGCTACACAGGAATTATACTAGACGCGAGTTTTTTCGGTAATTAATAAAGATTTGCTTCAAAGTCGCCAGTACGGCAGAGTCCGCCGTGAAGGAAGCCAAATAATAGGCAAAATGCTGGTTGGATTAGTGAGAAGAAACGCAAGACCAAACAAACGTGTAGGAAAGCTGAGGATCCGAGGAGTCTGGAAAGGTATGAATGTCCCGACGGACAACGTTCTCACCCGTCTTTACGACATTGAAGGAGGTTACATCTCAGTCCTTCACGGCGAAATTCACAGGGGATAGTAAAGATAGCTATAGCATTGAATAGCAAAACACGATAGACATGTATATGTATGAGATCTGTCTAAGCGTCAGACAAGATAAAAAAGAGAAAGCATGAGAACGCACAGATTATTCGATTACAGCCCCATAAGGACGGTTGAAGTAGAGTAGCGAACTAGAGGAGATCAGCGAAATGCGTCAAGGAAGGAAAAGCGACTCACGCATTGCTAGAACTGCCCGGTTCCAACCATGTCTATAACCAGTCTCCAGGGAAGGCGCGTGGCCTTCTTTGAGATAACAAAAGGCGGCTGGTTGAAAATGGTGTTGAGGGAGCTGGCGTGCATACCAGCGTTGGGTTTCCTTGTTCCCTTTGTGAGGGCTTTTTTTGCATCACAGCTATTGAAGAGATGAGAATACGAATGTATGAAGAAGGCACCGCTGCTTACTGATCTTCTACCTCAGGCTAGAGACTTGGCTTTCCACGGTCTCTGCTTCGTGCGCAGATATTTCGGCTTTGGTTTCTCGTTTCGGTACAGGTTCTGGAAGGCGCGGTGAAGGGCGAGAATCAGCTGTAAGGTAGAGATCGCTGTCAAAAGGCAAGTAGTCATGTAGTTTGCAGATTGCAATGGTAGTGGTAGGTAAATGAAAGGCAACTGACTGCCTCGTTGGAAGTCCCAATTTTCGGTCTGCTAAGGACATCGATGCGAAACTTGTGCCAGAAAACACGTACATAGATTCCGAGTCCTGTGTATACATTCGGTCCATGCTAATCTGAGCCCTTTGGCGGCGGTGCATAATGGTGATAGCCCGTGCCGTAGATGCCGTGAATCATCCACGCGATATTGTCACACGTTACACTTGTTACGCGTTTTTCTGCCTGCCCTTCTTTTCTAGTCTGCGAAATGCTTCTACTTCTTCTCACTATATCTCGTCTTACTCCTGGTATTTCATAGATTCACTCTGGAGACCTCGGAACTGTTCCTATGATGTCGAGCATTGAGTATTGAGCTCAACGGCTGGTCTCAGGGTATCAAAGGTAAGCAAATATTTTGGCTTTGTGAGCGGCTAGTCAACGATTCTTTTCTAGGTCTAATACCGTGATTGTACGCTTGGCTTACAGTTATCTGCTTCGGCAAGGTGGGATGCCCTCTGTTATTCAGTTCAAGTCAATCCTAATTTTTTATCTCAGGATCCATACTCGAATATGGCTGTGGTTATGGACAAGCTCTCCAAGGATTGAATCGTGATGGAAATACAGGTTCTGGGTATGTGTCCTCGCTCCTTTCCTTTGCGCTCGCTAATAGCATATCTGTCTACACTAGTGCTTCACTTCTGTCATGCGCAGAGCATAGAGAACAACGGCTCCATCGCACGAGACCACCTCGCCTCTGAGCGGACCTTCCTCGCATACGTCCGGACCTCCCTCATCCTCGCCTCCACCGGCGTCGCTCTCGTCCAGTTATTCTCTATCTCTTCCAGCACCAGCACCGCCTCCAACGTCACCACCTTCTCGCCTAGCGGGGAAGCGCAGGGCTTCGCCCGCCCGCTGGGAGCCACGGTCGTCATACTCTCGCTGGGGATCCTGTGCGTGGGGATGACAAGGTACTTTTCGATACAGGGTGCTTTTCCGAGGGGGGATTATCCGGTTGCGCGGGTGGTTATTGCGGTTATTACTGCACTCATCGCGTTGGTGTTTGCGTTCGTGCTGGCGTCGAGAAGGTAGACCGCCGACCAAACGTTCTCCTTTCCCATTCGACATCTACCTTCCTGTCAAAACCTGACGCCCTACTCTTCATTGCACTTCGTCACCCGGCGCCATTGCACCCTATGCAGGTTCCGCAAGACCATGCATTCGCGCATCCTCCGCCCACCAATATCTCATCTCATCCACACCCCTCTACCTAAACCCTGGCATACATTCCGAGACCCTTGTTCCACCGTTTTCGCTATATATTCCTCTCCCATCTCTATCGCTTGCTCTCCTCGTCCACTTGATATCAAAATATCGTTTTATATTGTCAGATGTATAGGGAAAAAAAAGGTCTACATATTCTGCCTTTATGCATAATCACCCCTTGCTCATGCACTCCTCACTCCTCACCTAGAGCCATCAATGCATCAAGCTTCAGAGATAAGCACAACGCTCCAGGCCATCAACTCCCGTCCTTTCTGGACTCTGGAGGTACTGTCCGAGTCCGTCATGGGACACGCATTTACCGGAGATATACTCATTGAAGAGCGACAGACGGGGGCTAATGTCGCCGTTGGGGAACGGAGAACGGGGACCTCCCATTCAGAACTCGTAAGCTAACAGACGCCATGATTGATATTGAGATTCCCGTATCAGTTCTCAGGCGCATGATCTCAAAAAGGGCACAGATGGGGTCGGCACTCGGATTCAGATATCGGACCGGGATTACTCACGTGCTCGACGCGTCTTAGTCTTTGACCGCTCACCGCGACTACGGTGAACATTGAAGGATATCGATGTGAAGTTCTGTGTTCTCTCAAACAGGGTGGCTTCGCTGAGAGAAAAGGAGACAAATCATTGACTATTGACTACTGCTCAAGCGCGCAGTGATGGGACCGATATCGACCGCTTGAAGGTTTCTTATGACAGGAATAGCGATGGATCGTACCGCTTCTTCAGGCAAAATAGGCGCCGCATCGTGATGCAATCGCACGGGGTATAAGTATTAAGAACGCCTCAGCTGGCTCCCATGCCGAGAAGTGATGGAGCTGTATCGCGCTAAGGCTTGTATTCGTCATCTCTGTCCGATATATGCTTGCATACCCATAGTGCTGTTGCCCAGGATCATGGTCAATCCGGCATGTCGTTTCTTGAATATCAATACGAAAATCGTATTGATACAGCCGGAAACACGTCTCAACTCTCTTCCTCCCAACTGCCAATGTCGGTCATTGCGAGACGTCTCATGCAACATGCGCCAGGGCACCACCAATAGGATCGTTCCCCCTCGAAGATGCCGAGAAGTAACGGAGTTCTATCACGGGTTCACATCCACTAAGTACCCTCGTTCCAGCATATGTTTACGTACCCGTTTACCATGTAGTGTGGATAGGCTGTTCCCAGCGCTACCAAGGATTCGGTTAACCTAGCATGTCTTTTATTGAATATCAATATGCAAGTCATATTGATAACCCTCTGATTAGCCGGGAAACACGTAGCCGGATCCTTGATTGCGATTTACTCATCGTGAAGTTCTGTGTTCTCTCAGATCCAGGGTGGCTTCGCTGGGAAGATAAGGTTCAATCACTGTCAAAGGATTGACTACTGCTCAAGCGCCCAGTGATCTGATTTTCAATCATGGGACTGATGTCGACCACTGTAAGGCTCTTTGTGGCAGGAATTGGGAGGGTTCCGAACGCGAAATAGGCACCGTGTCGTGATATATTCGCATGGGGATATAAAAAACGTCGAGCAGATTCCCTGACTCGAAGATGCCGAGAATTGATAGAGCTGTATCGCGCTAAGGTATGCATTCACTACTCTTTCCAAGATATGCTTACATATCCATCTGTTATGTAGCGCTGTGTTGCCCAAGATTATAGTCCTCGGCGGTCAATCTAGCATGCCGTTCTTGAGCCGGAAAATACAGGGAATAGAATGTACCCTCCCTGGATCCTTGATCGTGACTGCTCCTGGGATCGGCGTCATGGCTTCTGCGTTCTCCCCGACTCAGGGTAGCTTTGCTGGGAGAAAGTGATAGATACGGAGATAAGGTTTCAATCAAAGGATTGGCTGATCGAGACATTGCTCAGGGCGCCCAGTGGGTTCTGATGACTCCCAACGGCCGGACAGGTCCTAACCTCTGGATGGTGCTTGAAAGGATGATAAGTACGTGAAATACTATTTTTTATGGAGGAGTAGCTGGTTTAACTCCAAACTGGCATATAGATGAACGCAACCACGGATCCGCGAATTTACTGATAGGCTACCCAACTCAAGTGACCGGAGGATCATATCACTTCTTCAGGCGCCATGCGAAGCTTCGAAGGTGCCGCTTCGTGATATGATCACACGGGATATAAGTACCCCTCGAGCACGCCTGCCGCTGCTTCCCTGATTCGAAGATGCGGAGATGCGATGGAGCTGTAATCGCGTCTCCAGACGCTAGGGTCTGTGTTCGCCATCTCTTTCCGACACATGCTGCACAATGCCCGTCTGTCATGCAGTGCTGTTCCCAACGTTGCCCAAGACCATAAATATCGGCGGTCATATAGCATGTCGTTCTTTAAAATCGATACCAAAGTCATGATGATAATAATCTTTGAACAAGCCGGAAAATGCAGGGAATGTTACGTACCTAGATCCTTGAATCCATTGTAGAGTTCTGTGTTCTCTCGGATTCAGGGTGGCTTCGCTGTGGGGAAATCGATGAATACGGAGACAAGGTTTAATATTAATGCAGTGAAGAACAACTGATTTTCTAAATCGGGACGCTGTTCAGCGCCATCTGATGCACTCTCAACCACACCTTTCGAGTATACGGCAAAGATGTGATATATTTTCTTATGGGAAGTATGGTTCGTAGAATTCCAGGTGCGTACCTACCATGACTTGCTATACATTTGTGGAATTTGCTGATGTTGCTCAACACCAGAAGGACCATAACGCTGCTTCAGGTGCCTCGTTAATGTGCAGTCGGCGTTGTGCGAAGCTTCGAATGTAAAATAAGCGCCGTTATCGCGATGGTCCCTCAGGCTATATAAGAACCCTCGAGCACACCTCAGCTCTCTCCATCCCCACTACCACTATCACCAGATGACATCCTTTGCGAGACGTTTCACGCGCCGGGGTACCACCAATGGCACTGCAGATGGTATCCCTTCTCCTCCTGTTCCAGACTCCCCGCCTTCTGAGCCAGAGGATGATAGCACTACCGTCCCCATCAACCAGACGGAATATGCTCGAAGATGTCGGGAGGTCATGGAGCTGTACCGTGCTCTTCAGGAGCTAGGGTGAGCCGTGTTCGCCATAACTCTCCGATATGTGTTTACATAGTCTTCTGCGATGCAGTGCGGATCGGTTGTTCCCAACGTTGCCTAAGATCGTAGTCATCGGCGGTCAATCCAGTATGTCGTTTCTTGAATAGCGATAGGGGGAGTTATACTGATATACCCTCTTTGAACAGCCGGGAAGAGTTCGCTGGTAGAAGCGGTCTCTGGAGTACGTTTATGTCTTTCACTTGCCTGCTGCATTCCCTCAGCATCATATAGATCAACGTACCCCGGGACAGCGGCACTTGTACCAGGTGAACAGCTTCTCGAACTTTCTCTGTGTGATCTCACTCCTTTGCAAGGTGCCCTATGGAATGTATAATGCTCAGTTCATCGCTAACCTGGTCGTGCACGATTTACCTCAACTTCAAGTATGCGTCAGACGGGAGCAAACTCGACATCCTCGGACAGAGTGCAGTTTGGGCCAGTCATCAAGAACAGGGACATGGTCGAACTATGGATCCGGCGGGCGCAAGCTGCGATTTTGTGCCGTCATCGTCCCAAGGAGGATTTCATGAGCAATGAGTACGGTGGACCTCCGTAATCTTACTACGACCGACTCGGAGATCCTACCGTTCTCGAGGAATTTCGTCCAGGTCGAGTTAAGAGATCCGGACTTGACAGATCTATCCTTTGTTGATCTCCCAGGCAAGGCGGTCTTATCTTTCAATTTATGTTTATATACTAAATGTTACCTACGCAGGCATCATACACAATGCTGAAGAAGAAATTATCAATCTCGTTCATGACTTGGTGGTTTCCTATATCGAAGAATCGGAGAATACTATTGTTCTCATAACCATTCCTATGAGTGGTGCGTTTTTTCTTCTTCTGACACCAGGTATATACTTCTCATATCCGCGTCTATAAGATGATATTGAGATGCAAGCAGCGGTGAAACTTGCAAAGGCTCGGGATCCCAATGGTGATCGCACAATCGGTCTGAACATTTGTTCTGCTACTTCTGCGATCAGCACTAATTGTTCCTACAGGAGTATTGACCAAGCCAGACATGCTCACAACAGGCGCCTCCGGTGCGCGTCAAAAATGGAGAGAGATTATTCTTGGACAAGATCAAAAACATAGGCTCAAACATGGGTACTACTGTGTTCGTCTCCCGGACGACGATGAGCGTAGGCGCAATATCTCCAGAGAGGAATCCCAGGCGAAGGCCAAACGATATTTCGAGCGTACCTCCCCATGGAAGGAGTTTCCGAACCGCAGCCGTTTCGGCATACCTGCACTTGTGCATGATATAAGCCGACTTTTGGTCGGGCTAATCGAAAATTAGTATGTGCCCTATTCTTTCTCTATGCCGTAGGCTCATTCTCATTTCTGGTATAGCATACCGACCCTAAAGCAAAGCGTCGACGAACTCCTTGCTACTGACAAGGCGGAATATAGTACCCTTCCTCCACTACCGCCCACCGACGAGGCGTGGTCCCGGATTATCATCCTCATCCATCAGTTCTGCGTCGATGTCAAAGCGGCCGTCGAGGGCAAAGAAGAACACAAGGGTCTCGTACAGCGCAACCGCGCTAGGTACGGGCAGTTCAAGCGCGACATTCTCGGGACGTGCCCAAACTTCCGGCCGTTCGAGGATAAGACTCGATATCTAGATCCGTGTATCCAGGACGAACAATTCGAGGGGAAGGACAACCCGTACGTGCATATGGCTGCGTCCGAGTACATAATGGATATCAAGGATGTGAGGAGAGAGATTGAGAAGTGAGTGCTTATCCTTCCAGGTTCTACTGTGCTGAACCAGCTTTTGTAGCTGCACTTCGTGGGAACTTCCTGGTGAAGTTCCGCTGGAAACAACGCGGAAACTCATTGAACTCTTTACGAAGAAGTGGTCCAATCCTTCTATGCAGTGCTTCGACGAGTCACGACGTGTTCGACACGTCGACGGTGTACATTGAGAACTTGGTTGCGCGACGTTTCGGACAGTTCAAGCCCCTGGAGACGCGCATTAGGTTTGTTGCTTGTGTCTTTCACCGCTTAATCTGAAGTTTTACCTCTGCCCAGAGCACTTGTGCGGGCCCAGATGGAGATGTGCAAGAGCGAGGCACTCGTCATACTCGGAAAGGCCGTGAAATTGGAGACGTCGCCGGTCTATACTCAAGTCCCACAATACTCGATGGAGCGCTCTAAGTGGTTCAAGCGATTTTATAGTGTCTATACAAATCCTAATAGGCATTGGGACTACATTGCAAATCCATCCCTACTTCCTCCAGTTCGCGAGGCGACAGAAGACGAAGAAGCGCTGCTCGTGATGGCCAAGGTCAGAGAATACTTTGAGATAGCGTACAAGGTCCGTCCTTGGCTTACCCATCCCTTCCTTCGCCGATTCTAACCAATATCTAGCGATTTATTGATAATATTCCGCTTACTATTGAGCATGAACTGCATCAAACTCTACTACCCCTCGCTTGTCGGAGAGTCTTATCAAGGATATGGGAGGGCAGAATGCCAGCGAGAGGGCTAAGGAGCTGCTGACAGAGGATCCGGAAATCGCAATGAGGAGGAATGTCCTACAAGAGAGAATCGCAAGACTGGAGGAGATCAAGAGGAGGCTCTATGCTTTTAGGTGAATTCAGAAATGTACTATCTCTCTGTATATCTATGCTGTATTCTTTCGAGATCTTGAATAACATGTATTCCTTTCCCAATTGGCATTCGGGCCCTCCCCTCGCGGACTTATCCGAATTTTGATGGACCGGTATCGATCATTCACAGCTTCAATGTTGCCATGTCTTGGCTACTAAAGAAATTTCTGAAATGTAGTTCTGACCGGTCTCTCCAGCTGGATCATGATGCTGCGTTCTCGGTCCGGGGCGAGATCACGAGACCGTGAGTCGTTATTCTTAGACTTTCGACCACCTCCTTTTCTTTTCTTAACACCCACACTCAAATCTACTATTCCCAACTTCAGCGCCTTCATGTCCTGGCTGTATGTTGTTTTGCACCCTGTATCGAAAAGTACCCTCGTCATTCCCACGCATAGGATTCCCAGAGAGAGTATGACGGCTGCGGCTCCCAGCGGGCGGGCGTACCCCTGCGCTCCCCCGCTAGGCGAGAAGGCGGTGTCGTTGGAGGCGGTGCTGGTGCTGGATGAGATGGAGAATAGCTGGGCGAGAGCGACGCCGGTGGAGGCTAGGACGAGGGAGGTCCGGACGTATGCGAGGAAGGTCCGCTCAGAGGCGAGGTGGTCTCGTGCGACAGAGCCGTTGTTCTCTAGCGTCGGGCTGATACGCATGGCAAAGAGCAAATAGGAGGAGCAGCAACTCCGAATAAAACCTCCGTTGTCGGCCGCATGCCGTTTCAGGTCGTGAATTCCGAATCATCGTCCAGTCGAGCGTTTTTTTGTCGTTCGTCATCGTTGTGGTGGACGTTGAGGTTGAAGATGCGAATCAGTGACGCAATTGGAAATCCGTGTCTGTTCGCTTTTCTCCTTTCGACCATATGCATCATTCGCATGGCACATTCTCAACGGCTTCTTTCCCTGCGTTGATGGCCCCCGGTCTACAGATAGCGAATATTATAAGGTACGTCGCTGCTTTTTGCTGGACTGCTCGTTGACTGAGCGTCGAGTTGTTGCAGGATACCCCAGTCTGGTCCTTCTGCAAACTCGACGAACGGACCGAGCATCGGTGGCGCTAGGGATTGGGAGTTGAAGTATCTCGCAGTCAAGATAGCCAGATGACACAGGGTTACGGGAGCAGGAGCATCATGGGTGCGTGGACTGAAAAAAGTCATCATTCTCATCACTCATTGTACATTTCTAGCTTATGGCCCCGGTTCAGCAACACCCGTCCCTGCAGTGTCGTCCATCCGCCCATGGTGCATATCCAACACTCTTTTCCTCTTCCAATGATCCCAAAACGAAGTACACTTTAATGAGCCCGACCCGGCTTGCTGGACTTGACGATATATGTGTTTTACTTTTCTGAGCCTTTGCTAGCTCCTCGCCGTTTGTGATGATAGTACCGCTTCACAGGTGAACTAGTCTACCGCGTCTTCGTCTGTGCGGCCAAGACGTCATCCTATCCGATTCGATACTCCAGGCGCTGTACGAGGCTCCGTCGATTCCTCGCGGATAACTTTGAGAAGGGCAAAATAGGCACCACGCACGCATCGTAGTCGTCACGCCAGATACAAGGACCTCAACACCTCCTCAGCTCATCCCTCCCAACCACCACCACCTTTAATTACCACTAACGTTTAAACGTCGAGGCACCGCCAGCGCTGCAAATAGCAGCCCAAGTGATTCTCCCTCCCCGCCGCCAGACCGTCCCCATCAATTAGACGGGATGCCGAGAAGTGATTGGAGTTATCATCACGGGTTCGCGTTCACCACCTCTTTTCCGACGTACGCTTACGTACCCTGTGCGGATAGATTCTTCCCAACGCTGCGGTCAATCTAGGATGTCGTTCTTGGATATCGATACGAGAGTCGTACTGAACAGCCCTGGTAGAAGGCGTCTCTGGGGTACGCTTACGTCTTTCGCTTGTCTGCTGCATTCCCTAGACCAACGTACCTCGGGACAGCAGGACTTGTACCAGGTAAACAGCCCCGCGAAATTTCTGCGTGATCTCACTCCTCCCTGGTCCGATGGAATTCAACCTTGGACGGACATGGACGATCCGGCTCGACTTTGAGTGTGCACCAGATGAGGAACAAACTCGACATCCCAGACAAAGTGCAGTTTAGGCTTGGCATCACGAACAGGGATATGGCATTGTTGAACTTTGGATCCGGCGCGCGCAAGCTGTGATATCGTCCCAAGGAAGATGAGGAGGAGCACGGAGGTCCTTTGCTACGACCCATCCACAGATGCCATCTGTCTTTCGTTGATCTACCGGGTAAGACGCTCTTATGTCTTTGTGTCCGTATACTAAAGGTCGCTTTGGTAGGCTCACGGGTCCGCGTTTATGAACAGAAAGTCATACCTCTTTAATCAGCCGGAGAACACGCAGCCGAATCCTTGATTGCGATTACCCATCATGAAGTTCTGTGTTCTCAGACCAGGGTGGCTTCCTTAGAAGAAAAAGATGTAAGGTTCGATCAGGATCGGCTACTGCCCAAGCGCGCAGTGATCTGATTTTCAACCATGGGATTGATGTCGACCGCTTTTATGGCGGGAATAGCGAGGGACTGTAATGCTTCGAAGGGTGAAATGGGCGTCGTGTCGTGATATGGCCACGCGGGATATAAGAATCCTCGGGTAGTGCCTCAGCTGGTTCCTCCGAGAAGTGATGGAGCTGTAGAGCCGCGCTAAAGTTTGTGTTCGTCATCTCATCCCGATGTATGCTGACGTACCCGTCTGCTGTGTAGTACTGTTGCCCAAGATTATAGTCCTCGGCAGTCATTCTAGCATGCCACTTCTTGAACCTATGAACGGCTGGAAATTACGGGGAATAGAATGTTCATCCCTGGATCCTTGATCGTGATTACTCCTTGGATCTGCATCATGGTGTTCTGCGTTCTCTCGGACTCAGGGTAGCGTTACTGGGAGAAAGTGATGGATACGGAGATATGGATCAATCAAAGGAGTGGCTGAATCGAGACACTTCTCAAGCGCAGTGGTCTGATGACTCCCAACGGCCGGATAGGTCTCAACCTTTGGATGGAGCCTGAAAGGATGACAAGTACGTGAAATATTATTTTTTTAATGGGAGGAATAGCTGGTTTAGCTCCAAATTGCATATAGATGACGCACCGCGGATCTGTGAATTTATTGATAATTCAAGTGACCGGAGGATCATGTCACTTCTTCAGGCGCCGTGCGAAGTTTCGAAGGCAAAATAGGCGACGTGTCGTAATATGGTCACACGCAATATAAGTACCCTCAAGCACCCACATATTTCCCTCCCAACCACCCCCACCACCACCAAATGTCGTCCATTGCAAGACGTTTCACACGTAGGGGCACCACCCGTACGAACGGCATCCCAGACAATGCAGACAATGCTTCCGAAACTGACTCCCCGCCGTCCGAGTCAGAGCAAGATAGCGCTACCGTCCCTATCAATCAGACGGAATATGCTCAAAGATGCAGAGAGGTCATGGAGCTGTATCGCGCTCTTCAGGAGCTAGGGTTCGTGATTCGCCGCTGCTCTCTGACATATGACAATGCTTACATGCCCATAGTGCGGATGGGCTATTCCCAACTCTACCAAAGATCATAGTCATTGGGGGTCAATCTAGTAAGGCTGTTTCGTCAATATCGATAGATACCAGAGTCGTGCTGATGTCTGTCTTTGAACAGCCGGAAAGAGCTCGCTTGTCGAAGCTGTCTCTGGGGTACGCTTATTCCTTTCGCTTATCTGCTGCATTCTCTCAGCATCATCTAGATTAATGTACCTCGGGACAGCGGCACTTGTACCAGGTAAGTAACCTCTCAGACTTTCTCTGGGTGATCTCACTCCTTCGCAAGGTGTCCGATGGAATGCATAATGCTCAGTTCATCGCTAACCTGGTCGTGCACGATCTACCTCAACTTCAAGTACGCGTCAGATGGGAGCAAACTCGACATCTCGGACGGAGTGCAGTTTGGGCCTGTCATCACGGACAGGGATACGGTCGAACTCTGGATCCGACGTGCCCAGGCTGCCATACTCTGCCATCACCGTCCCAAGGAGGATTTCATGAGCATGAGCACGGTGGATCTTCGTAATCTTGCTACGACCGACTCGCAGATTCTACCATTCTCGAGGAATTTTGTCCAGGTAGAGTTGAGAGATCCGGACTTGACAGATTTGTCTTTCGTTGATCTGCCAGGTAAGGCGCTCTTATCTTTGTGTTCGCGTACTAAAGGTTGTTTTGCCAGGCATTATACACAATGCTGATGAAGACATTATCGAGCTCGTTCGTAGCTTGGTGGTTTCCTACATCGAAGAATCGGAGAACACGATCGTTCTCATAACTATTCCGATGAGTGGTGTGTTTTTCTTTCCCCGGCACCGGTGCATCTTCCTCACATATTCGTCTACAAGATGACATTGAGATGCAAGCTGCGGTGAAACTTGCAAAGTCTAAGGATCCTGCTGGGGACCGCACAATCGGTGCGGGTTTTCGTTGTTCTGCTTCTATGACCGGCCCTGATTGTTCCTATAGGAGTGTTGACCAAGCCGGATATGCTCACAATGGGCGCCTCTGGCGCACGGGAAAAATGGAGAGAGATTATTCTTGGACAAGATCAGAGGCACAAGCTCAAACATGGCTACTACTGTGTTCGACTCCCGGACGATGATGAGCGTAGGCGCAATATATCTAGAGACGAATCCCAAGCGGCCGCCCAACAGTTTTTTGAGCGCACCTCTCCTTGGAGAGAATTTTCTGATCGCAGTCGTTTCGGTATACAGGCACTTGTGCGTGATATCAACCGACTTTTGGTTGTGCTTATTGAGAACTAGTATGCACCCCATACTCTATCCTTTCTCTATGCTTGGGCTAATTCCTGATTCTGCTATAGTATACCGACCCTCAAGGAAAGCGTCAACCGTCTCCTCACTAGTGACAGAGCGGAATACAGCACCCTTCCTCCACCACCGCCTACCGATGACGCGTGGTCCCGGATTAATGTGCTGATCCATGAATTTTCCGTTGACGTCAAAGCGGCCGTTGAAGGAAAGGATGCACACAAGAAGCTTGTACAACGCAACCGTGCTAGGTATGAACAGTTCAAGCGCGATATCCTTGGGACGTGCCCGAACTTTCGGCCCTTCGAGGATAAGACTCAGTATCGGGATCCATGTATTTGGGATGAAGAGCTCGCGGGCAAGAAGACCAACCCGTACATTTATATGGCTGCATCCAGGTATATAATGGATATCAAAGATGTGAGGAAAGAGATCGATGAGTGAGTGGATATCCCTTTCCAAGTTCTATCGTATTAAGCGTTCTCGTCCCTGTAGCTGTACTACATGGGAACTTCCTGGCGATGTTCCTTTGGAAACGACACACAAACTCATTCAGCGCTTCACGAAGGAGTGGTCCAATCCATCCATGGAGTGTTTCGACGCTGTGTACAGCACGTCGTCAGTGTACATCCAGTAGTTGGTTACGCAGCGTTTCGGACAGTTCAAGCCTCTGGAAATGCACATTCGGTTCGTTTCCTCGGTCCTTCCTTCCTTCTTGCATAGTCTGAAGCCTTACGTCTACGTAGTGCACTTGTGCGCTCACAGATGGAGATTTACAAGAGCGAGGCACTCGTTATGCTCCGCAAGGCTGTTAAACTGGAGACACCACCCGAGTTTACTCAAGTACTGCATTACTCTATGGAGCGCTCTAAGTGGCTTGAGCGGTTTCATAAGGTGTATAGAACATCTAGCACCTATGCTATACGTCAACCACTGAGCGCTATTGATTCCGGCCTGAGGCCCTCTCTAGTCAGCATGGAGTCGTATGCAGTCCCAGCTCGGGAGTCATATGCAGCCCCAGCCCGAGAGGCGTATGAAGTTCCAGTCCGAGAGACGACAGAAGACGAAGACGCACTGCTGGTGATGGCCAAGGTTCGGGCGTACTTTGAGATGGCTTATAAAGTTTGTGTTTTACTCCCCAATCTTTCCTTCGTTGGCTGACCCTTATCTAGCGCTTCATTGACAACATTCCGCTCACTATTGAGCGTGAGCTACATCAGACTCTTTCAAGTCGTTTGTATCAGAGTCTTATTAGGGATATGGGAGGGTCGGATGCCCTTGAGAGGGCTAGGGATCTGCTTAGAGAGGATCCGGCAATCGCGTCAAGGAGAATTATCTTACAAGACAGAATTGCAAGGCTGGAGGAGATTAGGAGCAGGCTTTATGCTTTTAGGTGAATTTAAAAATGTATCATATCTCTGTATGTCCACGCTGTACCCCTTGAATCACAAGCAGTCCTTTCCAGTATGATTCTCGGGCACTCCCCTTGTGCACTTGCTCGAATTTTGAAGGACTAGCACCAATTATTCACAGCTTCAGTGTTACCATGTCTTGGCTACTAAAGAAATTTATGAAATGTGGTTCTTACCTGTCTCTCCAGCATTTGCTGGATCATGGGACCGTGAGTTGTTATTCTTAGACTTTCGACCGCCTCCTTTCCTTTTCTTTTCTTAGCACCTGCACTCAAATCTACTATTCCCAACTTCAGCACCTGCATGTCGTCTGTATGTCGTTTTCCTAAAATGTGGTTCTGTCTGGTCTCTCCATCATTTGCTGAATGATCCTCTTTATCTTTCTCTTTATGCGAAACTATTCTGGCCGCTGCTAAGCGCGGATCACTGCGAGACCGTGAGTACAGTCCCTTGTTTTCGCTTCAACAAGTTCATCAAGTTCCTCTTTATTTTCCGCTGCCTTACCCAAAACCATGGGTCAATGCTGGCAAATCGTGAATATCGACAGACACGAGACTCTCGGAAACTGGGGTGAACTGGACAGTTTCTTTTGCATCCCCAACTGTTTTGCCGATCTCATCTCTCTTTTGGCGGACCCGTCACCGTGGGCGGGCTGCCGTATCATGTGTATCGGAGGTCAGATGAAAGATTGTCCGCCAGGCATCCTCACCTCTGAGGAACTTGCCGAGATCAAGAAGCTCCCTACCACCAGGTACGGCAAGACTCTGTATACGTTGGCGGCCGGATATTATGAGGAAGCATCCCCTTGGCAATATCGCAGCTTGCGCGGGATGGTCTTGAGGAATTTGGCGAAGCGTGTTTATGTGCGGCGGGATGTGGTGGAGGAGGAATTAAGACTCAATATCGGCGATCTTTGCAATGTACTGCTTACCAACATCTGTTGGTCAGCCGGTTCGTGTGAGATGGAAGTGGACATCACGAGAGGCGCGTGGGCGGGGGATAGGCTCGATGTGGTGCCATTTAGTGTGGTCGAGAATAACGAGGAACGGGAAGATGTGACTGAAGATCAGGTTAAACTTACTAGGTTTGCACTTGACCGTAGCATGTAACCCTAATGACCATATGTTTTTTTGGAATTGGTACAGAATATGGCGCAGCTGAAATCTTCAGCAACATAATTCAAGAGACTGCTGAACTCAACAAACGAATACGATTGTTCTCAATCTTGACGCCAAGAATACGTCAGAATAAAGACTAGCTAAACATGCGTCCCCCCTGCAGTCCAGGGCTTTCGAGCATTGTTTTTAATGACAGTCATTCCCTTCAAATCGATATTGCGCGACGACGAAACTTCGTTGCCAGGGTATCTCAACCTATAACAGCGCGATAAGAAGATAAATTCTGAAAGGTGAACAGCGTATCTTACCGTCGAGATAAACAAGAATGCAGTGGAGCAATGAACATCTATCAATCCCCCTAAATCCTCTAGTGCATTCGCACCAGCGCTCGAAGCCCCGAATCTCATCAAGACAAGCAAAAGTGCCGAGGGGTCAATCTGAAGACATCAGATATCATCTCCATCTGAGAATAGCGACAGCATCAACAAGTGAATTAGTACGCTCCCACCTTCATGCGTCGGAAAACCAGCATACAGTGGCACTGCGAAGCCCTAAAGTGGTCTCTTCAGGTCATTCATGGTCTTGTTCCCCCATTACGGTCATCCATCGAAGCCAGGTGAAAGAGAACGATATGAGAAACAACAGTCAAAAGAACAGTCATACTATTCACCATCACTCAAGACGAGAGAACACAGCGGATCTTCTCCCAACCCAAACGAATATCGCCCAGCTTCATGTTGAGAGAGAGCGGTCAACGCGAGAGATGTGTCAAAGACAAAGATACATACCGAACAAGAGGATTGTGTGCAAAACGCGTTAGGCGGGATAGAAGCAAAAGAAGCTAGTATTGTACACTACCTGAAAAACGCGGGCATAAGTCAAGTAGAAACGAGGATGGAAGGAAAGGCGAACTCACAAATGCTCGGTACCAAGCAGCCCGGAACAAGGGAAGACGCTGCGTTATTTGTTACTTTGAGATCCTTTTATACTATTCCCCTTCCCATTAGTCTTGCCATGTGGCTGGCTGGCTGGCTGGCTGACACCCCAATGAGGCAAACCAGTAAAAAACTATGTTTTGTGGGTTAGGTGCTGTATTTTTCTTGGCGCGGTCTCACTTACCCCCCAAATATCGCATGTTGACTTCCTTCCACCCTGTCGGCAGCGAAGTCTGTACATGACGTAGTCAGGGGGCGCGGTAGCTCTTCGCCTGGTAGGCGTCGTTTCGATGCAGTCTTGGGTGAGGGTCTGCACATCGTAATATATCCTTTAGCAGGTAAGAATAGAGATCTCCCTTTGTGCCTGTATGCGTGGAGATACCATGGGAGAGGCGGAAACTTGTACACTTCCCAATTGATATCCCACAATCTTGGATGTCGCCCCCGTAAGATTCGAGGCCAGACAGCGTACTTAGCATGACTAGAATGCGTACCCTCTGCTGCGATTTCGGAGCTATCTGTCCCGCCGGATCTGACTTTTGAATTTCTTCGGCCGCGAGCTGGCGCAGGACTATGGTAGGCGTTATGCTAGACACAGCTTTGCCGTGTCATTGATGAGGGCTTGCTTCAGAGTACACGATCAGGGCAGCGCGGCGGGGACAAGGATCGCTGTCTGGGAGGAAGCAGTATAACGGGCAATGCGCTGGTGGTATTGGTGAGAATAAGTGCAAGATTAAATAAATGCGTAGGGAGCTAGAGGAGATGACGAGCTAGCGACGAGACACGCATCAATTACCCGATTATTGAAAGAAACGAATGGCAAGGTCAGAACCCCACTCTTCACACCGAAAATCACAGGTAGTTATAGCATCGAGCAGCAAACAAGACAGAGATGTGTATGTGTAAGATCTGTCTGGGCGTCAGACAAGAGAAAGGGAGGAAAAGATAAGAACGCACAGATTATATGATTACAGCCCCATCCGGACGGTTGAGGTAGTATAGCGAACTAGAAGAAACGAGCGAAATACTCAAGGGAGGGAAAAGAGGCTCACGCGTTGCCAGAATTTCCTGATTCCAACCACATCTATAGCCGGTCTCCGTGGAAGGCGCTCGGCCTTTTGCTTTGAGACAACAGAAGGCGTTCGGTTAAATTTGATGTTGAGAGATCGGCGTGCATACCGTCGGCGGGTTCCTTGTTCTCTTTGTGAGGATGGTTTTTCGTCGCAGCTCCCGGATATATGAGAATAGGAAAGCGTGAAACGGTGCTATTGCTTACTGGTTTTCCTTGCCAGGATATAGACTTGGCTCTTCACGGACTCCCCCTCGGGCACTGATGTCTCAGCCTTTGTTTCTTGTTTCTGGTCCCGGTTTGTGAAGGCGCGACGCAGGGCGAGGTTCACTTCTAAGGTAGAAATCATTGTCGAAAGGCGATTAGGCAAATGGTTTATGTGGTGCGATAGCAGATAGATAGATAGATAACCGGTCAAGATAGGCGGCTGTCGTGTTGGTTGGGGAAATGTCTCACTTCCGTTTTTGGACAACGCATCGATTCCTTTCTAGGGGCGGCGCCTTGCTGGTGCTGAAAGCTGGATTGAGGAGCTGGATTCTTTTCAAATCTGTTGAATGTACTCGGATTTCGTCGACCAGGACGGCCCAAAGCGAATTGACGAACGAGCGGCAGACTTCGATGATTCTGCATCCTGCTAGCGAATACATTCATGCGCTCGATAACTAGGAAGAATTTGAACACAAATGGCACTGAGCAACGTCACGCATGATAGTTAAAGAACATACCTGATAAACCAAAACGATTTTTTGTAGCAACGAGCGCCCTTTTGCTTTCACAGGTTTCTTTAGCGCCATCTGGTAATTTAGCTGTTGGGTGTTGCGCGCAAGAGTAATGCGACCGTATGCTGAACGGGCCTTGAGTATGCAGCGATCAGCGACGACGGGCGACACATGTAGCTTTGATGCATACATTTATCCAAGGCCCAGATGGTAGCTCACTCTCCAGCACCGCTAAACGATGCCTGTCATCCTTCGGCTGACCTCCGGTATCGTGGTCGCGTGAATTTGCCGTGACATCGTTGGTCGTCGTTCGTCGGTGAGTCAGAGATTATAGAACTGGAGTGTGTTGGTGTTCAAGCCTCTCACTGCGTCGCAAGAGGTTGGATGCCCTGGAAGATGTAGCACCCAGGGAATAAGGCAGCGAGCTGGACGAAGGACAGGCATGACGGCACGGAAAAGAGAAGGGAATCAATTTCAAAATCCCGGGCCGATCTTCCTTAACTTCCTACTTTCATGATCGGTTTTTCAACACCCTCCTGGATCAACGCAAAACAGGCTGGGCAATGCAAACAATACCGAAAAGCCTCAGGAATAGTTATGGGTACGTGTCGTTATCTCTTTTCAAGCAAGTTCTGATGTCGCCCTCAAGCCCTTTCCTCCCGAGAATCTCGAATGTCAGAGAATTTGAAGTATCACACTGTTTTCCGAATGGACCTCAAGTAAGAAATACTTCATTCAGATCGCTGGGCCATTCTTTATGTACTGTGAGTTTCTCTGTTCCCTTCTCTGCCATTTGGTTAAAGCTGACCACTCAAATAGTCCCACCCTTCTGGATGATGTAGCAGATGATGCTAGGGTGATAAGGATACTTCTTTTCTCATCATCATATCGCGGTGCTTAAGGATCATTTATCGACCCACCGCACGCATCCCGTCGCTCACTAGTCATTCAGGCTTCAATCTCGATTAACTGAACTTCTTCCTCCGGATCTTGGCTGCAGGACTGGCATACCGAGCAATTAACTCTTAACACGGTGGGTTTCGCGCATTCTCATGATGTAAGACTGCTACAGTTATCATACAAGGACGTTGCGCTTAATTGTGAACAAGTGAGCGATAATGACAATTGCGGCAGCTCCAACACCCAAGCTGAAGGTCAATAGTAATCGTAATAGCGAAGGCAAACTCAAACCACCACCGCGTTTAGCCCTTTCGTTGCCTTAATCTATTTGATCTTCAAATATATACACGGTACTTAGTCCGGTTACCTCACTACCGTCTTGTGCGGATCTTGCGAGCTTTCGCAGGAGAAAACGGACGTGCATCGGGGGTGATGGTAATGCACATCCCACATCAGATGCCATAGTGTTTTGACGTACTTACTCGCTTTAGCACTCAATTCACCTTCTTTTACGCTGGATGATGGCTATCGAACTTGATTGACTGCTACCAAGTTGCAGAAGAAAATGGTTCCAGATTACTTCTTTATTTCATGTGCAGAGCTTGATTCAACTTCTTGGAACGAGTTGACTGCTCTTATTACGCGTTTTTCTTCATCCTCCCATTACGTTGTTACCTAGGCGCAACGGTATGACTTCAAACACCTTACCCTGTTACGAGGTCTAACTAAGTAAGGTACGTAAGGTGCATTTCCCCCCCCAAATGTAAGTCGCTCACGATTGCATACCTACTAGCCGAAGATTCTTGCCTCAAGCAGATAATAAATTGATTTGTAATATTCCGCATCCGTGATATTGGAACCGTATCGCTAGGTCCAAGAGAGGGAATGGGGAATCGCTAGTGATGGTCGCGGGTGTAGCTACGAACAGGCGGGAATGTACGGATATGGTATGCGTGATCGCGGAGGAACCGGACCGTGCCTACGCTCCCAATATTCTCACTGGCCTTGCAGCATCAATCCTCATTACGAGGACTTGTTAAGTATGTGTCGGAAGCCTGGGTTCCCTCCTTCAAAATATTTGGGCCGGAGTTACAGCGGTGAGATTCCTCAAATGTGTTGCTTCTCATAGTTATTCAGTGATATCAACGCATCTCATAGAGTGCTCCCCCTCCCGCTCCATGATGCCATGTACAATACTTCCAAAGAGGCACAGATTTCGCCTATGTACCTGCCGGCTGAGGAGACAACCACTATGCTAAAACTGGTCACCTTGTTAATATAAAGAAGGGACATTCTCATCATGCTATTGGAATCGCCGGCCCAATCTCTTTTTCCAACCTTCCGTTCGCTCTAGTGGGCAAGCTTCTTCGGTGTCATCCTTACTGACACTGTTCCCCACTTAGACGATCAAGTGTCATCTATGGAGATGAAAGAAGCCATCCACATCCAGGCGATAGAGGGTGCATGTGCGCAGCTCTGCGCTCTTGTCACACGCCCTGATCGTCCCATGCTCAACGTGAGTCCCTTAAATTTGATGAGCACCTATTCATCAACCTCCCTGTCAGAGAATTTTCGGCGTAAGTGGGTCCGCTCACAACCAAATTGGTCTAGTATAGGCTTTCAAATAACCCAATTGACATCCGGCAATTGTAAACACATAAAAGTTTAGAATATCCCGTAGTACAGAGACATCGCCTTTCTCTCGCAGCATGGGCACTCAATCGGACGTAATGTTTCGCATTCCTAACACTCTCACCTACTGGCCTTGGCCTCGCAGGATCAATCCTCATTATGAGGATGCTAAAGCGGCATCGGAAGCCTGGCTCCGCTCTTTCAAAATGTTTGGGTCAGAAACTCAGAGGTGAGATTCTCAACTGTGTTGCCTTGCAACTTTTACTGATTAGCACTGCTCAGTGCCTTTGATCACTGCGCCTTCAGTATGATGCACTCCCTCTACTCAAGACTATGTCACTGACTTACCCAAGGTTTATTGGCTTCATTGGTATACCCAACAGCGACCAAAGGTATCATTACTGTGCCTGTGTGTATGCATGTGCTTTTTTGACCTCGTAATAGAGCATCTTCGCACCGGATGTGATTTCATGAATTTTGTTTTCGTTTTCGACGAGTATACAGACAACGCCTCTCCCAGCATCGTCCGTGAATATGCAGATATTGTAATGGATGCCATCAGAAACCCACTTAAACCACGGCCTGACGGTGAGGTGGTTCTTGGGGTCATTGCACAAGAGTAAAGTTTCATCCCCATTGTTGCTGGCACGGTCTGACGATGCCGTGACTCCAGGTTTTGGGCACTTGGCATCAAATCGGCCAGTCGAACTTCTCAGAAGCACTTCGTTGAAAGCTTTGAACGCTATACAGATTCTGTCGTCCAACAAGCAGAGGATCGTCACCAGCGTCACATTCGAAACGTTGATGATTACTTCCGTGTTCGTCGCCTCACCGCCGGTGTTGAATCGTCCTATGCAGTACTAGAGCTAGGCTATGACTTGCCTGACGAGATGTTCTACCATCCAACCATTGTTGCTCTGCGTTGTCTGAGTTGTGATATGATAATCATGGATAATGTAAGGCTTATCATGTCTTTCCGTCTAGCTGCAATATTTATCTTTCTCAGGACCTTGCTTCGTATAATAAGGAGCAGGCATTAGAAGAATTTCCCCATAACATTCTTGTTTGTGTCGTGAACGAGCTGAAATGCGACATTCATGCTGCGATCTCATGGGTGGAAGACCTTTATCGATCAACGAGGAACAAATTTCTGATGTCGTGGACCGAGATACCGTCGTGGGGACCAGAGATTGATGCTATTGCATCTCTCTACCTGCACGGCATCGCAAACTGGGTCCGTGGTAATGAGACTTGGAATTTCGAGGGCAGCCGGTACTTTGGATCCAACGGCAGAGCCATTCAGCAGCATAGGATGGTCACTCTCATGCCCAAGCAGCTTTCAGCGAGCGAGCCGCTTCTCATACATACGTACCAATCCTAGTTGTTGATTATTTCATCATATGAAAGTCATTGCACTGTATAGTTGCTGGAATGTTAGTCAGCAACCAGGATTGCGAACGCGTAGTGGTGTTCTCCTCTGTATTTGGGCGGGTCGACTACTACCTGTGTTGCACACCATAGGCAGTCAATGATATCAGTGTATCTTACTTCCGTTGGAGAAAATTCAACTAATAGAGCTTCGCTCCGAGTGCAAAGACGCCGGGTGAAAGACGTTTGCTACGCTAGGGTTACAAAGTTAGCGGTGAGTATCACATTCTTATAGAATCAGATAAACAGACATAATAGATATTACGCCGGATGCTCTGCTCGCTCGATGCCTGCGTTAAACCGAGTTAGCGAAGGACCGTGGTAGGCATTATGCTAGACATGAGGTTGCGGTGTCATTGATGGAGGGTTTGCTTCAGAGTCGACTAGGGCAGCGCGGCGAGGACAGGGATCGATGTCTTGGAGGAAGCACAATAACAGGCGAGGTACTAGTGGTACTGATGAGAATAAGTGCAAGATTAAACAAATGCATAGGGAGCTCGAGGAGATGAGGAGCTAGCGACAAGACACGTACGTTATCCCGATTATTGACAGGAATGAATGGCTCGCCGGACAATATTCTATCTCGCCTTTGCTGTGCGAAGCAAGATCAGAACACCACCACTCACACCGGAAATCACAGGATGGAGGTTCCCCAGAAATTATTATAGCATTGCGCAGTAAACATGAGAGATGTGTATGTATAAGATCTGTCTAGGCGTCAGACAAGAGAAAGGGAGGAAAAGATAAGAACGCACAGATTATATGATTACAGCCCCATCCGGACGGTTGAGGTAGTATAGCGAACTAGAAGAAACGAGCGAAATACTCAAGGGAGGGAAAAGAGGCTCACGCGTTGCCAGAATTTCCTGATTCCAACCACATCTATAGCCGGTCTCCGTGGAAGGCGCTCGGCCTTTTGCTTTGAGACAACAGAAGGCGTTCGGTTAAATTTGATGTTGAGAGATCGGCGTGCATACCGTCGGCGGGTTCCTTGTTCTCTTTGTGAGGATGGTTTTTCGTCGCAGCTCCCGGATATATGAGAATAGGAAAGCGTGAAACGGTGCTATTGCTTACTGGTTTTCCTTGCCAGGATATAGACTTGGCTCTTCACGGACTCCCCCTCGGGCACTGATGTCTCAGCCTTTGTTTCTTGTTTCTGGTCCCGGTTTGTGAAGGCGCGACGCAGGGCGAGGTTCACTTCTAAGGTAGAAATCATTGTCGAAAGGCGATTAGGCAAATGGTTTATGTGGTGCGATAGCAGATAGATAGATAGATAACCGGTCAAGATAGGCGGCTGTCGTGTTGGTTGGGGAAATGTCTCACTTCCGTTTTTGGACAACGCATCGATTCCTTTCTAGGGGCGGCGCCTTGCTGGTGCTGAAAGCTGGATTGAGGAGCTGGATTCTTTTCAAATCTGTTGAATGTACTCGGATTTCGTCGACCAGGACGACCCGAAGTGAATTGATGAACGAACGGCAGACCTCGATGATTTGGCACCGTGCCAGCGAATAAAATTCGTGCGCCCGATAAATATGAAGAATTTGAACACGTAGAGAGGGCAAAGATGATGTCCAGGGACCTCGGACTGGCACTGAGCAACATCACACATTACAGTCAAAGAACGTACCCGACAAACCAAAACGATTTTTCGTAGCAACGAGCGTTCTTGGATGCCTTTCACAGGTTTCTTTAGCACCCTCTGATGATTTTAGGTCTGTGGCGTGTTGCGCGCAAGAGTAATACGACTGCATGCTGAACAGGCCTTGGGTATGCAACGATTAGCGACGACGAGTATCATGTGGAATCTTAGGCATATTACCTGTAGCCACCGTCCAGATAACTCGCTCTCCAGCACCGCTAAACGATGCACGTCGTCCTTCGGCCGACCTGCGGCATCGTGGTCGCGTGGATTTGCCGTGACATCATTGGTCGTCGTTCGTCGGTGCGTCAGGGATTCTAGAACTGGAACGGGTTGATGTTGAAGGTTCTCATTTCGTCGCAAGAGATTTGATGTTCTGGAAGGCGCAGCACCCAGGGAATAAGGCAGCGAGCTGGACGAGGGACAGACGTAACGGTACGAAACAGAGAAGGGAATCAATTTCAAAATCCCGGGCCGATCTTCCTTAACTTCTTACTTTCATGATCGGTTTGTCATCATCCAACGCAAAACAGGCTGGACAATGCGTACAGATACTGAAAGGCCCCAGTAATAGTAGTGAGTACGCATCATTATCTTATTTTGGTCTGACGTTGCCTTCAGGCCATTTCTTACTAGGATCTCGATTGTACTATTATCCCGGAGAACTTGAAGTACCATGTTGTTTTCCGAATGAACCTCAAATAAGAAGGACTCCGTTCAGATCGCTGCACCATTCTTCATTTCCAGAGATTTTTTGTTAACGCCTTTGTCCGACCTTACTTGCCAAAAATTCGCCAAGATAAAAGCGACCAAATATTCCGGAGCTTGCTTTTCCCTGCCGTTTATCAACTTTGCAGTAACCGCTAACCACTCAAATAGTCCCACCCTACTGGATGATGTAGTGGATGACGCTAGGGTGATAAGGATGTTTCAATTGAAAGGGCTAGCAGAGGCGGACTGGCAACGGCTGACTATCGAAGAGTTCCGTTTCTGTGGGTGTGATGGTCGTATTGAATTGATTGACTTGGCTACAACTTCTGCCTTCTCATTGACGGGTCTTGCGGAGTAGTTCTTGACTCCACGGTAGTCATCGACTCCAATCCGTTCCGTGGTTCGTTCTCTCCTGAACACCGGTTGATAAAATTGTATTTACAGGTATCGAAGACAATGGCAGTACAAGACGTCGCCCACTTGCAGGGAAGTTCGGTTGAAAACCAAGTGTCGATGAGGTGCTTGACGACCAAAGCTGGAGTGGTCCCAGTTACTAAGGTCTTGGAAACTTTCTCACCATCATATCGCGGTGCTTAAGGATCATTAATATTCACTTCTCGATCCACCGCTGTACTGTCGCTCGCACGTCACCAGTCATTCAGGCATCAACATTCTACCTACCTATCTACATCGATTAACAGACTTCTTCTTCCGGATCTTGGCTGCTATATGCAGGACTGGCATACAGAGCACTTAACTCTGTATCACGGTGGTTTTCGCGCATTGCCGTAATGTAAGGCTTCACTTATCATCCAGGGACCTTTCACTTTTGTGACCAAGTGAGTGATAATGACAATTGTGACAGCTCGAGCACTCACGGTCAGTGGTATTGATTGTAATAGCGAACGCCAAATCAAACCACTACCCCCCTACAGCCCTTTCGTTGCTTAGTCTATTCTATTTTCAGATATATTTGTGGTAGTCCGGTTACTTTACGACCGCCTTGTGCGGATCGCGAACATTTCGCGGGAGAAAAACGGGACGTGCATCAGAGGCAATTGCGAGCGATAAGGATGTTACATCAGATGCCATAGTGTTCTGGCGTACTTACTCGATTTAGTACTCAATCCGCCTTCTCTTACGCTTGATGATCATCGACACTTGATCAACTACCATCAAGCTGCAGAAGAAAATTGGAAGAAAGGGGTTCAAGATTACTTCTTTGTTTCATTTGCAGTGTATAATTCAACTTCTTGAGAGAGTCGATCGCCCCGATTACGGGTCTTTCTTCACCCACCCCATTATGTTGTTGCCTTGGCGCAACGGCGGGACTTCAGACGTCTTATCCCGTTACCAGGACTAACAGAGTAAGGTAAGTAAGGTACGTTTCTCCCAAAAATATCAATTACTCATAATCCCATACTTACTAGCCGAAGATTCTTGCCTCAACGAGATAATAAAGCGATTTTTAGGAGTAATTGGGCTGATCTCGGAGATGCGTACATGGGAACCCAAGCAAATGGTGCCTATCTCACGGTTCCCTTCGGCAATTGTACCTTTATAAGATTATAACATCCCGTTGTACAGATCCATCGGCTTTCCTTCGTGGTAGGAGCATTCAATCGGACGTAATTTTCTCCATCCGTGATTTCCATGATGTTATGTGTGATACTTTCGTCCCCCACTGGCAGAGGTGCGGATTTTGCCTATCAGCCTGCTGGCTGTAGAGACAAACACTATGCCAAGAATGGTTACCTTCTCGATGAAAAAGGATGTTCTCATCATTCTATTAGAATCTACCTATAGCAAACGTCAACCCAATCCCGTCTGTCTCAAGGGTGCCTAGGGACTATTCAAAACGACATGCCTTATCACATGGCTTCATGTGTACAATGGCCGCACTAAAATTTCTGAGGGACGAGGAAGTGGATTCCACAAGTATATAATAAACCGCTGCCGCACCTATAAGACATCACATCAAAATTCCCCACCCAAATATGCCTTCCCAACTCTCCCAACTCGTCTCTCTCATCGCAAATGCCACTAAATTTGTGGAGGACACGTTCTCAAAGGCGGCTGAACCCAATGTTCCTTCATTGGATGACACCACTTCCCATCCCTTAGACGATCAGGTGTCGTCTATGGAGATGAGAGAAGCCATCCAGACGATTGAGGGTGCATGCGCACAGCTCTGTGCTCTTGTCGCTCGCCCTAATCGTACCATGCTCAACGTGAGTCCCTTTTAAGATTGATAAGCACCTCTTCACACCTCCCTGCCAGAAAATCTTCGGCGTAAGAGTATCCACTAGCCGCCAAACTGGTCTAACATCCTTTCCCCAAGATATTTGAACCAGCGTGTATCCGTGTTGTCGTGAATTTCAACATCGCTGACCACCTCCTCGACAAGCCAGAAGGCGTCCACATCTCCGATCTCGGTGCACTATCAGGCGCAGAACCTCAGAAGTTGGGCAGAATCATGCGGCTACTTGCAAGTAAACATTGCTTCCGTGAAGGTAGATCGCAATTTTCCTAGTTTTCCAAGCTAATAAATCATAGTTGACCGTGACGTTTTTGCGAACAACCGTCTCAGCATGATGCTCTTAAGCACAAATGGTTTATCGCATTTTTCTGATTTTATGTGAGTCTGATCCTTGGGTGAAGGATGAAAGATTCGACTGATCGATTTCTGTATTAGTACAGACGAATCGAACAAAGCGGTATCTGTGCTTACCGAAACCTTGAAGGACACAGATTGGGGACATTCCTATTCGCCTGTTCATACACCTTTCAATTCCTGGAGCAAGTACCCTGGCACTATATACTCATGGTATCAAGACACGGATATTGGAGCGGCTAAAGGCACCCGCTTCGGAATGGGAATGAAAGGGTGGGGCGACTCTACTGAAATGTGGGCTGTCGTCAATGCATTCCCGTGGGGGTCATTGCGTGACGGTGCCACTGTATGTGATGTCGGAGGAGGAATTGGCGTCATCTCCATGCAGTTGGCCAACGCGTATCCTAATCTCCGCATCGTGCTTCAAGATGTACCTGCACAGATTGAAATGGCGAAGAATGAAGTTTGGCCAAAGCTATGCCCAGCAGCTACTGAAGATGGGCGCATCGAATTCAAAGCTATCGATTTTTTCGTAGAACCACCCGTCGAAGACTGTGACGTATACTTCGTGAGTCCACCATACCGTACTAATTGCCTCTTCTGACACGACGGTTCGAAGCTGAAAAATATATTGTCAGTGGAGTCCTCAAAAATACTGAATACTTACCATTGTTTCTAGACATAACTGGCCAGACAAAGAATGCAAAGTGATTCTACAAAATGTGGGGAATGCTATGTCGGCGAAAAGTCGCCTGTTAATCTGCAAACTTTTTCTTTCCCAGGTCCTCAGTTTCTAAATTTTGTTGCAACAGGTGACTACATCATCGAACATGTCAATAAAGATGAGAAAGACGCCGAGGTGGTGGGTTGCAAGCTCGCACCAGAGCCTCTACTACCAAACTATGGCGCCGGGCGCATGACCCAGTACAATATTGATCTGGAAATGATGTCCATGTCCAACAGTCAAGAACGCAGCTTGGAACATTTTGTTTCTCTCGGCAAGGAGGCTGGATTACGGTTTGTACGTGTATGGGACGCGAGGGAGGCTAGCGTCTTCGAGTTTTGTTTGGAGTGAAGGTCTTCCCGTTGTAGGTCTACTGGGAAAGAACTGCGAGCGGAATAACATCACATGTATATAAAACCGTAAATCTCTCACCAAGTAATGTATCGAGCTTACCGTAAGCGTAGGCTTCTCCTAGCTCCTCCATCAATGTTCCCTAGACGCTTTCCTAGGTATGTTTGACGGGACATTTGGAATTTTTTGATTCTAACCAACACTGTGGTGTACTGCTATAAAAGCACTGTACAAGAGGGACTCGTACGGGACTGTGCTGCTAAATTACCGGGGGTTCATACGGATCAACAATATCCGACCCTGATCAAGAGTACTTAGTGGCAAAAAAAAAAGAAGCTGCGATGCACCTGGATCTTTCTATCACAGCTTTGTCCTGTAGTATATTTGCACCTGATATTGTACATACATAAATTTCAAGTTGAAAACCCTTATTCAAGTTCTCTCGGCTAAGAGCAAACGGAAATCTAGTAAGTTTAAGTAACTTGGTCTTCAGTTACATCCTCCCATTCCTCGCTATTCTCGACCACACTAAGTAAGTACCACATTGAGCCAACATTCTCAGCTGCTTGTACGATAGCGAGGGTGTTTAGACATGTCCAACGCCTAGGAAGCCTCTACGGGATCAAATCCTCTATGAGATCCTCAAAAGGCATTCACCGCTTGTCATTTTCAAATTCAGGATAACGCGAACAGGAGCGTCGACTTCGGACAGTAGAAAATAAGTAAGACAATATGAATCTGACACTCTGGTACTAACACTAGTTCCTAGACGATTCTGCATTACCAGAGCTAGGCTAGAGCTTGCGTTCCATTTTTGAAAAACACGTAACCAATGTCGCGTCCTAGTTCTTAAGATTCGCCATCTTCGATCGTATTGACGAACGATTGAAATAGATTCTATCTGTATGTCAGACCCGTACCAAAAGTGCAGGCGACCAGTGAAGATATTCTGAATTCCTTTTCGCCCGTACTTCTGCATCAGTCGGATCGGCAGGCGTTAGTTGATATACCGTATTTTGTCTTTGAATTGGATAATGCTTGTCTTGTTCAGTTGTCGTCCTTCAGGCATTGTATGAGCGGAATATGGCTATGAAACCATACACAGGAGGAATCCCAAATGCAGCCGCTCCAGTGACTCAGCGCAAATTCGTGCCGCCTCGAGACAGTTCACCAATCAACGTCAAGAAAATGATTGTGCACATGACACACGGAGCGAGTAAACCATTGCTGGGATTTCGTCGATACGAGTGGGTTAAAATCCAGGGGTTTACTCTATTAGGCGGAGAAAAGGTTTGACTACTGCGTAGCTCTATGATAAGCAGCAGCTCGGTTTGTTTCGATGGCTGATATTAGATCCTCCCCAGCGAGCCGGCGAAGCTGAATATAAGATCCTTGAAGATAGTCGGGGTCTATGTTCCTTTTGGGTCGATTGAATGATGTATGGCTTCCTCTACGGATGGAAAAATTATAGATGGGGCGTTGGACACAACATCCTGAACTAGAATAAGCATAAATACTGGATTCTGCGATGCATAGAGAGCAGACAGTACATTGGCGATTAAGGGTAAGTTCGTTATCCTAGTGCTTGGCTGTGGAGGGTATTTGCGTAGCATCTCTTATGCCTCAGAGCTTATAACACGATCTGAAAGTAAGAATGATTTTGGCGCATATATTCAATTGAAAAAAAAAGAGGAACAGGCTAGGGAGGTGCATAAGATAGGGAGCATGTTGCAAAGAATACGTCGTAACTCACTCATATAGTATAGTATCCAAATTGTATCAGTCGTTCAACACTATCGTGCGCTGAGAGCGGTAATGCTGACGTGTATGCAACTGGTGATGAGAACAGTTTTCTACCTCTGTAGACCTTCTGGCTGCCATTAAATCGACCCCATCGTTCTGCGACAAAAAATGATTCCTCCAGGATACGAAAACTCCGTCAAATCAACAAGCGAAGCGTTGATCAGGTCCCCGGATAGGAATAAATCTGAGAATGCATTAGCTCTAGCCCGAATGGAGATAACGACGCGTACCCGCTTTTACTGCTCACTTTTTTGCTCGTCCAAGAGGACGATGACGAAACGACACGGGAGTAAGAGTCAGGTGGGATCTTGAAATTCAGCATTTCCTTTTCTGCTTCGTACCCTCATGGCGTCCGGCCCGTTCTTCCGTTTCCAACCTCCAGCTCTCGAGAACACCAGCCCCTTGCGCATATACTCAGGCTCTAGGATCCGACTGGACAAGGATTTGTGGCGTATGACGATTTCGTGGCAAATCCACGCGACAACGATGCTCGGCGAGACTAGTCTGAACGGTGGCAGGTGCTCATGCACTTCCCGACCAACGGACACGTCGACAGCCTGAGCCTTCAAGGCGCCCTCAATACTACCATGTCCTGCACGAGGCAATTCCGACTCGACGATATTCCCGCATACCACTCAAATCCTTTCACGGCGCTGACTTCTGACACTGCTTCGTCTGACGCGATACGTAGCTGCAGGACGAGAGACGTTCGAGTTAGTTAGCGTGAAGACAGTGATTTGCCTGCTCTCAGAGCTGGATTGAGAAGCTGGATTCTTTTCAAAACTGTCAAACGTTCCCAGATTTCGTCGACCAGGATGGCTCGAAGTGAATTGACGAACAGACACGAGACTTCTACAATTTCGTACTTGATAGCTGCAAATAACTGCCGTATACTGAGTCACTGCGGAGGATTTGAACACATAGAAATGGCGACGATGCGTCTAGGAACCTAGAGCTAGCGCTGAACAGCGCCATACATGATAGAGTCAAAGAAAGTACCTGAGAAACCAAAATTATTTTCGTGGGAACAAGGATACTTGAATTCCTCGGAAGCCTCTTCAGCACACTATGACAGTTCACAGTTGTACGTCCTTGCGAGTTGCCTATGCGAGCAATGTCACTGCATGCTGAACAGGCCCTGGGTGTGCAACGGTTAGCGACGGCAAGCACAACATGAAACCCGCGACATACTTATAGCCAGATAATTCGCTCTCCAGGACCGCCGAATCGTGCCCGGTATCCTTCAACTGTCCTCCGATATCGTTGTCGCTACGGTCATTGTCCACCGTCGTCGGTGAGTGAGTCCGACGTTCGTAGCCAGCGGAACATAAAACTCGAGTGCGTTCGTATTCAGGACCCTCGTCGCATGGCTTGCGCGTGGCTTATGCTTTGATGTTCTGGAAATGTAGGAACCAGAGACTCGGGAGTACGTGATGGTGCGGAACTGAAAAGGAGATCCCCTCAATTTCAAATTCTGATCTTATTTGCTTCTTACTTTCATGATCTCAAGAAAGCTCAAGAACTAGCAGTGAATATGCGCCATTATCCTTTTTCAGCAAGTTTTGATGTCGCCCTCAAGCCTTTTCTTACCTAGGATCTCGACTGAAGACAATGACAGTGTTCGCGTACAGCACTTTTTCACCCGCGGGAACCTCTTGACGGTAGTATTCATGTCATGCGCAAAGAACAACGGTCAACTTTCCCTTCCACGTACGGTTACTCTGCTCAACCCGGACAAAACCCGTATCCGCCGATCCCGGTTGAAACCTTAACGGGTACTGGTCGATTTCCTGGACCCGGGGGTTTACCCGGGCTATCCACTTCCAGTGACTCGTCCTCGTGACCATCAGTGAGCACGGCCCACAAGAATGCACGAATGCTATATTTAACATATAAGATCTTCCTGATCAGCCGACTGGAAACACTGCGTTCCCGAGAATTGTTGACTCGCTGATAAACACGAAACATTGGGCATATACCAAATGCCGACCGGGCCTCTTTTGCCGTCCCTGCTGTTGGGCGAGCTACATTGGTCTCGTGGTTGGTGTGGGCGTATGCTATCTCATGAGTGCTTGGTAATTATCATGAGATGAATAAGTCGGCGCACTGATAAGACACCCAGTCTGAATATCCCACCCAAATATGCCTTCCCAACTTTCTCAACTCGTCTCTCTCATCGCAAATGCCACCAAATTCGTGGAGGACACGTTCGCAAAGACGACCGAACCCAATATTCCTTCATTGGACGATACCGCTCCCCATCCCTTAGACGATCAGGTATCATCTATGGAGATGAAAGAAGCCATCCAGACGATAGAGGGCGCATGCGCACAGCTCTGTGCTCTTGTCGCTCGCCCTAATCATACTATGCTCAACGTGAGTTCCTCTTAGGGCTGAACGACACCCACTCATCAACCCTCTCTGGCAGAGATTCTTTGGCGTAAGAGTATCCGCTTGCCGCCAAACTAGTCTGACATCCTTTCCCCAAGATATTTGAACCAGCGTGTATCCGTGTTGTCGTGAATTTCAACATCGCTGACCACCTCCTCGACAAGCCAGAGGGCCTTCACATCTCCGATCTCGGTGCACTATCAGATGTAGAACCTCAGAAGTTGGGTAGAATTATGCGGCTTCTTGCAAGCAAACATTGCTTCCGTGAAGGTAGATCCCACCTTTCCTAAGTTTTCCAAGCTAATAAATGATAGTCAAACGAGATGTTTTTGCGAACAACCGCCTTAGCATGATGCTCTTAAGCGCAAATGGGTTGTCATCTTCTGCTGATTTTGTGTGAGTCCTATTCTTGAATGCAGGAGCGATACGCTGACGTGATCTGCTTCTGTATCAGTACAGACGAAGCGAACAAAGCAGCATCTATGCTCACCGAAACCCTGAAGGACCCAGAGTGGGGGCATTCCTGTTCTCCTCTTCACGCACCTTTCAATTCCTGGAGCAAGTACCCTGGGTCTATGTTCTCATGGTATGAAGCTGCGGTACGTGTTGCCTTCAAAGATATTCATGTTCTTGCATTCAAAATCGGAATAGGGAGCCGATATTGCAGCGGCGAAAGGTGCTCGCTTCGGGATGGCAATGAAAGCCTGGGATGATTCCACTGAACTATGGACTGTCGTCAATGCATTCCGGTGGGACTCTTTGCGTAAAGGTGCCACTGTATGTGATGTCGGAGGAGGAACCGGCGTCACCTCCATACAGTTGGCGAACGTGTATCCTGATCTTCGCATCGTGCTTCAAGATTTACCTGCACCGATTGAACTGGCGAAGAATGAAATTTGGCCAAAGTCATGCCCGGCTGCTATTGAACATGGGCGCGTTGAATTCAAAGCTTTCGATTTCCTCGCGGAATCGCCGGTTAAGGGCTGTGATGTATACTTTGTGAGCGTAATATTTCCTGCTGATTGTCGCACCCTTTGACGCAGCGCTTCGAAGTTGAAAAATATTTTGTCAGTCGTGTCTTCATATGTGAAGATCTAAATATTCACCATTGTTTCTAGGCATAACTGGCCGGACAAGGAATGCAAAAAGATTCTGCAAGGTGTGGGGAGCGTTATGTCGACCGATAGTCGTTTATTAATCTGTAAGCCTTCTCTCTCACATGTCCTCAGCACCTAAATGTTGTCGCAGGCGACTACATCATTCAGCACGCCAATAGAGACAAGACCACTTCAAACCTGATAGGTTTCAAGCCGGCACCAGAGCCGCTGTTACCAAACTATGGTGCCGGCTCCATGACCCAGTACAATATAGACCTAGAAATGATGTGTGTGTGCAACAGTCAAGAACGCACTTTGGACCATTTTGTTGAACTGGGCAAAGAGGCTGGATTACAGTTTGTGCGTGTATGGGACGCGAGGGAGGCTAGCATCTTCGAGTTTTGTTTGGAATGAAAGCCTTATAGTCGTGGGTCTGCCAGAAGGATACGTTAATTGAGTGACATTACGGGTATTTCAGACTTTTCAAATATGCATGTATGAACCTCAAGTCTCTGATCAGAGTCGATTTGCCTACCCGATTGAACAATGCTAATGAGCGTAGGTAGAAGCACCTACTTCCAAGATGCGAATAGACTGTCGAAGGCATGTTCAACATCGAGAAGTCGTCAGAGGCAGTTCCGCCATCCAAGATCAGGTTCGCGCGTTTGCTTCGTTCCAATTCGTAATAGGATCCAATTCCGCATGCACAGATATAAGAAGCCAATCCAATAGAGTATCGGATCGCTCGTCGGCAACAAAAGTACGACATTCATACTAGCGACAGTACCAACAACTGAGAAATTTAAGGCGCGTATTTGTTTCGCCAGAATACTCTGACATTTCATCGAGCAAGAAAACGGAGTTCTTCCTTCGTTCCCAAACTTTGCTCTTGTATTATCTAGGAGACCTCGGCAAGTTGGCGAGTCTACGGCAGACATCCATGCCAGAGACAATTTTGTCGCATGAGTCATCAGAATTTGTTTCAGGGTCAACTAGGACGGTGAGATGTCGTTGCCTTCAGAGGTGGCTTGCTGAATGAAGACACCCTCGTCCTTCACATTGAGAATCACAGAATGGGAAGTTCCTCAGAGATGATTATAGCATTAAGTAGCGAAACACGACAGACATATATGCTTGAGATCTGTCTGGGCGCCGGACAAGATAAAGAGGGCAAGCATGAGAGTGGATAGAGCATAGGATCGGAACCCAGACCGAGGTAAAGTAGCGAACTAGAGAATACCAAAGTTTAGCGAAATGTCCTACCGAAGGAATGGCGACTCACCGTTCACGCCGTCTGGATCCACCTATGTCTACAACAAGTCTCCGTGTAAAACATTAGGTCTTCTGTCTCCATTGAAAAATGAGGGGCAGCTGGTTAACAATGCTGTTGAGAGACCTGCGCTCATACCAACGGCGAATCCCTTCGTCTCTTAAGGGAGACGATCCTTTCTAGCAACTACCGGAGATATTCGGCTTCGGATGTATAAAAGGAGGGAAAGCTGGCTCACTGAATTTCCCGTCAGGCCAGAAACTCGGCTTTTGACCGTCTCTCCCTCGTGAGGGGATGCGTTGGCTTTGGTGACTACTTTCCGGTGCAGTGGCGGAAAGTAGGGTCCAACCCCTAGAGAAGAAATTGTTTTCGAAAGGCGAGTAGGCAGGGAGGTTGTAACTTGTGGGTGGTGTTGGTGGTCGAGAAAGAGATACTCTTCACAAAAACACAAATTGCCATGAGAAGAGAAGAGAAGCGTTGGCATGAGGTCAACTACTCACATAATATATATCGTAACCTTGAATTCTACGCGCACGGTTTCAATCGCATCCGGACATAATTCGGGCCGAAATTTATCCTTTGCGCTCTGAACTGGGGCGGGTAGATTCTGGAGCACAATTCGAAGATTGGCATGGGCTTCCACCAACTGTATGGAAGATGAAGCTGATACCACCTCCGATATCACAGACGGTAGTGCTATCCCGCAGTATTGGCCATGAATATTCGTCGGCTATGGCGGACCGTTCAATGACGGCAGTCGATCCTTTCATCGCTAGCTTGAAACGAGCACCTGTCGCAGCACCCTACTTGTCTATTAGATCCAGGAATAGCCTCATGCAAATGCGTCACGTACTTCACCGTGATACCGCGAGAAAATGTGCCAGGGTACTTGCTCCAGGAATTGAACGGCGTGCAAAAAGGAAAATACTAATGGCCAGGGGTCCTGCATGTTCTCGGTGAGATGGAAGTTTTACTTCATCTGAACTAACTCGCGAAATTCTTAGTGTTATGCTTCTTTGTTGAACGAGCAACTCACATAGACGCAACATAGTCTGATATGTTATTTGTGCTGACAAGGATCATGCCGAGACGATTGAAAAGACATCTCGGTCGACTGCGGGTTGAGTGTAAGAAAGAAGAGATAGATAAAAACGCCAGTCGCTTTACCCTCCCGGAAACAATGTCTATCTTCCTATCTTCTGTGGTTTAGTGCAACCCAATTTGGATACATGGAGGCCCTCAGGCTTGTCGATAAGGTTCAGCACAAGTAGGAGCGACGACTGGACCTAGAAAGCATTAGGTGTCGTAACAATTTCTCAAAGGAGAGAACGTTTCGCATTCGAAAGGCGAACGAAGTACACTGAGCGCATAGTTATCCTCGATGAGCATAACCTGGACGTTGTAGTTTTGATTTTTGGCCTACTGACAGCCTGACGATGAGACAATAATACTTATCTGGTACCGGCAGTCCGCGACATAATCTTAGCTCTGGAAGAAAAGCTCGACTAGGAATTTGAACGCTGAAGAGAGATTACGTTCAACTTGAGGTGGCCAGGTCTGCCATGAATTGAAAACGAACCTTTGTTTCCTCGAGGCGTTCGATCTGACTTCCATTGAGATAGAAAATACTAATTTTTCCAGGAGAATAGCCTCAAGTGCAAGATAAAGATAGCATTCAAGTTTATTTGCTCTTGCTAGGGATGGGTAGACGAATTTCCGCGCCCTGAGCATTGACATTAGTAATCAGCGAAAGAATTGTCCGGGAAGACCGCCGATGCTAGCCGCATCGATGCTTAGCAATGGCGGGAATTTTTGGTTCATGCATCGAGGAAATCCATGCCATTACCCATATTTAAACTTCATGGCTGAGAACGCGACAAAAATCGGCATGGAAGTGACTTGGAGGCATTTTGAAATTCACCGATTCCTTTTTCGCTCTTGCCACCATGCGCATTACCTTCGTCTTGACAATAATCCTCACGGCTGTCGAATCTGATCATGGACCTCGGCTCTCTAAACAACGTCCAACAACGGAGGAATAAATTTGGGCACTAGGAAAGAAGAGGCGTCGTTGAAAGTTTTCGAAGAACGGATCACAGGCCCCTTCGCACCTGTCGTGGCATCCTCCTTGACAACGAGGGTAATCCTTGCTCACTGACCAAGTAAGTCCCAGTTTCTCGCCACATACAGCATGCATACAAGGCTGCATAGCGACCACGCGATAGTGGAAGGATCGTGGATGTGACCGACGGAACAATTTGAATGGCTGAAGGTGTGCAATTATTTCTCCGTTATATTTTCCCTTGCCTATTCCTGCGATCATTTAGGCATGACCGTCGCCATATTCCAGTTCGCTTTCATGACTCGTGGCTATCGAGGTCAATTCACTCGGACTATAGTGGGCCACGAAAGCTGACTACGCTCGACTGCTTTCACGACGAAACAACTTTCTCATCCTATTTTCTGGTATTTTCTGTATCAACGGAGCGCACCAACAGAAGGAGGTCGACGTGTCGTCCAAATACAGCAGTGGGACTTTTTTCAGGTCCAATCGCCGCAATACGTACTTCTACTCTCTAGACACGACTGGCCAGACAAGGAGTGCGTAACAATTTTGAACGACGTCAAGAATGTCATTGGGGCGACTAGTCGCCTGCTAATCCGTGGGTCTTTCCCTCGGATATCCGTGGCGGTGTCTTCAGTCTAAACATCCCTGTAGACGAATAATATATCCTTCAGCATGCCCATCGAGAGAACGATAGCTTCACGGGTGTAAATTCGAAGCATGCCCCAGAGCCTTTGCTACCGAACGACGGAGCTGGGTGTATACGACAATACAACATCTACATATGCGTGTTCAACACGACTCAGATCAGTTCATCGAATTAGGAAAACAGTCTGACTGGAGTTTTTGGCGTATACGGCATCTTAGGGAGACTGGCACCGTGGAGTTCTGCTTGGCATGAGGCCTGCTAGTCCAGCTACGACACATACTACATATCCATAACGGCTGCCATATGTCTTCCGTCAAATCCCTCGCCAGCTTATCTCATAAAGGACTGCCATCAGCACCTGCAAACTGCCTCAGACTGGAAAGCCTCAGTCTCTCCACCCTCATCCCTAGAATGCTTGGACGTCCAATGACATATCGAAAGAGCATGCTATCATGACGTCTGAGATCAGATTTGACACAGAGCTATGGAGGTAGGTAGGTAGGTAGGTTGCTTACACAGCAGTGTCCACAGAGTGAATGCCGGAATTTTCTCGGAACTTCCGCGTCCAAAAGGAATGTTCACACGCAGTATTTTTGCACTCATTCAAATTGGAGCCTTATGACGACAGTGTTCACATCATACTAATTAACGTGCTGCTCCGTGTTTGGTCACATCACCTTGCAATCATCTTCTCAGACCACCGGTGAGTCGTGAATTAATAAAATTTTAACAATTTATATGTAAGGGTAGCTGGAGTCACGATAATACAAGTGTTATATTCAACAAAGCTGGAGCTAGAGTATTTTCCGGATCGGCTGACTGTAGCAAAGGTGGTATTTGAAGCACTGCATTCCGAAAATGGCTGCCTTCATTAATAAACACGAACCGTTCTCATCATTCGACGGGATTTTACCGAACCGAGTGTCGATTTAACTCTTCTGCCGTCTGCTGCCGTTCGCTCTATTGGGTAGAAGGACGGTTAATTCAATCCCATGGTTGTTGGGGGTGGCTACCTCTTGATTGACTGGAGACTATTATCAAACGAATGGATTCATATGCTGTCACAGGACCCAATACGGTGATAGGCAATGTACGACATCATATCCGGCGCTAATAGGATATCTTAAGGATGAAGGAGTGCACCATGAGTATATGATAAGCCGTTGCACTGATAGGGCACTGTCAAATTTCCCGCTCAAATATGCCTTCCCAGCTTTCCCAGCTTGTCTCGCTCATCGCAAATGCCACCAAATTCGTGGAGGATACATTCGCAAAGACGACCGAACCCAACGTTCCTTCATTGGACGACATCGCTCCCCATCCCTTAGACGATCAGGTATTGTCTACGGAGATGAGGGAAGCTATTCAGACAATAGAGGGCGCATGCGCACAGCTCTGCGCTCTCATAGATCGCCCTAATCGTACTATGCTCAGTGTAAGATTTTCTTAAAATTAGATAGTACTCATTCATCAGGCCCCTGCAGAGAGTATTCGGCGTAAGTGTGTTCGCTCGTGACAAAACTGGCCTGACACAACTCTCCCCAAGATGCTTGAACCAGCGTGTATCCGCGTCATCGTGAATTTCAACATCGCTGACCACCTCCTTGACAGGCCAGAAGGCCTTCACATCTCCGAGCTCGGTGCGCTATCAGGTGTAGAACCTCGTAAGTTGGGCAGAATCATGCGACTTCTTGCAAGTAAACATTGCTTCCGTGAAGGTACATAGTTCTCCCTTTCTCTGCTTCTCTGTGCTAACAAATAAGTCGACTGCGACGTTTTTGCGAACAACCGCCTCAGCATGATGCTCTTAAGCACAAATGGCGTATCGTCATTTGCCGATCTTATGTGAGTCTTGTCTTTGAATGAAGGAGCAAAACTTGAATGTGAGCTTCTTTGCATCAGTACAGACGAATCGAACGGAGCAGCATCTATGCTCACCGAAACCTTAAAAGATTCGGATTGGGGACATTCGTATTCGCCTGTCCACACGCCTTTCAACTCCTGGAGCAAGTACCCTGGCACCGCATTCTCATGGTATCAAGGTGTGGTGCGTGCTGTACTATTCCTCGACACAATTCTTTTATTGAAATGAGGAACAGGAAACAGATATCGGTGCAGCGAAAGGCGCCCGTTTCGGAACAGCCATGAAAGGGTGGGGCGACTTTACGGAAGCATCGGCTCTTGTTGATGTGTTCCCGTGGGGTTATTTGCGTGATGGTGCCACTGTATGTGATGTCGGAGGAGGAATCGGCGTCGTCTCCATGCAGCTGGTCGAAGCCCATCCCAATCTTCATGTCGTGCTTCAGGATTTACCCGCACAAATCGAAATGGCAAAGAATGAAGTGTGGCCAAGACTATGCCCAGAAGCTATCACAAATGGGCGCATTGAATTCAAAGCTATTGATTTCTTCACTGAATCGCCGGTCAAAGACTGTGATGTATACTTTGTGAGTAATTCACGTCGTGCTGCCTGTTTCTCCTTTTGATGCAGAGGGTTGAACTTTGAAGCTGAAAAATATCTTGTTAGTCGTGTCCTCACACATGAAGGCCGAATACTCACCGTTGTTTCAAGACATAACTGGCCGGACAAAGAATGCAAAATGATTCTAACAGGTGTGAGGAAAGCCATGTCGACGAAGAGTCGTTTGTTAATCTGTAAGTTCTTTATCTTCCACATCCTCTATTCTTGTTCCTGACTATTGTTACAGGTGACTATATCATTCAGCATGTGAATAGAGACAATAATACGTCAGAGTCGGTAGGTCTCAAGCTTGCACCCGAGCCTTTGTTGCCGAGCTACGGGGCGGGGCGGATAACCCAGTACAACATGGACGTGGACATGATGTGCATGTACAACAGTCAAGAGCGCAGTTTGGAGCATTTCGTCGGACTCGGCAAGGAGGCTGGTTTGCAGCATGCGCGTATATGGGATGCAGGAGAGATCAGCATTGTCGAGTTTTGTTTGGAATGAAGGCTTGCCAACGGAATGACACTGCGTGTATCTCAGACTTCTCAACTATGTATATAAAGATCTGAATTTTCTAACCAAGTAATGTCACAAGCTCAGCTCTTGGATTAAGCCCTCGCTCCTCCTAACCACGTCTACCAATGTAGCCCACGACGGTGTATACAATACAGACGTTATCTTGTGGTCCTCCTGGTCACGTCGATGGGTCTTTTAATTTTTAACATTTTGGCATTTGAACTGGCACTATGGTCCACTGCTATTGAATGACAGTACCAGAAGTATTCGTGACAAAATGTGGACAACAAAAATTCCTTGGTTAAGAGTAATGGCAAAATATCGCAGCCCCACGTCTGGATTTGGATTGTTCAAGCAGAGATGCAGCCAGTCTTCCAGTATTGAATCATGTTGCCATCGAGTCTGACGTCGTCGTGGAAAACAGGCAAGAGTCGGGATGATTACATGAGCCGACAATCTTTCCTATCAACAATGACCCTTGCCTGGCCCTGCAGCAGCCGTCCCTTGACGCCTCGAATTCCCTGCCGCCTGCGCCTTCAAACGAATGGGAGCCAGAAGAAATTACGACCTGTTGTATTTACATTGGTAATGGACGTGTCTTCTGCTCCCATCCCACAATTTTTGGTGCGTTTACGCATTTCAAATCTCTGTGATCATCAACGAGAATTCGAATCAAGAATCAAGATTTCAGCGTCAATCTCGTTACAGTGCTGCGGATAATCTGTAGAGGCAAAATATCACCCTGTAACTCCTTCTACACTGACTCGAACGGTGGCCCTATAATCAATTTTGCTACTTTGAGACCTTGCGATGGCGGACCATGACACGTTGCTTGAATCTCGAATTTTTGGGAAGCATGAGGACCTCAACCCTTAAATTATTCCGACATATTCAATGAAATTCACGCCAATCGGGACAGTACACGCGCTCGAAAACTTTACTTTGCGTCCCGAAAGCATCATCTCCGACGGGCAGTGACGACTATTCTGGGTTAGCCATATTTTCAGTTCCTTTGTAGGCGTTGTTGCTCATCCTATGTGATAGGTAGCTCCATAGGCTAAGATACCACTTACAGCATCACTGGCGAGGGCAATGGGGAGAATAGCCCACTCTGTTCCGAGGCTGTATGGAAACAATGGCCCATCAACATCTTCATTTTCTCTCCGGTCAAACAATCGCATCATGATATGACAACAGCCGTCCCTTGTTCCTGATAGGGTCCATCTACCATCTTGATTACATCCAGCGACTCGGATGCGGCGTCCCCGGCAGATCATGGTTAAAGATCTCGATTTAGCGCAGGTCTATGTCGATGATGTACCAGTTTTGGCTCATAGTTTTGGAGCAAAGACAGAGAATGGACGTGGAAACTAAAGAGAGGCGTTTTGAAGTTGGATTTGAACCATTAATGAATCCCGATTTATGGTCCCGTGATCCCATGGCTCGTTTAGATGATAGCGTGTTTTGCACGACGTGGATAATGATACGCGAATCAGACAATGAAATTCATCAAAAAATGGCATTCTAACGAACATCGCATGTGAAGGCAGGCATAACAAGCAGAGGCACTTAGCAGTGACACGTCCAAGGAATATTTCTTTGCTCTCACAGCCATTTTGTTGGAGATGGATTTTAAGTCCATTAGAAGATGTATGGGTTCCCTAATAAATGAGAAGATTGTAGATGGAGCGCCGGATATGACATGCTGAACCAGAGCAAGCACAGAGGATAAGTCCTGGGATGCATATAGGGTAGATGGTGCATTGGTGCTTGAGAGTAAACTCGTTATCGCAGTGTTTGATTGTAGAGGGTATTTGCTTAGCATCTCTTATGCTTCGGAGCTTATAATGCAATTTGATAGTAAGAACAACTTGAATTTTCACGCATATATTGAATAATATATCAATTTAAAAGAACAAGCTAGGAACCTGCATAACATAAGACGCATGTTGCAAACAATACGTCGTATTCAGGTGTGATTGTACATGTCGTCGAATATCATGTAGGACCAGAGCGGCGAGGCTGAGGTAAATGTACAGAGATATGGGGACAATTCTCTACCTCTGTGGACCTTCTGATTGCCATTGAACCAATCTTGTCGTTTGGTGGCGGGTGGTTCCTGGACCCGTCGAGTACGGTCCAGTAAACAAGCGAAGCGTTGATCAAGTGCCTATATAAGAGTAAATCTGAAGATGCCTTAGAACTATCGAGAGAGAGATAAGGTTGCGTACCAGCCATCCTTTGGAAATTCTCTGGCAGTCAAGGAAGACGACGACAAAACGACACGAGAGTAAGAAGCAGGCCGGCCGGGATTTTGAAATTCAGTATTTCCTTTTCTGCTTTGTACCCTCGTGGCATTCGGCCCGTTCTTCCGCCACCACCCCCAGCTCTCGAGAAGTCCCTTGCGCATGTATTCAGGTTCTGAGATCCGGCTGGACAAGGACGCACGCCAGAATTTTGGACGGCCAATCCTCTCGACAACAATCTTCGGCGAGACCAGTTGAATGGTGGCAGGTTACGCACCCTACCGACCTCTACCGATGGACACGTCGACAGCCTGAGCCTGCAAGGCGCCCTCAAGACTACCATGTCCTGCACCAGGTCAACTTGAATCCCAACTCGACGAGATACCATTCAAATCCGTTCATGGCACCGACCTCTAACACTGCTTCATCTGACGCCGTGAGGTCTCAGGCGTTCGAATTCGTTAGCGTGAAGACAGCGATTTAAGATGGACAGCGGAGGCGAAGACGAGGAGACAGGATCAGAGGAGAGGCCGGCGCAAGGACGGGGATGGACTGTCATAGGAGGTGGCGCAGATGAGAGCGTGTTTGACGGGCAGGGAGCTGAATCGGCGGAGTGAAGGGAAGGGAGGATGAACAAACGTGGATACCATGTGCGGTTGGGGTAATGCACAAACTTTAACCCTCTCACCACTGTGAGGTTTGTGCGTGTATAGGATGCAGGACCGATCAACATCGTCGTCGTCGAGTTTGTCTAGAGGAACTGAGGAAATGAGGCGCAAAACTATAGAGGATTTAACCAAATTCGACCTTGATCAAGAGCAACGGAAATGTCCCGTTGCAGCACGTCTGGATTCGGATTGTTGAATACAGTAGAGATACGCTCGTCATTGTAAAATGAAGAAAAGCTGCCGTTGAGTCTGGTAAACAAGAGGCGCGATGATGACGTGAGCCGACAATCTTTCCCATCAACATCCACCCTGGCCTGGCCCTGCAGTAGCTGTCCCTCGAGCCTCGAATTCCCTGCGCCTTCAAACAAATGGGGCTGGAGAGGCCGTTATGGCTTGTTCTATTTACTTTGGTGCTGGGCGTGTCCTCTGCTCCCGTCCCTCAAGTTTTTTTGGTGCGTTCACTTCGTTTCAAATATCTGTGATCATCAACGAGGATTCGAATGGATATTGCAGTGTTAACCTCGTTACAATACTGCGCACGATCTGTAGAGGGAAAATATATTACACTGTAATTCCTTCTATGCTGACCCAGACGCTGATGCCAGTGTTGGATTATGCTACGACCTCGTGGTAGCAATTATGGTCGACGCGTTGCTTCTGCCACGAAATTTTTGGGAAGCTTGAGAAGCTCGACCCTTAAATTATTCTGTCATACTCAATGAAATTCATGCGAATTCGGACGGTACACACGCTCGAAAACTTTACTTTGTGTCCCAAAAGGATCATCTCCGGCGCGCGCGCTACTCTGGGTTGGGTTAGCCGTATTTTTGGTCCTTTCGCAGGCGTTTTCCCTCAACATGTATGAAGGTAGCTCGATAGTCCTCTCAGTCGAAGTCTCGGAGATATCATTATGAGAGTCGCTCGCTCGGGAAATGGGAGATAAACTCACTCCCTTCCGAGGAGGCTGTACAGAAACAATGGCCCAATCAACACCCCCAATCCCATCATGATATGACAAGAGCCGTTCCTTGTTCCCGATAGAAGCCATCTACCTAACATCTCGATTACCGTCTAGTGACTGGGATTCGGCGTTTCCGGCAGATCATGGTTAAAGATCTCAATTTAGCCCAGATTTACCATGCGACCTTTAAAAGTATTTCTTCAACTTGCACCCTTGCAAGAAAACCCTCCGAATTCCCCCCTGCCATCCTGTGCCACTGGAGATTATCATGGCTGTAAGAGCACCTATTTTCCTTTTTATCCCTATTTATCCAATACTTACCTTCATTTATTTCAGCGCACCGACGCGAAGAACCTTCAAAAGTATCCATGCGAGCATCCCGGATGCCAGAAAAGATTCACAAGGAAGAACGACGTCAAGAGGCATGCCAAGACTCACCTCACAGGCGAGCAATTGGAGTCGGAGTGAGTTATTTCTCATCTCATTATCTCTCCTTTCTAACGACGATTCGGCACAGGAAGCATACCTGTCCAGTCACCGAGGCGGGGTGCACCATGGCTTCCCTACAGCTGGGAAATGTGAAGATTCACATTCGTGAAAAGCAGTGAGTCTTGCAGTGTTCCTTTCATCGTAATTGTCGTACTTACCACTACATTCTCAGCTCCGATGTCAAGCATCTTGTATGCTTCGATTGCAGGCCGAGTTTCCGGCTGTTCGACAACACAACAACGCTAGCCAAGCATGCTCAAGCGCAGCATCTGCCTACCAGCCGCCGTCAAATGAACCCTCCGAAGCCGCGCCGGAAAGTCACCAAGAGATTGTGGGATATTGTCAGTCCTCTACCTCCCTCCAACACCTTCACTGTCCCTCCCCCGCCTACCGACAGGTTCCCGCTCCCACCCACCGCTCCTCGACGACGAAAATCCCCACTACCCGACGTTATCATCATCGCCCCATTGGCATTCCCCAAGGACGACCCAGAACCGCCCCGGGACCCATCTCGACCCCGTCCACAGTGGTATCGCGCACCTCAGCCGAAACCGAAGATCTCATCGCTACGGAGGAAAGCACGCGACATTTCTGGGATCAAGAAGCGCGCTCGATGGCCTCTTTCTCCGACTCCGAGCCCATCGACTGCGGGAGGGGAGTGTTCTAGCAGCCGGTTCCCATTGCCCCCTCCGCCTCCTTACCGGCTTGCCACTTCGGCCTTGAGTGCCTAGCCATGAGCGGGAGGCAATCCGGACATTCATCGAGGCGTGTTGTGGATCTCCGAAGGTGTCACGGTGGCCTCCTTTGGATCAAAGCTGGGAGTCGTACTAGGTGGTTAGTGACTCAGAGGTACTATGCCGCTTGGACTTCTTTTCTTCTTCTTCTCATGTATCTCTACCCCGATAAATTTGCTATCTCCTTGTTGCTACTATTGTTGTTTTCTATCTACAATTGTCCTGTGCTTTCTACTATAGCTCTGTCTTGCATCTCTACCCTGATATTGTACACATATAAATATAAATTTGAAAACACTTATGCTTTCCACTAGTTTCCAGGGCCTAGAATGTGAATCTTTAATCCACGACTGCAAGTTATCGATGGTGTAAGCGACAGCGCTCGATACTAATTGCGAAAATATATATGATCGCGAAAGTAACAAGTCCCAGGTGGAAATTGGAATGGTCAGTTATGGCTCAGAGGAAGCTTAGTCTTCGGTTACATCCTACCATTCTTCATTGTTCTTGATTACACCCAGTAGCACGACATCAAGCCTATCCCTGCCTATGTACCTCTTGGCAGGCCATCGAAGAGAATGGGTCGGCGGGCCAAGTGATGTTCGTGAGCAGTAGTATGTGACAATGTCATCTTCATATCTCACCGAATCCTTCACTAGCGCATTCCTTCGTGCGAAAATATTCTTCTAAAAATTCTCCAAGACAATTCCTCGTACAGTATCTCTCCCACGACTCCGACAAAAGGGATATGAATCCGATTTCGCGATTCGCCAACTGTTGGGGACTGAAAAATCGCTCATTTTCCCTGACATCCCAGGAGTTTGCACCTGCATCAAATTGGTACTTCAGTTACCAGTATTGACTGATGATTTTGACTAAAGGAAGAGAATGAACGACTCGGGAAATAAAATGAGTCTGAATTTAATTTGACCGGAAGTACGGTCTCGTGATCTCCAACTGACACGAAATTTACGCGACGTGGATGACGGTACGCGAACCAGACTGTATGGTTCCATATAATGAGATTTGAGCACAATTTACGCGTGGGGATCAGATAACAAACAGAAATACTTAGCAAGACGCGTCTGTCAGGAAATGATGACAAACCAATTCGAAAGGAACTTTGATTTTGATTTTGAAATTAACGTGATTTCCTCTTTTGCTTCGTACCACCACGATGATGTTGAACTTGATATCTCTTTCAGCTTACCGCATCCCCTGAAAGCTGCATTTTGTAGAATACACAAGGTCTCTTGACCAGGAACTCAAGATTCAAATTCTACCATCCTGGCTGGGCAAGTCGCGACAACTGACGATGGTACAGCAAATTCGCGCGACAATGATACTAAAGGATAGTTGGATGCTGCAAGGATTCTGGAGAACATACTCGGATACATAGAGATGTCCTGTATTCCTCATTGCTCAATCATCCTAGCCCAGAACCGACTCGCTAACCCAGCCACTGGGGGAGGCAGATGCGTTGTACAAAATGTCAAGGACCTTCATTTGTGATTCTGAAATTCCGTATTTCTAAAGTAGAATATGGAAACACAGATCAAAGATTATGGTGCATGTACAAGCAGCGGCTCGCTCATCGAAAATTGCTTAGGCATAAGAGTAACCATCCTGCACTCCTGCACGTCTCTACCCTTAGACCCAAAATACCTCTCGCTCTCAAAACACCAGCAATAATCCGCTCGGACCCAATTTGCGATGCCGTGTAGATAGCGGGATGCAAGATCATCGATTTCAGATCCCCAGGACGGTATCTTCGTCCACAGCGTCAAAAATTGGGCTCCGATCGAGCGATGGTGTTCTTCTACCCACGATAAAGCTTGCCCGAGGTCACAGCTCAGCTCGTTCATGACAGAAGCGATGATATTATGAGGATGCTCTTCAAGCGCTTGCTCCTTATTGTACGAAGCAAGGTCCTGTAAACCATCGTGATTTATGAGTCCCGCCCTCAACGAAAAGAGAAGGAATATTCACATTATCCATGATTAGAAGGTCACAGCTCAAACGTCGCAAAGTAACGAGGGTTGGGTGGTAGAACACCTCGTCAGGCAAGTCATACCCTAGCTCTAGCATTGCATATGACGGGTAAGCACCGATGGTAAGACGACGGACATCGAAATAATCTTCAATATTCCGAATATAGCGATGATGGCGATCCTTTGCTTGTTGGACAACAGAATCGGTGTAGTGTTCAAAACTTTCGATGAAACGTTCCCGGGAGGTCCGGCTCGCTGACTTGATGCCAAGCGCCCAAAACCTGAGATCGTCGTCAGAATGAACCAGTATTAAAAGCAGGGAACCTTACTCCTGTGCAACGACCCCAAGAATTACCTCATCTTCGGGTCGAGGTCGAGTTGGGTTCCTGATAGCGTCCATGACGATATCTGCGTAGTGCCGGACAACTTCAGGAGGTGCATTGTCGGTGTACTCGTCGAAAACGAAAAACAAATTCATCATGTCGCATACAGTGCGAAGATGTTCTATGACATGGTTAGCCACTTGAAGAGAGAGCGAAACGACGTCAATACCTCTCGATGCCGTTGGGTATGCTAGCGAAGATAATAAACCTATGAAAAAGTTCAGTTTCGTCCCAAGTAGAGAAAGCCACCCGCACTGAAGTCGCAACGATCAAATGCACTGAAAAATGTCGATCAGTAGGAGCTGCAAAGCGGTATAATCAAAAGCCGACCTCTGAGCATCCGGTCCAAACGCTCTGAAGGAACAGAACCAAGCTCCAGATTCCCTCTTCACTTCCTCATAATGAGGATTGATCCTGCGAGACCACGGCCAATAGGACAGAGTGTCCGGAAGGCGAATAACTATGAGGTCGGATTCAGAACTTATGCTGTAGGACATTGAAATGAGACGTTGATGTTTCTACACCTGGAGATGGCCTGCACCTTTATACTTGGATTATAGCCGGCCTGGAATTTCTACCGTAGGCGTTATCTGCCTGCTAAAGGAATGAATTGCCAGGTCGAAGCCGAGAGCCGAGACCAGCCACCATTACTCCCGGATTTTAATCTAGGACCAGTGGAGGTACCATGGTATGTTATCGCGAGCATTTGAGATGTCAGGTGAGAATGTGTAACAGAACAAAATGCGCTAGGTAATGCCATATGTCTTTGTTTTGCTCCGCGGCAATCAGATCCGCTCACGGGGAGCAATTGACTCCCGTCGGAAGGAGGACTGAGCATGAGGCAATGCGCAAAGGTCCCAAAACAGGGTATTCTCGAGTTCATGTAGCAGGCTATTAACAGCACGCTCCATTGCATAGACAGATACTGAGCTGAATCGAGTGAAAAATCTGCTAAAGAGGTGCAACTTGCCCTCAGGGTGCGAGGACTACGGCGCGGAGGAGATGGTCTAGGCCTCAAAAGCGGGAAAAAATCACGGCGGTCACGGGAATAACTAGCGACATATGAGCACTAAGACTATGGTCGAACAAAATGGACGTTACGTGTCACGATGCGATGCCAGGGTGACTGGTGCTATTTGTGCGATAAGACGGTGGTTGAACAAAAAGTGGAGTTTTGTGTCACGATTTGATGCTCCATCAGGAAAACCGTCCCTCCGAGTTGAAAGGCTTTGGGTATTCCAAATATCTTCATCGCGGCAACAATTAGTACATCGTAATTCAAACGTTCATCCTATCAAGAGTAATCGCTGATTTGGGCGTGTACCCAAGGTAGTTCTTCACCTCGCATACATACAATCTTGTTTCAAGAAGCACTCTTGACTATTGGCTGAGACTAGGTCGACCATCCTTGGGGCGAAATATCTTCACAAAGAGCTTGGCCGTTCGAAGAGATATTGGCGAGAAACCGGCTTGAAACATCGCTTCTTAATTCAGACATGCATCCGAGCTAGTTCTTCCCGCGATCTTCGCGTCGCATAGTCTATAGATGGAATCTGGTTTCAAAAAGCATTCTTGACTATCGGATTAGTCCGACTGAATCCGTGGCGACTGTTCATATCTTCACAAAGAGATTGGTCATTCAAAGAGATCCTGTCTAGAAACTAACCTGAAACATCGCTTTCCTTCTGCCAACGTCGGTGGCGTCTACAGACTGTGAGAGAAGGCACGATAAGCGCTCTGCAAATTTACTCGCCTATGACCGTGACACCGTTTACCACGCAGTTTTATTTAATTGCTATCTTGTAGAACCGAGCTTGTGTGGTAGGACCTGTCATGCCGAACGAACGGAATACGGTTGAAATTTGAAATCTCTTGACTTTTTACTATTCATGTATAACTGTCACCAGCCTGCGCGTGTGCCAACGATATTAGTAGCACCAAGCCTGGCATCGTTCAGGCGAGAGACAAGAGGAAGATGTTCGGATTAGGAGGCACGTACATCGGAGACGCGAAATTTGGAGCGAGGGTTTGGGGGGAGTGAAAGCGTCCTATGTAGTTAAACGGATCTGACATTGAACTGAGATCCAAAGTACCTCTCACTTCCGAAATTCCGGCATTATATGCCGCCGACCGAGTTTGCGATGTCGTGTAGATATAGAGATGCAATAACTTCTGTCTCTGGTCCCCATGACGGTATCTCCGTCCACAATATCAAACACTTATTCCTCGTTGACCGGTGAATATCTTCCATCCGGAGAGTGCGGAGGCCGCATTTCAGCTCGTTCATGATGCAAACAATGATGTTATGGAGGGACTCTTCCAGTGCCGGCTCTTTATTGTACGAAACAAGGTCCTATGAAATGTGCGCATTAGTGCTGCAGTCGTGCGAGTTTCACGAAAGGCTATAAAGACATTACATGATTCATGATTCATGATCACTAGATCACAACCTACACTTTTCAGAGCAACGACAGTTGGAGGATTGAACACCTCGTCAGACAAATCATAACTGAGCTCTAGTATGGCATGCACCATGTAGATACCGAGATTTAGACGAGGAGTATCAACATAATCTCCGGCATTCCGGAATCCGGATATGACGGTGGCGTCGGCCCTCCGCTTCTTGAACCACCGTAGAATCCACATAATGTTTGAAGCTTTTCACGAAGTGTTTCTGAGGTACTACTAGCTGACTTCACGCGAAGAGTCCCAAAACCTGTAGGTCGATAATAGGCAGCCTGACACACGAGCGGAAATAACTTCACTCTTACGCAATGATACCAAGAACTATCTCGTCACTAGACCGAGGTTTAAAAGGATTTCTAATGGCGTCCATGACGACATTTGCGTAATCGACGCCTTCGGAAACAGAGTTGTCGGTGTGCTTACCGAAAACCAAAGCGAAAAGGAAAGTTATCAGATCGCACACAGTGCAAAGGCGTTCTACGAGAAAATTACTACAAAAAAATGGATCAAGAATTAACCTGCATACTTTTTGTTGTTGTTGAGCATCCTAGCGACGCCGTAAACCTTGGGGTCAACGTCAATAACCGACATGGCGTCTGAAAATTTTCATGTGGTCCAGTAGTCCAGCCTCCATGGGACGCGCTCCAAGTCTCAATAGTACGATGAAGTGATATGTGGCGTCCCATATACCATTATCGAACGCAGTGACGAGGTAACAGATAGGGTCAAAAGTTGTTGATGGTCCGGGCGTGGTGTTTACGACATGCCGAACTAGAGCAAATAGAATACTCGAGGATGACTTTTGGGATGTGTGGAGGGTAGATAGTACGCCGGAAATTGAGGGTAAGCTTGACATCCTCGTATGCGAAGACGGATAAGATAGCAAGGAGCATTCTACAAAAAAATATGCCATACTGAGATTCAACTGGTCGTTGAACACTGTTTGGTATCTGCGTGCACAGGAGGCGAACGGAACCGACGATGAAAATGGTTCTCCGCCTCACTAGATCTCCCGGTCGCCCTTAATTATTCCAGCATACAGAAAACCGCCGAGGCGCAGTCGAGGGAACGTGCTCAGACGAACGAGCTATCGGGGAGTAGTGCAACCGTCTTCGGTACATCCTCCCTGAGTCCCTCACACCTTCTTCTTTCTCATGTCGCGGCCGGTAGACCGCTGTCCAGTCCAGACAGGGGTACTATCAGGATTGTTGTCCTGGGATCGAGTACTTGTATTTTGGTGTTGAGAGGTACTTTGCCTAGCGGTTTCATGTCTTTCGGTCACCACGTCTAAAACAGTAAACGATAATGTTATCATCCTGGTGGACAAGGTCTCTAGCAAAGAAACTTACCTCAGCCAATTATCCGGCCTTCAGGCAACTCGATACAAAAAACCTTATTGATTCCTTCCAAGTATCAGGCCGACCAACGTAGGTACAACAAGGTGAGACAAGATTCGGGTTTTTCTCCCTTTCCTTGGAAGTTACTGGTGGCGGCAAGCGACGAGAAAGTAGTTCAAACTCCGAATCAACCCTTTGGGTAAGTTTGCGTGTCTACACCAGGTCGGGCCGGATGACACCGTTTCGGAGGTTGAAACTACTTCTCCGTCCATGTTCTGTCCACCGCGTCCGCATGCCTGTGTGCAGCGATAATTGTCTCTTCGTTATGGCTAATTTTTCTTGGGAAAAGGTGTGAAGACTTGTGGGGCATGGTCTGTCCAAATCCATTTTTTGTCAGTCAGGCAGCAAGCGCGTTGAGAAATCAGATAGAATATGATCAGATACTGAGTCGGAATAAGGTACAGAATAAGTAAATATAGTAACCGTAAGTAGCCGAATGAGCACAGCCTCAGCATTTTTGAGCCCGACCCGGCTTGCTGAACTTGATGATATATTTTTCATTTCTCTGAGACTTTTATCTCACTGTTTCAAGTGACCCTTTACTCATCGTTGGTTTTCGCAGACTCTCAGGCTTAGCTCTCTAGGCAGGACCAATTAACGTGGCCCTTATGCATTGTCCTCTTCAATGACTCCGAGCAATAGGTTTCGGATGGTTCTATATACAGGGACGCCCATAGTGTTTTGCTACCTAGATGCTATAATATCTCTGGGAAACATTCCAATCTTCGTTGTGAAGGACGAGGGCGTCACCCGAAAAGGCGAGATGGAACGCTGTCCGTCGAGGCATCCATTTCTTTCAGTAACCGAGCAATCGAGCATGTTTGAGAGCATCATCAGCCCTTCGGGTTCTTCCTGCACATTCGTTCAGTTTTGCATTTACTCTCACTAACGCCACCTAACCTGAGTGTACTCGTTCATGCGGAGCAGGGCGGACTCCAGTGTCCTTACGTTTTAAAAACATGCACGATTCTTGTTCTATGGACATTACCTCGCATTCGCAGTAGGCGTGGCCGTTACGTTTCATGATGATTATATACGGATATGGGTCCATATAGGTCCAAAGGATCCGCGGAAGCAAAACCGATCAATGCTAACAGTTGGAGTCAGCATGCAGAGGTCTGAAAACATGTGGAATCTTTGGCCTCTTTTTATAAATATGTGTTTCAAGGGCAAGACACTCATTGCCGTCGTTGAGACACTAGTGTCGTAAGCCAGAGATCTCATCAGTGGAATTAGACTGTGCACGCACTATTCGATCTTCCGAACAGATAGCAGGTACCAGTCGATACACTATATGTTCTTCCGGCTACTGTAATATACACGAAAGTATAGCTAACGGCTAAGCAGAATGGTATGCGTGTATGAGAAGCGGTTCGCTCGCCGAAAGTTGCTTGGGCATCAGAGTAACCAACCTGTGCTTTTGAACGGCTCTACCATTTGATCCAAAGTACCTCTCGCTCTCAAAACACCAGCAATAATCTGCCCGGACCCAATTCCCAATGCCGTGTAGATAGCGGGATGCAAGATCATCGATTTCAGGTCCCCAGGACGGTATCTTCGTCCACAGCGTCAAAAATTGGGCTCTGATCGAGCGATAGTGTTCTTCTACCCACGATAAAGCCTGGCCGAGATCACAGCTCAGCTCGTTCATGACAGAAGCGATGATGTTATGAGGATGCTCTTCAAGCGCTTGCTCCTTATTGTACGAAGCAAGGTCCTGTAAACAATCATGATTTATGAGTCCCGCCCTCAACGAAAAGAGAAGGAATATTCACATTATCCATGATTAGCAGGTCACAGCTCAAATTTCGCAGAGAAACGACGGTTGGGTGGTAGAACACCTCGTCAGGCAAGCCATACCCTAGCTCTAGCATTGCATATGGTGGGTAAGCGCCGATGGTAAGACGACGGACGTCGAAATAATCTTCAATATTCCGAATATAGCGATGATGGCGATCCTTTGCTTGTTGGACGACAGAATCTGTATAATGTCCAAAGCTTTCGACGAAACGTTCCCGGGAGGTCCGGCTTGCCGACTTGATGCCAAGCGCCCAAAACCTGAGATCGTCGTCAGAATGAACCAGTAACAAAAGGCACGGAACCTTACTCCTGTGCAACGACCCCAAGAATTACCTCATCCTTGGGTCGAGGTTTAGTCGGGTTCCTGATTGCGTGCATTACGATGTCTGCGTATTGGCGGACAACTTCAGGAGTAGCGTTGTCGGTGTACTCGTCGAAAACGAAAAACAAATTCATCATGTCGCATACGGTGCGAAGATGTTCTACGACGTGGTTAGCCACAGGAAGAGAGAGCGAAACAACGCCAATACCTCTGGACGCTGTTGGGTATGCCAGCGAGGATAATAAACCTATGAACAAGTTCAGTATCGCCCCAGGTAGAGAGAACGAGACATACTGAAGTCACAACGATCAAATGCACTGAAAAATGTCGGTCAGTAGGAGCTACAAAGCGGTACAATCGAGAGCACACCTCTTCACTTCCGGTCCAAACGCTCTGAAGGAACAGAACCAAGTACCTGATTCCCTCTTCACTTCCTCATAATGAGAATTGATTCTGCGAGACCATGGCCAATAGACCAGAGTGTCCGGAAGGCGAATAACTATGAGGTCGGATCCAGAACTCATACTGTAGGACATTGAAATGAGACGTTGATGTTTCTACACCTGGAGATGGTCTGCACCTTTATACTTGGACTATTGCCGGTACGGCACTTCTCGGGTAGGCGTTATCTGCCTTCTAAAGGAATGAATTGCCGGGTCAAAGTCGAGACCAGCCACCATTACTCCCAGATATTAAATCTAGGACCAGTGGAGGTACCATGGTATGTTATCGCGAGCATTTGAGATGTCAGGGGGAAATGTTTAACAGAACGGGATGCGCTAGGTAATGCCATATGTTTGTTTTACTCCACAGCAAACAGATCCGCTTACTGGGAGAAATTGACTCCCGTCAGAAGGAGAACTGAGCATGAGGCAATGCGCAAAGGTCCCCAGACAGGTATTCTCGAGTTCCATGTAGCAGGCAATTAACTGCACGCTCCATTGCATAGACAGATACTGAGCTGAATAGAGTGAAAAATCTGCTAAATAGAGTTACAAATTGCCCTTAGATTCCGAGCACTATGGAGCAGAGAAGATGGTATGGAGCAAAGATGATGGCCTAGGCCTCAAAAGCGGGAAAACATCACTGCGGTAGCGGAGATAACTGGCGACATATGAGCACTAAGACAGTGGTCGAACAAAACGGACCTTACGTGTCATAATGTGATGCCAGGATGACTGGTGATATAAGTGCGATAAGACGGTGGTCCAACAAAAAGTGGAGTTTTGTGTCACGATTTGATGCAAAAGGATTTGGGAATTTGGAATATCTTCATTGCGGCAACAGTTAGTACATCGTGGTTCAAATGTACATCCTAATCAAGAATAATCGTTGATTTGGACGTGCACCTAAGCTACTAGTTCGTCGCCTCGCATAGATACAATCTTGTTTCAAGAAGCACCCCTGACTATCGGGCGAGACTAGGACGACTATCCTTGAGGTGAAATATCTTCCCCAAGACCTTGGCAATTTGGAGAGAGCTCGTCGAGAAACTGGCCTGAGACATCCAAGAAACATCGATTCTTAGCCCAGACATGCACCCAAGCTAGTTCATCTTCACGCGATCTTCGCGCTACATAGTCCATAGATAGAATCTGGTTTCAAGAAGCACTCTTGACTATCGGGTTGGCCTCACTGAAGCTGTGGAAACTGTCCATATCTCCCTAAAGAGCTCGGCGATTCGAAGAGAGCTTGTCGAGAAGCTAGCCAGAAGTATCTCTTTCCTTCTACCATGGTCGATAGCATCTACAGAGGCACGATAAGCGGACACCGCCTGCCAGTCTTCTTTAATCGCTGTCCTGTAGGACCGAGCTTGTGGTAGGACCTGTCATGCTGAACGAACGGAAGAAGCTTGAAGCTAGAAGGCCTTCGTCGTTTATCACACGCTGTAATCCAATATATGCATGAACGTTAAGTTTGATTGATAGCGGCACAACAAGGTGTAGTGGTAGAACTACAGTGATATGAAAACAAAAAGAACACTGGTGGCGAGGGTATCACCTGCCTGCGCGTGTGCCGACGATATCAGTAGCACCAAAGGACCAGGCTTCGAGAAGGCGAGAAACAAGAGGTAGGCATCAGGGTTAGGAGATGCGTACATCGGCGAAGCGAAATTTGGAGCGAGGGTTTGGGGAGGAGAGTAGCCATGAACGACTGTGGCATTGGACTCAGATCCAAAGTACCGTTCACTTTCGAAATTCCAGCATTCGATACCGCGGACCCAGTTTGCCGTGCTGTGCAAATGTAGAGATGCAATGACTTCGGACTCCGGTCCGAGTCCCCACGACGGTATCTCCGTCCACAGTATCAAAAACTTATTCCTTGTTGACCAGCGAAGATCTTCCACCCACAAGAGTGCAGCATGGAGGTCGCATTTTAGTTCGTTCATGACGCATACAATATTTTTATTTTTTGGAACCCCCTTGGTTATGGGGATGCTCTTCCAATGCCCGCTCTTTATTGTATGAAGCAAGGACCTATGAAATGTGCGCATTAGTGCTGCAATTGTACGACTCACGAAAGGCTAGAAAGGCTTTGCATGATTCATTCACCAGGTCGCGATCTAGACCATGTAGATACCGATGTTCAGACGACGAATATCAAAATAATCTTCGACATTCCGGATATGACGGTGGTGTGTCGATCCTCCACTTCTTGGAGTACAGAATCCATATAACGTTCAAAGCTTTCCACGAAGTGTTTCTGAAAGATACTACTAGCCGACTTCATACCAAGGGTCCAAAACCTGTAGGTCGATGATAGGAATCAGCCCGTCACACAAGCAGAAATAACTGTACTGTTGCGCAATGATACCAAGAACTAGGCCGATGTTTAGAAGGGTTTATAATGGCGTCCATAACGACATCTGCGTAAGTGACGAACGATTTCAGGAGGAAAGTTGTCGGTGTGCTCATCGAAAGCGAAAAAGAAAGTCATCGGATCGCGCACAGTGCGAAGGCGTTCTACGAGGAGATTACTACAAAAAATGGATCAAGATTAAGGTGCATACCTTTTGTTACTGTTGAGCGTCCTAGCGACGCCGCTAAACCTTGGGGTCAACGTCAATAAGCGACGTAGCATCATGACTCCAAAGGAAATGCCATAACGCGATCGAATGCTCTGGAAATCTCTCCAGTCGGTTTAATCGGACACTACAACGTAACCCAAGAAACGTTACAGCCGGGGCTTGGTGGAAGTCAATGAAGTATGCATGAACGGTCACGAAAACGATTTTACCCCGCTTTCTACTAAATTTTCCAGAAAGTTACCGATATCTATGTTTCCCAGGGCGTGGGATCTGCTGGAAAGTCAGCTCAGCGCTTCTTCAGATGATGTGGGAAAGGAGCACGGTGGTAATCCAATCTATACATGAACGTTTACTTGGATTGATAGCGGTACAACAAGGTGCGAGATATACTAGATGGTAGAACTACAGTGGTATTACTATGGGAAAAAAAAGGACACGGGGGTGGCGAGGGTATCACCAGCCCGCGCGTGTACCAACCATATTAGTAGCGCCAAACCAAGGCGTCGAAAAGGCGATCGGGGAGAGGAAGGCATTGGGGTTAGGAGACGCGTACATTGGCGACGCGAAATTTGGAGTGAGAGTTTGGGGAGGGTACACAGGTTGCGGGGGATAGGCTTGGGATTGTGGAGGCGGAACTGGTTGTCGGGATGGCGGGGAATAGTTGTCGGGAGGGATATAGCCTTGGGATTGTAGTGGAGAGCTTTTTGGAGGCTGATAAGGGCTGGCTGAGCTGGTTTGAGGCGGCTGATACGAGCTCGGCTGGGGCTGCGATGGATAGCCATGGGCTGGGAATTGATAAGGGTTCGTTTGAAGGAAATGAGCCTGTCAGAGGCTGAGTTGGTGGTGGCTGGAACAACGTCTGCGAGCTGGTTTGAGGAGGGAACGAGCTGGTTTGAGGCTGAGCTGGTAGGTGGATGATACGAGCCCGTCTGAGGCGGTGACTCGTCGCCCTCTGTGGACGTATCCGACTCTGAATCCGAATCCGAGCCTGAATCCGAGTCCGAGTCGTCCGGTTCGACCCATTCTCCCATCAGATACCTCCCTTTTGGCTTCGCCCTCTTCTTGCGCCTCAAACTCTTCTCCCACTCCCGAATCTCCGCCTCCTCTTGAACAGACATGATACTCGTCTGTCTCGCAATCGTCTTGGTAATCACACCCGGGTTGTCCCTCAACCAATCCTCGACCAACCTCACCGCATCCCGGATTCTCACGCGCATCTCCGCCAACTTCCACGCAGGCCATGCATCGTACCCCATCGTCGCACACTCCGCCCTAACCCACTGCTCCACGATCTCCTGCGTCCACTTCCCGCCTCCTTTCACTCGGAGTCCATTCAGGAGTATCACCACCACGTCACCCGCATCGTACTTTTCGTATCGCATGAGCTTCAGGCCGACAGCCCACCCAGGTGAGACGCTGACCATGCGAACGCTCCCCCGCTCAAAGATCGTATTCTGGGTGAGATTCCCAGGGTGCGTGCTGCCCTCCCATACACCAGGGGGCAGTGCCACGTCGGCGTCGGCGTTCATCCAATCGGCACCTAGACCTGGGAAAGCTCGTGAGGTTTCGGTGATCGCGCGTGTTAGTGTCGTGCGGACGTCTTCGCCGAATGGTTTGGCTAGATAATCAACATCTAGGGTGCTTTGTCGGGAAGTCGGGATTGTTTGATAAGAAGGGTGGAGGAGCATCGCAGCGCCGCCGTGTATGACAAGTAGCAGAGACGGGATGTAGTATGGCGATCCAGGATCTGAGAGTTGGTCGCAGAGGAACTTGAGGAGCATTTCCAGCATGTCGCGCGCCAGTGGGAGGGTGTTAGTCGTCATCTTTCCAGCATTAGTGTTAGTAGTGGTCAACAAACCGAACGGAACCTTTTTATTCCCGCCTCGTGTAAGTCACGTGAGAACCCTAAACCCGACGATGCTGCGCCGTTGCCACGAGGCTATCTCGATTCCACAAACCCTTTACAATTCTCTCAGGTGTTACTGATTGGCTGAAACCCTGCTGCTGTGTGATCCCTCGTTCCGGTAACAGCACCACATGCGTTCTCCATACCCCTTCAGCGTGTTCACACAGCTGCCTCTGACTCAACGCGTCAAATAACCCCATGCAAATTTTTCACTACAGCTACAACGGTACCCGTATGCTATAAGAACGGGTAGCACAGCATTCCTCACAGGTTCGGGCGGGAAGACAACTCGTCTTCGCGCGTATTCTTCTGGGAGGCGCCTCGTCGCTTCCCCAGTATTGCCACACTTGATCCCTGGACGAAACCTCATACAGCGTTCACTGGCTGGGGGATCAAGTTTGGGCTACTGAGATTCTAGACCACCGCCAACGTTACTGTCCGTAGTCCCCAATGAAAGGAAGAATGCCGAACGGGACGCGTCGATCATGACGTACCTGGAATCTGAAGCGGGCGAAAATCCCCCATGTTAGTGACAATTTTCCTCTAGGATTCTAGAGCGTGAAGACTAATTACGATTACGAACCCCTGCCAGGGTAGAAAGTGTTCCGAGGGCTGAGTTGCGTGCATGCGTGTATTGCTGTCTTTTCATTATGGTGGGAACTGCTACTCATGTCAACATGTATTCCTGTGTACTTATTAACCGACATGCTGTGTGTCGTAAATATATCAGGAATAGCCTCAGAATCATAGCGCCCAACTTCTTTTTGCATGATGTCGAGTTGCATCTATGATCACTCGTTCGTCAGGGCGTGTGCGGTATCGTTGCCACGATACAGCCTCGTGAGCGTGAGTTGTTTTTAATGAGTCGTCTAAGAGGAATTTGGAGGAAGAGGTGTTCCATTTACCAAGCTGAAGAATATTGGTACTTTCTGATAAAGGTCTAGCGATGAACTGTTTTCGTCGTCGATTGAGGCTGGGACTAAGAACCTCCCAGGGGAAGACTTATGGATAAGACTACCGGTATGGTTTTTCGACGTCACAACTAAGATCTCAGATCTCGGATGGAAGATTATCCGTTGAACTGAGCTTGATGAGAAGAGATCCATCTTCAACTTCCTCGGAAATCTTCCTCTCCGATATTCAGGTACTGAAACTTGACTCATAACAACGGGGGGCAAGCATCAAAAAATACCGAAGCACTGTACAAAGGCCCTTGACAGCAACAGCAAAAAATAAAAAATAAATACAACATACCCCGAAAGAAACGATAATGTAGGTCCGGTGAAAGATTATAGCGTCTGTCCAAGAAGTGACGAGTCACTCATCAAAAACCTCTTGGGCATGAGAGTAACCATTCTATGCTCCTGCACCGCTCTGCCATTGGATCGAAAATACCTCTCGCTCTCAAAACTCCAGCAATAATCCGCCCGTACCCCATTCGCCACGCCGTGCAAATACTGGGATGCAAGACCATCGATATCAGGTCCCCAGGACGAGATCTCTGTCCACATCCTCAAAAATCGGTTACGGATAGACCGGTGGCGATCGGATACCCACGATAGAGCTTCCCCCAAATCGCAATTCAGCTCATGGATGACGGAAGTGATGATATTATGGGGATACTCTTCCAGCGCCTGCTCTTTATTATACGAGGCGAGGTCCTGGAAAGACATGAGCATCGCAACCGAACGGAAGGATAGAACTTGAAAAACCTTACATTATCCAGGATTATTAGGTCACAACTCATCTGTCGCAGAGCAACGACAGTGGGATGGTAGAACACCTCGTCGGGCAAGTCATACCCTAGCTCTAACATCGCATATGACGGGTCAACACCAATGGTAAGACGTCGAACATCAAAGCAATCATCTATGCTCCGGATACAGTGCTGATGACGATCCTTTGCTTGTTGGATAACCGAATCTACAAAATACCCAAAGCTTTCGACAAAGCGCCTCTGGGAAGTCTTGCTCGCCGACTTGATGCCAAGTGCCCAAAACCTGAAAGAGGGGGGATCGTTAGTGCGAGCGGAGACTGGAGGGAAGAAAACCTTATCACTCCTGTGCAATGGCCCCAAGAACGACCTCGTTTCTGGGCCGTGGTTCATCCTGGTTTCTGATAGCGTCCATTATAATATCTGCGTATTGTCGAACTGTCTCAGGAGGAGCGTTGTCGGTGTACTCGTCGAAAACGAAGAACAGGTTCATCAAATCACACGCAGTCCGAAGATGTTCTACAACGCAGTTAGCCGCACAAAGAGAGAAAGCGAAACGACTCACAGTACCTCTGGATGCCGTTGGGTATGCCAGAGAACATAATAAACCTATGAGCAAGTTCAGTACCACTCAACTACAGAGAACGAACCATACTGAAGTCGCAACGATCAAATGCACTGAGTAAATCCGATCAGTATGAGTTAAGTATAAAGCAGCGTAATCGAGAGCATTACAGCTGAGCTTCCGGTCCAAATGCTCTGAAAGAACGAAACCAAGCCTGTGATGCAGCCTTGACTTCCTCATAATGAGGGTTGATTCTACGAGTCCACGGCCAATAAGTGAGAGTGTCCGGAAGGCGAATAATGATGTCGGTACCAGAGGTCATACTGAGAATGCCGAGTCGACTTGCAGATCTCTACAGTTATATATTACCGCCTTCTGTTGGCAGTTCGGAGTCTACAGAAGGGTCAAATGCCCAGAGCCTTCGGGTTTTGCGAGTGCATGAAGCAAGATATTCATTTTCATGACAAGATAAGAAAGAAGACGTCAATTGAGGGACTTGACCAGTCGACATTTCTGGAGAATGAATGGATCAGATCATGGAAGGGTAAGCAGTAGTTGCTTTTTGAACGTATCGTTGGTACTGCTTCTGATGAAAAACCATTTAGAGTTGCCACAAGGTTGATCAGTATACTCAGTCCTGAATTTCGCAGGAACCGAAACCGTAGGGAGATGGTAGCCGTAGATAATTCAAATTTTAGTGAGTATTGCTGCGAGACCGAGATGAGAAGCTTCAGGATTGTGTTGGGGCGCAGATGCGCTCGCAAACGTAGTTGTCTTGTGTGTATATCTATAGTAGACGGTTGTTTAAATGTTTAAACAAGAATGATCCGCTAAATACGGATAGACATCAGTTACGGTATTCGAGATAAAAACGGACCCAGCTATAGACCTAAATTGTGGAAGGTGAGGCGATCATTGAAAAGGACCGGTAAGTGGAGATGTCAATGATCCCATTCACACGTTGTCGGTTTTATTTGCGTTGCCGGTCCGTAAACGTTTTGTGATCCAAGAACAACTGTTCAGCTTGACGGCTTGATGCAGATGCTTGATGCAACTGGGTGAAGATGCGATCGGGCAGGAAGAAACAGTTGCACAGTCCTCCTATACTTGCATGCAGGTAGGACGTCTGTTTGTAGCAGATGGTTAGTTCAAAAGGAGTGATTTGTGAAATATGGATAGGCTGACGGAAGTATCAGCCACGTTTTTCAGAGAAATATCGATCGAATAATAGATCTTAGTAACCAGCAAGCATGGACTGGATATGACAACGACGCATTTCACAGTAAAGTTGCTGTCAGGAGACTTCGAGATCATCAACTCACTTCCTCTTGAACAGGTTTCCGGTTCCCTTCATTTCCGGTCCAGAATGTTTCACGGTTCCTGACAACGAAGATCAATGGTTTCAGCTGGAGTTTTAAGGTATTCTACGTACCGGTTCCCCTCCTTCAAGACTGAGTTTATTGCGTACGAATGCGGTCGAGCATGTGGAAACGGCCGTGCGTCCCTGTAGCTCTCGTTATTTAGTACTCATTTTCACTGGATCGGTTGGAGGATCCATACCAAGATCCCTGCCATCGTCAAGATTTCAAGAGTTACCGGTGAAATAGAAACACCGGGGATAGCAGCTAAAATGAAGAGGGATGTTCCGCACAACGTCCGAGAAGAGATGAGCGAGAAGCGAGCATTAACCTTCGTGTGAATATGCGGCATCAAACATAGGACCTTCTCATCATCAATAACGGACCTGAGCGATAGCCTACCACATATTTGAGTCCATTTAACAAAACCTCCTAGCAGAATGGTAAGGAAAGCAGTCTTTTCATTTCGGCTGACAGGATATAGTCTCTGTGAGATCCTGTTGAAGTCAGGCCTATCCAAACATGATAGACTTGTCAACTCACCCACTACCGTCAGATACTTCGTACCTAGATCCAGCAATATACGTTCAGGCAAACGTAAATCTCAAGGCTTCGTTAAATACGTTTGAGCCACCTCCGAAACCTTGGGATCAATTTTACCCAGAATCTCTAGCATTTCATCCTAAACAAGGAAAACGAATCACCTATCAATCCCACGAATTGCTCAGCAAAGATCCACTCACCCAAACCTTATCCTGGACGATCTTCCCATCCTCGCTGATCACAAAGTCGCTCTCCTCTACGACCTCAGACATGTGAATGTACTTTCCCCGAAGTTTCTCCTCATTATCCAGAGATCCTACTGCACCGTAGACTAGCTGCCGGCTCCCCTCTTCCGTAGTGAACGCAAATTCCTCTCGTCTCTTTCGCATACGCTCAGCCTGCTCGCCAGAGGCACCAGATCCGAGACCCGAGAAACAAAATCCGGGGTTCACAGAGTTGACGGTGATAGCTGGGGAAGACGGGACATGAAGCTGAAGAGCTCGGGCAAAGAGAACGTTGAGCACTGGCGTTACGAGTGAGGCAGAGTTCATATGAAGAGGAATCAATGGGTTACCCACGTTTGGTATCACGATATCGGTGCTCCATTACCCTATTTATAGGTCAGTGCACAAAGAGGTCATAACGAATCGAGACGCACTCTTTCGTGCAATACTCCTCGTCTGACAGCTTCGCAAGGATACCTGGAGAAGCGATCACATCCGTTTCGATCTTCGTCCAGTAGTGGGTGTCGCTTGCAACGATTACTAGTCTCGGATTCACTGAATGGTTGCGTGCCGTCTCGAGCATTTTTGGGATCATACGAATAGCGAGTAAGCCGGGTCCGAGGTTGTTCGTGTGTATCCTAAAGATATCAATGAGTATTCGTCACCCAGAGGCAGGTAGTCGCATACGTTTTCTCCCAACCCTCCACTTGTTCGTAGTCCCGTGTAGCAATGCCAGCATTCTCTACGAGGATATCCAATCGCTCCAGTTCTCGGTCAGCTCTATCAGCGAACGCAATGACACTGTTGAAATTGAGGAGATCGATAATCCAAAATTCTGCCGTGGAATAGCCAGTGTCGGCTTGGATCTCTGTAAGGATCAGGATCAGCCAGGCTCGCAAATCTGATAATCGAATGAACCTACCGGCAAGAGCTTGCTTCCCCTTTGCTTCATCTCTTGCAGTCAATACCAGCCGCGCAGGGTTCATCCTAGCAAAATGTTTCGCGGCTTCGAATCCTAGTCCAGCATTAGCGCCGATCAGGACAAGTGTCTTCCCGCTCAAGTCAGCGGTGACGACAGCGGGCACAGGTCCGGTCTGTTCTGCGACCCATTGCTCGTGAGTTCTGGGAGCCATTGTAAGGTATCAAGAAGCTGTTTGTGCTCCCCGGCTTTATAGCATAAGGTTTGCTCGCAACCCGTTCTCATCGCATGCGGGCCAGAAATAGATTCTCTCCGCAGCTTGCACCTCAATCCTATTATAAACGATGTAGTGATAGCCGTGAATCGGCCAAGTCGAGATGAGGCAAGTGGCCGTCACCCTACCTACGCCGGAATGTGAGTCGCATAGGAGCTGAAATACGACAATGAGACTTACAATCTATTTGGTACCATTCTGGTGGATCAGATGTATACATTCCTACAGTGGAACCAAGTAAACCGTGTGATGATAGCAAAACAAGCAAGAAGGCCGTATAAGATAGCAGGCGGACATAAGTGTGGTTAGTATACCCATTGTGAAGAAGTCCTCCGCGCTGAATGCCAGACTATTAGTCACATCATGGCCCACACATGGAAATGCACATACATTCCATTGAATACCCCATCGTTGGTGCGTTCCACAATGTGATCCGTGGAGTGGAGAGATACCATGGGAACAAAATAAAGTAAGTAGCAGCAGTGAAACAGGCAGAACGAGCACTTCAGAGATGTAATATGACGACAAACATCTTCGCCTTCAGCGAGACAGCAGTCTTCTCGCCATAGGAAGGGCAGAAACGATAGGATTGACTCGTACTTGCCAGCAAAAGGATTGCGTTGGTTGCTTGAGAACACAGGATGGATAGTTTTCCAAAGATAGTGATAGCATTGAACAGAAAATCTAACAGATATGTGTATGTATGCGCCTGTCTAGACGTCAGACAAGAGCAAGAAAGACAAACGCGAGAACGCACATATCATATTATTGCAATCCCATCCGGACGGTTGAAGTAGAGTAGCGAACTAGAGAATATTAGCGAGATGCCCCAGGGAGGGGAAAAATACTCACGCGCTGCCAGAACTTCCTGGTTCCGACCACATCTATAACCAGACTCCAACGAAGACGCTCGTCCTTCCGCTTTGAGATAGCAAAAGGCGGTTAGTTAGAAACGCTGTTGAAAGAAACCGGCGTGCATACTAGCGTTGGGTTCCTTGTTCCTTTGGCGAGGTAGACTTTTCGTCGTAGTTACTACTGGAGAGATAAGAGTCTGAATGCATATAGACGGCGAGCCTACTTACTGATCTCCCCCGGCATGCTAGAGACTTCGCTCTTCAAGGACTCTCCCTCGTGCATTGATGTCTCAGCTTTTGTTTCGCGTTTCCGGTACCGGTTCGTGAAGGCGTGACGGAAGGCGAGATTCATCTGTAGAGTGGAGATCATTATCGAAAAGCGAATGGGCGAGTAGTTTATGTGGTGCGGTGGTGGAGGTTGTGGTGGAAATAGGTGAAAGAGAGGCAACTCTCTTGTTGGTCGCGTGAATGTCTCGCTGCCTTTTTTGGATAACGCGTCGACTCCTTTCAACTAGGCGCGCCTTGGGGATACTGAGAGCTGGATTTCCGTATGTAGGCTACAGAAGAATTATCAATGGCGACAATGATAGGTAACCCGATGGTTGTGAACCTTCAGCCCTTTGTCTATGCGGGTAATATCGGGGGAGCAGGGAGGCTAATTGGCTAACGATTAGCTACGAAGATGGCAATAAGGAGTATGCGACATATCTATATGCCCAAACCTATTTCTCCAGAATCCTGCCAACATTCAACTGTCAACTCGCATCGTCGCTGCGTGGATTTCCTACGCCATCGTTGGTCACCGTGAGTTCTTAATGGGTACTATCCTAGAATTTGCCTATGTCATGAAGCTCCTCATCGCGAGAGTCTTCACGTTTTGTAATAGCATCATCCTAGGAGTAGTAGTGACGCGAGATAAGATGCGGACGTGATGATAGCAGTGCAGAAGGACAAGTCAATTTCAAAATCAGCCTTCCTCATTTTGGTTTGTCAGCATCTCAGGTCGACGAGTACTAAAGCGTCTCAGAACTTGAGGATAGCAGTCAATACCCATTCGTTATCATATCTTGAGTCTCTAGCACCGTCCCCGGGCTCGATTGTAGTATCGAATAAAGTAAATTCAAAATAAGATAAAATTCTGCCGATGAACCTCGGTAACAAATTCTTTGTTCAGATGTCTAGCGCTATTGTTCGTGTGAGTATTCAAATTACTAATAGATAGTTTGTTGTATACTGCCAAAAAGTATTCGACCTCCCTCCGAGACTATTTCATCCTCGCCACTGTGCAACGTTCTAAGAAATATGCGATAGTTCACCAGAGGTAGATGCAGCCCCTGCATACCGGCACTCCTGAACGGCCCGTGGAGTGACGGTGTAGAACGATCCAATCCCAGGTTCACGAATCGCTAGACTCAGGGAACTCTGCGGAGGTAAGAGGATGATATTTGGAGTTTTCGTCCTGGTCTGCACCCAGGTCCCCGCACTCAAAAGCAATCCAAATTCAAGTAAAACTGAATTGAAGATTTGTTCAACATGCTCGGACTCCGATGGGAGACAAGTTCTGAAATTCGGATAGAAGGAATCAGCATGACATGATATGTTGATGGTAACATACCCGATACGTCACGTTGAATTAATCCCTTGCCAGTGAAATGCCGAAGGTTGCTGATAGTACTCGTAAGTCTGTGCAACTATGCAGAAGAACAGATACTGCAAATAAATACATTACTTGATCCAAAATGACTGTCAGAATCGAAGTCAACACTACTGAGCTCAGGAAAGTGGCTGAGTTCACTTACCAGTTGAGTCACATCACGAAATGAACCGCATTCACCAGAAATAGACGAAAATCAGGGCCACGGCGACGTCATCGAGGTCTTGGTTCACCGACAAGTGGTGAATGGGCAAGGTGAGCATCGTGAGGCGGATTTAGGCCATTGATATGCTTGATACGTCAAGGGTATCCTGTTCATTCGAAAGATGGAAGAATTACACGAGAACGGTGGGGATCGAGAAACACGCAGAGGAGAACATTGTGGTAAAAGAACTAAAGCTCCGTACGGTTCCTTGAATACCCGGGTCCGGGTGTCTGAAAACCTATTAATTTTGAACCCGCAGATCAGCAGGTCCGGGTCAGCAAACAGGCAACTTGATCAATTTGACGCGTCAGCCACGTACTCCCACGGCTTTCTTCTTTCCGTCGTACCATCATATCTGCTCACGTCACTCACTCATGCTTTCGGTGATGTAGTCTTCACCCTCTAAACCTCAAGGGACGCCTGCAATGTTCAAAAATTCGGGAGCAAGATAATTTTGATGGAAGATATCACCTTAACTGCGCATGTAGGTAAGCGGCAATTCGTATTAGTGTCTTCTTTGAACCTTCTAACGTGTTTCCGTTTCACGTCAGGATTAGAAGACATCAGGCGATAATTCACTCAAGAGACGAATAAGAGATTTTAAACATCATGCCATCATTACACGGCACAGTATCTCCATGCACGCAGGACGCACAAGGATACGACTTGTAACAGCACTAAGAAACCCAATCCTCCCTACCATCTAGTCAACTTCCAAGCACGAGAGCTCACAAGCGACCCAAGTTGAACTACCCCAGCCGTTGTAATACAGATAGTCAGGATCATGGTGCGTAGCAAGGAAAAACAGCATGTCACTGAATACGTCAAGGCGGAGTCGGATTGGCACGCATACAGGAACAATAGTGAGATATGTATGAGATTACAAGGACATGACACCACGAGAACAGGTGTGAAAATAAACCTAACATAAATACGAGAAGAAACGTAGAAACCCATGACCATAACGAACTCCACTTTGAACGGATGACTCAAGAGGGCATAGAACTCAATTAGATTCACCGAATCTACCGCAAAAAGCCATTAGCGTTCTCCCGGTACCCACTACCAAGTAACGGGAAATCCCGCATGAATCTGTCATGTGAGATCAAGGAAGCGAGCCTTCCCGCTTGCCGGCCTTAGTTGGTTATTAACAAAACCCTCGGAGGAAGAAGGTAAAGAGACAGTTGGGTTTATTAATAAAACCCTCCTAGTCCTAGCTTGGTCCCAGCCCGTGTTCAGCGATGAAACTCTTGCTGAACAGGTGGGTGCACTGGCGCAGGCTGCTTCCAAAAAACGTATTGCGCTATATTGTTATAGCAAACAAATTCGAGTTTTTCTTCCTTATTTCGTATGAACTGAAAGTTTACCTACCATCACCCACACCTCACATATACTTACCAGGCTCATCTTGCAAATATCAAAAGAGTACGCGCGCTCGAATCGCTCGAATTCTGGGAAGGGATCAGCGCCACGGGTTCTTTTTCATCCCACTTCCAAACTCAACCTTTTGGTCCCTTTTGAAGACGGTTTTCCTGATGCAGCATCAACTTGTGACATTGAAATCCACTTCTTGTTTAATTCGACCTCCATCTTGTTGCTCACATACTTATCGATGTCACCCGTCATCCTCGCATCACGTCGTGATATGTAAGGTCTATTTTGCTTTAATTTTGCTCGACCATACTTATCCAGGGCCCCACCGATGATATCATTGATACGTAACTCCTTCCGAATTCTGGTTGCCGGCAGCCGCATACAAGATAGGCACACAGAGAGCCATCATCGAGTCTTTACCACAATGGTTTAAGTTGACCCGCTGCAATGGCGTGAGTTTGCTACGCTTCTTATCTGGGAGTATCCTGCTCACGACAAGTAACATCAGAACAGAACCGCTAATATCAGTGGCGTCTATTCGGACCATCATAATGAGCGTAAACCACTGCCGCCGCTGCAGTGACGCGTTCCGCGCATAGGCTACTATGTAGCGTGCACTTATTACTATTTTGAAAAATGATGAGATTCACAAAAAAGAAGAAAAAGTTTTAACTTTTGACATGACCAACGCCAATCTGCCATAGTCTGCTATCTGACTCGTAGACAACCTATGACGTCGACCGTCATAGCCCTCTAAGTGCGAACTCCGAGATCCGAGGTCTTTTAGTGGGGCCCAAAACATTTAATTATTTTTCGGAGTCGAATCATTTTTGAATCATCGCCTGCTACTGCGTTTCAGAGGGAAGTAGCTCGAGAACACCTGGTTGGCTCCTTTGTGGCGTACTTCATGCTCACTCTATTTCTGAAGAGATTTGATTGCTCCCAGTGAAGAGATTGGGCTGTCGGGGTGTAGAACAAGCATATGACATTACTTACAGCATACCGTCCTGTCAAGTACCAGGCACATTTACCCCGAAATCACAGATGCTCACGATAACACGCCAGCCAAAGATCCATGGGTACCTCCGCCGATCACAAATTCAATGCCCGGAAGCAAATTCAACGGTGGCTGGTCTCGATTTGGGCCCGGTAACTGCTTTATTTAGCAGGCGAGGCCTACCGAGAAATGTTCAACGGCAATGGTACACATATAAAAGTGTAGACCACCTCCAGGTGTAGAAACATCGACATTTCTTTTTAACATTGCCTAGTATGAGCTCTGAATCTGACATAGTCATTCATCTTCCGGACACTCTGGTCTATTGGCCATGGTCTCGCAGAATCAATCCTCATTATGAGGAAGTGAAGACCGCATCGGGAGCTTGGTGCCGTTCCTTCAGAGCGTTTAGACCAGAAGCTCAGAGGTGAGCTCTAGGTTGTACTGCTTTGAGGATCCTACTGATCGGCGTTGTTCAGTGCATTTGACCTTTGCGACTTCAGTATGGGGTATTCTCTCTACCCAGGACGATACTGAACTTGTTAATAGGTTTATTGTCCTCGCTGGCATACCCAACAGCATCCAGAGGTATTGTCGTCGTTTCACAGTTTTCTTTATGTCCCTAACCATGTTGTAGAACATCTTCGCACCGTTTGCGACATGATGAATCTGTTTTTTGTTTTCGACGAGTACACCGACAACGCTACTCCTGAAGTTGTCCGTCAATATGCAGATATTGTAATGGACGCCATTAGACACCCGACTAAGTCTCGACCCAGCGACGAGGTAGTCCTTGGCGTCGTTGCACAGGGGTAAGGTTCTTTCTTACCCTTCAAGTCCAGTTCGCTCTGACGATGACTTGAGGTTCTGGGCACTTGGCATCAAGTCGGCGAGCAGGACCTCACAGAAACGCTTCGTCGAATGCTTTGGACACTATACGGATTCTGTCGTCCAACAAGCAAAGGATCGCAATCAGTGCTATATTCGGAATATTCAAGATTATTTCGACGTCCGCCGTCTTACCATCGGTGCCTATCCGTCATATGCAATGCTAGAGCTAGGGTATGACTTGCCTGACGAGGTATTCCACCATCCAACCATCGTTGCTCTGCGACATATGAGCTGTGACCTGCTAATCATGGATAATGTAAATATTCCTTCTTTTTCCATTGAAGACAGGACTCACGAATCATGATGATTTACAGGACCTCGCTTCATACAATAAGGAGCAGGCGCTTGAGGAGTATCCCCATAACATCATCGCTTCTGTCATGAACGAGCTGAGTTGTGATATTGGGCATGCCTTACCGTGGGTAGAAGAGCACCATCGGTCGATTAGAACAAAGTTCTTGAGGACGTGGGCAAAGATACCATCCTGGGGACCTATAATCGATGGCCTTGCATCCCGCTATGTGCACGGTATTGCGAACTGGGTACGGGCTGATTATTGCTGGTGTTTTGAGAGCGAAAGGTACTTTGGATCCAATGGCAGACTCGTTCAAGAACATAGGATGGTTACTCTCATGCCTAAGCAGTATTCGATAAGCGAGCCGCTTCTCATACATGCTTACCAATCTGCTTAGCCGTTAACTGTAACGTCGTGTACGTTTTCAATATATTCCACTCTGCGGTTACTGGTATGCTAGTCGGTGTCCAGGTCCGAGCTAGGCAGAATAACACAAAACGTGTACTGGCTGGCTGCAAAGACAACAATGAATACCTTATTCTCATAGAATTGAATGAATCGCACCAGACCGTTCCGCTTGCTCGGTTGGATAGATCGCGGTATTGAACCGATGAGCATTGCTGCTTCCGCGGATGCTAGGGCCTATAGGGACACATAAATGTATACAGTTTGCCATGAACCGGCGATACCATTCGAAGTGGCGGAAAAACGAGGCACCGTCCCATTTTGGCCATATGCTCTTGCAATTTTGGGAAGTGTCCATCAAGGGTGCGTCTTGCATTCTCTCGCAGGCCTCTACGGCAAGTTGATGAGTCGTAAGACTGGCAGAAATTATACTAGAGCCGACTTTATCGCATGATTGATGAAGGTCTTCTTCAGAGTCGACCGCAGGGCAGTGCGGTAGGCACGAAGATTGTTGTCTTGAAGGAAGCTAAAAGCGAAGCATCAGTTAGACAAGTGTTGGGAGCCCGAAGAGTCGATGCGCTGGGGAAGTATTTAAGCATGCAAGATGGCTCGATTATTGAAAGGAACATATGCTTTGTCTCGCCTTTCCTGCACCCAACAAGTTCAAATTCCCATCTTCACACAGACAAACATAGTTCCCCGAGGGTAGTTATAACAGACATATACATATAAATCCTTCTAGATGTCAGGCAAGGGAAGGAAGAGTAAAACAAGAACGCACAGATCACATAATTATAATCTTATCCAGGCGATTGAGGTAGGATAGCAAACTAGACAAGATTAGTGAGAATACTCTGGGGCGGAAAAAAAGACTCACGCATTGTTGTAACTTCCTGACACCGTCCATGTCTCTAGGAATGGTGTTCGGTGTTCAGCTTGCAAAAACCGAAGGACAGTTTGCTAAGAACGCCTTTGAGGAGGCGATTCTTCCTTGCAGCTACCGAATATATGATGGTCGGTATGCATCAAAGACGACACAATTGCTCACTAAACTTCCCTGCCGGCCCTTTACCGTCTCGTTCTTGCAAGGGAATAACTCGGTGTTCGTCTCCCGCTTCTGGTACAGATTCGTGAAGCCACGACGTAGAGCGGAGTTCATGTCTGGAGTAGAGATAATTCTCGAAAGACGAGTAAGTTGTGCGGTGTGGTAGTGGTGAAGGCAACTTCTAGTTGGGTTCAGAAACGCCCAACTTCAATGTTGGACAATGTGTCACCTTCTTCCTATCGGGTATGTCACGCTAATACTAAGAGCTGGATTTATTTGAAGCTACGTATCAGCAATGGAAAGGACGATAGGTAACCCTAACAGAAATGCACCTTCGGCTCGTTGTCTGTGCGAGTAGGCCCCCAGAAGCTCCCGCCAAACTTTGTCCGGCAAAAATCCCAAAATCGGTCCTCAAATATGCAACTTTTGGGACTCAAAGTATGCTAACTCGGACAGAGTCGCTTTCGGGCCTCCCGGGCCGGGGCCCCGTACGGAACCGGCCGCCTGAATCGGGTACAGTTATTTACCGGTCAATGAAACAGCAAAATTGGATATTTACTGTAGGTTCCAATTGGTTGGGAATTTTGACTAGGTTTGAATGTAAGAATGTGTAATACTATGCAACAATAAGATACAGTAAAAAAAAGATGCTCAAAGGTGCGGGTACAAGTCCACTTTCACAGCATTATTGTAGCGTGGGTATTCTGGGCTATTTTGAGTCATTGAAACAGTCCGGCCCATGTACCCAAACCTCATTAGTCAGCAACTTGGAATCACTCAAGTGTTATAAGAAAGCAAGATCTCCTTTCCAGTCTCCCTCTGATATACAGCCTCGAAATCTTTGCAGATTTTTCTTGCATCTTTCTGAGGAGCACCAGGTAGTTTGGCAAGCTCATTCTTGTGTGCAATGACTGCCTTTTCCATTAGCTGGTCATGGCATTTGTGAGTAATCTGGCACTTTTTCAAGTTTGATTTAGCATGTCCAGGCATAGTAAAAAATTGAGCAAGAGGAGAAATAAAATTCGGAGGCAATGGGGCAATAATAGGCGCATTGGACTGTCAGACTGTCCATCAAAGGCAATAGCTTGGCAGAACCACACTTTTATCTATGCCCTAGACTCCTCAGATAATGGGCACCTGGTCTCAAACTTGTCATACAGGTTCTTCAGAAGGTCATTAACATTATTGAGGCCTTTGTGGGTGATTACATTCAGATGGAGGACACACATTTCTGGGTCAGATTTTGAGTTCATGAGAAAATAGATATTTTTAGAACAGAAGCCTCAATTTCTCAGAATATTATCCATGTCACATATGAAGAATTACTGTAGAACATGAAGATACAATACACATCAGCAATGTAATACAAATTAATGATGAAGGATGAAGGGAGGGAGAGCAAGAGGCTAAGTGTTTCATTGAACCATGGTGTTGCAATGACCGGTAAATAACTGTATATCCGCGGACTTCGCCGTCTAGCACTGAAGACCGATTTTACCTGTTTTCGACATGACTACAAATTTTCGTTGGAATTTTCCGGGAAAATATTGCGCAGAGGAGTCAGAAATCCAAATCGGGACTGATACTGGTCCAAATGTCAGGACGATGATGTCGCTGCCAGCCCAAAATATGCTAACATCCGGACAAAGTTCGACGACGTTTGGACTCGTTTGGACACAAAATATGCTAACTGCGGACAAAGTTTTTGCGATTTTTGGGCCTAAAATATGCTAAAATCCGGACAAAGTTTGGCGGGAGCTTCTGGGGGCCTGTGCGAGTAACGTCGGTACTGGGAGAGTCTGATTGGGCAACCAGTAACCACGTATAGGGCAATGAAGAGTAAAGGGCATACCGGTACACCCGAATATATGCTATCAAGAATCCTTGTAGCATTCAACTGTCCTCGGCATCGTTGCTGCGCGAATTTTTTGCACAACTTCTTGACCAGCCAGGATCCTAGAACTTGAACTTCATTGTCGAGAGATCTTGCGTATTTTGGGAAAGCAACATGCAGGGGACGCGCGGTAAGCTGGAAGAGATACTAAGTTTATCATCGTCATAGTGGTACGAAGCAGAAGAGGAAACCACCTCAATTTCAAAATCAAACTTCCTTTCGTTTTGGTTTGTCATCATCTCCTGGAACGCGTCGTCGCCCAGTATCGCAGTCTGTTATGCTGATCCTCGTGCGCAAAATCAGCTCAAATGGAATTATCTGAGAATATTCACGGTCTGGTTCGCGTCCCGTCATCCACATCGCACGAATATTGTGTCGGCCTAGATCATGAGACCGTACATCGGTCAAATTCAAACTCATTTTCTTTCTTGATTCGTTTATTCTGTCTCGCTCAAAATCATCGGCAAATACTGAAGTACTGATTTCGATGCAGGTGCGAACTCCTTGAATGATAGGGAAAACTTGCAATTTCTTTTCAGCCCCCCCCCCCCCAACAGTCGATGAATTGTGATATCATCTCGAATTCCCTTTTGGCGGAGTCGTGGGAGGACTACCGTACGAGGGATTGTCTTGAGGAGTTCGGCGACGAATTTCTCCGTGAGAAATGGTGCGTTAGGTGAAATAATTGGCGAGATATGAAAGCATTCTTTGTAATGTACTGCTCGCGAACATCGCTTGGTCCGCCCAACGTCCTTTGTGACGACCTTACAAGAGGCACGGATGGGTGATAGCCTCAATGTCGTGCTACTACATGTGGTTAATAATAATGAGAAATGGGACAATGTAACCGAAGACCAAGTTTTTTCTGAGACATAACTGACACATTCCACCTCAGAGTTGTTACTTTCGCGAACTTATCTATTTTTGCAATCCGTATTAAGAGCTGTTGCTTATACCATAGAGTTCTCGCAACCTGTGGATCAAACAATTCACATCCCAAGCGCTAGGGCTCGGAAACCAGCTGAGAAAATGAGGAATTTCAGCTTTATATATATGCATATGATATCAGGGTAGAGATACATGACAAGAAGAAGGAGAAGAAGTCCAAACGGCATACCTCACCAACCACCTACTACCCCCAGATTCGATCCAGAGACGGCCACACCTTCGGAGATCTCCAACGCGTCTCAACAAATCTGAACCAGTCATCCCGGATCACCTCCCGCTCATGAGTAGGCGACGCAGCACCACTCGAGACCGGAGTGACGAGCTGAGAGGGAGGCGGTGGAGGCAATGGGAATCGGCTGCTAGAAGACTCTCCTCCCGCAGTCGACGAGCTCGGTGCCGGCGAAACAGGCCGTCGAGCACGCTTCTTGATCCCAGACGTGTCGCGCGCCTTCTTCCGAATTGAGAAGACCTTGGGTCTAGGCTGAGGAGCGCGATACCACTTCGGGAAAGGTCGATCTGGGTCCCGGGGCTGTTCTGGGTCGTCTTTTGGGAATGTCGATGGTGGGATGATTATAAGGTCGGATAATGGGGATTTTTGTCGTCGAGGAGTGGTAGGCGGGGGAGGGAGTATCGAGTCCGAGTCGGTGGAGGGAGGCGGAGGATTGGCGATGTCTCGAGGTCGCTTAGGGCCGTTCCGGCGTGGCTTTGAAGGACGAGATTCGGGTTGGTGGCTTAGAATCTTGGTGGATGGATGCTTGGCTTGAGTGTGCTCAGCTAGGGCTGTTGCGTTGCGGAACAGCCGGAAAGTCGGCCTGCAATCAAAGCACACAAGGTCCTTGACATCGGGGCTGAGACACTAGTGGTAAGTACGACAATTATGACGAAGGGAACACTGCAAGACTCACTGCTTTTCACGGATGTGAACCCTTACGTTTCCCAGCTGTAGGGAAGCCATGATGCACCCCGTCTCGGTGACCGGACAGGTGTGTTTCCTGCACAGAAAAAATTTCAGAAAATATAAAAGAAGAAGACGGGAAATAACTCACTCAGACTCCAATTGCTCGCCATCGAGGTGGAGTTTGGCATGCCTCTTGACGTCGTTCTTCCTCGTGAACCTTTTGGTGCACCCGACGTGCTCGCATGGGTATTTTTGAGGGTTCTTGGCGTGGGTACGCTGCAATAAAATGAAGGTAAGTAAACCAGTAGGGAAGAAAAGGAGAACGAAGGTCCTTACAGCCATGATAAGTCTCCAGTGGCACAGTAAGCGATATACAAGGTCGGAGGGTTTTCTTGCAAGGATGCAAGTTGAAGAAAGACTTTAAACGTCGCACAGTTAACCTGCGCCAAATCGAGATCTTCAACCATGATCTGCCGGAGTCCCCGTATCCGAGTCGCTGGACGGTAATCAAGGTGGTAGGTAGATGGACCTTATCAGGAACAAGGGACAGTTGGTGTCATGTCGTGATGCGATTGTTTGTAGTGTTTGTTCGCCGGAAAGAGAATGGGGATCTTGATGGGCCACTGTTCCCGTTCAGCCTCGGGGCAGACTGCGTTTATCTTCCCATTTCTCTTTTACAAGTTATTGCCCAGTGGTACTCTGGCCTTAAATTACCGATCACATAGACTGAGCAAAAACGCCTGCAAAGGAACCAAAAATATGGCTAACCCCGAATCGATGTCACCGCCCGTCGGAGACGATCCTTTTGGGACACAAAGTAAAGTTTTGCAGCGCGTGTACGGCCCGGTTTTGCGTGAATTTCTTTGGAGGACGACAGAATCATTTAAGGGCCGAGGTCCTCAGGCTTCCCAAAAATTTCGAGGTTCAAGCAACGTGTCGACGTAGTCCGTTATTTCGACGTCTGAAAGTAGTAAAATCCATTGTTATGTCCATCGTCGGAGTCAGTGTAGATGGCGTTACAGTGTGATATTTTGCCTCTACAGATTATCCGCAGCGCCGTAGCGAGACGTGTCGCCATCCGTATAAAATCTGCGAGGGAAAAGTGCTATGTCGTGTTTCATCCGGAAAAAATCAATCAAATATCGCAAAGACTGTTGTTTTTGTCTGGAAATCAGCGCGGACGTCCAGACGATGCCGTGTCATGGCCTGGACATTCCTAAATCGACTTAGCGCAAAAGTTCAGCGTTCTTCGGGGCAGACTGGCACTTCATCCCCACTTCTCGACCCAATTTAGGAGCAAATACCCTTAAAACAGGTAGGAATGTGGTGTTAACCATCCGGGAAAATCCTAGCAGATTTGGTAGAGGCTGGTTTTCATCCGGACAAAACCGACTGATTTTCTCGTTTCGTGTCCAGAACTTTTTGGTCGAATTTTAGGCTCCCTACACGGCCTTCCCACCTATTTTGAGGGGTCTTCGTAACGATATTAACGCTGCAATCTCGATTCGGATCCTCGTTGATGATCACAGAGATTTGAAATGAAGTGAACGCACCAAAAAAATTGTGGGACGGAAGCAAAAGCCGCGTCCGGCACAGTCAATAGAATAGCGCCGTAATGTATTCTCTGGCCCCATTTGTTTGAAGGCTCAGGGAGTTCTAGGTGTCGAAGGACAGCTGCTGCAGGGCCAGATCAGGGTGGATGTTGATGGAAAGATTGTCGGATCACGTAATCATCGCGCCAACACGCTCTCATCCGCGCCACCTCCTATGGCAGGCCATCCTCGTCCATGCGGCGCCGGCCTCTCCTCTGATACTACGTGTCCCTTCGTCTTCACCCCCGCTGCCGATCCTCGGCCACTGTCTTCACGGTAACGAACTCGGACATCTCTCGTCATGCAGCTACGTATCGCATCAGATGAAGCAGGATGATGCATTGTTAGATTTCGGTGCCGCGAACGGATTTGAATGGTATCGTCGAGTTGCAATTGCCTCGGTGCTGGACATGGTAGTCTTGAGGGCGCCTTGCAAGCTGAGGCTGTCGACACGTCCGTTGAACTAGTCTCGCTGAGGATTGTTGTCTAGTGCATTTCCGTGAAATGTACGGGCGAGGATCCTTGTCCGGGCGGATACCAGAGTCTGAATATATGCGCAAGGACTTCTGGAGACCTGGAGATTGGCAAATGGAAGAACTCTGAACGGCCCGGACTCCACGAGTTTACATCACAGAAAAGAAATTTCTGAATTTCAAAATCCCACCTGCTTGTTACTCTCGTGCCATTTCGTCATCGTCGTCTTGGTCCTCTAAGGAAAAACTGCCCAGGGATAGAGGTCTAACGCATCCTCAGGTTTATTTCCTATCCACGATCTTGATTCACACCTCGCTTGTTGATTTGACAGGTTTTCAGATTAGAGGTCGATTCAATGGCAACCTGAAGGCCTAGAAAGGTAGAGAATTGCTTTCTTTGTCGGTTACATTTGCCTCAGCCTTGCTGCTCTTAGCACACGATAGTGTTCAACGACTGATACAACTCGGAGACAGTGCTAGTTGAATACGACGCATTCTTTGCAACATGATGCCTATCTTATGCAGCATCCTAGCCTGTTCTTTCCTGCACTTGAATATGTCCGCGAACATTATTATTACTGTCAGATCACGTCATAACCGCCAAAGCATAAGAACTGGTGTCAGTACCAGAGTGTCAGACTCACCGGTTTTTTGAAAGCCGACGATTATATCATTTGCTACTACTCGAGCTCAACGCTCTAATTCACGTTATCCTGAAATTTAAAATGCCGAGCGGTGAATGCCTCTTTAGAATTCTAGCTTGGATTGTGTTCTGTGGAGACTTCCTGGGCGATGGACATGCTGCACCGGATATGATATCTGAACTGTCGCCTCGAACCAAATGCTGTTCAACTATAGATGCATATCACTACTATAAATCCATGTCATCGTAACGAAGGCTATGTAGATCCTTGAAAAATAAAACACCCCCCAAGAACAAATCCTCCCGCCCGCCCTCCCTCCCCTTCGGAGCTTCTTCAAACCGAGAAATAAAAGTTTCCGAGCCCTCCGGCGGGGCAGGCAACCAAGTCCAACTGTTGTCCAAACCCATTCTGCGTGACGCACTTCCCGCTGGCGCTGGGAGCAGCCGGAGAGATCGTGCATCCCGAAGCGACGATGCCTAGCTGGTGGGCGATATCCGTAGCACACGACCCACATTCAACTTTCCATTTTTGGTTCCTATATATCGAGGGAATCAGTTATGGCAATACGGGAAGAGACGAGACAAGAAGGACGTACACATTGGCACCCGACCAGTCGATGTTGTCCATGATAAGGCCCTCATCTTTAAGTTCGACGTCAAAGAGGAGATTATCTATATTCCTGTGAAAATCTCGTCAGAGAAACTCACTCAGAACAAAAGAGAAAAAACGCGTACTTGAAAGTGTAGGTGGCAGGATTGTAGTCGCCGTTCTGCTGGACGTACCACCTCGAAGCCGCAGTACTGGCAACGACGGGTGCTCCGACGGCGGGGTTGGATGACCACGAGAGTCTTCCATAGGGCTTGCCAGTATAGGAAGACACGGTGAGGATAGCACCCTCAAAGTCGGGGTTACAGGTGCTCCTGGCTTCCAAAGGCGCTGCGGTAGCGGCAGTGAAGAGGAGAGAAGAGAAGAAGATTATCGAAGAAAACATTTGGAATATAAGAGATGAGATGATCAGCCTTCGACAAGGTAGAGATGTTTCAAGTAACAGTTGAGTTACGTTCTATGAAAGTGGAGACAACAACTTTTATAGTGGTCTTTGTGACCAGCTGCTAAGATCTTGGCATTCTAGACAGTGATGATGGACAGGAGGCTAGGCTAGATCGGCGAGGTACGAGAGAAGTGATGACGAAGCCCAGGATCGACTGTATGAGAGATGGCGCATGAGACTGACACCGAGGGCAAGTAAGACCGTTGGCGGCAGTCATACGCCGCTCAACACGGCTGAAGACGTGGTTCTAGTCAATCTCCCACGACATGTCCGGCATCATCAGCGGTCATTCTTCCAAAACGATTCGCAACGAACTGCTAGACGAAGGTTAGTGATAATCGAGCCTAGCATGTGCCATGAAGATGAAAATTAGAATAGTTGGAATGACTGAGAAAGCGTGGATCTTCAGGATTAGAGGAAACATTGTGTTAAGGTACATTCCTCGAATTGGTATAGCCTGAAGCCTGAAGCACGTAGGCTATTGGTGCACAAGTCCGACGAAGGCAAAAGGAGATGGCAGGTTTCATAAAAACATAGAGTGCCGTCCGCTTCAGTAAACCTAAGAATAATCGGAATGAATTCATGATCCGGTACGTGCATGTAGCCGAAATGTGTATAACATCAGTCTCGAATCGTTCAATATGCACAGGTTATGTCCTTGATCCCGAAGCGTACGGAAAACTAGATGCAGCACTAGACATCGTGACTCGACCGCATGTAAAAGGACCGTAGGTATTAATCACTTATTTCAGATAATAGAATGGACGTCAAGACTAGCGGACTCGCACTCATTGAAACCAGTTACTTGGGAATGATTGAAGAGGACAAGGCATAAGAGTAGGTTAAAAGTCACACGCACTATTGCTGTCGTGCGACAATGGGCGGAGCTTGGGATTTTAGGTGGCTTGTACCCAGGAAATTTGGCTCCGCCTAAGGCCTGAAGTACGTAGTGCCTGTGAAGACAAAACGATGAGCGACACGATCACTTGGGAGAGCAAGGAAAAGTCTCAGAGAAATAGAAAAGATGTCGTCAAGCCCAGCAAGCCGGGTCAGGATCATTAAACCAGGTTTTGTTTTGAAATCATTGGAGGGAGAAAATGTCCTTGGATGCGCACCATGGATAGGGCGTCCGAACCCTCCAAGTCTTCACAGTTTTTTTTTTTCCAGGACTAATCGATCATAACGAACAGACGGTTATTGCTTACGAAGGGCAAGTACGTGGCGGATGACGACAAAAGATGGAGCCGACTATTGCCGACGGAAAGCATTGTCTATCTTCGAAACGGCGCTATCCGGCCCGACCCGGCAAAGTCGTGCTAGTGAAGCTGGAGGCATTGCTCGCGGGCCTGTTTCTAGCGGTGGGGTCTATTACGGTTCAAACGTTCATAGTTGGAAATAACTATATACTTCTTGAAGAATAATACAACGGAGAGCACTATATGAATATCTGCGGTGAATCAGATGTGCCTTTCCTCCGAAAAGACAAGGTTACCTTCATGATTAAGCTGCTAGGAAGAAATGACCGGGATGTTAACTTTCGACATTGACGACGGACTGGTAAAGGCCACAGATGTAGGCGAAAAGCAAGAGCCCTGGAATATGGATGGCCAGCAGTGGCTGAGGTTGAACCGGAGTTTGAATCTCTTGACGACTAATGAAACAAACTTTCTTCCTTCTTTCTTGTCTGCAACCACCCAACAGCCATCAGTAACTTCAGTGAAATGAACGGAAAACCGAATCTTGTCTCGTCTTGTTGTGTACATCGGTCGGCCTCATGCTTGTAACAAGTGAATCGACGTTTTTTGTATCGAGTTGCCTGGAAGAGGGATAATTGGCTGAGGTACGCTTCTTTGCTAGAGGCCTTGTCTACCATGATGGCAACATTATCGTTCATCTTTTTAGGCGTGGTGACCAGCAAGTATGAATCGTTAGACAGATGATGATGATGATGCTCTGAATTGGTAACCCGCAACACGCCACGTAATGGGCGAAGATGCGGGGGTATAGTCCTACAGCTACGTACGTCTATACCGCTACTCGTTGTAATGCTAATCTACTGTTCAACTCTATGGGATGTGTAACTATCGGGTAAAATTCTATGTGGCTGTTTTCGGTCTTGTTGGGTGTTTCTCTGTGAGAGTGTTTTCTACCTACAGAAAGGAGAAAAGAATAAATAACGGGAGGGGGGGTCAGACCTGTCTCAGGCCTAGGTGGTGTGTGTCGCTTCTATCCATCTTCATCTTCTTGTTCACGCGGTTCTGGTTCTTCTTCCCACAGCGGCATTCCCACTTCTCGCCTCGGATTCCCGGTCTTTGTGAAGGCTCCCGACTCTGCTAGGAACCTCGTTACTGCTTCGATGCCCTCCGTTGTGCCCAAGAGGTCACACATGATCAGGTTTTGTGATCCTTCACGTAGGATGTGTCGATGGTCGCCATATCTTGGGCATGTTCGTATGATATGTTCTCGTGTTTGTAAGCGTTCACCACATTCACAGTCAGTTGCTTCTGGAATGTTGAAGAGTTCGTAGTACTCGCCTGTATGCGCATGTCCAGTTCTGCACTGCATCAGTCTCCCAAACACCTCACGCGGTGTCTCCTTGAACCTCTGTGTTGGTCTGAGTTTTGGTTTCAGCCGGTTTGCAAGTCCAAAGCACCCAGTTGGATTTGTTTTTTCCCACTCCTGCACCCATTTCCCTTGTACTCGTTCCCTCATTTGTCTACGTGCATTTGCATATGTTCGCTGTCCCAGATGGTGCATTGTGCATGTTTCCTTCGCCAACGCATCTGCTTTTTCGTTTCCGGGTATGTCCTGATGGCCCGGTGCCCATGCTATCTCCATCGATGTTTCTTCATCCTCCTCTAAGAACTTCGTGGCTATATTGAAGAATATCGTTGCATGTTTTTGACCTGGTCTACGTTTGGGGCGTATGATGGATTCAACTGCGGATGAGTTATCTGCGAAGATGTGAATGTGACGTACGCTTGGGTGGGCTGCACGCAATTTTTCTATGTTCCGTGCGGCCCACGCTAAGCCTATAAGCTCTGAGTCATACACCTCGGCATAGGGTCCTGTCCCTATGCTCTGTGATGCAACCACTTTCCCCTTAATCATTGCTACCCAACTTGCTCCTGTTTGCCGTTTACCGTTTAGTTCGAGCATGGAGCCGTCGGTGTAGAATAGTAGATGGGTGTTGTCAAAGGAGAACCTTCTTATGTAAGCTTGGTGTCTCTTTGCTGCGTCCTCTTTTGATTCACCGCTCACTGGCAGTGATGTCTGGAACCTTTTACCAAATTCCGTCAGTGATTTCTCCCATGGTGCAATCGGGAAGAGTGAAATTCTCTCATCCTCTGGTGACACTATTGCTGCTAGGTCTCCTAGAAAGGTCCTCCTCGTTGGCCTTAGCTTGTTACGTCGTCGCCTGACTGGTATATCAGGCTGGATTGGTGGGTATGCTCTTGGTATTGTGCCCTCTCTCCATTCATCATCGGCCAGCCGTTGTATTATTGGGCTTGTTTCGCTGAATTTGCATATCCGTACTGCAAATCGGTCTCGTTCGAGGTCCAGAAGGTGTTTGATGGGTGGTATAGATGCTTCGATCTCTAGCGCCATGATCGGGGTTGTCCTGAAAACTGCACACATTAGACGTAGTGCTCGATTCTGTACTCGTGTAAGCATCTTGATGTGAGCAGTTTGTCGTCTTCCTTTCCACCATATGGCTGCTCCATATGTCAACACTGGAAGTACACATGACATATATATGTGTCGCATGTGATTCTGGCTGAGTCCTCGCATGGTGTTTGCGAGCATGCCCATCCCGTTTACTACTGACTCCGCTCTAGCCACCATCTCTTTGACATGGGAGTGGAATGTTAGCTTTGCATTGAAGAAAAATCCCAGCCATCGTGTTGATAGCTTGGGAGCAATTGCAATTTCTGTCCCGGCTGTTTTGCCTGGTAGAATAATTGCTGGGAAGGGTGTAACACCCTTTTGAGAGACAAAATGGCATAATTCTCTTTTGTCGCAGTCTAGAGAAAGACCAATCGACTTTAGAAGGCTAGCGGTACTGTGGTACTCAGCTTTTAAGGCTGCAACATTAGTCTCGAGACTTTTAGAGCTGACCCATATGTTGCCATCATCTGCAAACATGACTGTCGTTGGTTTTGTGTGCCATTCGGGGTTCCTTGTGAACCATGCGGCATCTGGCTTCAGTGGTGGTTCATTTGGGGGTATGTCTGGTGGAGTATAGCGTTCCAGAAGTTCTGCCGAGTAGAATGCTGATAGTATTGGCGACACTGGTGATCCCTGTGGTATTCCATTCATCACTGGTTTCATCTGCCCTCGTTTTCCATCCAAACACACTGCCGCCTGTCTCTGCATGAGAAAAGAGGCTACCCATTTCACTGTTGGTAGTGGTATGTGTTTGTGCCGTAGTTCTCTAAGTAGTCTCACGTGGTTGATGAAATCAAAGTATCCTGTGATGTCAAACATCAGTGATGAAGTGACTAGCCCCCTCGCTCTTGCTGCTTTGATGTCATGTACAAATGTAGCTGCTGCATCTATCGTTGATTGTCCTGCAAGGCCACCAAATTGGGTCGGTGGTACCAGATTCTGTGTCTCAGCCCAGAATGCAAGTCTGTTAGCTTGTATCCATTCAAGGACCTTGCCCAAACATTCCAGTAGCTGGATGAGTCTCCATGCCCTTGGCATTCCATAGTCCTTCTTTCCTGGTTTCCGTAAGGCAAAGGCAATTGCCATCTTCCAAGGTGTTGGGTGATATCCCATTGCAGCACATAGGCGGATGAGTGCGACAATAAAATTCTCACAGACGTTCCATGCCCATTGTATTAGTTGGTAGTTGATCTGTGATGCCCCGGGGGTAGATTTCGTTGAACCAGCGAATAATGCAGCACGTACCTCTTCCCTGGAGACATCATGGTATGCTATGTCTCCAGGGTTCCCGGTTTCCAGCTCTGGTTCCTCACTATCTGGCAGCTCTGGAGGTGGTTGAAACAACTCATCTCTAGGGATGTGCACCATACCGTTATGGATACGGCCGTACCCCTGACGGATGGATATGGATACAGATGGACCGTGTCCGTACCGTAGGAGCAAGAAAAGCGATGTTCACGGTACGTACGGGTATATGTACGGATGTAACAGCCGTATTACGGTCATAGAATACACTCAAAAGACCTGCATGCTCTCTGCAGCATAATACTAATAGTCATTGTCGTCTCCATGTAGAGAAAAGAAGATCTACTATAAAAACAGTCAGTTTCGAAGTCTTTCAGGGAATCAAAGAGACTTACACATCTTGTGTTCATGAATTGCGTGGGCAAAGTCATTTTGGTGGTCTGTATTGTAAGAGTGGCAGTGAGTGTGGACAACAATGGGAACCTAAGCAAGGAATGAGTGAGGTATGCACATCTAATACTCCGGAGTTTGTTGCATCGTGCCAGGGGATACGGTACTGGTTTGATTTGTAAAAAAACAGATTGACGATGGGAACTTGCGCATTGCTGAGACAAATGCAAATTGTCATAGAGAGAGGGGGACTACGCATGGCTCATTGGAGTAGGTTGGTCAGGTAATTGGCGTACCTTGTACCAGGTTGAATTATTTAAGTTGAAACACTCGACAGATTACCGTGGCAAGCAATTTTCAGATGAGAAAGCGGAAAGGGAGTACCAAAAGTGGCTTCGGTTTGATATCAGTTGTAGCTGCCATATACGGCCATAACGGCTTGTCCCGTACGGTACCTTGCAGTCTCGCACTCGCAATGGTACGGACCCGTATCCGTATGTGCTGTACATATCCACCGTATTATGGATACGGTGCACATCCCTACTCATCTCAGATTGCATTGCATTTGTCCTCATGTGTCACCGCTGGTGTCACTCCTTCGCCTCGTTTGATTGCAGGTGATGGGTAGTTCCGTTCTGTTTTATACCATTTGCTGAAGCTCCATATCATGTCTGTTGTTGCCTCTGCAAGTGTCTCGTCTAGCCACTTCTTCTTTGCTCGTTGACACAAGCGTTTGAAGAAGTTCTGTGCCTTTTTGATCTCCCTCGCTAGTTCTAGGCTGATATGGCCATGTTCTGCTTTATGAGATCTGTCATGAATCACCCCTATTTTTTGCTTATCTTATCTTATCTCATCAACTTGTCATTCGACTCTCGTCATCATTCCTCATACCTGATCCGCATCATTCATGACCCGATCAATCACACACATGATCCGTTTGATGGCCCATAGACCGATCACACTCTATGGGCCGGATCCTTCTTCACCCAGTCACGCTTCTTTAGGTCGTCTGTGATCACACCCTAGGATGGACAAGCCACCACATACGCTCCTCAGAAGACCGCGCCCTATGGACGCTAGTCTTCTTCCTCGCAGGGGGGCTTCTCCTATACCAAGCACCATACGATACAGAGGACATAGAAGACAGCGCTGCATTGGGGCAGCACGCACCGAGACACAGGAGCGGTACATACTAGTAAATACCACAATGTATTTAAACGAGCCTTGCTGCGGTCTTACACCCCAGCTTTGGCTAAAGTTATACACTCCTAACTTTTCACGCAGAAACTCCCTGTTTTGTGCCTAAGGACTATCGTACCTTACCTAGCGATTGCAACGCCCTCTTCACAACTGAATCACTGAATGCAAGTGACAGTTTAGAGGCAAACGTTGTTCAATCCAAGTTAGTGCGTTACAATTAGCTGAAGCTTGCTTCGCATACCCTCACCGTCGAACCAACGAGTTACACCGTTGTTCTACGTATTTCTATTATGACTATCCACGATAACAGTGGTCGTACTGTTAATCATAACCGGTACTTTCATCGTTGTTCAACGACGTTGACCATATGAACCAGGAAGACTACAAGACATATTATTCTGTGACTACCCTCGAATCCACGCTCCTTCTATACGCCTACGAGCTAGAACGAACATACCAAAGAGCACTGACCCTCCCAAGTGAGCGAGTAACAGACTCTAATGAATCCTCAATCGGACACCTCACTCCCATCAGACTCCGCCCAAGCATGCCACAGCCCTCAGTCCCAGAAGACGACCACGTCTTCTCACAGCAAGACATGGAAGGGCAAAATGGCAGCAGGGGCAAAGAAGATAGGTCTTCCCTTCGGGAAGAAAACATCGGACGAAACAGCATCTCTCCAAACAACAGAGAGCAGCTACACGTACGAGAAGCCAGAAGGATCTACATTGATGTCACTAGAGGAAGAATCCTCACCGACCGAGGCCATGAAATACGCCTCCCAAGTACAACACCAAGAGCCATCGAAGGAGAGTGGGTACGGCCAAATGCTGGGCACGATGTGGGAAGTAGCAGTGGCGGCCCAGATAGTTCAGACTATGGAAGTGCCAGGTCAATGGATGAGCACACCCAGCGGTCATGGGGAGAGCCCGTCGTGGCCAGAAGTGGCACAACAACGGAAGGCGAGTCAAGGGATACGACGAGGGATTCCCCAGAGCCAAGAATCCAAGGCCCTGGATCCCCGACCAGCTCCTCCAGCTGGCTATCCTGGTACTCAGCAGATGGGACTCGACGAGTCTATGGGATCAACACTCCACGACGTTATTCATCACCAATCCCTGGCTCAAGTCGATATGTTCCAGACCCTCCAATCCAACCTGACCCCAGGGAACGAGGACAGTGGTCAGAAGAGGAACATTGCGCCTCAGCCAGGAACATGATTACCATCGCAGACCTCAGGGCATGGGCAGACACCTTCGGGGAGCCCACGACTGCACGAATCTCACCAGTCAAGTCCACATCCTCCATTGGGAGAACCCTTGACACTATTACCGAGGGAGAAAACCCTATCCCTCTCATACCCACAAGACCCTCTGGGACCCAAACCCCATACTACTCTGCCAACGAAGACCCATGGGGAGAGCAGACAGATACAAACGAGCTACTCGAGCAGCATCCCCATGCAGACTCCCCGCCGTGGGAGCAAAGGGTCTTATTCGCAGACACCAACGAGGAGGACACTGTCCTCTGGTGGTTCACAGGAGCCCAATCCCTCGCCGGAACTACCAACGCATCGAATCCCGTCGAGACAGAGCTCGATCAGGCGAGTCTCACAGACTGGCCTCACTGCAGGTGCCGGATCTGCCGACAACTATGGGACCTGGCCCGAGCCCGATATAACGAGGTTGGACCTCACCCAGAGCTCGAACCTTTCCTCAACCCCGAACCCACCTTCTACGTCCAACCCCCCTTTATATCACAAAGAGAGCTTCAGTGGTGGGTCTATGAGAGAGAGGACTTCGACCAAATCTTTGAAGAGTACCGAAGGTACTTCACATATGTCTGGAACTGGAACCAGATATGGATCGATGGAAATCCCTATCTCTTATGATATGAACCCGTCTTCCACTCAACCGACCATCTCGACCGACTGGACCCATGGGTTAGAGCCCGGATACAAATCGACAGGCTCACCCATATGGGAGCATATGCAAACAACGAACCCTTCCTCGACAACTCCAATGAGGAAGGCAACGAGTTCATCCAAGGATCCAGTAGGAGACCCCACCGACGAAGAACTCTATAAAATGAACTGGGACCAGTTCTGGTGGCATATGCATGACAAACTACCCCATGAAACCTACTGGTCCACCACTCCACAGGGGCGAGCCTACCAAGAGGCGGAGCCCGGCTCCCAATTAGAAAGGAACATACTATCACAAGAAACCCAGTATATTGCTATAAACTATTGGAACATCCTACACCCCGACCGACAACTACTCCAAGGAGGCCATTATGAAATCCCCGATACTGAAGATTCGGAATCTGACTTCTCAACCCTGGGAATTCTCCAAACCACCACAGCCATTACCAGACCTGGTGGGAAGACAGGACTATTCGCAGGCGGAAAACAACTGGACCAACACCTCCGAAGCATGGGAGGCACTACAATGACCCCCACCTCCGGTAAAGGGAGTGGGCCAGCACCCGCTGCACCTGGAGGTGGCGGTGGAGGAGGAGGAGGCGGTGGAACGCCACCCCCTCCAGCAGCGCCACCTACACCGCATAGTAATCAGAACCTCCGATCACTTCCTCACCCCGCCAATCCTCCACTGCCACCAGATCCGCCGGCTGACTGGGAAATTGCGACAGGACAATCCAATCCATGGGGAGACATTAAACCCACACTCATAGAAAAGCCGGATGGGTTCTATGGAAAATCCCATGACCTCGACCGATTCTTCGACGACTGCGATGCCTACTTTGAAATGTTTTCAAAGTACTTCTCCCTTAACGTAACACGTGGGTACGGACCCAATCGAATAGTATTTGCAGCATCCCTATTCAAAGGAAACGCTAAGCAGTGGTGGGTGGACCAACGACGAAAGTATTGGGACTCCCACGCATGCCATCATCGGTACCCCGCATGGGTAACCTTCGAGGAGGAGGTGCGAAGACGATTTGAAGAAGTGGCAGAGGTCGAAATTCGACGAATCGAGTGGAAAAGGCTCCAGCAGTCCCAATTCAAAACAGCCGTGGAGTTCTTCGATAAATTTGAAGAGCTAGCCATAAAAGCAAAATGATTTGACAATGCGGACCAAATGGAAGAAGTAGTAAAACAGGCCATTCGACCTCACGTCAGAGAGATTATCATGGGAAGCGACAATCACTGACCCCAAGGCTACTACGAATGGAAGGACAGAGTTGGCCGCATGGACGAGAACTATCGAGTAAGGGTAGCCGAACATGGAGGTCGCCCCACAGGAACCGAAGGACCCAAATCAGGAGCTGCCAGACGAACCAGCACCTCTGTGGGAGGCAGAAGCGATAAAAGAGATGCTACTGGAACCACCTATGGGGGCGAAGGCGAACCCATGGACATCGACCGTCTCAAGAAGGAGAGACGATGTTTTCGATGTGGTAATCCGGGACACATCAGTCGGGACAACAAATGCCCAACCGACAAGTCCAAATGGCGTCGCATGAAGAAACCGAAGTTGACACCCTTCACGAAGAAAACAATGCCATTCACACACCGCCTAAGAGCCTTAATCGAAGAGGCTGAACAGGAGGAAACCCCTGCCACAACAAAGGTCAAGGAGGTAAAAGAGGAGTCGACCGAGGACTAGGTGATTCACCTCGGTCGACCAGGACTTGTGTTTCAAACAGTACGCATCCCATTACGAAATTTAACGTTGATACCTTACATGTAGGAACTATGACGGACAATATACTTATTTTGTCATGTTCTCAAGAAACTCAGACTGAATCACAGAGCAATGTTCGCCAGGACGACGCCCGATCCCGAACTCAGCACAGCATAGAACAGGATTTTCGCCTTCGAATTGACCAGGACCAGTCAATCGATAAAGAACCTCACCCACCAAGCCCTCGTGTGGGAGACTCCCGAGTATCGGCAGTCGATTCAACAGGCAGTAGAACCCGAGTATATCTACCTCGGGGAGTGAGCCCGAGCAGCCCAACAGCCACAGGCTCGGGCAGGCCACAACATGTGGTCAAACTTCCAGCAGGCTGGAAAGAAGAGAAGATCCCAAATGGTCAGACAGAGAGGCCCCAAGTAGGGGACAGATGGAACCCAAACCCGAGAGCAAACCAGAGTGAGGAGACCCGCAACACGCGAGTCAAGGATCCTCTCAAACCCTCGGGAGACACGAATATTTCGGTTCTCACCGAATCGACGCTGGAGGGACCGAGGCATGGAGTACGAGGGATTTCCTCCGCCGATACAACGACTGTATCGGTAATGAACCCCACTAGGTGTGACTCGTGCACAACTCCAGAAACGAGCAAGCGAACCACTGCTGCTGGTGGCGGCGGATCAAGAATGAGTAGGCCCCTCTGTGATGGCAGGGAACCCCTCGGAAAAGTGGAGACCCATGCCGCAGGGACAATGAAGGCCTGCAGTGTAATAGAGCTACCGGATGAAGGTTTGGCAGTAACCTCCATTGTCCCCGGAAGCAGGACCGATACCCCAGCTCGGATCAAGCTCCCAGCAGGGGAGAAGAAATTGCCTGACAAGGGGAAAGTTTTGGGAGAGCCAAAGAGCCCCCCGCACCAGGATCAGACTGCGCCCAGTCACCCTGGTGAAGATTGGTCAACAACCTGGGCCGCTGCTCCTACCCCAATTGTAGCAACGGCTCACATTGGAAAAGCAGCTGAGGTGAGGAACCAGGGAAATCCTATGGGACCCCCTGGCGAGCCAATAGGTGTGCGTCCACAAAGGGTTACTGAACTACCCATCGGGGTAAAGGACAAGGGTGAGGACCCTTCAAGAACAAAGACCTCGCAGGGCGAAAGCCATACTGCTCGAGGCAGAGACAAGGAGTCTCTGGGGAGTAAGTCCTCGGGGAGCCGGTTCTCCCCTCGAGGCAACCAAGCAAATAAAAAGGTAACCATAACAGAAATTCCTGACGATGAAAACAATTTTAGTTACCAACAGAGTTTGCGGAACTCTAAAAAATCTGGACTGTGCAGGCCATCCCTGAGTGGAAAAGACCTTAGTAGCACAAGCAAACAGGCAGGAAGCTCAGTAACTGCAGAAGGCCAGAGGGCCACAAATCCTGTAGTGAACAGCAACAAGGGGAAGTCCCCGACGCTGAAAGAGGGAAACCTCGAGTACTCGTCAGAGGAGTACCCTTCGGACCAACAGTACCTGGAACCCTACCAATCAGCGTGGGTCCGAAGGGCCATGCGCATCACCCCCGACGCCGCTAAAGCCCACTTACGACAGTGGATCCACCCTCGACACCTCGAGGAAGTAACCGACGAACTAGTAAAGGCTCTACTAGAATGTCCTCACGAGATGTGGACAGAGACCCGCCACAAAGCGCAATGGATGGCTGATCTCCAACAACCACCACAATATATTCAGGGAAGAAAAGGACGGAACGTCACTATTTCCATACAACTAGAAACATACGATACCCTGGCTAAACATCCGGTTAAAGCCTTGGTAGACAGCGGATGCACGGGGAGTGCTATTGACCAAAAGTGGGTCAAGGAGCACCAGATCACCACCCGAACCGCTGTGCACCCAGTACCCATATATAATGCTGATGGAACCTGAAACACGGGGGGTGACATCACTGACTACATCAAAGTCTGTCTCGTGATCGGAGATCATACTGAACGAATTGAGTTGGCCATAGTCGACCTAGGCACCACACCGATCTTTTTAGGGCATGATTGGCTACAACGCCACAACCCCTTAATCGACTGGAACACCGGGACCGTCACTCTAGCACGGTGTGATTGCCGGAAAATTCTGTTCCGCCTACCTGATGAAGACCCGAGCCAACGATGGGGAACTGAAGTTGAAGAAGGGGACAAAATCCTAGTGATCGATTTTGAACAGGCATTCCATGTACAAGCCATGGGGACCAAATCCACCAGCCTGGCTGCCCAAGCCCATTCCAATAAAAAGGAAAAAACTTTTGAAGAAATTGTACCTGAAACCTACTGAGACTTCATAGACATATTCACCAAAGAAAACTTTGATGAATTACTGCCACGAAAGCCATGGGACCATGCCATTGAGCTAATACCCAATGCCAACGCCAGCCTGGACTGCAAGGTGTACCCCTTGAACCCCCAAGAACAAGACGAACTCGACCACTTCCTAGACGAAAATTTGTCAACAAGAAGGATTTGACCGTCGAAATCCCCCATGGCCTCACCTTTCTTTTTTGTCAAAAAGAAAGACGGGAAACTGTGACCCGTCCAGGATTATCGCAAACTTAATGAGATGACCATTAAGAACCGATATCCCCTCCCGCTCATATCAGAGCTAATGGACAGGTTGCAGGGTGCCAAATACTACATGAAACTAGATGTGAGATGGGGATACAACAATGTTCGCATCAAGAAGGGGGACGAATGGAAGGCAGCCTTCCGTACCAATCGAGGCCTATATGAACCCCTTGTCATGTTTTTTGGGCTCACTAATTCCCCCGCAACCTTCCAATGGATGGTGAATGACCTTTTCAAGGACCTGATAGCTCAGGGATTGGTCAGTGTCTACCTGGACGATATACTCATTGCCACCAAAACAAAAGCAGAACACCGAACCGTAGTTCGGAAGGTTCTGCAAATACTTCGAGCAAACAAACTCTTCCTAAAAGCTGAGAAGTGCGAGTTCGAAGTAGAAGAAACCGAATATCTAGGGGTAATCGTCAGTGAAGGATCCATTAAAATGGACCCTGTCAAAATTGCAGGAATCCTGGACTGGCTGACACCGACCAAGAAACAGGAATTACAATCCTTCTTAGGATTTGCCAATTTTTACCACCGATTTATTTGGCACTATAGCCACCATGTCAAACCTCTAACCTGACTCACTGGGAAGGAAGCATGGACATGGGGAGAGGCACAACAAAACACCTTCGAAACCATTAAATGACAGTTTTTAGAAAATGTCGTTCTTGCCATTCCAAGTAACGAAGGGAAATTCTGAGTAGAGGCCAATGCCAGCGAAGGTGCCGTGGGTGCTGTGCTATCCCAAGAACAGGCCAATGGAAAATGGAGACCCGTTGCATTCCTCTCCAAATCCCTTTCCACCACAGAGCAAAACTACGAAATCTACGATAAGGAGTTACTAGCCATTATGATTGCCCTGGAAGACTGGCGCCACTATCTCATGGGCACCATACAGAAGTTTGAGATTTGGACGGACCACTCCAATCTCCAATATTTCCGAAAACCCCAGAAGTTAAATCGTCGACAAGCTCGATGGGTCACTGAACTCGCAGAATACGAATTTACCCTTCACCACAAGCCAGGCATGGCAAACAAAAAGGCAGATTTACTCAGCTGAAGGGCGGACCATGATCAGGGCAAAAAGGATAATGATGATATCATCATCCTTAAGCCTGAACTCTTCCGAGCCCTAATAATGCCCACCGAAGGGGCAATACACCAGAAAATAGCTAAAGCCACCAACAAAGTTCACCTATGGGATAAAGGAGTCTCCGACTCTCTCGGCCATGAAAAGGGGGTTCAGCAGAAGGGAAACCTTCTATTCTATGATGGGAGAGTTTATGTCCCGAAGGATATTCCACTATGAGGGGAACTAATTTCCTACGCCCACGACCATATAACAGCAGGACACCCAGGAATCGCAAAGACCCAAGAATTAATACTTTGTGACTACTGGTGGCCTAATATGCACCAGGACGTAGAGAAATATGTGAAGGGATGCGAAGTCTGCCAAAGAACTAAACCTGACCATTGCAAATGCGCTGCTCCCCTTCACCCTAATGCAATACTCACATGACCATGGGAACATATATCAGTTGACCTAATCACTGGACTACCCGAATCCAAAGGCTACAATGCAGTCCTAGTAATCATCGACTGATTCTCCAAATATAATATCTTCGTACCATGTACGAAGGAAATCGCCTCTACCGGATGGGCAAAAATCCTCCGAGATGAAGTTATCTGTTGGTTTGGAATTACTCCCTCAAAGATAATCTCAGACTGAGGTCCCCAATTTGTGTCCAAATACATCAAAGAACTGTATACCCTATTAAACATCCAGGGCAACCCTTCCACTGCATACCACCCTCAGACAGATGGGCAAACCGAACGAGTTAACCAGGAGCTTGAAAAGTACCTGCGTAACTTCGTTAACTTCAAACAAGACGACTGGAGTGACTGGCTACTCATAGCCACCTATGCCCTCAATAATCAAAAACATAGCGCAACCGGATATGCCCCATATAAAGTCCTATTTGGACAAGATGGACAAATACGACCCGTCGCACTCAAAGCTACTGCTACACCTTCCGTAGCCACAATGGTGGAAACCCTCCACCAAACCCATGAACAAGCAAAACTCGCTTTGACAAAAGCAGCAGAAACGATGAAACAAGCATATGATCGACACCAACAATCACCCCGAGACTACCAACCAGGAGATAAAGTCTGGTTAGACACCACCAACCTACACCTACCATGACCAGCAAAGAAGCTGGACAACAAACGAGTCGGACCCTTCAAAGTAATAACCAAGAAAGGGTCGTCAGCATATGAACTTCGACTACCGGTCAGATGGAAAATTCATAATCAGTTTAACGAAGTCTATCTGACTCCATACTCCCCACCGGAGTTCCCGAACCAAGAACAACCGGGACCTCCTCCTCCGGAACTAATTGAGGGGCAGGAAGAATACGAAATAGAAGAACTCCTACAAGATAGGGAAACAGCCATATGACAAGGAAAACAAAAACGAAGAAAACACATCACCGAATACCTCGTCAAATGGAAAGGATATCCTATTGAAGAAGCCACCTGGGTACCACGCAGCCAACTAGCCAATGCAGAAGAGCTAGTGCTCGAATACGAGCATCACTTGGCAGTGATACATGAGGAAGAAAACGAGGACAACGAATCGGTCGCAACATCAGCGACCAAGAACTCAACTTTCTTCCCGGATTCCCTGGATCCAGCTTGCAAAACCACATCCGAAAATTCAATATCCCCTCTGTCATGCACCGAATCGGAGGATGAATCTGACACTGACTCAGTCAGGACAACCGAGTCTTAGTCAGGGGGTAATGTCATGAATCACCCCTATTTTTTGCTTATCTTATCTTATCTCATCAACTCATCATTCGACTCTCGTCATCATTCCTCGTACCTGATCTGCATCATTCATGACCCGATCAATCACACGCATGATCCGTTTGATGGCCCATAGACCGATCACACTCTATGGGCCGGATCCTTCTTCACCCAGTCACGCTTCTTTAGGTCGTCTGTGATCACACCCTAGGATGGACAAGCCACCACATACGCTCCTCAGAAGACCGCGCCCTATGGACGCTAGTCTTCTTCCTCGCAGGGGGGCTTCTCCTATACCAAGCACCATACGATACAGAGGACATAGAAGACAGCGCTGCATTGGGGCAGCACGCACCGAGACACAGGAGCGGTACATACTAGTAAATACCACAATGTATTTAAACGAGCCTTGCTGCGGTCTTACACCCCAGCTTTGGCTAAAGTTATACACTCCTAACTTTTCACGCAGAAACTCCCTGTTTTGTGCCTAAGGACTATCGTACCTTACCTAGCGATTGCAACGCCCTCTTCACAACTGAATCACTGAATGCAAGTGACAGTTTAGAGGCAAACGTTGTTCAATCCAAGTTAGTGCGTTACAAGATCGTTGATCCTTCCGCAGTTCCTTCACCTTCCTGCATGCAATCTTTGTCTCGGGCCCCCCACCATGCACAGGCATGTTTGCTTGGCTTCCTTCTTGGTATGACACTCTCTGTGGACTCCTGGATTAGCATATGAAATTGTGTGACAATCACATCAAGCCGCTGTCGGTCCATGGATTCAGGTGTAGCTTGTTCCACCTCTCTCATGCTGTCTCTGAATCCTCCTACTTTTATCTTGAAGTCCTCTACCCACTCTCCAGCATCAGCCTCTTTGAAGTTGTGCTGGATCCCAAGGGCATTGTCGACAACTTCGACGTCCTGGTCCATCCTCCAAAATATCGCGCTATGGTCTGATGTGTACGATGAGTCTGGATCAACTCTCCAGTCCACCAGGAGATTCCCTGCAACTGCTGCCACATTAGCAAATGTCAGGTCTATGACTGACTCAGCACCATTATTGCTTCTTGAGAAGAATGTGGGTACTCCCTTTGTGTTCATCATTAATAGACCTTTCTCTACCATCCACTCTATAAGTTGCTCTGCCCATGGGCTCTCCCGCTGACCTTCCAAGGCCCAAAGAGAGTGATGCATGTTGTAGTCACCTGTTATTATCATTGGCATGTCTAGGTCAAGGGCTAGTCTCTGGACTCTGTCCAACGCCATTTTTCCGAGGCCATCCCTGTCTGTCGGGTTGTTATACAGATGGACCAGCCATAGTTTTGTTTCTCCTTGTTGCACATTGAGGACCTGTATGTATGGGTCCGTCACAATATCTGATCGTAGTGTCACTGTGAGGTCCGTCCGTTTCCGTACGAAAGTGATCACTCGGGGTCGTTCTTCCTCAGCACCAGCTGGTAGGATAGTCTGCCACTCCCGTGCATTTGCACTTGCTGAGATCCACTTCCCATGTGGCATCCTCCACCACCACGGCTCCTGGAAAAGAAACACATCAACTGAGTTACATAGGTCTGCAAGCACTGCTTGCATAATTAAGGATGATCATGAGCAGTTCAACTGCATGAATTTCACAGGTTTCGCTCGCATTGTTGATTGTGGTTCAGTTGTACCACTCATTGGCTATGGCCTGGTTGTTCTGTGTTGCGTATGCTCTCTATGACCTTTGCTAGTGAGTTTCCATTTCGGTTTTGCCAAATATGCGTGAGTTGTTCAGTTTGTATCTGTGGGAAAAAAGCTTGGAGCATAGCGATGGTTTCTTTTTCAGATAGTGAATCGCCTGCATACCTTCTGCCAGAGGTGGGTGGGTCAGCTTCTGACTCGGTCCCAGCCTCTGTAGCAGGGTTCATCTGCTTTTTTCCTTTTCGCTTGCGGGTAACTTTCTGCCAGCCCCCGTTTGCATTCCCAATGTTCCCTACTGGACGTGACGGCCTAGGGTCTCTATGGTCCCCCAGTCGACGAATCCGTATTGGGCATGTGCGGTCATTTGCTGCATGGTTTGCATGTTCGCCGTCTTTGCAGTTCGCGCATCTCCTATGCATGCATGTTGGTGCTCTCTCTCCTTTTTCTGCTGCCTCTGCTCTTGCCTGTACACACCGTGAGCACCTCTCTGCATGGTCATTCTCGTGGTGGTCTTCTGCACATAGTCGGCACTTGGCCACAACTTTGCAAACTGCTTTTCGGTGAAATCCCTGGCATCCCTCGCATTGAATTACCGGAGGTTTATCTGTAAATTCCTTCACGATACATGACACCCAGTATAACAATACGTTCCTCCTCTCCTCAGTCATGTACCTTGCATCCTCTTCTTTCTCGAAAGATACCACCACCGACGATGCGTACTTCCCTTCCTCCAGCAGTTTCCCCTCGGGTCTTACCCAGCGGAACGCTCTGATAGTCCTTCCACGAAGGTCAGGGTTCTTTGCCATGAGCTCTCGCCTGACTTCTTCAGCTGATTGTATTCCGTCGCCATCTGGCCCGTCGATTATTCCAGTCCTGACACCGCAGATGTGCACTGAGAACCATTTCTCATCTGGGTACGCTTCGACTGTCTCGCGTCCTGGGAACACAACATGCTTGAATATGTTGGCGTGTGGTTCTAGGTCTGTCGCTCGCTGGTCGCTTCGTAGGTTTAGTATACAGCTGTTGTTTGCGTTGAATCGTACATGAACGATTACAAACGCCTTCGTCTCGTCATGCTTGGCTAGCTCTTCATTCACCCTGATGGCGACTGACTCGGGTCGTGGCCTCTCATAGTCTATCGGCAGCTCGGGGGCCCGTACCACCATGCGGCATGGGTTGTACGCCTTGTTTGGATTCATCGGCTTGGTTGGAGTCGTGGTGCTCTGTGTGGTTGGTTTTGTCGGTCTCACCGTCTTCGCAGTATACTGTGGTGTTGGCGCTTTCATGGTATTTCCACCCCTAGGTGTGTTGGCTGTGACCGCAGCGTAATCTTGTATGGGCAACGAGGTACGCACTTCTTCGTCCATTTCTTCGCTGCTCTTCCTCTCTCTTCTCTCCAACTCTATTTGCATGCATTCAAACTGCTCCATCTTCTTTTCCATCATCTCTTGCTTGCTGTAGACCCGCCGAATCATTACTTCAGTGCTGAGCGTCTTCTCTGGCGAAACAAACATTGTTAGTTCAGATATGAGGGTCTGGGCTAGTTCTGCCAGATCCCCTTCGCTTGCCCTCGCTCTGTTGCTTGCATAGCGTCTCGCCGCTTCGATCGTGATCTCCAGCTGTTCCCGTAGTAACGCGACATCTCTCTCCCCATCATCTTTCTCCATCTCGTTCGACCAGTGATTTGTGTCCCTGTAGAAGACATCTTCATCATCCTGTCGGCCCCTCTTGGATCCCGTGGAGGTATTCGATGGCGTCGGGGATGCGTCTCGAGATGGTACTGCTCTCGGTCGGTCTTCATTATCTGGTGCAGCGAATTTCTTGCTCATGTGTCCTCGATTTGCTCTCGGTGTTTCGTTCAAGTGTGCATAGACTTGATTTTTGGTTTTTGTGGGTGTAGTTGGTGAAACGTTGTGTGTATTACCGCCTGCGCTGTCTTCTTCACCATCCATCGTCTCAAATTTGCCCGTGGGAAAATTGTGTCTGATGGTGGTTCCGGATCAAGGAGCGGTGTGGAATCGTTAGACAGAGAAACTCTCAACGCGACAAGCCAAGTACAGGCTCCCAGGACACGCCAACCCTGACAGGAGCCTTGTCCGAACGTGTGGATCTATTAATCGAGATGTGAGAGACAAAGCGGTGGCTCAGAGAGGTTCTACTGAAGATGGTTGGGCTACTTCCTACGACTTGTTCGAGTACGCTTCCTTGACGGTTTTCCGTGTGCCGGAATACACTTTTTCCGTTGCAGAATGACGATATCGATCTGAGGGCTGCCAGGAGGTCTATAGAGGCACAAAATCACTCCAGAGAATTGTTCTCATCGTCGCTTCCGTTTGCCGACCAGTTCAATGATCAATCTGAGTATGGCGCATTTTTATAACATGCTCTTGACTATCTTATGCGTCTTCGTAGCCCATTCTTTTTTCGCGGCAAGTAAAATTCTCTTGAAATAGATCGGACATTATAAACTCTGAAACATAGAGGTGCAATGTGGCTATGCAAGCGCCCTACGTCGTACACGCAACATACTAGAATGTCAAGCTTACCCTCACTTTCCGACGTACTATCCACCCTCCTTACATCCCAGAAATCATCCTCGAGTGTTCTATATGCTCTAGTTCAAGATGTCGTAGCCGCTGCACCATCAACAACCTTTCCTATTTTGACCCCTATCCGTTACCTCGTTACTAAATTCGATAATGGTATATCGGACGCCACGGTTCACTTCATCATATTAGTGAGACTTGGAATGCGTCTCATAGAGGAAGGACCACTGGAATTCCATCAACGTTTTCAAAGATCTCACTATGTTCAGCTTCGGAACAATTACATCCACGCGAGGGATGAGCTAATGCCAGCCATCGAAACAAATCTTACAGAAATCGAGCCGCTGCTCATTACAGCGCTACGTGGATCGTACGGACTCGAACACTTTCTCCGCTGCATAAGGAAAATCCCCGGGTTTTGGTCGGCTCGCATCGACCTTCTGGACGATATCCCAGCCATCATTTCCTCGCTCCGCAGTTCGCTGCGGGCAGTTATGGTCTGCTTTGAATACTATGAGCGGCATGCGCATAACGTCATCAGTCGCTTCCTTGACATGGATTGGGTGAACTGTCATCGAGGTCGCACGGACTTACTTCGGTGCTTGCATGGTACTCGTGAGTTATTGACAAAGCTGGACTGGGGCCTAACAACGCATACCAAGATGCCAGGGTACATTCCTGTGTATGATTCCTCGATGTATTTTGCCTGAAAGCCTTTTAAGTGACACTTGCACCCGTAGGCGAGGGTTTTGACAGAGTCATAGCTAGATAATGAATATGGAATGAGCACATTCAGCGGCATGTACATGATGATTTTTTTCCGTATCCGTGATGTTGATTGCGTGAACAGTCTTTGGGGCTGCACATCCTTGCGTTGGTGCTTGCCGTAAGTTATTGGTATGGCTGCATCAAGGCCTCGTTTTCTTTGTAGGTCAGTGAGCTCTGAGTGACGAATGTCTCGGATGTCGACAAGCATCATCCAGTCAAAATTTTGACATATCAACTGCTAGATGTAGCGCCTACACTCTGGCGCCAGTTTCAACTGATGGAGAAGTACGGAGTCAACAATGCCAATAATCTCCAGTCCTGAGTACTAGGATGCAACGTCGGTTGATTGCGCTTCAGGGTGGTCTCTCAATGATTGCAAGCCAGCTTATATGCGATCTGACTCGCGAATCTTAACTTTATTAAGGGATACCTAATCTGAAGCACGGGTAGCACGCCGGGTAATGTAGATTTGTACAGGGTCTGGTGTCGGTAGCAGAGTGTATGTTATGGATATCTATATTTAGAATCCGTACCTCCCTTGTCGGCAATCGGCCCGCTCGCTCATCAAGAATGTTCTCGCAGTATCATATCTTCTATAAGTTTCCTTCTCTTTCTCGCGTAGTCTTTACTTCTCCAGAACAATCTAGATAAATGAAAATTTAGCTTATATACAAGCAAACAGTAGCTACAAAATTGCATTCCAATTTTCATTCCGAATTATCCTCATTTGAGTGAATCTAAGTTTGGGAAGACTACGCTGAACGCTTGTCTATTCCTACTTATTCAGTTACGCTAAACGCTTGCTGAGCCCTAGAAGAATATGCTGAACACTTTTCTTCGACTATTCGGATTCCTTTTGGTAGAAAACCCATATATTTTGATCTCGAAGCCAGTTACAAATCACTACCGTTATCTACGCAACGTACTAACTAGCTTGATCATAACAGTGTAAGACTCTCCGTTTTTAGGAAAGTCGACGATCGTCTGGTCAGGCGCGATATGACGATCCTATTCGCATTACCTCGAATTTGAAAATGCAGAGCAGTGAATGTTCCTCTAGGATCTCGTTGGATTTGCTTTCGTGGATGCTTCCTGGACATTACAGTCAAATTATCGCCCCGAAACGGATACTGTGCAACTATGGATGTATACCACTATTATAAACGATATTTTAATGATAGTCGTGTATATACTAGGAAAAGAGCACAACTTGGAAAACAAAGCCTCCAGTTCAACCTCCCGTTCGGAGATTCTTCAAACCGAGAAATAAAAGTTTCCGTTCCCCTCGCTAGGGCAAATGGCTAACTCCAACTCACGGCCAGGTCTACTCATCCTGACGCAGAACCCGTTGGTGGCCGGGAAGGCAGAGGAGATTGCGCATCCCGAAGCGACGACTCCTTGCTTCTGGGAGATATCTGTAGCACATGTCGTGCATTCAACTCTCCATTTCTGGTTCCTGCACATCGAGTGGGTCATGGAAATATGTAAAAGACGAGGTGATAAAAACATACACGTTACTACCTGACCAGTCGACATTATGTGTGACCACCCCCCCAGTGGCAGTAAGTTCGACCGCAAAGTTGACGTTAGCCACGGTCCTGTGAAATTCCCGTCAGCAAAGGTCCAGAAGAGAAGGTACAACACCACGTACTTGACAGTGTAGGTGACGTCGGGATCATCTCCGTTCTGCTGGAAGAAGAACTTGGAGGGTGCAGTGCTTCCGTTAGCCAGCTCTCCGACTACGGGGGTGACTGCTCCAACTACGGGGGTAGCTGCCCATGAGGTTGCGCCGTAAGCGCTATACCCGGTCACGGTGAGAGCAGCACCCTCAAAGTTGGGGTGACAAATACTCCGGGCGGTCAAAGGCGACGCGGTAGCCGCAGAGAAGAGAGCAGAAATCAAGAGGATAGTTGAAGAATACATTGTTGAAAAGGAAGAACTTGAAAGGATCAGAATGCTTCAAGTAAAAGTTGAGGTATGAACACGAAGAGACGATGGCTTTTATACCAGCTGACAAGATCTTGGCACTCCCGAGTAGCGAGTGATCAATAACTCGAGAGCTGGACTAGATCAGCGAGTTATGATCAAGTCCAGGATCGACTGTATGCAAGGTGGCGCGAGGGAACGACTTTGAGGGTAAGCAAGGCCGTCGGCGGCATAGTAATTACCGCTCAACACGGCTGATACACATCGAAGATGCCGTTCTAGTCAATCTCCTCCCAATTTATCCCGCTCCTTCCGGCAGCAAAAAAATGTGACGAAAGTTTCAATGACAAAAGGTCGTCTTAAAGCATGCTCGTTGTATTTTGCTTTCAATGAAAGAGCGCCGTTCTTCAAGACCAAGATTGGGAAAAGGGTCAAAATGGTATTGCACAAAGCAGGCCGTGAACACATAAGTCTCGAAGACAGGCGAAGGTAAAAAGAGGCGAACAGGGTCTGTAAGAACATATAATGTCGTCCGCCTCGGTAAACCTAGGAAATCATCCGAACCGAGTTATGATCCGGTATGGGAAAGCAGTCAAAATATGCATAAGATTGGTCTCGAATCGTTCGGGAATATATCCTTGACTCCGAGGGGTACGGACATTAGATGCAGTACTGTACTAGAACATCGTGGCTTGGCCGCCTGAAATGCTTAGAGGGCCATAAGGCGATGATCATTGCGTTCCAGACAATAGAGGGGATCAAGAGTCTCTCAATGTCGTTTTCAAGAATATTGCCAAAGCAAGCGGGATTATAGCCATGAAAAACAGTTCTGTCGAATTGTTGACGAGGAAAAGGTGTAAGAGCAGAGGAAAGAGTCACACGTCCAATGACAATGGGCAGAGCTTCGGATTTTAGGTATCCATGAAGTTTGGTTCCGCCTTAGGAACTGCTACAGCGAGAAGGTAAGCTAACATGGTCGTTAGTGGTGAAAAGAAAGTCCTCGGAGAAAAATCAGAGATATATTCAAGCCCAGTAAGCCAAGTCAGATTCAATCAGGTCTGGTTTTGGTAACTTTTGGAACTTGAAGTGTCAGAAAGACAAGATTAATTTGGATACACACCATGGACAGAAGGTCCTGACCGCACAAGTCTTCGCTAATGCTGAAAAAAAGACGAATAGACAGCTATTACCAAGCATAGCGTACGAAGGGCAGGACGTGGCGAAGGGGGACAACAAGAGCAGAGCAAAGACCTTTTTATCTCCGAAAGGGGGCCAGCTGGCGGGCTCGATATGGTTTGGATATGGTGACCCGGACATTCGGCACCTTCTGCTCAACTGGAGAATGACAAGAAGATCCGCTGAGCCTACGAATTTAGTCCCCAGTACGAGAACCGAAAATCTCCCCAGTCGGACCATGTGGCATACGGCGATGAACAAGGCTAACTTGTCTGATCCACTCAACTTTGGCTCGTCTGAAGAATTGACAGCGAAAAGACTTAGTATCGAGCTTCATTCAAGTGTCGCACACCAAGGACGCGAGAAAAGGAGTTCGGGAGGAGTTGGTGGGAGTTTCCGGACACGTCCGTCGGAGTCAGGGTTGGCAACCAATTCTTGTTTGTTGTGGTGTTCGATATCGTGTTCCGATCAACCATCATCAGGCTTATTGTCGAAGCATGCCACTGTCACCGGATCCTGCTTGGGGAGACGTTGAGTTGTTCTGGATTTGGCACTACACATTTTTACAGGATAATGGGTATCAGCTACGCCCAAAATTTCATCCTGACTGGAAGACTGATTGGAAGACTGAAGATGATATGCTATGGAGCGAAGAGTCGCTCATCTACTCAGTATGTTATCAATATTTTTCTGTTGCTCTGTCATACTGATCATATAGAAACTATCCATTGTGGATGCAACTCGCATAAACGACGGCAAGCTAGTCACTTTGAAGAAAGTGCCAAGGACCAAGTTTCCTTATGAAGTCGATCTTGCCGTATTCCTTACCTTCACTCCACTATCCGATGATCCCAACCACTGTGTCCCAGTATACAAAGTCCTGCAGTCATCCTATGAGCCCGATGTCTAGATCATGGTCATTCCTCGGTTGCGTGAAGTCAAGTCACTGGTGTTTGATACCGTAGGGGAATTCTTAGACTTATTCCGACAAATATTCGATGTGCGTATTTCCTCTTCTACAATGTTTTTACTTAGTAACTTCGATCAGTGTTGGAATTTATGCATCGGAAATTCGTGGCGCATAGGTCAGCATTTTCTCAGCCGTTCGCCGCTAACGATATACTAACTGTTTCTGAGGGATATTACTCTCTTCAACGTGATGCTGGATTCTAGCAAGCTATATCCAGAAGGATCGCATCCTACCCATCCCTACTTATGAACGCAAAATACACATGCCAGTTTGTGAGCCACACTACGCACCAAGCGCTGGGCTCGGTACTATCTCATTGACTTTGGATCTTCTTGTCGATATGACCCAGACAAACTTCCATTCGACGTGTCACTTCCTGCTGGCGATAGGTCTGCTCCCGAGTACGCCGAAATCCGTACCAATCGTATACAAAAATCAGTCCGTTCCCTCTTGACGTTTACTGTCTGGCCAGCATAGTGAAGCATGATTTCAAAGTAGTGAGTTGTATGCATCTGCATCCATCTGCATCTCCGTTTTCCCTTGAATGATTTCAAAACACCAGGGTAATCATCCATCATTGCATTTTCTTATGCCACTCGTCGATGACATGACTCAGGCTGACCCTTCTCTGAGACCTACGATTGGGGAGGCCAGAACGCGCTTCGCAGAGCCCACACTTCGCTCGTTCTACACCCTCACTCTGCGGGCCATTAAGGGGCGCTAGGATGCAAAGGCTGTGTCTACCTCGGGTGACTCGTTGGCTGTTTCCTAGAATGCGAGAGTATCTAATTTCATTAAATCTAAATGCATGGCTTTATGGCATTCCAATCATATATGAAATCGCCGGCCTTTATCTCGGCGCTTACAACCAGCTTCAATACCGCTGTAACCGCCCTACCTAGCTATCCTGTGTACGGTCCTTACGCACCGCCACACAATGACATCCCCGAGGCAAACTCGAGTAGAGAGTATTGTCCACACGAGAAGAAGGAACACTGATCTTTCTCGAAGGCCTCATGACTATAGACAGTTAACGAAAGTTTATTCTACTGAATCTAGCCACGTTTCTCTCGTCATCTATTTCATTTCTCGAATAACTACCGTAACCCAATGTATAGTACAACGAGACTGGTAGTTCTGTTGTGTCGTGTCAACAATTTCATCCATCCTTGCTCAACCCCATGAAAGGCGACGTGATATCATTCAACTGAGACCGGAGGTTAGCACTCTGGAAACCAATAGTAATTAGAAAAGACGCGGTGTCGTGACCTCCTTCACGACAAGGACGGAACCTTTTTAGCTAATTTGAATTGTTCCTCGATCAGAACAACATGAGAGTGCGAAGATTTTCATGTCGTAGCTGTGTTAACCAAGGTGAAGACTGAGGAATGTGAGTACTGACAACGAGTATAAAGGCGATGGAATTGGCAGGTCTTGCCTTACAGTCTAGCGATCTTTTACAGCTATCGAAGTGGTTCGTACATCGTCAGAAATTAATGCTGCCTTAGTTAACTGGTATGGCACACTGAGTCCTTGCGTACGATTTGGAGGCTGCGAGAAATCTGGTATGGACAAAGAGGGTGGCGAATATGCATTAGACAGGTTAATGCAGGAGCCATATCTTGCAGCGCGGAGCAATTTCCATCCTGGCTACACACAACTCAAAGCTGCGCATATCGACGTTCGGATGGAGACATAAGTAGGGAACAGACATGTAGCATGCGATGCGCTGAAGGCGTCCACCAAGAGGATGATGGTAAATCGACACTTTGTCATTCAATACCGATACACTGTACATTCATCAAAAACAAGGGAATCTCAAGCCTTCGTCAGATATGCTTTGGCCACTTCCGAGACCTTGGGATCGATTTTACCCAGAATCTCTAGCATTTCGTCCTAAACATTGAAAATGAATCAACAATCCACCCCACAAAGTACTCAGCAGCAGGAAGCCACTCACCCAAACTTTATCCTGGACGATCTTCCCATCCTCGCTGATCACAAAGTCGCTCTCCTCCACAACCTCGGACAGATGAATATACTTTCCGCGAAGCTTCTCCTCATTATCCAGAGATCCTACAGCAGCGTACACCAATTGCCGGCTCCCTTCTTCAGTAGTGAACGCAAATTCCTCTCTCATCTTTCGCATACGTTCCGCCTGCTCGGCAGAGGCACCGGAACCGAGGCCTGAGAAACAGAGTCCGGGATTAACAGAGTCCACGGTGATTGCTGGGGAAGCTGGGACATGAAGTTGCAGAGCACGAGCGAAGAGAACGTTGAACACTAAGGCGGTATGAGGCTGGGATATTCAAAGAGGAATCAACGTGTTACACACATTTGGTATCATGATATCGGTGGTTCATCACTCTTATTCACAGGTCAGCAACAGAGGTAGGAGATGGGATGGGAGTCGGACGTACTCCTCTGTGCAATATTCCTTGTCTGACAGCTTCGCGAGGATGCCAGGGGAAGCGATGACGTCCTTTTCAATTTTCGTCCAATAGTGCACGTCGCTCGCAACGACGACAAGCCTTGGGTTGACTGAATACTTGCGCGCGGTTTCGAGCATCTTGGGAAGCATACGAATAGCGAGTAAACCGGGTCCAAGGTTGTTTGTGTGTATGCTTCGGTGGTGATGAGCCTTTGTTTCCCGAAAAAAAGAACGTGTCACGTACGTTTTCTCCCAGCCTTCAACTTGTTCGTAGTTCGAAGTCGCAATGCCAGCATTCTCTATGAGGATATCCAGTCGCTCCAGTTCACGTTCGGCCCTATCAGCAAACGCAACGACACTGTTGAAATTGGCGAGATCGATAATCCACAGTTCTGCTTTGGAGTAGCCAGTGTTGGCTTGGATCTCTGTAATCACCGAGATCAGTCGGGTTTGTACATCTGAAAATGAAAATGAACGTACCGGTCAGAGCCTGCTTCCCCTTCGCTTCATCTCTCGCAGTCAGCACCAGCCGCGCAGGATTCATCCTAGCAAAATGCTTTGCCGCTTCGAATCCCAGTCCAGCATTAGCGCCAATAAGGACGAGTGTTTTCCTGCTCAAATCAGCAGTAACAACAGCAGGTACGGGTCCAGTCTGATCTGCGACCCATTGCTCATGAGTTCTGGGAGCCATTGTGAGGGAGAATCAAAGAGTCGTCCAAGGCGTGCAGCTTTATATGTGGCCAAGCGGAGAAGAGATGCGCTCTCGGATGCCGATAGTCAACGCAAGCGCGGGTATTTATAGTGGCCATGACGGCAGATATCGAGGTGCTTAGTAAAACAGATATTCCACATGATGATAGCGCAATGTAGGAAAGATGTTGATGCTGCAGTCACCAGAATGTTAATTGATAATAAAATAAAGAAATAATTAACTCCGAAATTGCCCATGCCATCACTGATGTAACTCTTCCACCAACCCCGACTGTCCATAGAATTTTCCACTGACATGGGTCGTCTCATCTTTTGTGTGAGTAATTTTCCTTGTAATCGTTGTTGTTAGTCTAATTTCCATACGACAGTCATTGTATTGCGCTTTTGTTACCGTTGGGAGTACTAATTAGTCATAACAATTTCATAACAATTTCTTACAAGGATCACTGGTACACACGCATTCTTATTCGCTATAGCCATCGATATGACCGTTTACTTGCATATAGATGATGTGGATTGTGCGTTCTGCGATTGACGGTGGTCATGAAGGATACACTCGTCTGACCGGCCGGTACTATCTACTACACAAGCATGACAATAAAAGGCCGACGAATCTTCACCTAAACGTTGTCAATGAAAGAAAACAGGGAATAGACAACACAGACTCAGTCGTACTCAGTGACCGTCGCCCTCACGCATGTCCACCACCTGCCGATACCGCACATACACCCTGATCGCGACCAGCACCAAATCCCGAGAATCCAGTTCCAGAAATCAAGACATCCATGGGTGACCCAATGATACTTGATATCTCACCCGACTTACGCTACTGCCACCCTGAGCATCGGAGCGACCCCTGCTACCTCCCAGCCTACATATGATGACACTGGAATTGGTAGGGACTTCGAACGTACGAAGAAGAGCATCCGAGTCTCAACGTCTTATCAACTGGGATGAAACAGGCAACAATTCCCATGACTCCGCTCTATCGAACAGCCTTCTGCACGCTCTCCTTTCTACCTCTACATCGCTCTGTCTGCTCGTCATTTCTACAGCACAGATTGGACATCGCTGTCAGTTCCTTCCGAACAGGCTAGCCATCTACCCGTGAAGGATTTATCTGCCCCTACTCTGTGAATTTGATTCGAAGATCTGAGGCTGATCTCGGGCTAGTAATCGTATCACGTCGTCGTTTAAGTATTCCTTGCCCCTTCGCCACCATCTTCAATGTATGTTCGTGTCTTTTTCTCCTAAGTGGCATTCCTCAAATCGCAAGGTGATCTTGCTTGATTCAGAATCACCGCCACGTCACTCACGCTTACTACGTAGTTATGGCTGGGATTCGTGATGTGTTGTCTGGTGTTCTCGCGTATCGGATCGTTACCTTTTTGATCACCCAAGTGAGTGCCTTCCGTATATCTACCTTTTATCCCTCATGTCTCTACAAAAAGAATAATAGGGATGAACTACTTCAGGAGAGACAGTCATGGCGTCTACAGGAAGGAGTTTGAGAAGGTACATGGACGTTTCAACTTTTGTTTTGCTTTCCTCATCAGACGACTCTTATAGACGGTCCCAACTCATTCATTCCGATTCTCCACGGACATCGTTCTGGTGCCAGCTACAGCGGATACCGACTTTGACAATTCATTTTCATCGACTCACTTTCCAGAAAACACCAAGACGATGATGGCAAATCGACGCGTCGTCATTCATTACCAATATACTGTACAAAATAAGTGAATCTCAAGCGTTCGTCAGATACAATTTAGCCACTTCCGAAACCTTAGAATCAGCTCCACCCAGAATCTCCAGCATCTCGTCCTAAAAATAGAAAACAAATCAAAAATCAACAATCAACCCCACAATTTCGTCCGCATGGTCCCACTCACCCAAACTTTATCCTGGACGATCTTCCCATCCTCGCTGATCACAAAGTCGCTCTCCTCCACAACCTCGGACAGATGAATGTACTTTCCGCGAAGCTTCTCCTCATTATCCGGAGATCCTACAGCAGCGTACACCAGCTGCCGGCTTCCCTCTTCCGTAGTGAACGCAAATTCCTCCCGCAATTTTCGCATGCGTTCTGCCTGCTCGGGAGGTAGACCAGATCCGATGCCCGAGAAACAAAGTCCGGGGTTCACGGAATTGACGGTGATCGCTGGGGATACCGGGACATGAAGATGTAGAGCTCGAGCAAAGAGAACGTTGAGCACTGCCATGGTATGAGGCCTACGCTTGCGAAGAGGAATTAATGTAGTACGTACGTTTGGTATCATAATACCTGTGCTTCATCACCCTTATTAACAGATTAGCAAAAAAGCGATGGGAAATCATATGGCACTTGGACGTACTCTTCTGTACAATAGTCCTTGTCTGACAGTTTCGCGAGGATGCCAGGGGAAGCGATAACGTCCTTTTCAATCTTCGTCCAATAGTGCACATCGCTCGCAACGATTACCAGTCTCGGGTTGACTGAATACTTGCGGGCCGTCTCGAGCATTTTCGGGATCATACGAATAGCGAGCAGGCCGGGGCCGAGATTGTTCGTATGTATGCTAAGATGGTGGTGAGCCTTTACTTTCCCCTCAAAAAGAACACGCCATGCACGTTTTCTCCCAGCCTTCGACTTGTTCGTAGTAACAAGTCCCAATGCCAGCATTCTCTATGAGGATATCCAGTCGCTCCAGTTCCTGGTCGGCTCTATCAGCGAACGAAATGACGCTGTTAAAGTTGGCGAGATCGATAATCCATAGCTCCGCCTTGGAATAGCCAGTGTCAGCTTGGATTTCTGTAACAGCAAGGATCAGTCGGGCTTGTAATTCTGATAATAAAAATGAACGTACCAGCTAGAGCCTGCTTTCCCTTCGTTTCATATACGGCAGTCAGCACCAGTCGTGCAGGATTCATCCTAGCGAAATGTTTAGCAGCTTCGAATCCTAGTCCAGCGTCGGCGCCAATGAGGACGAGTGTCTTGCTGCTCAAATCAGCAGTAACAACAGCAGGTACGGGTCCAGTCTGATCTGCGACCCATTGTTCGTGAGTTCTGGGAGCCATTGCGAGAGGAAATCAGAGTCATCCATGGACCGCAGCTTTATATGTAGTCAAGCGGAGAAACGGGTTCTCCAAAGCCGATAGCCTACACAAGCACAGGTATTTATAGTGAAGGTGACGGCAGACATCGAGGTGCTTAGTAAAACCTTTTTTCCGAGTCGTAATGGTGCAACAAAATGCAAGATGTTCATGCTCACCATAATGAAGTATACCTCATTAAATAATCGATAATAAAATAATGATAAAATAATTGACTCCGAAATTGCATCACCCGATACAACTCTTCTGCCGACCACGACCATCAGTAGCGCCGTCGACTGACATGGGTCGTCTCATCGTTTATATGAGTAAATTTCTTTTTATTTGTTTCTGCTTTCCTGACATCCATACAGTCGTTGTACTGTGCTCGTATTACTATTGGGAGTACCAATTAGCTATAACAATTCCTTACGAGGATCACTGGTACACACTCATTCCGTATTCTTCACCGCCATCTAGCTAACCGTTTACTTGGATATAGATCGACTGGGAGAGGGACTCGGCGATTGAAGGTAGTCATGAAGAGTATCTGGCATGCACGATATAAAGTATTTGTATGCGTCTTGGACGACCTGGCTAGTGCGTAAATACTCCATGTTCCTCGCCACTGCTGTTCTGACCGAATATAGATCTAGTTAGAGGTGATGTTACGGCGCGTACGATATAAGCACGACAACAAAAGGCTGTCATGAATTTTCACCTGAACATTGCGAATACAGAAAGGGTGGAATAGCTGCCGATACTGTACCTGCATTTCCGCCGTGATCAGTATCAAATTCCGATAATCCAGTTTCAAAGGTCAAGACAACTGCGGCTGACTTGATTGCGTTTGGATTCTAGGATATGTGACGCGGGGCAAAGATCTGACAGGTGGATCTGAGTCCCGACATCTTATCAACCAGGATCAAGGAGGCAGCGATTCCCACGACTCCTCTCCATGAAATACATTGATCAACCAATGCACTCTCGGCTTGCCTAGTTTCTCACCCAAGAAGGCACGAAATGTTCTGCATACTCGAATAGAGGTGGACAGCTTGCAAGAACGTTAAATACAGATAGAAGCTATTCCGGCCGCTCGAGAATGCCTACAAGGACAAAACCGCCTATTTACCGCCAGTTCGCTCTTGGCCATAACTTAACGAACCAGAGATGACACTTCCCGGGCCCATCGACGAACATGCATCACGAAAATATTTCACTTCCTCAAGGCGAGCTTCAACACTGCCCTTCCCGACTACGAGTTCTCGGATGTGCGACTTGGGCATTTGAACAAAAAAGAAAGCAGTGCAGTGGTACTGAACGCCCTTAGCACAATGCTGACAACACCTCACCATGTTGGCGTCAACGTGCCGCACACGTACTCATTCTACCCTCCAACCTCGTCCGATTTCTTCCCCAAGCTCAAACCTACATCCTTCTCACCCGTCAACAGCCTTCTCCAGGGCCCCTATACGCGGCTCCCGATACAGTCCGGCACTCATCTGTTCATTTACCGCCTCCTCGACAACATGATAGACCTTCTTCAGGTAGTCGAGTCACCGATGTCTAGTCCTGCGTCTAATTTACGTACGCTTCAGAATCGAGAATAAAAACCTGTGCGCGGTAAAAGATTCGAGGCCGGTGTTCTGCATATTTTGGCTATGCGGATCATGAATTCATTCCGATGATTCCTAGGTCTGACGACGTCCTATGTTCTTATGGAGCTCGTTCATCGCCTTTTGCCTCCGTCGGACTTGGATTTCGGAGCCTTCTTCGGCTGCACCCTTCACAGGTGACCAACTCGAGCCAACCAGATGCAAGAGAAAAAGTTGGAAGAGAGATAAATTGTGACCCGGGCTTCTAACAACAGAAAAAATCATCGGCTTTACCATGCAAGGGAATTCCGACCTGTTTTTTCGTGGTTACAAGTCTGGTCCACAGTTCATATACTGTTCACTAGAGGAGAAGATAGACCAGAGCGAGTCCATGCTCTTCGTCTTGGCAAAGGTAGATGGTCAGATGATTCCTTTGACGTTTTTCCAGACCTGAAACGTTCGCTTACTAGGACTGTCAGACCGTGCCATTGATATCCCTTATCACAACGTTCCCTTTGATCCTGAAGATCCGCGGCCTTTTATTGGTTCCAAAACATTCTGATTTTAACGAGTATGATCTGCTAGGCTTAACGAGCGTTTGTTACTGTAACCGGGGTGTTTCTGGAAGGAATCCGAATATGTCGGGGGGAGTTTGACTAGAACGGCGTCTTTGATGTATATCAGCCGTGCTATACGGCGATGATAATGCCGCCAACGGCCTTACTTGTCCTCGGAGTCTCTATAACCCGCCATCTCATACGGTCGATCCTGGACTTCATCATTACTTCTTTCGTGGCCCTCGTCGATCTAGTCCAGCCTTCTATCCCTCACCACCAAGAACGCCAAGCTGTCACGAAACTACTATAAAAGCTGTCGCCTCTTCGCTTTCATACTTGCAGACTTTTGATCTTCGTCTTCTTGGAATCTGATTGTTTCGATCCCATATCGCTCAACTTTATTACCAATGTATTCTTCGACAATCCTCTTCTTCTCTGCGCTCTTCTTCGCTTCCGCACCCTCCTTTGTCCGGGGCTGGTGCCACCCAAACTTTGAGGGCGCTGCTCTCACTGTAGTCTGGAATAACACACTCTCGTGGTCAGCCGAACCTGCTGTCGGCGCACCCATCAGTGCGAGCACTTTGCCCTCCAAGTTCTTCTTCCAGCAGAATGGAGATGATCCCGATGTCACCTACACCATCAAGTGCGCATTTTTCTATCTTGACTCTTTCGTTCCGGAGTTTTTTAAACGAAGATTTCACAGGACCGCGGCTAACGTCAACTTTGCGGCTGAATATGATGGTCAGAGATTGTTCATGGACAATGCTGACTGGTCAGGCAACGAGTATGTTCTCATCTCGCCTTTTTATATATATTTTCATCACTGACTGGCCGACTCGATATACAGGAACCAGAAATGGAGAGTTGTATGCAACACGTGTGAGACGGACATCTCCCAGAAGCATGGCGTCGTCGCTTCGTACTGCGAAATCACTTCCAAAACCGATAGCTTGTGCATTACGGAGGGATCTGGCCCTGGACCTTTGTATTTATATTATTGCATCAGCCATGGGGGCCATGGGAATTATCTGTATTTTGATTTCTTGGTTTGAACAATGACTGAAGGGGAGGGCAGGCTGGAAGATTTGTTCTTTACCGGTGTTTTTCTGATTCTTTTTCTTTTGTCCCTTGGAATTCTCCTGAAATTCTTTGGAACGGCCTTTTAATCGTACAGTAATGGCTTGCAGATATACTATAATCATCCAATTTGAATGCTAGATCGACTATGAGATGTACAGGAGACAGCTTGTCCAGGTATTCACAGCGTGTCTAACTCATATCCAATACTTATGTTCGAACGACTGCCTACTGCTCTGGAATTCCGTGAGGAACGGACGTCCCTTTGTAGTTCCAGCTGTATCCAGTTCAAGGCGGCGACATCAAATAATTTGGCGACCCGTATGCTACAGTTCAATGTGTCGTCTTCGCATCGTCCAAATTATAACATACATGTTACGTACCGCAATTTAGTCGTTATATTTTTTCCTGGAAGCCTGCGCGGGAGCAAACACTATCTCAGACACTCGAAGAGGAATTCACCACTCGGCATTTTCAAATTCAGGGTAACAGCTGTATCGTTAAACAGAATTGTCTTATCAAGTCTGAAAGAAGTTTGGGGGGGACTCACAGTAGTGAAAGGAGCGACCGTTGGTCTGTACAAAGCTATTTGTGGATAGCGACTGAGCAGCAGGACATGGCGAACGAGTCTCACAGTGGTACTGGTACAGGTTCCTGCATAAGTGTAAATTGCACCACGACATCTGACGTCTTAATGATACAGCGGATTGGATATTACATTGATAATCCTGCCAAATGCGCATATCGTATGAAGATATCCTGACCCCAATCATAGCATAGCAGGGAGATATCACGAGGTAGAACACCTGGTTTCAAGCTCGAGAGAAGGATTAACGGATGGTAACTTCTAAATTGCATCAGAGGACTGCTATCCTTGCACCCGCATTCTGACATTTTCTTGCACATGTCCCTTGGCCTGAGACTACCTTGCTTCTTGGCTACCAGCTGGCGTAATGAGGCCTACAGTAGAAATGACGTTCAGAAAACGGCTCAGTGGAATAAGGCTGAGAGAGCATACGCAGGACGGTACCCCAGAGGCCAGAGATGCAGTGGCAAGGCGAAAGCCACTTTGAACACTGACTCCTTAGTCTGATGCAAGCACCAATGCAAGTCTGAGCGGCCTCGGTGGCGATCCACCCAATCCTTGTCAACGAAACGGCCATAGACAAAACGTGCAAATTGCTCGATATAATCAAGGTAGGTCACAACTGCTTGTAAAGAACTTAGGACCGAGTGAATGATATCATGAATGTCGTCAAGGAGGTCAATCCGAGTAGACCAATATCCGAGGATACGCTTTATAAACCGGAGGAGGGGTTCGAGTCCATACGAGCCGCGTATGTCGGTGAGGAGTAGTGGCTCTATGTCCATAAGATCCATTTCAATGGCAGGAAACAGGTCCTCTCTCGCTTTCCGGCAATTATATAGGACGAGATCATAATGTTTCTGAATATCTTTGGAAGCGTCTTCGTGCGGTTCAGGTTTTAAATAAAGTATTCCGTGGCTAAGCTGTAAACTGAAATGCTTGACGGCTGTCCGTGTGACTCTGTTGAAGTCACAGGCGAGCAAATGAGTATTTGTGAGAATGGGAAGGGTTGTCGATGGTGCGGCGTCTGTGATGTGCTGAACCAAGCCGTCTAGAGTGTCCAAGTGCGACATCTGGGACGTATAGAGGGCAACCAGTACATTGGAGACTGAGGGTAGCGTTGTCATCGTGGTGGTGGTGGTGGCTCTCCATGTCTTGGACCTACTTGAAAGACCGAAAGACCGTCATTGCGGAATAAGTCTTCGCCGCGGTGTGGTATTTCGACTGATCCGACAAAATGTTTATCTGTCGTTATGATGAGATAAATCGCGCATATATCCAAATCAACGATTGTATTAGCCGGAAAAATAGATAGACTGAAAGACGCATCAGACAGAGAGCATGGCAGAGAGAATAATAGCACTCACATTCTATGGTACCGGATTGCGTATGCCAAATACCCCAGAAAACATTTCTAATTCGATGACTGTTCGAGAGCATCACACAAAGAATAAGGACGGGTAGAATGATGCCGGCAGTGCAATCATTTCTCTTTCGACCAGTCATAGTTCTACGTTGGCCCCGTCGTTCTGAAGGCAGATGAAGGTTATCTCTAGTATACAGAAAATCTTGAAGTGAACACACCTGTATGAGCAACATGTCAGGCAACATTCAATATCCTGTACTTTTTTTCTATCCCCTATCACAGATATTCTCTCCAGGACTACTCCACCACCATTCACAGGTCCGGCACAGACAGGGCGGTCGACAGTTCTGGCACATCCTGGTCTCGTAGCAGCTGCTCACTGTTTAAGGTCGAAAAACGCGTCGGGCGATGCATGTTGAAGAAATCTAAGTGATACTATGCATATCGCTCTTGCCAATGATTGAGCAAAGAAACATACCTGAGCCAGTCATCGGATAACATGATACAGAAGACTCCATCGTGCTTGACTGATGGAAAGCGAGGTGAGACTCGGAGGTAGCACGGTGGTGGTGGTTGTAGAACCAGACAAACTCCACTTCAACATCAGCCAGCGACGAACTTGGCATCTTCCAAGTCATCAACGACATCGAGGTCCATATTCTCAGTCTCAACATCATGCCTACAGACATCCCTATTCGGCACGAAGAAGCCAGAATGCCTGATACAGCGGGTATATGCTCTTCTCCTCTTACCACCACCATCGATCCTCGCTCCTTCCTCATGCTCCCTGCCTTTCTCAATCTTTTGTCATCAGTTTCGGAGCTCGGAGCCTGAGGGATGCCCAACATATACAGCAGTGCGACCGTTTTCCTTTCTAGTGATTGGTTGTCCATCTGGGTAACGTTGTCTTTCTGCTTAAAAGGCGCATCTAATTCAATTTCGGGCATTAGTATGGCGCGCGGCTTTGGATCTTGCCTCCCTTCAAGCTTCAATGTTCATGAATGACTTCAAAGCGCTGCTGGACTGAAACAAGCCTATCGCCGGAATCGCGTGCAACAGACTTCCTCAGTACGCCACCACTCCCTAAGTTGGACCGGTGTTCAGTACTGCTGCAGGCATTCCATCGTAGATGCGACCCTTTTAGGAATACATGTCTGGATTGATGTGAGCTACATCCATGCTCTTTCTCCGTTTAGGGCTGACCAAGCTTTTAGCGAATGTGGTCCAACCAAGTTTTATTCGACCTTCACTGCCCCTCCATCTTTTCTTGACCGCCTTCTTAGGCTGAACCACGACCAGGAGGATACTGTATCTCGACTATGCATCTGCCATCCTTCCAAATGGAGCGTCTTATTACGAATCAGGCGCCTGGTACAAGGGTCTCGACATGCTGGGAAGTAAGGTGCCAAATATCATCCCTCTCTTCTATCTAGTCATTAACGCCACCTCGTACTAGGAAAAAAACGGGACAGATGTGGATACCTATTCACTGCCGTTTACCAACTGGAGCTGCTCGTTCTTTGCTGCCAGCCTGGCCCGCCCGCGAAGTCAGCGGATGTGAAAGCTTGTACGATTTTACATCAGATTTAACCGGCATTCCAGCATCATAATTTGCTTATTGGCAATGCTTCGTTGCTTAGTAGCGCACAATCCATACGCCCTCCTGCTGGATGAGACGGTACTTGATGGGTCGTACGTAACATTACCCTGTACTGACTGCTGTACGACTAACATTCTTGTGTCTAGCATGAAGCTGCTAGCCTCATCATGATTTGGAAGGGGGTTTTACTAAGCATCTTAACCTGTTGCCGATACTATAAATATCCGTGTTTGCGTAGGCTATCAGCACACAGTAGCCTCAAGATTCCGATTTGATTTTGTTCTTCCCGTGTATTTGCCCTTGATCACATATAAAGCTGTGAGGTACCCACGACTCTTCACTATCCCCAATGGCTCCCAGGACTCATGAACAATTCGTCGCAGACCAGACCGGGCCTGTGTCCACCGTCGTGTCTGCCGACTTGAGCGGGAAGACCCTCGTCCTCACCGGTGCCAATACTGGTCTAGGATTTGAGGCTGCAAAGCATTTCGCTAGGATGAACCCTGCGCGACTGATATTGACCACAAGAGATGAAGCAAAGGGAAAGAAAGCCCTGGCCGGTATGCTCATTTGATTACCAGATGTACGAGCCCCACTAATCCTTGTCCTCATTATGATAGAGATTCAAGCTGACACTGGCTTCTCCAGAGCGGAGTTCTGGATCCTTGATCTCGCTAATTTTGGCAGCGTTGTTGCCTTTGCTGATAGGGCTGACCGAGAATTGGAGCGATTGGATATCCTCGTGGAGAATGCAGGCATTGCGATATGGGACTATGAACAAGTGGAGGGCTGGGAGAAAACGTACGCAACGACCACTTCAGGGTGACGAAAACTCATTCCTATCTTTAGTATACTCACGAATAACCTCGGTCCCGGTTTACTTGCTATCCGTATGATCCCCAAGATGCTCGAGACTTCTCGCAAGCATTCTGTCAACCCAAGGCTCGTCATCGTCGCGAGCGACGTGCACTACTGGACGACGATCGAAAAGGACGTCATCGCTTCCCCTGGTATTCTTGCGAAGCTGTCAGATAAGGAATATTGCACAAAAGAGTACGTCCAGATTCCACGATCTCCTACGTCTATTGCTGACCTGTGAATAGAGTAATGCAACACCGATATCTTGATAGCAAATGTGCGTCACACCTTGATTCCTCTTCACATATCCCCATCTCATATTTAGTGTAGTGCTCAATGTCCTTTTTGCAAGAGCTCTACAACTTCATCTCCCGTCTTCGCCAGCTATCACCGTCAACTCTGTGAACCCCGGACTCTGTTACTCAGGTCTCGGATCTGGTGGCCCTGCAGAGCAGGAGGAACACTTGCGAAAGAGGCGAGAGGAATTCGCGTTCACTACGGAAGAAGGGAGCCGGCAATTGGTATATGGCGCCGTGGGCTCTCTGGATGACGAGGAGAAGTTTCGTGGAAAGTATATTCGCATGTCTGAGGTCGTGGAGGAGAGCGACTTTGTGATCAGCGAGGATGGGAAGATCGTCCAAGATAAAGTTTGGGTGAGTGGCTCACCGTTGATAAAACTATGCTGTGAGTTGTTGATTTGTCTACTTTAGGAAGAGATGTTGGAGATGTTGGGTAAAATTGATCCCAAGGTTTCGGAGGTGGCCAATACGTATCTCGCGAAAGCTTGATATTTGCGTAGTTGATGAGAATGTACGGTATATCGATGATGAATTGAAATGCGCAGGGAGACCCTGGTTATTCTCTGATGGCTGATATATCAGTGGCAGTCCACCTAGGTAACCACATAATCCACTTACAATTGCATAGTGCTCACCGTTGTATCTCGTCGTCCTTCAAGGTGCATGAACGACTCCAAAGTGCCGATCGACTGAAACAAGTCTGGTGCTGCAATCAGGTGTAAAAGGACTTGCTCGGCACGCCTGCTCCACCATTCACCATAGAATCACAGGGATCCTGTCTTTGCTAGCTTTTTCGGAGGCACAACGTGTTTCATTAGTACCTGCCTCTCTTAATCAATGCACTATCTAATGCAGACGTGTCTTCCGTTCTGCAGGCGTTACCTGAAAGAAGCGCATAGAAGCGACACCAAACTAACGTTGATATAGCCCTCTTTTTGCGAAAGAGTTCGTCCCCATCAGTGTCGCGAGTTATCGGGGAGTCGGATGTGTTTTTCGAGGTGCGATGCTTCGTCATGTTATTCTACGCAGTTATCGACACTATCATATAGCAGGACGTGGCGAAAGAGATGTGCATACTCGGTTTATTGTCGCTTATCAGCTGGAACTGCTGAATCTTTACTTTCCCGGGCCATCCGTATACCTCACCGAATGTCTAGATCCACTAGATTTTACGCAATGGCTAAAATTTAACCGGCTTGCCGTTGCTTCCTGATTATGCTCTCATTGCTATATATTCTCTTACTGCTGTATATAATAGTCTAAGCGCAATGGGCTGTATGTAGCATTACCCTATACCAGCTGCTGTGCGACTAACATCCACGTGTCTAGCATGAAGCACCTTACAATCGCTTACCTCGTCCGCGTCATGGGTTGGGAAACCTTGTTTTACAAAGCGTCTTATTTGACGCCGTGCTGCCGTCTTGGTCAATATCCCCGATTCTTTCCGAATGCAATGAGGACAAGGGAGAGCTTTGTCAAGTCGTAACGTACCGATCGACCACCATAGGGTGTTGGCAGGGGCTATTTGGCTAATGTTTTTTGATGCGTGCGAGAGCTTTAGAAATCAATAAACTGGGCCTGCTCTTCCCGAGCGCGAGGACCAATCATACTGCTTCGATCTTGATTTGTATCTTTTGGTTTCATCCGTTGTGGGAGCCGCGGGTGAGTCTGTTTCATCTACTTAGGTTTATAAGCTGAATTCCTGAGCAACCCTTTTCCATTTCCCTCACTGCGGTTGGCGAGTAACGGAACGGTTTGTTCGAGGACAAGGGAGAGGCTGATGGCAAGCAGGAACAAACACTGCAGTCGTCCACGGTCTACTAGGGTTGCGCGAAAAAGCCCAGGTTTTTCACGAAAATAGTTTTTCTAAGTAATTTACTAGTAATTTACCCGGTAATTTACCAGGAAGGGTATCTAGACTCAAGTCGGTAGGTTAGTTACCTTGCACGTGGTCATGATGAGAGTGACACGTGAGGCGCGTCTATGAAATTTGCTTCTCAGGCAAAACAAGTTGCAAAGTAAGGTGTAATATCAAATTATTGTTCTCCCGATTCGTCTTTTACTTTGTATGAAGACACAAGGGATAAGTCCGTAGTATGCTGGCAGAACGGTCGAAGGTGACCAAGCATGCAGGAAAAGGAAAAGAGGTGGCCGTGGAGGAAGTTGATGAAACGATGAGAATTATGAAGTAGAGTTCTAGCTGAGCGACTAATGTATCATTTGGTAGTGTAGTAGGCTTCGCTGCTGATGAAGCGAAGCCGGAAAAAAAAATGCTGGTATTGCCACATGACTCGGTAAATTACCAGGTAAATTACGTGGAGAAAAACCCCCCCAATGAGTCCCTTGGTAACTTACTGGGGACCAATCGTCATCAAGGTTTTTCCCGCGATCCTACGGTCTACCGCATTTGGAGAGAAGATGCACATTTTCATTTCATGGCACCCTTTGACCTGGATGCGTGCATAGAACAGCTGCTGCGAAAACAGCCCCTGAACGAGGCACTGCTGAGAGAAATATGTGAGAAAACGAAGGAGGTCCTGATGCGGGAATCCAATGTAGTACATGTCAGTGCACCCGTAATTGTAGTGGGGGATATCCATGGGTGAGTCACTGTGCATTATCTTTCCCTGATTGCGACCTTTGATCGGTTATGCAAGTCAGTCCTATGATCTTGTAGAAATATTCCGGATAGGTGGATATGCGCCCAACACGAACTACCTCTTCCTTGGTGCGTTTTGCATCGCATACTGCCCCACCTCGCCGTTCACGTCTTTTCCAGGTGATTACGTCGACAGAGGGCTGTTCAGCGTCGAAACAATCTCTCTATTGACGTGCTTGAAGCTACGGTACCCTGATCGAGTCCAGTTAATAAGAGGAAACCATGAATCACGCGCTGTCACTCAAGTCGGTGGCCTCGTTGACTTTCCTAAGCGCCCTTCTCACAGCCGTCCCAGACGTACGGTTTCTACACTGAATGCCTCCGGAAGTATGGTAATTCGCACGTCTGGACATACTTCACCGACATGTTCGACTTCCTGACTCTGTCGGTGGTCATTGACGACCGAATATTCTGTGTACACGGCGGTGAGAAACTCCCATCATTCATTATGCTTTGCACATGGACATGACGGGCTAATTCTATTTTTCCAGGTCTATCACCCTCTATACATTCAATAGATCAAATCAAAGTCTATGACCGCTTTCGAGGTGCGCGGCTGGCCTTCGGCACCTAATCCGTTCACTGACGCTTCGCAATAGAGATACCCCATGAGGGTCCTATGGCCGACCTCGTCTGGTCAGATCCCGATCCTGAGAAAGAGGATTTCGCAATCTCTCCAAGGTGCGTAACATGCTTCCGTTTCTGACTCAATTCCTCAATCAAGGGCCGTTAGAGGGGCTGGATACACGTTTGGATTCGGCGTTGTCCATAAGTTTCTCGAGATCAACAACATGTCGCATATCCTCCGTGCCCACCAGCTATGTATGGAGGGCTATTCCTCTCTGTTCGATAAGCATCTGTCGACGGTATGATCCGCCCCCAATTACTGCTACCGATATGGGAACTCGGCAAGTATATTGGAAGTCGGACCGGGCGGATCCATGTATTTTAACGTGTTCGAAGCCGCACCCGAGAACGAAAGAGACGGACCGAGTCAGCAGGCAGCTCAGAATGCAGGGGGTAAAGTACGTGAATCCATCCTCATGTCTGTCTGTTGTTTCAGAAATTGATTTTATTTTTGTAACACCTAGCCTCCGGAGTATTTCTTATAAACGCCCATCCGGCACCACCCACGCGGTATCATGCATTGCGCTTTTTTGTAGTCTACGGATCTGACGATACAAGTTGTACGTACCACTCAATACTCGGGGTCGGGGAATGAGGTCTTACGAATATAACTCTCTAATTGCTTGCCCGACGTTGATTGCCCAAGTTTCGTTGCGGAGTCATACGGAATAAAGAGACGAAATTAGATGATGGCAGGATGAATGGGTTTTTGGCGTGCCAAGATTGATTATGACGGTTACTAACTACATGAGGACCAGAACGCCTGCAATAGAGCGAGACCCTTGGGGGAATGCAATAGCCGATGTGGCTCCTTCAATGTATTTGCGCTTGATCACATATATAGCTACGAGGTACGAACAACTCGTCACCATTCCCCCCAATGGCCCCCAGAACTCATGAACAATTTGTCGCAGACCAAACTAGACCAATGCCCGCTGTCGTCACTGCCGACTTGAGCGGAAAGACACTCATCCTCACCGGTGCCAACGCCGGTCTAGGATTCGAGGCTGCAAAGCATTTCGCTAGGATGAACCCTGCGCGGCTGGTATTGACTGCAAGAGATGAAGCGAAAGGAAAGCAGGCCTTTGCCCGTACATTTCTCTGATTACCAGGTCTATGAGCCCAGCTAATCCTTGCTATCGCAGAGATCTGTTATGGATATCTATATTTAGAATCCGTACCTCCCTTGTCGGCAATCGGCCCGCTCGCTCATCAAGAATGTTCTCGCAGTATCGTATCTTCTATAAGTTTCCTTCTCTTTCTCGCGTAGTCTGTAGTTCTCCAGAACAATCTAGATAAATGAAAATGTAGCTTATATACAAGCAAACAGTAGTTACAAGAATTCATTCCAATTTTCATTCCGAATTATCCTCACTTGAGTGAACCTAAGTTTGGGAAGACTATGCTGAACGCTTGTCTATTCCTACTTATTCAGTTATGCTAAACGCTTGCTGAGCCCTAGAAGAATACGCTGAACCCTTTTCTTCGATTATTCGGATTCCTTTTGGTGGAAAACCCATATATTTTGATCTCGAAGCCAGTTACAAATCACTACCGTTATCTACGCGACGTACTAACTAGCTTGATCATAACAAGGTCCAAACTGACACTGGCTACTCAAAGGCAGAATTGTGGATTATCGATCTCGCCAACTTCAAGAGTGTCATTGCATTCGCTGACAAGGCTGAGCAGGAGCTGGACCGACTGGATATCCTGGTGGAGAATGCTGGCATTGCAACATGGAACTATGAACAAGTAGAGGGTTGGGAGAAAACGTACGCGACAACCATTTCTGGGTGACGGAAAACCTCATTGTCATCTTTAGTATACTTACGAATAATCTCGATCCTGGCCTACTCGCTATTCGTATGACCCCAAAGATGCTCGACACCGCGCGCAAGTATTCGGTCAACCCGAGGCTCGTCATCGTCGCAAGTGATGCGCACTATTGGACGACGATAGAACAAAATGTCGTCGCTTCCCCTGGAATCCTCGCGAAGCTGTCAGACAAGGAGTATTGCACAGAAGAGTACGTTCAAGTCCCGTATGGTCCCGCATCTTTGTTGCTGAATTATGAATGAGGGTAATGAAGCACCGGTACCATGATACCAAATGTGCGTAACAAAGTTGATTCCTCTTCACATTGTAAGCTTCATACTACATCAGTGTTCAACATTCTCTTTGCTCGAGCTCTACAACTTCGTGTCCCGTCTTCGCCAGCAATCATTGTCAACTCTGTTACCCCCGGACTCTGTTTCTCAAACCTCGGATCTGGTAGCCCCGCTGAGGAGGCGGAACACTCGCGAAATAGGCAAAGGGACTTTGCGTTCACTACGGAAGAAGGGAGCCGACAGTTGGTATATGCTGCCGTGGGTTCTCTAGATGACGAGGAGAAGTTTCGTGGAAAGTATATTCGCATGTCTGAGGTTGTAGAGGAGAGTGACTTTGTGATCAGCGAGGATGGGAAGATCGTCCAGGATAGAGTTTGGGTGAGTGTCTTACCGTTGATAAAACTATGCTGTGGGTTGTTGATTTGTTTGACTCAGGAAGAGATGCTGGAGGTTTTGGGTAAAATTGATCCCAAGGTTTCAGAGGTGGCCAGCACGTATCTAACGAAAGATTGATATTCGTGTAGTCGGTGAATGTACGGGGGTGTCGGCGACGAATCGAGATGTGTTGATTTTCACGGGGAGATGTTCTCAGGAGACTAGCAGATCAGTACGAGTGGATATACTCTGCTATCCTTGTATGTGTTCAAGTTTTCGCATGCTCGACACCGCACAGCCGCATGTATGTGCTTGAGAAATTCTCTAGACAGACACTCGTTCATGTTTCTGACATCTAGTACGGTTCATTGCGGTCGTGTTTAGGGAATGGAGATACGAAAGATGCGTTGTCAGGCTCGCTCAGTCTTAAGAGTTATTAACCTTTTGAGTAGTCTCTCTTGGCGAGGAAGGTGATGCCTGTCGGAATCGTACTCAGAATTACTACTACTCACGGCAACGCTCAAAAGATATACCATATGGCCTTGATCAGCGGTAAGCTTGGCCGCTTTGTGGATAGTATATCTGGAAAATGAACGACTATAGAACTTGTGTCGCGATTCACGAGACAAGGATTGAAGACACTCTAAGCTGCCATATTTCAATGGACAACACAGAACATCGTCGCGCCACAGTACAGTGGCAGTTGTTCAAGTTATAAATTGGTTATAAACTCACCTAAAACCAATGTAAATGTATCCTCCGAGTCGCATCAGACGAGATGTGTATGGCAAATCCGGCTATGAGGAGCATAGTACTCACGGAGATAACTACCAAAAGGATAGGGACCCGGATTGACTTTAGACAAACTTGTCTCGGCGATTTGTAGGAAGTCAAGTGGGAAGTCGAGATAGTGTGGTATCAAGATATGGCAGTACCAGGCAGTGTATACCCAGAGTCGTACTTCTAACTTCCCAGGACTGAGGCATCTTCGCGTAGTAGAATGCGGGTCGGAGCAGGTCGGAGGCCGAGGATGCTTGCGGATGCCTCATGAGGGGCTGACTAAGCTCGGACCGGACTCCGAATCACACGGGCTTCAAACATCAACAGCGACGAACTTGGCGTCTTCAAGCCATCGGTGACTCGAGGACCAAGTTCTCTGTCATGGATGTGTGGATTAGCGCGGTACTCCAGCTATCCAGAGAATATGATAGATGCACTGTGCAGCACCCTAGTTGGGTATATGCATTTCTCCTCCTACCACGAACATAAAGCCTTTACCCATTCCTCACTCCATGGTTCACCGTATGAACACTGCCGTGCAACCCTACCCACGTATGTAACAACATTTTCGTTTCTTCTTATCGCTAAACTCACCTTCAAAAGCGCATGCGACCATTCCCGCTTCTCCAATTGACTCTTGAACTTGCGATAGAGATAACCTTATCTTTTCGCTGGAAACACGCGTCTAATTCGTCTACCGGCATTCAGAGTACTTGACGTTGGATCTTTTCGTTCTTCGAGGCGCGTCTGAGGAAACCTGGAACGATATGGATACGAAACAGATCTCATTGCTCAGTGCTGGTAACGTGTATGGGAGAACCTGCTCAGACTCGGAGAGTACAGCCGTGGGGTACCTGTGGGCGAGGGTTGTGCTGTTCTGGTGCGGGGGCCTAGTCCGTTATTCTTCGACATGGGCATCAGGGACGCCGCAAGTTTCACCAGGGGGTTGGTGGGGCTGGTATGACGTTCGTTTGGCTGGTGTATGTAAACGAGTACTGACATTATTCTCGTAGATAATGCTGGCATCATGACTTCGTAATGCAAAAAAATAGGGGGTTGGGAGAAAACGTACGTGTTGGCTACCTGATGTCTACTTCTGGGCGACGAAAACTCATTAGTAATCTTTAGTATTCCTACGGACCTTGGTCCTTCGCTATTCGTATGATCCCGAAGATGCTTGAGACGGCACACAAGCATGCAGTCAACCCAAGGCCCGTCATTGTTGCAAGCGACGTGCACTATTGGACGAAGATCGAAAAGGATGACATCGCTTCTCCTGGCATCCTCGCGGAGCTGTCAGATAAGGAGCATTGCACAGAAGAGTACGTTCAAGTCCCATGATCTTCTACCTCTATTGCTGACCTATGAATAAGGGCAATGACGCATCGATATCATGATACCAAACGCGCGTAACAAGTTGGCTCCTCTTCATATGGACCGGCCTCATACTGCTGCAGTGTTCAATGTCCTCTTCTACCAAGATCTTCAACCCCGTGTCTTCCCACCGTCAGCTCTGTCGCACCCTGGACTTTCTTTCTCAGGCCTTGGATCTGGTGTCTCTGCAGGGAAGGCAAATACCTGCGACGAGGCGAGAGGAACTTGCGTTCAGTACGGAAGAAGGAATACCGGCAGCTGGTATACGATGCTGTAGACTTGGCAAGTATATTCGTATGTCTGAGGCCGTGAGGGAGAGCGACATTGTCAACTTGTGCAGGAAGACGCTGTTTATTCTCTGAAGGCTGCCAAATCAGTGGCTGTCCGTCTAGGTATCCTAGTCTTTCTGCTGAAAGGGCACGTTTAATTCACTTTCAGACATTTCTATAGTGCTTACTGTTGGATCTCGTCGCCTGTCAAGGTGTATCAACGACTGCAAAGCACCGATGGACTGAAACAAGCCTACTACTGGTTTTACGTGTAAAGAAATTTCTCAGCATATTTGCGCCACCATTCAACATGGAATTACATGGAGCTCCGTCTTTGCTAGATTTGCGGAGGCATACTATATTTCGTCAGCACTCGCCTTTCTCAATCAATGTGCTATCTAATAGAGATATCACTTCAGTTCTGATGCGTTTCATTAAAGATGCAACCGCCGACCAACATTCGGAATACGCCTCTCCTGCTGCAAGAAGAATGCCTCCTTGCGGAGGAGTTCATCTGTTGGAACCATATCGCTAGGTCCAAGAGAGGGAATGGGGAATCGCTAGTGATGGTCCCAGGTCTAGCTACGAACAAGCGGAAATCTACGGAAATGCTGCACGTGATCCCGGAGGACCCGGACCGTGCCAACGCCCACTGTATCAAAATCGCAAGTCGTCGGGGAGTTTAGATGTGTTTTTCGAGGTGACAAGCTTTGTCATGTTATCTTAAGTAGTCATTAACACCATCACATAGCAGGTCGTGGCGGAGAAGATGTGTATACTCATTTTAATGTCGCTTACGAATCGGAACTCTTCCTCCGACCACTGTCCGCGTAACTCACCAAACGTCCAGACCATGAACACTCGATTTTACGCAACGGCTAGAATTTAACCGGCTTGGCGTTGCTTACTGAACATGCTTTCATTGCTCAGCAGCAGTGTATGCATCCAATCCATGGGTCTCACTGCTGCGTATAACGATACTCAATGCGTTGTATGTAGCATTACCCTACCCAGCTGCTGTGCGACTAGCATTCTTGTGTCTAGCATGAAGCTTACAGTCTCAGCGGCATGCCTTGTCATGGGTCGGGATAGCTTCTTTTACTAAGCACCTTGATGATGCCTGCCGTCATGGCTATTATAAATATCTGCATTTGCGTAGGCTATCGGCATTCGATAATGCATAGAAGTCTCACAAAGACTCCGATCTCATGTTACTTCTCCATCGGCAATACATCCCCACCTGACCATATATATAAGGCTGTGAAGTACGGAAGACTTTTCATTATCTTCATAATGGCTCCCAGGACTCATGAACAATTTGTTGCAGACCAAACTAGGCCAATGCCCGCTGTCGTCACCGCCGACTTGAGCGGAAAGACACTCGTCCTCATTGGTGCCAATGCTGGTCTGGGATTCGAGGCTGCAAAGCATTTCGCTAGGATGAACCCTGCGCGGCTGGTGCTGACTGCGAGAGATGAAGCGAGGGGAAAGCAGGCTCTTGCCCGTGCGTTTGTCTGATTACCGGATTTATGAGCCTGACTAATCCTTGTTGTTACAGAGATTCAAGCGGACACTGGCTATTCTAAGGCGGAGCTATGGATTATCGATCTCGCCAATTTTAATAGTGTCGTTGCGTTCGCTGATAGGGCCGACCGAGAATTGGAGCGATTGGATATCCTCATAGAGAATGCTGGCATTGCACCGCGGGAATACGAACAAGTGGAAGGCTGGGAGAAAACGTACGCGGCGTGCTCTTTTTGGAAAACACAGACTCATTTCCATCTCAGTCTGCACACGAATAACCTCGGTCCCGGCTTACTCGCTATTCGTATGATCCCGAAGATGCTCGAGACGGCTCGCAAGCATTCAGTCATCCCGAGATTGGTAGTCGTTGCGAGCGATGCCCACTACTGGACAAAGATTGAAAAGGATGTTATCGCCTCCCCTAGCATCCTTGCGAAACTCTCAGATGAAGGGTATTGCACGAAAGAGTATGTCTTGATTCCTTGCTGCCTCTTATCTTTGTCACTGACCTGTGATTCGTGAACAGGGTAATGAAGCACCGGTACTACGATACCAAATGTGCGTAACAAAGTTGATTCCTTTTCACATTGTAGGCTTCATACTACATCAGTGTTCAACGTTCTCTTCGCCCGAGCTCTGCAACTCCATGTGCCGTCTACACCACCGATCACCGTCAACTCTGTTAACCCCGGACTCTGTTTCTCGAACCTCTTGTCTAGCTCTGGTATCCCTCTTGACTCTGAGGAGGCAAAAGCTATACGTAAGATGCAAGAGGAGTTGGCGTTCACTACAGAAGAAGGGAGCCGGCAGTTGGTATACGCTGCCGTGGGTTCTCTGGATGATGAAGAGAAGCTTCGTGGCAAGTACATTCAAATGTCCGAGGTGGTGGAAGAGAGCGACTTTGCGATCAGCGAGGATGGGAAGATCGTCCAAGATAAAGTTTGGGTGAGTGGTTCCTTACTGAAAAAATTGCGAGGTGGGTTGTTGATTTGTCTACTTTAGGAAGAGATGTTGGAGATTTTGGGTAAAATTGATCCCAAGGTTTCGGAGGTGGCTAATGCGTATCTCACGAAAGCTTGATATTGTACTGCAATATCGGCGATGAATCGAGATGTGTTGATTTGCACTGGGAGATATTCTCGAGCAGCAACAAACCGGTACGAGCGGATATACTCTGTTGTCCTTCCATGTGTCTGCGCATGCTCGAAGAAGAAGGATTTCCTTCTGATGAAGCGGGCGATACAAGACTTGTCTTGGCACTGCACAGCCGCATTTATGCGCTTGAGAAGCTCTCTGGAAAGACTCGTTCATTTTTTTTGCTTCTAGTACGGTCATTGCAGTCTGGGAAATGGAGATACAAGAGGTGCGTTATTCACCTTTTGAGTAGTCTCCCTTGGCGAGGAAGGTGGTGCCTGTCGGAATCATACCCACCCAGAGTTACTATTACTCATGGCAACGCCAAAAAGATATACCATGCGACCCTGGACAGCAGTAAACCTGTCTGCTTTGTTGGTAATATTTCCGGAAACTGAATGAATACAGAACCTGTGTCGCGACTCGCCAGACAAGGATTACAGACACTCCAACACATATTTCAATTGACAGTACAGAACGTCATCACACTACAGGACAGTGCCAGTTGTTCAAGTTGTAAAGCGGCTTAAAACTATCGTAAAAGTATACTCGTATCAGACGAGATAGGTATAGCAAATCCGGCTATAAAAACCACCCTCACGAAGAATCCCGCCACAAGAATAGAATCCTGGTCTGGCTTTAAGGATACCTGGATCTACCGCCCTCTTTATTTGCTCTGAGCCGTTCAATTCGAACACCGACACTTTCTCAAACCTCTGCCCTGGCATACTTTTCCCGACGACCCAATATTGCTTGCCGAATTCATATGTCCCTTCTTTGTATGAACTTCCATCGTAGGGATCGCTGCATATCAGTGCGTATGTGCCATCGGGTATTGGGTACTGGTGGGTAGCGACTATGGCGAACGTATGGCTCGTCCCGTTCCCGTCTTTGGCAATGAACTCTCCTCGTCGGGGCTGCCCTTGTGGATCTCTCTCGGACAATCCTCGCACATAGGCGGATTCAATGCAGTATCCCTCATACTGGTCAGCATCCTCCATCCCTTGCGGTAGACATCCATCAAAAAGCAGGGTTTTATATGTTGATGGGAGAATTTCAGTCATGACCTGCTTCCACGACGGCCTCCATCTGCTGTTTCCATTCCCAGGTTCGGGGTATAGGAAAAACATCTGCCCCCGATGGGACCTGTTACTCATCAAATTCACCAGCGCCGTCCAAGCACCCTCTTCAGACTGCGTCCCGCAGTACGCCGGTATCTCCAATGACTGTAGAAGATGCGCTAACCCGGCCACTTTATCTACAGGATAGGTCGACGCCCGGTTCTGCATGCGTGATAGGACATCAAACACACTATGATCACTTCGCATGCTCTCCAGCGACGACAGTTGATCGTGAAACCTTGCTCTGACGTCCTCCTCCACTGTGTTTCCCTCATCGCCCGTATCTCCAGCGATGACCGAGTTCTTGCTGACCTCCTGTAGCGTCCACGCCCGTCTGAACCAACACCGATCGCTCCCCAAGTCGCCTGCCTTAAAGCCCAAAGGCCGCCCAAGCCCACTCAAGTAGTACACCACCTTGTTCGCACGAAGATATACCCATCCGATAGTAGGCACGTCCAGCCTCCACTCTTCCTTGCGCAGATTGTCATTCCCCCCACCCCTCTGCCCCAAACAAAGGACATCCAGCCACACGTACTCTGCTCCCAGGTTGAGCATCTCGATCCGGATGAGATCAAGGTTTGCATCGTTCGGGATGGGTACGGGCCATTCACGTCCGTTGATTGGCGTCCACACCTCGCTACGGTCCTTCTCGTCCATCCATGCATGGGATATCCCCCACGGCCTCCAGCGGATGATCCACCATGGTACCACCCGATTACTACATAGATCCCAGATACGCCGAGGGGGCACACGAGGTTCGATGATCCTGTTATCGACGAGTACATCTTGTCGCATCCCCTTGTCCAACGCTTCACGGGAGTGTAATTTGACTTTGATAGTGGTCAAGTCATCATACCATCTCGGGCGGAGATGGGCGTACGCAGTGCCAAAGTCGTAATTGCTCGTGATGTAGGATTCGAGAAGAGAGGATAGGGCTGTGGTATTGCGAGCGTATGACGTGCCGAGGGTGGTGTTGAGCAAATCCAAGAGACCATCGGTACCGAGGTCAGCGCAGGGAGTATTGGCGAGGGAGGATGGTATGACGGGCTTTCTACTGGTGTAGCGCCGTTGCAGTGGAACTTGTATTGAAGATTCCATTCGGCCGGTCTCGGTGAGGGAAGAGATGGTGACTTCGGGGAGACAGCCATACTTGAGGTGCGCCTGCTTCATCTGTAATTCATTATTTATTACCCTTCTGTATATTTTTCACATACTTACAACTTCGTCCTCGTCGGGTAGATACATATGGTCATGATACTTGAAAAACCAATCCTGTGCAAGCACTCTACCTTTTAATCATGATTATGATGAGGACGTGAAACATTGAAAACAACACGACTGCACATACGATAGTGTCTGGACTGCATCCTCCCAAAGTCTCGGCGATTCGTAGGAAGTCAAGATAGTGTGGTATCAAGATATGGGTGTACCAGGCAAAGTATACCCAGAGTCGTGCTTCCAACTTCCCAGGACTGAGGCATCTTCTCCACGTGGTAGACTGCGAGTTGGGGTCATCGTGGCTGTTGAGGAAGTTTGCGGATGCTTCACAAGGTGCTGACTAAGCTCGGATCGGACTCCGAGTCCGAGTCACTCCCGGGCTTCGTCAATCCGACTCAACAGCGATGCCACACAAGTTTGACGTGAGGAACGAACGGCTCAAACTCTGTGATTGGCCAAGTAAAGCGTAGTGATCAGAGAGATCCCCCTTTGCCCCCAGCGCTTCGTCGCATTTCCCCAGTTATTTGGCTCAAGCGGAGGCAGCCAAACAACGCGATCGTCTTGCGCGATTCGGTGCAAGTGTATTTTCGCTTCGTTCTCTCTCCGCTCTCTTCTTTCAGTCGCTCCGCCGTTTCTTCGCTCTCTTTTGACCCACCCACCTACTCCCTTCTTTGTTTGGGTAGCGCCTGGTCTGACGTGCAGCTACGTCTTTTCGGTTGCTCAGATTTCAGGTTTCCCCGAACAACTGAGTCCTCGGCTTCCACTGCTACGAGTTTGAGCTTCCGGCATCTCTTCATCCCGGTATCCATCTCCGGACTGGTTTCATTGCCGGTCTCCCTTCTGCTCAACTCACAGTTCTCTCAAAGCCGAGTTCTCTCCCCCCAAACCCAAGAAATCAAGGATTTCTTGTCTTGCAGCTCATATCTGTTACATCACTATTTAGATCTCTCGATACTATCCCGCAGCTTCACTTGGCCAACTTCAAGTTGACGCCTTCAAGCCATTGGCAACTCGAGGTCCGAATTCTCTGTTCATGTATATGTGGATTAGCGCGGTACTCTACTTAGTCAGAGAATCTGATGGATGTACTGCAGCATCCTAGTTGGGTATATGCGTCTGTCCTCCTACCACCACCATCGACCTTTACCCATTCCTTACGTCATGGTTCACCGCATGAACATACAATGGTACCTACGTATGTAACAGCGTTTTCCTTACTTCCTATCGCCAATCTTACCTTCAAAAAGGGCTAGCTGGCAGTGCGACCATTTCCTTCTCCAATTGGTTCTTGAACTTGTGATAGACTCGGAGGTAACCTTATCATTTCGCTGGAAACACGCGTCTAATCGATTCACAGTGCTCGCCACTGGATCTCATCATTCTTCGAGGCACGTCAAGGAAATCCAGAGCGATACGGGAACGAAACGGACCCCATTGCTGGAAACGCGTATGGGAGAACCTGCTCAGACTCGGAGAGTACAGCCGTGGGGTACCTGTGAACGAAAATTTTGTTGTTCTTATGCGAGGGCCTAATCCGTTATTATTGGAAATGGACATCGGGGATGCAGTAAGTTTCACCAGTATATGCAAACGAGGACTGACATTATCCGTGTAGAGAATACTGGCATTGCGACGGTAATACGAACAAGTGGAAAGTCGCGAGAAAACAAACGTACGCGATAGCTACTTCTGAGTGACGAAAACTCATTGGCAGCTTTAGTATACTTATAAACAACCTCGATTCCGATTTACTCGCTATCTGTACGATCCCAAAGGTGCTCGAGACAGCTCGCAAGTATTCAATCAACCCAAGGCTCGTCATCGTCGCGAGCGATGTGCACTACTGGACAACGATCGAAGAGGACGTCATGTCTGCCCCTGGCATCCTCGTACAGCTGTCAGACAGGGAGTATTGCAGTAAAGAGTACGTGCGAACCCTATATGATCTCCTACCTCTGTTGCTGACCTGTGACTAAGGTTAATGAATGATACCAAACATCTGTAACAAGTCGATTTCTCTTCGTATGTCCCGGCTTCATACTGCTGCAGCAGTGTTCAATGTCCTCTTTTACGGAGCTCTTTAACAATGTGTCTCGGCCTCCCCTGCTATCACCGTCAACTCTGATACTCCTGGACTCTGTTTCTCAGGCCTTTGATCCGGTGTCCCTGCCAGGGAGGCGAAATACCTGCGAAAGAGGCGAGAGCACTTCGCGTTCGCTACAGAAGAGGGGAGCCTGCAACTGGTATACAATGCCGTAGACTCTCTGGACGACGAGGAGAAGCTTCGTGGCAAGCGTATTCGCATATCTGAGGTCGTGAAGGAGAGCGACTTTGTCGAGCTGTGCGGAGACCAGTTTATTCTCTGAAAGCTGGCAAATCAGCGTCTAGGTAACCTAATCTTTCTACCGAGAAGCACCTCTAATCCATTTACAGACATTTGTATGGTGCTTGCTGTTGGATCTCGTCGCCTTTCAAGGTGTATTAACGACTTCAAAGCTCCGATGGACTGAAACGAGCCTATTACTGGGATCATGCCTAAAAAACCCTTGCTCAGTATGCCCGAGCCACCATTCACCTTGGAATTGTAAGGAGTCCATCTTTGCTAGCTTTTGCGGAGGCACGCCATGTTTCGTTAGTATCCGCCTCTTTCAATCAATATCTTATCTAATGGAATACATCTTCAGTTCTGCACGCGTTTCATCAAAGAAGTGACCGCCAATCAACATTCGGAACGCGCCTCTACTACTGCAAGAAGAATGCCTTCTTGCGGAGGAGTTCATCTGTATCAGTGTTGCAAGTCATCGGGGAGTTTGGATGTGTTTTTCGAGGTGACAAGCTTTGTCATGTTATTCTATGCAGTCATTAACACTATCACATAACAGGCCGTGGGCCGTGGCGGAGAAGATGTGTATACTCATTTTATTGTCGCTTACGAACTGGAATTGCCGATTCTTTGCTTTTCCCGGCCATCCGCGTAACTCACCGAATTGTCACCAAATCATGTCCAGATGAGGAACACTCAGGACGGCTAGAGTTCAACCGATTTGGCGTCGCTTACTGAACACTCTTTCGTTGCTCAGCAGCAGTGCATCCATCCAGTCCATGGGTCTCACTGCTGCGTTATACACTCAATACGTTGTAAGTAGCATTACCTTATACCAGCTGCTGCGTGACTAACATTCTTGTGTCTAGCATGAAGCTTACAGTCTCAGCGGCATGCCTCGTCATGGGTCGGGATAACTTGTTTCACTAAGCACCTTGATGGTGCCTGCCGTCATGGTTATTATAAATATCTGCATTTGCGTAGGCTATCGGCATCCGATAATGCAGAAAGACTCCGATCTGATGTTGCGCCTCCATTGGCAATACATCCGCGCCTGACCATATATAAAGCTGCGAAGCACGGAAGACTTATCATTATCCTCGTAATGGCTCCTAGGACTCATGAACAATTCGTTGCAGACCAAACTAGGCCAATGCCCGCTGTCGTCACCGCCGACTTGAGCGGAAAGACACTCGTCCTCATCGGTGCCAATTCTGGTCTGGGATTCGAGGCTGCAAAGCATTTCGCCAGGATGAACCCTGCGCGGCTGGTATTGACCGCAAGAGACGAAACAAAGGGAAAGCAGGCTCTGGCCCGTATGTTTCTCTGATCACCGGGTCTATGAGCCTGACTAACCCTTGTTACAGAAATCCAAGCGGACACTGGCTATTCCAAGGCAGAGTTATGGATCATTGATCTCGCCAACTTTAATAGCGTCGTTGCGTTCGCTGATAGGGCCGACCGGGAACTAGAGCGATTGGATATCCTCATAGAGAACGCTGGCATGGGGACGTGGGTCTACGAACAAGCGGAGGGCTGGGAGAAAACGTACGCAACGACCACTTCTGAGTGACGAAAAACTCATTGTCATTTTTAGTATACACACAAACAACCTTGGTCCCGGTTTACTTGCTATTCGTATGATCCCGAAGATGCTTGAGACCGCTCGCAAGCATTCTGTCAACCCAAGGCTCGTCATCGTTGCGAGCGAGGTGCACTACTCGACGACGATTGAAAAGGACGTCATAGCCTCCCCTAGAATCCTTGCGAAACTCTCAGATGAAGGGTATTGCACGAAAGAGTATGTCTTGACTCGTTGCCGCCCTTGTCTCTGCCATTGACCCGTGAACAGGGTAATGAAGCACCGATATCATGATACCAAATGTATGTAACACCTTGATTCCTCTTTGAATATCCCAGCCTCATACCGCCTCAGTGTTCAACGTTCTCTTCGCCCGAGCTCTGCAACTCCATGTGCCGTCTACACCACCGATCACCGTCAACTCTCTGAACCCCGGATTCTGTTTCTCGAACCTCTTGGCTAACTCTGGTGTCCCTCTTGACTCTGAGGAGGGAAAAGCCATGCTTAAGATGCGAGACGAATTGGCGTTCACTACAGAAGAAGGGAGCCGGCAGTTGGTATACGGCGCCGTCGGCTCTCTGGATGACGAGGCAAAGCTTCGTGGCAAGTATATTCATATGTCTGAGGTCGCGGAGGAGAGCGACTTTGTAATCAGCGAGGATGGGAAGATCGTCCAGAATAAAGTTTGGGTGAGTAGCTTCTTGTTAATAGAACACTGGCGTAGGTTGTTGATTTGTCTACTTTAGGAAGAAATGTTGGAGATTTTGGGTAAAATTGATCCCAAGGTTTCGGAGGTGGCTAATGCGTATCTCACGAAAGCTTGATATTCGCGTAGTCGCAATGTGCATTATATTGGCGGTGAATCGAGATGCACACGGAGCGACCCTGTCTATTCTCAGGCGGCTAACAAATAAGCTTTATCCAAAGGTCGAGCCCGTACTCTCTACTACCCTTCCATGGGTCTGCTTGTGCTTGAAGAAAAAGAATGCGAAGCACGAATCCCCTTACTACCTCCAGCCTTCGAGAAAAAATATGTCATTCTGCAGTTGATGGATCCATATCGCGGGGTTCGATAGACATATGGATGCAATGGCGCAACGCTACGCTATGACAAGGGAAAGCAATAGCAAAGCACATGCGGTCGCGGAGGCATCGGCGCATGCAATGCTCCCAGTGCTATTTGTGCTTCGCTGCGGAGTTGTTGATTCTGTGAGCCGGAAAAATAGAAACAAGTTGTACGTTTCTCTATCTTTCATTACTCCGAGTCTTCATATTTTCCTAGCTTGAAGGCCACTGCGAAACCTTTGTGGTCAAATATATTGCTTGTATTCGTAGTGGCCAAGATTCGGAGTCGCGGAAACCAGTCGATCGCTCATCCTTTGGCACCACCTTTCCTTAAGTCAGTTATTGATCACTATCAGGATGACAAGGAAATGCGATTTACATGCCGGATAAAGCTGTAAGTGTTCTTCTTTTCTCTGCTATCTGACCTTTTTTCTTCATCATTAATTTACATGCTGTATCGGAAAAGCTGCAACCATAAATACTTTACATCAAACAAGATAGTTCCGAATTGACCGTTTAGTGATTCCCAATTTCTTCAACCTTTGTATCTCCCTCGCATCGCTCATTGTGAACACGGAGACCTTCTCGAACTTCTGCTCTGGCAACCTTCGTCCAGCGACCCAATGAATTTCTGTCGATGACGTACGAGTCACGAACGTTCCACTTTTCCATTGGCCACTGGCTATCAATGTGTACGAATCGTCAGGTATCGGGTATAGATGATTGGCGACGATGTCGAATGAATGTAGCATCCCGGTCTCATCTTTGACAACTAACTTCCCATGTCGTGATGTCCCTCTCGGATCTTCTGCCCTCAGTCCCTGTATGCGGCCCTCTTCAATGCACATCCCATTGTACCAATCAGAATTTTTCTCTTCGTCGCGCTCCACATCTGCATTCAGATTGACCTTGCCTGTCGGAAGACGCCTCTCACTGATGACCTGGTTCCACGACGGTCTCCAAGCTTGTTCGCTCCCAGGTCCAGGATATAGGAAGAACATATCCCCCCGGTGTTTCGTCCGCATCGTATTCACCACAGCCAACCAAAGATCCTCGACAGACTGGGTTTTGTCATACGTTGGTATCGCCTTGGACCGCAATGGGAATATCAAGGCCGCAACATGATCCACCGCATGCTCCGACTTGCGCTTGCGGAGATGTATGAGCAAGTCGAACACATTCTCGACACGGTGTACAGTGTCTACTAGGGACTGTAATTGCTCTTGGATCCTGGACAGTACAGCCTCGTGGTCTCTCTGCGCGACTGTCTGCACGGTCTCTACAGTTCCATCGCTTGTGACTCCGCCGATGATCCACTTCCTGCTGATTTCTTGCAAAGTCCAGGCACGGTTCAGCCAAAACCGAGGACTATCCAAGTCATCCATCGTCAAGCTAAAGACCTCTCCTAGTCCACAGAAGTAGTACACCACCATATCGGCTTGGTGGTACACATACCCGCTAGTGGGGACGTCAGTCTTCCATTCCTCCTTCCGCAGGTGCTCGTTCTCCTCTTTTCCCTCTCGTCTCAAACAGAGCACGTCTAACCAGACATATTCTGCGCCTAGGCTCAGCATCTCAATTCGGACGAGTTCCAAGCTGCCATCTTTATGGATGGGGAGTGGCCATTCGTGTGCATTTATGGGTGTATCGACTTGAACACGACGTTGAGGGTCCATCCAAGCATACGATATCGCCCAAGGTTTCTTCTCAGAAACGATCCACTGTGGGATAACGCGATTGCTGTAAAGGTCCCATACACGTCGAGGGGGCATATTCGGATTCACGATCCGGTTACCGACGAGCGCTTCTTGTCGCATCTTCTGGTCCTTCTCTTCATGTGCGCGCAGTTCATTTTGGATGGTGCTCCAGTTGGCGTTGTACCAGATAGGGCGGAGACGGCCGAACGCGGTACCGAAGTCGTAGTTGCTAGAGATGCAGGTTTCGAGAATGGAGGATAAGAATGAGTTTTTCAGCGTGTATGATGTTACGAGGATGGCGTTGAGCTGATCTAAAAGCCCACCGACGCCTAGGCTGGTACAGGGAGTGTTTGCGAGAGAAGAGCTTATGACGGGTTTTCTACCCGTATAACATCGTTGCTTTGGGACTGGAATCGATGATTCCACCTTTCCAGTCTCAGTAAAGGACGAGATGGTGACTTGAGGATAAGGACGACGCTCGTTCGACTGCACTGACTTCTGTATGTTATTGAATGCTGATCTTTTCGATATTTGACACGTACCCCCATTGCAAGAATCAGATCAGTTGAAAAGCGATAGCAACTTGCCAGTATCAGGGGGTGGCCTCTGTAGGAAATTCAAGCTGGCCTGTGTAGTCAATCTTCGAGATGAGACGTGGCAGGAAACCGAAATTATCATGCATACTATTTTCAATCTTCGAGTCGGCCACAGGCCAGTCGATTGCTAGTCGATTCAGTATGAAGTCAAGGCACAATGTTCCCACCAGTCTTGACGCTCGTCTCGATAAAAGAATACATTTTTATCACATGACGCGAACTAAGCTGGCCATCATTCTGTAAATATGCTAATACTAATAGAGATAAGGACTGAATGAGGATACCTGTACAAATGAGGATACCATCGAGAGGTCCCCATTCAATCCGAGATCAGTCTTGCGAATATATTTAGCGAGGAGGTAAGGTCTTAGTACCGAAGGTAAAAAAGCTTGTGATGAGCGCCTAAGGGAGCGAATAGAAGAACTCTTTATATCTGGCACATCGACGGGGGCAAACGACAAGGAAAAGGTGGTGGTGGCGGTGGTCACCATTGGTGTTACCAGCGCCAGGTCCCAATAATGCTGTGGCTGCAAAGGCTCAAAAAGGTACGGACGTAAGTAAGCCGGGTTCAGAGCCGGTTGATCCCGAGAGCCGTACAGCCACCATCGATCCAATAACTTCTTCGAGGGAGCGTCCGCTCCTTCACCAATGGCCACGACCATGCACCACCTAACTACCATTATCTCTAACAGCGGCCGAGATTACAGCGCTCGCTACTCACCCTACTCCTTGTCTACTTCGACTACTCTTCTCTCTAATTCTATAACTCTGTGCCTACATGCGACGGTTGGCAACTGAGAAGCCACTGTTTTGATGCAACTGAACGGAAGTTACCCACGGTACGGACTACCGGTCCAAGAATCGTTATCATTGCCGTTGCACGGGCGAGCCTTGCGATCTGTGTTTATCCCATATCTCGTCCGCTACTATTGACGCGAGTACTAACGAAACAAAATTTGATTTCGTGACAAGTGGGTAGATAGAATTACAGGATAGTTGGTCTTCACACAGTGAACACCGAAAGTTCAAAGCATCAGAAACAATTTGGAAGCAATAGAAAACATGCAGCAATCAGAAATATTTGGATAATAGCAACGGTGGAAAATCACTACAAAAGATATCTTCAGCTTCATCAGGAGCCAGTCGAATAAGACATCACTTACCATGAAATACATCCTCTTCGACTGAGCATCATGCACTGGATGGTACTGGCCTCGATGCGTGTTGAGTGTCTCTTCCCGCGTTTGCGTCCCCCCAGACACGACCGACGACGGAGCACCCTGAGGGTCATAATGCGTCTTTGCCCGACTGCAAACAATGTGGGCATCTGTGATATACATAAGCAAAGGAAATTGCGGAGGCTAGAACCGACACACAGTATACGGGCGTAGGGATGGACACTGAACGCGTTGACCTGGCATAAGTGAAACAAAGGGTATGAGCTAGCAATTGGATCGCGTCTGCGCTGTACAGAGTGTGAGCCTGGTGTGGATCTCAGTCAAGAAATGGAAGACGTACCTAAACCCGAATTCCTGTAAGACACGAACAATGGTTAACATCAACAGAGAAAATGCCGAGTGAGCGCGACTCACATCGTAAACAACCTAGATGTTAGGTTGGTCAGCCAAGGCATAATTGTGATTGAAAGCTAACATACGTTGTAGTGTGAACTCTTACTGGTACCCAGAAGTCCACCATGGCTCTGAAGGTAGAAGTCGAATTCAACTGGATTGGTGATACCCTGATCGATAACGGTACCGGGAAGGAGGTTCCCACTTTTTGCATCCTTGTCTTTGTCATTCTTTGGGAAAAACCTGGTAGAGAGAGGAATCAACAATTGATGTCACAGTATAACTACAAAACGAGAAACCTCATATGATGACGCTTCCCGACGATGATGAATGTAATTTTCGGAGGAGGATTTAGCTTCGCATCAATGCAGGCATCTAGGGTAGTCAGAATAGGAAGATATGATGGAGATAAATGCTGGTACCATGGAGTAGAGGAAGTTCTGAGGAAAGATGTCGGAAAAAAATGCATGAACGGAAGTTGGCAATGTACCTAAGTCCAAAACGCGCTTGAACTCGCCTTCAGATACACCATCTAGCCATGCAGGTCAGCATTATCAAGAAGAACTGTGACCATTCAAAAACCTACCCCGGAAGAATATCAGTCGTTTTGGCAACGTTGAGACCTTCTCCATGCTACTTCGATAACTCATATAGGACAAAAGAAGATCCTGTTGTCCAATGAGTCACATATGAATAACTAGTACAAAGGTTGGGCCAAACCTTCGCCATCGAACGCAAATCGCCAATCATTTCTTGCCTCCCTAGCTGAAGTGTGGTCTTGGCTATATATCGTGCGCCATAAGAATCAATGCTTGCCACCACTGCAGCGTATGAGGGTGATTGACTGCCTGGAGCTGGGTGCATGACATCTGCGCCTGTATGCACCATCAGCTACATTATGAGGTACCCTGAGACTAGCTTACCCATGACAATGGTAGGCTGCATAGGATCGGAAATAATAGACGCCGACTTCGGATTTGGGATGACATTGACACCACCCAACTTGGCGTTAATCCTGGAAAAAGCTCGCTCAGTCTCCTCATGTTCCCTATTAAATACAATCATAACTTACTTCAGTGCAACGTTGAACCAGTATTGTTGTCGGGCATTCCTACATTTACCGACGCGGAGACATTGAGTAGCAACGCCTCTCTGTAAGCAAAGTTAGCGAGGAAGAATAGCAAGCGAAAAAATGCTATAGTCCACCGACCCTTATGTCACCGCAGCTAAAAAAGGGTACTCGTCAGTAATGCTCCTAGGCCCGGAAGTGTACTTACTGTTTGATTGCCGTATATAGATCCGTGGCGCTCCCATCGGGGATGATACACACAATGAGCGTTGGTGTCGTCTTGCGCTCAGATCTGTTTTGCATTACTGCATCCGAGATAGACTATCAGAGGCTCAGTATAATTTACAGTTGTGTCAAGACTCCAATCGATGTCCACAAACCTGATCTATGTTGCTCTGGGGATTCTTATAGACAAATAACGGTTGTTTTTCTGAAACTGGCATGCCTGGGAGGATTATTCAGGACACATAGGCATTCCAAAAGTGAGGAGAGCAGCTCACCGACAGCTTCACAATTTTGACCCAGATCGGTTATTGTCTTTTTCGCGTCGTCTGGACTGAATCGGTTCTGGGGCACGAATAACACGACAATCCAAGTCCCAAAAGGCATTGGTCTGAAAAATTTCTTGTCGACCCTAGGAGATGTCAGATCATGTAACTAAAACCGTGAAATCGATACTTACATGTTCCAAGATCCATCCGATTCCTTCGGCTGCTGATAAATAGCGATTGTGAGAATGTTTATGAATCCCTCAGAAATCGAGTACTCACAAAAGTTGCTTGCTTAGATCCCGGTCCACATTTGAGCTCTAGTGCCTTGAGCACACGAGCAGAGATCTCCATAGGCAGAGAACTTGTCTTGATGTCTAGTCCGAAATCTCGGACGTAACGGGATTGGCCGTATGCAAGGACCTAAAGGAAAAAGAATGGGAAAATAGCATCTGATAGAACAGAAATCCGACCTGAATGCCAATCTGAATCGCGCTCAGTCGCTGATCAGGCTTTTTCGTAGCGAACTCCACCATGGCTCGTGTAGCATCCGGGTTGAGTTCAGACCGAGAGAGCTGGCCGGGAACGACGTAACATCGCTCGAGAGGTATCACAGCACCTTTCGCAGTCTAGCAGAGAATTAACGCGTTACGCAACTATGACTACAAGGGGTATACCTGCATGCATATAATGTTTGGATACCGTAGCCTTTGGTTGGCCTGAGCGTAGTACTGCGCTACACTGGTCTGTCTACCACCAGACGGAGTAAACATCGTTGTTGCGGCGTCGCGGTCCGTCAGTTTGTGGATGGTGAGTAGTTTCTTTCCACTAGCTGCTGACTCGGACTCGACCTTGACACCGAAAAGAAAGTTTTGAAGCCGGTGTCGTTGTACTGGAGGTATCGCCTGCGGACCGGAAACTCGTAAAATTCTGTCTGGGTTCTCCCTCCGATTCCCAGTAAAAAATTCGAGGCATAATTCGAGCAACGAACCCGGCTTGAAAAAGACACCAGTTGAGATGTCTATGTTCACCAAAATACGGTGCAGAGCGGGTCGTACAGACTGGAAGTAACCCTGCCAGGCTTCCAGCCCCGTACTAGCTAGCGGTGCTTTGATCCTGTCACTGTAGAAAGACCGGACTCGAAATGGATGGTTGAGGGAAGGTTCCATGCGTAACACGATGTTCAAAGCCTGAAGTGTTCTCAGGTCAAGCCAAATCATCCACAAACGACGACACATACCGTAAGACCAGTAGAAACATTTTCATCCCAAGATTGCTGACCAGCCGTATACCTGTGAAGGACTCTGTAAATAATCAGTTCTTATCTTGTACTCTGAGGATGAATGAGAATTACTCCATATTGATTTCCCTCGCTTCCGTGATCGTAATCTTAAAATTTGATGCTCGATTCCCTTCGGTCCAAGTAACATTAAACTGTGTGCATTGAGGTAAGTCGAACGATACTTCGGATGAAGAAACGTACCTGGCGGGAATGCTCAGCACCAAAATCAAGCCTATGGCTCGTATACAGATTCTTCTTGCCATCGTAAACGGCTGCCTTGATAAATACGTCGGCGTACTGGCTTTGAAGCGCTTCGATCAGCTGTATGTTGAAAGCCGCCCGGTGTGACTTTTCCATGGCTAGAGAAACCAAAGATCATTCGACGCATTCCACAACAGATCTTGAAGATACCAACCAACTAGAAGCGTGTAAGCCATTGAAATGGAAAGAAGAAAAGTATCTTACCGTCGTAATGATATACCATGATATCTGGGATATTCATTTCGCATGTATTGACACGAATGGTAGTGGCCCTGCCTGCACTACCGAATCCGGGACGACGAACACCGACAGCCTGGACGGAGGCTTCAAAAATCAAACGATAAGGAATTGAACAATAATGATATATTTCTGTTTCTAAATGTCGTAGAACTTACAGGAAACGGAGACGCTGGGCACGCCTTGTTGCCCAGCGGCTCCTCCTCCTCGCCCGCCACCTCGCCCTCGAGAAGGTCCTCCATGCTGCTGGGGAGTAGTTCCCCTAGCAGCGTACGGAGTCCCTCCTCGTTGACCGGGTGCCATTCGCGGAGGTGCCATATCGACAGAAAAAGTGGAATAGAGAGAAAAGAAGTCAGATGAGTGTGAGGAAGGCGATCCTACATCCAATCAAATCAAGACAGGTCCCTTTATAAATGTGTGAATTGCCGAGACGCCGAAGATCACATGCTCTTCTATGGGGCCTAACCGGTTCTGAGGCTTGGGAACAAGGGTAAGAAGTTGCGAAGAACCGTCCATACACGACCCGTGTGTGATCTATGACCTGAAAAGCGTCCAAAAAAGTATTATATGTCTAAGCGTCTATGAATGGGGCATAACTTACAATGGCAGTACCATAAGTAGTACGGGGGTCTAGACAGGCACGGTGTTGCTGAAATGAACTCAAAGAGAGCGAACTTTCAAAGTTACGCTGACAGAAACCTGTGTCAGGCGCAAGGTGAGAGTGCGAGAACCAGTGACACCCACTGTAAAGGATCTGCCACGGGACGGGTCTTCAACCCAAGACTGAGTACGATTCGGGCGTATATTGCCAAAGAAGATAGAGTCAAAGACACGACATGGTGGTAGAAATCCTAGATAAAGTTATGAAAAAGGCCAAAAAACGGCGCATATGTAGTGGTCTGAAGGCATAGGTAAACAAAACTAAAGGAATGATGCAATCATGAGTCTATAGAAATTCGCATCCCTTACACCCACAGCTGACGAGTCTGGATCGAGCAATTAAGTGCCAGAGAACCATACTATCCACGTAAAGATATCACAACGAGGCAGCTGACAATAGAGACCGGCGCTTGCACCTATGAGATAAGGGACGTGCCGCAGCCTTGCGTGATATCAAGATGGAAAAACGAGGCGGTGTCCTATGGTTCTGTGAAAAGGAAGGGCGTACACAAAGCCAACCGCATAGAAGGGAAGACCCATTGCCTACTGCGTACCTTCCCACACGCGTCTCGTGAATGATAAGATGCACATCGATGTTTCCGTGATTCTTTTGCGGGAAAACTGCTATCTATTTCTCGGCCTCACATGCGCATGCGAAGGACCAAGGTTCTACCAAATAGACACGAAGCTTCTCAACCTACTTATATCTTCGTCCCAACATTTAGGTGCACAGCCTTGACTTGCGTATACCTAGGACAAAAATTAGCTGAACGTTACAAACTGTAAGGCAAGATACTAACGTGTTCAGTGCGTATTCGCCGCCCTCTCTGCCAATACCAGACTGCTTATAGCCTCCAAATGGTAGGCTAGGTCCCGGAACACCGTAGCAGTTAATAAAGGCAGTACCAGTCTCCAACGCGTGAGTCACCCGGATAGCGGTGCTCGAATTCTCTGAGAAGACTGCCGCAGCCAGACCGTAAAGCGAGTCGTTGGCCAATTTGATCGCTTCTAAACTCGTTGTCAGTACTCGTTCAAAACTGAATTCATGTTGTTTGCCCACCTTCCTCGGTCTTGAACTTGATAAGCGCAGCAACGGGCCCGAAAATCTCCTCTTTGACCGCTTTCATACTGTTTTCACCAGTGAAGATGGTCGGCTGTATGAAGAACCCTTCTTCAGAAGCCTCGTGTTTCTCTCCACCGATGTGGAACTGGGCTCCATCCTCCATTGCGGAGTGAAGATAGCTCATGACACGCTGTATCGTGGATGAGCTTTCTGCACTGCAATACAGGAAATAAGGCGCACGTCAAATTGTGTCTGTGAGACTTGAGGTCCGTGCTGAGTTTCGGCAGCGAAGGGATCACCCGTAACCTGTTGTAGACTCTTGGCAGTCGCGGTGAACTTTTCAACAAACGTGTCATAAATGCCTTCTTGGAGGAGGATCCGCGACGAGGCTGCACATATTTGGCCCGCGTTAAAGCTTTGGATAGCAGCATTTAATCAGCAAAGAAAGAAAGCAGTGCAGCCTAGCAGTTGACGCACAAAATACTCGAGGCCGCCCATTTCACAGCTTGATCGACGTCCGCGTCATCAAAGACGATACATGGGCTCTTCCCTCCGAGCTCAAGGGTAACAGCTTTCAAATTCGACTTGGCAGATGCTTCTTGGACCTTTCTTCCCACCAGGGTACTGCCGGTGAAAGCGACCTTGGCGATTTCAGGATGTTCGCTGATCGCTTGTCCAACGATATGACCTAAGCACCTTTCAGTAGCGCTCCTGGGGACGTTCGCATCTCGATGCGTCTTACCGTAGCCATTGACAACGTTGACAACACCCGGTGGGAATCCAGCCTCGATAATGAAGTCGCAAAGGCGCTGAGCGGTCAATGGTGTTATTTCGGATGGCTTCCAAAGTAGTCAGTATTAGCTTTCAGACGTAGGAGAGACAATCACCTTCAGAACGACCGTGTTTCCTGTAGCAAGGGCTGGGCCAAGTTTCCACCCTACCATCAACTGTGCGGTGATTAATGTAACTTCAAATTCGCAATAAGAAATCAGATTACCATTGGGAAGTTCCACGGAACGATTTGACCCTGTGAACCATGTGAATACATCTATGTATGAAAAAGCCGGAGGCGTCAGCGCACCACAACACCGTAAGGTTCATGACGAGTGTAACTGAGTTTGTCCTCGCTAGTCTGGTAGGTAAATTCACGTTTAGGCCGAAATGAAACACAGCGTAACCGGATAATCACACCTCAATCACTTTCCCCTGAATTTTGTCTGCCCATCCGGCAAAGTACCTCAGAACGTCGACTGTACCAGCAACATCAACGTTTTTAGCTGCAGTAAACGGTTTTCCTGTAGGCAGTTCGATCAATTCTCGTTATCGAATTTGAACGAAGATGAAACACCCACCGACATTCAGAGTTTCCAAGGCAGCTAATTCGTCCGCATGTTGCTCTATAAGATCTGCAAGCTTGGAAAGAAGCCTTCCCCGCCGAGCCCCAGGGCATTTGAGGCCCCATGAGGTTTTGTAAGCCTGTTCGATAACAACGTCAGATTGCGCAAATTGATATGGTGTTATGGGTTTCGTTACCTCTTTGGCTGCTTTGACTGCGATATCGACGTCCTTTTTCGTTCCCCCAGCAACAGAGGTAATTGTTTTCCCGGTAGCTGAAATGGCCTATTGGTTTTGTTTTATCACTGAGGCTCGCGATCTTACCTGGGTTGGTTATACTGCGTCCGTCAGTACTCTTCAGAATAGATGGATGAGCTGGATACTGACCTGATAGAGCCGCCTTCGATAGGATCAACGAATTTCCCGTTGATGAAAAGACCGGTGTGGACCTTGGTCGTGCCTCTGAAGGTAGGCGTATCAAAATTGTAAGAGAATATCTGCGATGACATGGCGTTGGTCAAAGAAATTGGGAACATTATGCGACCCTTTTATAGCATCCGATGTGTGGGCCGGTCGCCGTTTGGGTTCTTGTACGGATTTACTTACGTGTTCATTTATTTCTGAAATACTTCGCAATATATAAGCTGGTATATTCGTAGTTAGTCCCATGTCGTGGTTACCATAGATTTAAACCTTTTTGCTGCTCACTTTGTTTCAGCCTAGCGCCGTGTTTCTAACGTGAAGAGTCGTCTGCAACTATTAGGAACATCGAAAGGGCGAAGTCGGGATTTAGAGCTGACTGAGTCATCTTGTGCACAAGTCACCTGAAAGAAGAAACAATCGGTCATTGCCAAGGTCGCAGCTAATCATTGCTTACTGAAGGCTCAGCCGAATTTCTGGAGAGAAGTTCGAGAAACTTGAAACAGTGGTTCTCAGCCGATACGAACGGTCGGTATCAGCGCGAGAGCCACCAGCGAGATGCAGTGGTCCTTGTCCTCCTACCATCTGGCCGGGGGTATCTTGTTCATTGACTCGGAAAATTTTGCTATAGAGAACAAGGAAAAGGCGAGATAATGGGAGGACGACCAGATCCCGAGTCAGAAATGGATGCGGCTGAGCGCAAGTAAAACCAAGCGACAGATAAAGATAAGGGCTGGGGATCCCGGATTGCAGCCCGGTACAGTTTGTACGTCGCGGTTACGTTTGGTTTTCCGGAGCTGGCACAAGGTCGACGACAGTCATATCGTCTTGGCTATACTGGATGATCAATTCAAAATGCGATAGTGCATCATCAATGCTAAATAACCATTAATTATTGGTTCTGACTTGTTTTACACACACGACGAAGCTCACCGGTGATGACATACGTCCCTCGATTGGAATTGATTCTTCCAGACCGCAAGTCCTGCTAGTAATAGTATTTCGGCATGCGGAGTAACCTTTAAGCGCTCGGACATCTCGGCGTAATTACTCTTGTCAACCTAGTAAGCCTTTTTAATTCTCGGCGGGATGTCTTTACCAAATGTACCAACCAGGTTTATCCCCCACTGCGCTCGTCTACCTCAAACACTCCGAGGACCCCACGCATCAGCGCGATTTTCTTGCCAAGAGGCCAGACGAACTTGTCACTCCATCAGAGTCGGAGGCAGAGTGGGTATGAAACTCTTATCGTCGCCTCAGGAAGTTGCTCTGTGCTGTAAGAGTCGACTCGCAGGACTGTATCCAGACGTGTCTTTTCATACAGCGCCAGCACATTGCGTTGTCCACCTTTCAATGATGATCAATTTTCATTCTACCGCTCGGTGAGAGTCTCTACGCGAGTCTGGTGTTTCCAAGGCCTCACGGTAAGAAGGTCCAGTCGTGACAAATGAGGGACACTGTATAGATGCACAAGGCGGTGGAATCTAATAGCGAGATAAGGACGCCGTTGAGCAGAAAGCTAGCACGATTCACCAAGTAAACTCGCCGTCTTTCTGACCTCCGACTTCCACGTGTTACGATATCAGCCTATCAAGGACGAAGGGCGGGCCATGGTATAGGGCAGCGAGGTTGGATCCAAGGAAGTGTGGCCTGTGCGAGTCAAGCTTGTTGCATGAAGGGAATGGAATAAGCAGGAAGGGAAGGACGGATTCGGAACGCGCCCGAATTTGAAATAACCCTCTGCCTCTTACCGTCATGCCGATTTTGCACTGTCCTCAAATTCAAGTTTGGGTCGCTCGATAATGGACGGGAAATAGTTACGGAAGTGCAAGATCTGCTATGGAAGGTGCCGGTGAGTACCCATTCGCGTCGTTTCCCGCGTAGGTTTTGACGGCCTGTGCAGGGCACGAACCCGGAGAAATAAACCACTGCTACCACCGAAAAACGACTGTACACCCGAGGACAGCGGATACTGGAATTATCATGGATACATGTGGTGGCTTTTCAGCTCCGACGACGGCCATCCTAGCACCTGTTAGTCCGACGCTCCGTACATGGCAAGAAAGCGTTAGCGTCGCTGCTAAATCCGATGCTTCTCCGGCTCATATCACCTCCAGAGACCCGGAATCCCCTTCTCCGATACAGTAACGTCGGTGGTCCTACCTGGGTATCTCGCACAAACAGGACAAATTTCGCTGTATTGGATTATACCGGTGATAAGGAGACACGTACCCAAAAGGCGGCCTCTTGTCTATCTCTACGTCGACCTGCGGTTCTTTATGCGACAAAAATTGTTTCCCACTTAGCGGGACCTGACGCGACCTTGCTCTTTACTTCCTTGTGGTGGTCTAAGGCACGGTTATCACTAGCCGACACATTTGGTTGTAAGCCGCGTAACTTCACATGCTCTTTCTTGCTCGAGATCTGACTATACCCGCTAGCTCTCGATTCTCATCATCCAGTTGCTATATGCGCATGGAACTAAGATGGCGCAGAATCATTGATTCCGGACGCGATTCTCAGACTGGTTTTGGACTCAGATGATGAATCTGGCATCGCCTCTGGGAGGAATTCGAGGGAACCAGGTTCCCAAATTTGTCGATGCGATCCTCCAGGCTACCAGCAACAATGTCATCTGTCTTCTCCTCTCTACCGTTACCACACTCACTCACCACAGCCTACCTCTGACGATGATCTCCACCTTGGAACTTCAACTCACCGTCCATCGCGTCGCTCAGAATATCTATCAAGAGCAAGCTATGAAAGGCGAGCAAAAGGCGGAGGGCAAGACGAAGGCGAAGAAGGGCTGGGCCTCTATACTGAGAGGGAAACTTGGTAAGAAATTACGTCGTTTCCGTGCACTCGAGCCCTGACTACCAAGAAGCCGCTCGTCACCACGAAGAGGAGAAAGAAACGACGGACGTGTTGAAAACATCTGTCTTGGAGGCTATTCGGCGCAGAGTCCTTTTAGTCGAGGCTTGCCGCAGATGTGGATGTAGCCGGAACGTTCGGTAGCACGTCAGTCCATCTCTCTGTATTACCGAAGCGTTTCGCTTATCTCCTTTAATCAGATTTTCTACTTCAAGCCATGCAAATGCATCTTCCTATATGCACACATTTATATTGTTTCCTTCATTTGATTCGGGAATGAGACACCTATGTCAATAGTATCAATTTCCCACTGTTGCTAGAATCGTCACATTCAGCAATCCTCAATCGAGATACCAGTAAAACGGTCCAAAAGACCCCTGTTTGATCTCTCGACGCCTAAAGCATATTTCGAATTACGCATGACTGTTACATCCCTAATTCTATTATGTTAACTGGCCCGGCTCTTTGACCGTTCCATACACTCATCCGGCGTCTTGCTGAGAAGCGTCAGAATGCAGGTACAATATCCAGTCCGGCCTGATCAAGGTCGTCTGAACCTTACCTGTAGTTGGTTCTTGCTACAACTATTAGGCTCGCGTGACGTTGGAGGCAAGAGAAGGCGGCTAGGTAGCAGTCTCTTCAAAGCGCCGCTTCTCCCAATTGTCCATGCTGGAGAACAGTTCAACGTTATGCTGGTGTTTAAGCAGGGTGCGACGTCCTTTGAGGGCTGACCAGGTCGGTTCTTCTGACAGTTTTTAGTGATTTTTTCTGCTCAACCTCTTGCTCCGTTTAGCTAATAGCCAACGTTCTGTCCTACCTAGCCTGCGGATATTGTTCGATGTTGTCGAGTTGCGACTTCGACGCTTCTATCTTTCTGACATTATCCATATTAATCGTGGTCAGTTATATCTTGCTGGGTAGATCAAATCGTCACCCTCAAGTTTGGATAATGATGGCTTCTGCAACGTATATATGATCTTACCAAGTAACATGCGTGCTTCTATATTCTTGCGTGCAAGGATCCTCTCTTACTGTGCAATCGCTCAATTCTGTGCGACGTGAAGACCTCCCCGGGTCAATTATAGCAGGTGCTTTTGGCTCAGGATGATATATGCTATCGGTTATTTCAGGGCACGTAGTGATTCCATACTGCCACCTCAACTTCCAGCTCATCCTCATACCCCGGAAAGATTCACCCAAACAGATCGCACCACCCGGTGTAGATCTGCCGAATCCATATTGACCTCGTATACTCCCAGTATTCCGGCATCCACCCAGCGCACTCCCAATCGATAAGCCCAGTTGGCCGAAGCTGCTCATCAACGAGGATATTATGTGGCGTGATATCCCCATGTGTGAAGCAAATTCTGTGCCGCGTTGACTGTCGCTTCATTAACGCTGCACGAACACGATCGTCAAGAGGCTCCCATGGAGTGCAAAAGCTCTGTGCGTGAAACTCGTCTTGCGACCTGAAAGGGCCGACAGTCCCGCCTTTTCGAATTCGGTAGCTAAAAATCCCAGTCCCTTTGAACCCGGAGATTGTATGATCACCTGGAGGGGGAAGGGCTCGAAGTTGGTCGAACCAGTCACGGAGTGTGTTTTTGAAAACAGAGAGCTGGTCTGCCGTCATATCGTGTACTCCTACCCTGGTGGAACCATATTCCCGACCAGGAACCTCTGTCATGAGGATGAAAGTATACTCTGGACAAAGACCATTCTTTGGGACGTAGTTGATGACATCAAGGATACGAGGGACGGGGATGGTAGTATATTGGGTAGCAAGGGCCTCGGCGATGGTCACAAGAAAACCACTCTTGGCGTAGAGTTTGAATGGGAGCTGTGCAACTCGAGGTGTCTTTCGAGTTTGCCCATGTTTTTACGCGCCACAATAGTCGATAGCAGGCTAATCGTAGCGAGGCAGGAAAGTGGAGTCACAACGACCATAAGATGCTGGATATGCTGCCACTACCGCAGACATTGAGTTTCATGTATGCTGTAGCCGAATGCTAACTTACTTGCAACGGTAAATAAAGTCTGAAGGAGCAAGAGGGGCGGGATGCATATTTCTTCTGCTGCTGACCAAATTTCTCGCTGAGAAATGCACCACCCAGAGAAAATGATGGTCATAAAGCAAATCACCGGTCCGATATGGGCCGGAATATCTGACGAGAAAAACGCGTGTTGTGATCATCTGACCGCGACAACTCCGACCGGTGACATTTCCCGACAGAGTAATAGCTCCCTCATCTTTCCACATAGCAAAACATGGACGGAAATTATTAACTCGCTGGGTATTCATCCTGGCCGTAAATGCCGGAGAACATCAACTTCGAGTGGGTTCTTTCTAGTGATGTGCGGGTCGGGTTGGGCTGGGTTTTGCGGGCTTGGGCTGGGTAATTCAGGGCCTGGGTTGAGATTTTGACGAGCCTGAGCCCTAAGCCCTGACCCTCACTGGGTCGGGTCGGGCTTGGGTAGTAGGCCTGGGCTTTTCACGTACCTGCTTGTTTTTCTGGCACCTCAGGCTCATCACATTCCTCCAGGGTCTCATCATTGGTATGTACGTGTTTGGACTAGCGCTGGGTGAGAATGCTTTTCGGCGAAGTATTTAACATGACAATGGTTGCATCCTCCATGTGAGATTCATCCTCACATGTAAATAACTGAGAGTTTCCCATGATGTCATTGCATGCCATGCGGAAATTTTTTGGTTTTTAACATGCAAATAACATGTTAAAAATGTGTGATTTACATGTTATTTTGCTACGCAGTCAGAAATGACCATATATGTATGAATACAAGGTAAATTGAAATCCATCATGGTGTACGACAACAAGCACACCACCTAGAAGTAGTCATCTTAGTGACGTATGATGCTTGGAGCCTTGGAAGATGCTGTTCTGTAGGCTCATCCAACCAGAGTTTCTCACAGAATTTCACACCACTGCTGGGACCCTCTAATGTTTTTAACATTACATAGATGTTATTTTCATGTGATTTACTAGGTATGTTATTAACATCGGGCATTCTCACCCAGCACTAGTTTGGACTGCCGAGGTACAGATGGCACAGCAGTATGCTCATTGTCGCCTGATGGGTTCGGATTGTCAGGACCATGTTTTCGCGATGATGAGGGTGGTGGCGGCGATGTACTTTCTCCATAGCGCTGAGGACGCCGATGATTGCGTCTTCCATCAACAATAACTTGATTAGGATCGGGCTCATCTCGCACAAGCATGAAGGACAAAGCAATTACTATGATTTTTTCAGTATTTTACAAGTTATTTGTATCATGTAAGAACTGTACAGTTTATCAGCCACCAAAGAGATGAAATTCAAATGACAGGACATACCTGATATAGTCTCCACTTACATCTCTGATATCTCATTACATAGACCACTTGGTATGACGGTGTCCCTCATCATTTTCACGCAGTGAGAGTCAGAGTGCAGAGGTGACCATGGACGTGAGAGTAAAGAAGGCTGGGATCAGTCAGCACCGCAACGGATGCCATCCAGCATCAGACGGTGACTCGGATTACCAGGCTGAAAACCCAGGGTTAAAGCCCAGGGCTTGGGCTTTCCGAAGTTGACACCTGAGCCTTGAGCCTGCCAAAGCCCTCCACTAGGGCTGGGCTTTTCAGGGTCGGGTCAGGCTGGGTCAGGCCAGGTAGCAGGCTTTAAGCCTGACCCGGACATCACTAGTTCTTTCAGATAATTCATGACCAGCTACATCTTACCGCGTATATGAATTTCATCATCCCCTGCGTGTATTCAATTTCACATCTTCTAAGAACCATACGCGGAAGTAAATCCCAAAATAGTATTCAACGCTTTCCATTTTAAAGTACAAGATCATGATTAGACTCGCTTGTAGTGGTTAGTGCATGACACTGCTACACAGCCTCAGGATATCATGTCTCAGATTAATTTCCCAGCCAGTCAACCAAAAAACAAAACTGGTAGCAGCAGGTTGCAAGTGAAAAGAGCCATACCAAGGGTGGAGTCCTCTCAGAGATAACTTTGTGGAGTTGCCATATCCTAGCATATAGGGTATAGGGGTGTGTGCACTAACCTCTGGGCACTGTGCAGCATTTCAATCGGGAATGAGATCCTTCGGGAAGGACTCGATTGGCTCCTTCGTCCTGTTTCAGCTATGATCCTTGGAATAGATGAGCGGAGCAGTGTTCCAGAGTGACCCTGGGAGAGGCTAATGAAGCCCAAGCTTTTTGGGTTATTGTACGTGTATTTTCTTTGATCTCTATCTTGCTTTTATACAAATAATTAAATATTTACTGGCTTTCTGTAATCGCTTGCAGGTCTGAGTCCACTTGTAATGTCATATACTATGAGTGTCATTCGTCCTCGATGTTAAAACTGGCGCTGAATGATCTACATGAATATCTTGCTCGAACAGGATATTCGCATCATAGAGGTCGTCCATCACATTGTCCGTATTTCAGAGCCATGCTTTCATGGCATCCTCAAAACATCCAACCCCCAAGGATGTTCTCACTGCAGCCACGAAACTTGTTTCTCAACCCAATGTAATGCTACCAGATATGGAAGACATCATCGGCATGATCGACCAGGCTCAACAAGGCTTCTTCGACCGCATCATGCCCAATGTAGGAGAGCAAGAAATTTGAAAATGAGGTATCTGCTGGTGGAGCAGAAGAGAGAGCCTCTGAGGATCCAACTCTTACTGATGAAGCAGGAGATTATACTAGGCCTTGCTGCAGAATGCATATTTCCTCGGCTGGTGACCAAATTTCTCCCTTAGAAATGAACAACTCACAGAAAACGATCATCGTTGTCAGCAAACAGATGACTGGTCCAATTTGGACCAAAATATCTGAGGACAAAAACACGTGTTGGGATCATCTGACCATGACTTCTGCCAATGGAGGAATACCCTTTGCTCATCTTCATTTCATTCCATGTCACAAACCTTGGATTTAAATCACTAAACTCACTGTGTATTTATCCCAGCTGTAAGTGCCAGAGAACCTTAAGCAAGTGTGATCCTCCATTCATGTAGGTATCTGATACTGCGATTTTTCTATATTAGCCTGCAGACGTTTGCCCCCGATGTGGATGTGCAACTTTCCTTCTGCACCTCTATCTTCAGAAATTATTCAGATCATTGATGGCCAGTTACATCCTGCTGCATATATCAATTTCGTCATTTGTGCATAAGGAACTAGCAAGTGAGGGCCATCCCATATGTGTGGCAATTCCGAGTCCTATGTTTGTCAGATAGATCAATCACCTTACCTGGTGCATCATTTGTATGTGAATATATCCGGAGTTTTGCTGTTTGGATCAAGGCGCATATCAATGATGTTGATTCCACCTTCTCGTGTTGCACGTCTCCATTGAATCATACCATCATTGAACCATACAACACGGTCGGGATCGACATACCTGGCTGTAAAATGACTGTTTCCAAAATATACAATACTCACTAGTTGGTAACATGCATTTCCATTGACTATGGATGTCAACAACCAACTTAATCAACTTAGATCAACTAAGGATCGTCCACTCGCACTTCAGTGGACAATACTCTTAGAGGTCAAAGGAGATTTGTGAAGTCGATCGAGGACTTAGATAGTCGTGAAATGTGGAGCTTTGAGTTGGGTAGATTAAACTTTAGCCGAAGCTGGGGTTTAGACCAGTGTAGGCTCTACTTAAATACATGATGATTAGGCTAAAAATAGTACTGTGAGAATGGGTCTGATGATCATGCATTCAAGCATAAGCAAGAACAGTAAGCAAAAAGAAAAGAAAGGAGAAGAAAAATGAATAAACTGTAACATTACCCCCCTCTTAAGACTCGTTCGTCCCGAATGAGTCATTAGATCCCTCTTCTATGGACTCGTATGACCAGACATCAGATGTGTGGTCATCATCATTCCAGTTTTCAGTTACTCTTTAGGAGAAGGTTTATGTCAGATTCATTGTCGGTTGGGGGATCGAACAGGATTGGAGGGTTTTTATATGGCCTTCCCTCTCGTTATGATGCTTCAATCTTGGCTTTTTGTCTTTTTAGATATGAGTCCCATACTCAGGGGTCATCAAGCCTTGGATCTACTTGGTGACAGGGACGAGGTTGATTGGGTTCATACCCTTCGCTAGGATGTTCCTCCTTGTATTTTGTATTCCTTTCTTGGAGAGCTTTATCCATAGATTGGGTGATTTCGACTACTAGTCATTGAAAGGAGGATGTGACCGATATGGGTCCGACATCTCTTCCTGTGTTTGATGCATCTGCTTCTCCTACGACATTAATTTCTTCAGAATGTGCTGGGGCTGAGCATTGGGATGAGTGAACTGTTATTATCTTGGAGACACATGGAGTGTCTGATTCATGATATTGCATCGGGTTATTAGGTGGTATTTTGTTATCAACACCAACTATTTTCCCCTTTTTATTATTCGTCCATTGAACCTTTTGAATCCGGGCTTCATACTTGTTCACGAGTTGTTCTGCATTAGCCATGTCGGCTTGCTTTACCCAGGAGTTTTCTTCTGTGGGATATCCCTTCCACTTGACGAGATACTCTGTAATGGTTCGCCAGTTTCGTCCTCGCCCGATGACTCTGTCTCTCTCCCCGACAATCTCTTCGATCTCATACTCTTCTTCATCATCTATCAGTTCTGGGGGGGGTCTCTCTGGTCATGGTTGGTTGGTGAAAGCGGGGGTCACATAAGGCATAAGTAAGGATTCATTGAAGCGGTTGTGGATCTTCCACTTTGGGGGTAACTTCAGCTCGAAGGAGGAGGCACCCTTCTTTGCAATTATTTCAAAGGGTCCTACTCATCTGTCATCTAGCTTCTGTGCTGGTCGAGGGAGTTGTAGATTAGTGGTGTCTAACCAGACTTTATCTCCTACTCGGTATTCGATTGCAGCTGACTTTCCCTTGTCATAGCTGTGTTTCATGGCTTCGGCCGCCCTCTCCAATGATTCTTTTGCCTGTTTTGAACTTCCTGAATACCCTGTACCAATCTGGAGGCAGCAGATACCGCTCCCGGGGTTTGTGCTGTCATGATTACCTGTCCATCCCTTCCAAATACCACTTTATATGGTGAAAACCCCGTGGCTGAGTGTCTCTGATTGTTATGGGTGAAAGTGGC